TTGCCGTACTCTCCACCCTGCGCGTTGATGTTGGCGCCCTTGTCGACTAGCAGCTTCACAATCGCCTCGTGGCCTCCCTCTGAAGCCGCCTGGAGTGCGTTGCCGAAGTGTTCACCCTGCGCGTTAACGTCGGCGCCCTTGTCGAGCAGCAGCTTTACGATACCCTCATGCCCTTCCTTTGCTGCCCATACCAGTGGTGTCCGATCGTATTTGCCTGTGGCTTCAATATTGGCTCCCTCCGCTAGCAGCCTCCGAGCCGTCGCCTCTTGTCCATACTGTGCAGTCCACACCAACGCTGAGCTTGCGGAGCACTGTACGTTGTAGCGGTAGAGATAACTGTTTAATAGACTGTACAGGCGACGGTTGGCTTGCGCAAAGGCGTTAATCTCTCGCTCTAATTCTAGGTTTTCTGATATGCATTGGAGCAACTCGTTCGCTAGATCAAGCAGCGACATTGCCAAAGTAGCATTTAGCTGGCAGGTGTAATAAAGGACGCCTAAAAGGAGGAGCGAGTTAAAGAGAATAGTGGCTGCAGGGTGGCTAAGTAAGCGCGTTTAAAAGTGGGATTGACCAGCACTAAGATGATTTGACTCTTAATGTCGCCACTAGTAGCAGGGAGGGTGGCCGACCCGCTCCGGCTATAGGGTTGTACGGTGGTGAATCTACAAGACGTGTGCTGGTTAATAGAGGGGCAAGAGATTAATCGCAAGGCTGCGGGGCTTAGGTCGGCCCGCTTGCTAAGAACTTGCACAGCCACGACCCTGTCACGTCAGATTACGTTACAAGTACCTATGTAGTAATTCTGCGCTAGCTAGAATTAGCAGTCGTTCCGATCAGAGGTACCGACCGGGGTGGCGGCCCTGCATGAGGGGGAACACCAAACTCGTGATCCGGCCCGTATTGTCGTGCGGGCTGTTCCTTCCCACTTATCTTGTTCTCCTGAGCGAGCTAAGTATAAGGATCACGTCCGCTAGGAGCGCACGACGTTGTCGTTGCAAGTGGACGCCTTTGAAAACATCGTCCACCGCGCAGCTCCAGAGGCAGAGTTTTCATGAGGCTTGGCGGCCTGCCACCACCATTCTCGACAACAACAAAATTCGACAGCAGCAGCCAATTTCAACAAACAGAGGAACGATTTGAAAACCACCCGACATATTGTTATTCAGCACCCAACTGGAACCACAAGCTGGCGCCTGCATTTGCCAGTGGGAGCGGCAGGGAGGGTCCTCTTGTTGTCAGGAGGCAAGAGGGCACAAGCCTGGCGATGCGATAGGACACCTCTGTGCTTATCTAGATCCTTCTTTAAATCTGACGACGTTAATCCTCTTCGACGCCTTGTTCTTCCTATCAACATTGGTCGGCCAGGTGCAGTCCTTGGACCTGGACGCGACGCTGGGGCAACCCTTGGACTGGACAGCGACATTGGGCGGCCAGGCGCAGGCCTTGGACATAGGGGGGACTAGGAAAAGGAGCTGGAACGGACAATAATAACAAGAAGAGGAGGGCAAGTTTGGTTAGTAGATGGCGGAGGGTTGACAGCCGCCCGGCGTGGGGTTGTTATGGGCCTACATCTGCAAGACACGGTCGGCCTGTCGTCGCGAGAGCGTCACAGGTAACGCGAAAGGGCTGCTGCCGGGTCCGGCTAGCAGCAGCCGTGGGGCGTGGTATACAATGGCAGCGACAGTCAGCTCCAGGTCTCTACGGACGCCTGGTGGACTCGTGATAGACAGCTGGTGGCTGGTGGTGTAGGGGTGGGGAGGTGTCACGTGAGCTGTTGCCCTCTCCAGCTTGTGTACGGCTGCATGGAACAGGAGGGATGCACGCATCCTCTCTGGTTTATGCAGCGCCTCTGCACAGGAGGGAACAGGCTTGCTCTCTCTCTCCGGCTTGTACAGTGCCTCTACACGAAACGGATGGGATAGCGTGCGTCCTATCTAGTTTGCATAGCCAGCCGGCTGGTGGCTATTACATTGGGAGGAGGATTAACACCTCGCTGGTGACACTGTCTGTGTAGCCCGAAAGGACGGATGCGCGTGTCGGTCTATTATATTAGAGGGAAGCAAGCGGCAAATTGCTATAATAGGCTTATGGTGCAAATTAGGTGCATACAGGCGGGAGATGGTGTCGTTCTCCACCGGACACCGTGGAAACGCTCCGCGTGGAAAACTATAGCAGGGGAGCTAGGCAGGTAGCTCTATTGGATCAAACCTGCTGTATATTTAGTAAATATATCATGTACCTAGCAGATCCAGGAGAACGCATCAAGATGGCTTACTCTGTAGTGAAGTTTATAGAGCTGCTACGTGTCCCCAGCAGACGCACGTAACAACTACGAACGCACAGCGTTGTACACCACAGAAAGCGAGGTTTTCATCCGAACGCTGCAAGGCAGCAAACGGTTTCCCTTTGTAAATAAGCCTAGATAGCGCAGCTGCACGGACCCTAACGGGATCTACAACAGCTTAATAGAATATAATAATAATGATAATAGCCCTTCCTAATAGCTATTATTATTATTATTCAGGACTTCTTGCGTATGTGCAATTGAGTTTGAAAGTTTCCTGGCGGACATAAGGAGCGGCAAGAGTATCCCTGGATCTCGTAATCTTGATCTCCAGACATAAACCCCAGAAGAGCGCATTCTGAAAGACAAAAGCCCCCGCAGGGTCATCACACACCATTCCGGGTGTGTTTGATGAAACTCAGTGCCAGGAAAGGCAAACACTATCCAAGAGCGAAGCAGTTTTCGGGGCCGTAGTCATGCCGAAGCATGTATGAACAGCGTGACTGAGAGCGATATCATGGCCCGAAGCGGACCAAGCATTCGAATAATCTTCCTTGGTTTGAACCACAACCATATTAAATTCTTTCACTGGGGTGTGGCTGGCAAAATTTCTGGAGGATCTCCATAAAAGCTGCTTTCTGCGTATCTCAGGCACATCTGGGCCCCAGACATTGGAGTATTTCTCAGGAAGGATTTGTGAGGTGCTGGAAGTTGCGCCAGACAAGCCCGGTGGTCATTTGGCAACTATACTCTCATCGCAATGAGTGCGAACCATTCCTGATGCTAGTAGAGCTTCAAATCTCCACAAAACTACAAGAGTTCTACTGCGCCCGTTCGCAAGTCTTAGATGATTTGCTCCAACGATGTTCTGTTGTTGGCTGGAGCAGTAATTTCCAGTCAACGCTCACATCAAATTTGTGCAGTTGCTTTTTCAATGTATATTCCATAACATTACGGTATCTCAGGTCTGATCGGCAATGGGTGGGCCGATTGAGTGTGGAAACACCATCTTTCAAACTCTACTTCTGAGGGATAGGACACCCGAGGAGCGCTCGCTCATCATTATCTTAACCACTTTTTTTAGAGTGCCGCTGCGTTCATTCAGCATACCACGATCCCGCGATTCTGGCAGATCATAGGCTGCGCCTCGTGTGCAATCTGTTACTCGGTTCGGGGAAAGCAAAGCCTTTTCATCGGGACTCCGGGATTTTTGGGGCGAAGCGACTCACGCGTAATATGCGTCGTGTCGGTGAACTGTGTTTACCCAGACAGCTCTGGCAGGGACTGAATCATGATCAAGTGTGGCGTCGAGATTGACTGGGTGACGAAGACTTAGATCCATGAATCGAGACCGAGTTAAATTGCAGAGAACATCTCGCTCAATCATAGCCGATGTTGATTGAGACGGCGAGATATACTGCGTTTGCTGATGACGATTGCAGACAGGGAAGTGTTAATACTTCACGAAGCTCCCACATGAGCTGCGATGATCCGAGATTTTGAAGAGCGCATCGGCCATAGTAGCTCAAGGTCTGCTTTTTTCTTTTCTTTTTTTTTAGCAGTTGCTCCGCATTTCATCGTGATTTCAAACGGTTCAGTAGCAGGACTCTGTCGAAGACGCTGGGGCAACACACTACACATGTAGATGTGTGGGCTACCCCCTTCGAAAACTCCAGGCATCGTCTGTCTCCTGGTATACTAGACTATACCGCTCTGTCATCCTCGTAAGGAAGCTTAAGTTCGGAACCGCGGCCATTGGCTGCCTCAAGATCTTTGCCAACAAGACCCGAAGCCAATTATAATTATTTTTCGCATATTATCCGATTGAAGCCGACCGTGGTTTTGGCGATGGCGAGGAAAGCCTCTGAGCCTGCGCTCTCAGAAGAATATTTCTCTGAAATCTAATCATGGGAACAGGAAGCGCATAATTGAACCTTGGAGAGCCCTCGGAGCGGTTTGGTGAGGTCTCGCAAGCTCTATTACTATTCGATCTTTTGGTTGGAACTTCGGCACAGACTGCCATAAATCATGGAGGAGGTTTCCAGTTGAAAATAGGCCCCATTTTTCACGCGTCTGTGATGTCTGAATCGCACTCACAACGTTCTCGTAGAGTTGGTTTACGACTTCGAACCGCGGAGGGATTCAGGGCGTGCACTTTGAGCTTGTCTGCTAGTGATTATCTAGCTTGCGACCTTGTGACCAGGTATTTCCAGTATCACGAGTTTGGGAAGGCACAGCTGGACATCGCTCGGACTCCTTCTTTGATATAGTGCGAACTCCATCATGGGCGTAGGCGACGGTGAAGTGTAATTTCGTAACTGTACCAGACACGGACCACAGTACTCCCTTCCTTTCTTTTTTTTACCACGAGTAGAGTCTGAAATCCGACAGCAAAGACATCGAGCTGTTTTCAGAAGCGTGTTTGTTTATCAATCGATTACCAGATACAGTTGGTCATGAGTCCCGGGTGCGTTGAACTTTCGCCCTCCTCAACAGAGCTCTGCAGGAATTAGAAGGCTAGGAATGATACTGATCCATAAGCTGACGTGGTGCTGTAGTTCAGCTGGATCTCCGGCAATCATTGCTGTGAGAAACGCTCCAATATTACAGCAGGTTGGAATTGAGAGCTGTTTCATACTATAGAGAGGAATAGGGCGTCTGAAATGTGCTAGCTCAGAGGTGATCCGGTCTATACGCCACCACCCACATGGACCGGAGTGAGAGTGGCTGGTGAAAGTTGCAGAACTGGAAGTCCTACTTGTCAGGCCTTGGATACGGGCTATGGAATAACCAAGTCGATATCCTAGGGCAGTAGTCCAACTGGAATCCTTTTCAGCAATCCGGTTGATCCGACTTGAGAAATTCAAGGTCTACCTTTTTAGGCTTTGATCGAGCGCCGGGTCATGAGAAATATCGGATGACTAGGTCGGGAGCAAAGATTTCCCAACGCAATCCATGAAGCTGCCCTCGAGCGTATATTTAGAGACTTGGTAGGACTCGAGACAAGACCAAGATTCTAGACTCATAAAGTATCTGGGCTGGTTTCTAGTCACAAGTCGCATTCCAGACCTACGACTAAAATTTTGGAGCACTTCCTGGCATAGGTAAAGGAACACTCCCTGCATGATCCTCCGCCGACCGATACTCGAGCTTGGTGGCAGTTGCCTTTGCAGTAAAAGGCTAGCAGACAAGCCGACCCGGACTCTGCATATACCAAAACCGCGGCATATGTTGTTGCTCCATGAACGAGCTCCAGGTGGTTGATGATTTCCATTGTGCTCCAGCAATAATTTTGTTGCATCCTCTCCGAATGTGATGGGCGCGGCCCGTTGAACAATCATATATCACTCTCATAGTCGCGTTCGTAATCTTGTTACACAGGCATCGTACAATAGTTGCCGTTGCTCGTGTAGCAATTGCCTCCTTGACTTCCAAGCCGTATCAAGGTCTCCCTTGCCATCGTTCTTCTGCCGCGCAGGAGAACGCTGCCAGTCATATGACAAGTTCCGTTGAATCTTCGTGCCCCGAACACCTCTCCCATAGCATGACATCGACGCAAGAGTTGTCCACATGTTGCTGATCATACAAGACGTCGTCTAGTCCTCTGACTCATACGACTAGAAGAATCAAAAGGCCTGGCGCCATGAACATCTCGGCGACCCCTTTCTGATTTTGAACGCATTCCAGACACTTCAGGCTACTCAGAAGGCTTTTAATCTCGCAAATTCTGAGACCAACGCCACCACGCTCCATTAATTACTACGGAGCGATTGCTATGTTGCGCAGTAACCAGGCGGGAAGCACCTGGACACAGCATGTTCTTATGGGAAGGATAGTATCCACATACGTCCCGAACAGCTAACCAGGAGTACCATCGAAAGGAACGTTCCGATCGTTGACGAATCGAGAAACATTCTTCAATGGCAGTGGCTGGCTGAAAACGACAAACCGAGTCCCACTTACATCGCCTGTGTGTGATATTGACCATGTCGCCTTGTGATCAAGGGCGGTCGAACGAGCGCACTTCGTTGATGTTGCCAGTAATCTGCAAAGCTTTGATAGGACGCGGTAGCCCGCCCATGACTACACAAGCTGACATGGAGCGGGTTTACCATCGATTTTGCAACTAATCGACGGCTCATATAGTCGAGTCGGTGTAGATTTTGTTCCGTTCGTTTCAAGCGAAAAGCCCGCCCTCCAACATACTGAAGAGAGGTTGCTGACTGCTATCATTCGCTCGTTTTGATTGTGGTAGTTCAATAATGCGAAGACGACTTCGGTTTTGTTGACGAGCCGGCAAACATCTTTTCCCATCTTTTCCCATCCGACAGGCTTCCATTCTCTTAGGCGCTGCATGTCTCTGTTCGTCGTTCGATTTGACGAGTCTCACGAACCACATCCATCACGGTGCCGAGGTGTTCGAAGCCTGCGCATCATAGCCAATGACTTCCCGGTCTTTTTCGACCGCTCATATAGCCTTCTGATATCGTAATTATGGAACTGCTCAACGGCTCCATCGAGGCAAAGATCTTAGTCGGCTTTCGCTGCCAACAGTTCCAAGAGCCAGTGTCGGACATCGACGCCAGCCATTTTCTAATAGTTCAGCAAATCCACATTTCCAGACATGAGACCCGTCAACCGCCCAGATTTTTAAGAGCACACCACACCACCTATCCCACAGTCTGCATGAATATACAGCAATGGTCAGCCGGAATGACCACACAAACTCGATTTTCCTTTTCCCAAAAGGAAACAACCAAAGGAAAGCCCATTGGCCTCCGTGGCCCCCATACTGGCCCCCCACCAGCTCCGAAGACCCATCGGCTCAGCCTTCCATCCGGCACTGAACCACACCACATCACACCCCACCGCAAATTCAGATTGTAGTTCTGCCACAAAGAGACAACTGAAGACAATGCCATGGAAATCTTACTTTACCATATTGTTGAGAATCCCACCCCCAAACCCAAGTCCCACAAGCCCCTCTGCAGAAGAAACAGACCCAGAACGCGTGGGACCCGATTTCTATATACCTCTCAAACCTCCGATACTCGGCCTGACAGCTGACACCCTCTCCGACTCTCTCCGCCCCCGCTAGCTGTGAAGTCCAATAGAAACCGCCTTGCCGCACTGACTGTGATCACAGACTGTGGAGACAGGGGCGAGAGGGGATGTTCTGACGTTGATATCGGGAGTCGGAGGGACTATGATTGGTTGTGAGAGGAGGGGAAGGGCGTGTGATATGATTGCGAGATTGAGTTTCGAGATAGGGGAGATGCGGAAAGGGGGATATCGGAGGGATGTGGCTATCGCAGCCTATAGTGGCAGCTCCGGTACTTAACAAAGAGTTGAGCGATGGGAGGATGATCGTGGGTTTCCGGGCCGGGCGGTCAGGAGGTGGGAGCGACAGGAATGTGCTGACGAATCCGAATCCGAATCCGAGCATTCCTCGTCTCCGATTGGGCTTCAGGTATGATCCGGATCCGAAAAAGCGTCATGCGTTGAGGCTTCGGAGTTCATGTCGCCGTTGGATTGGCTGTGGCTCGCCAGTCCTACACCGCTGCGCTTTGAGGCGGAGGAAATACAAACTTTGTGTAACGAAAGCTTCCGCATGTTGGGCGTGTGCGCCCCATTTCGATGACAGCATAGCACGAAGCGCTGAGGAGAATCTTACATCCGCCGGCCAATGAATCTTGTGATGCCGGAGGCGTAGGTTGGGAGACTTTGAGAGCCAAGGAAAAAATGAACGAGATAAGATTGTAAGACGTGATAGATTTTTTTCAGTTGGGAGGTCAAAGTTTGACGAAGCGTGAGCGGAATAGGGCATCACCGGCGGAAAATAATGCGAGATATGGTGGACGAAGAGCTGCTTCAGGGCAAGCAGTATATAGAAGAAACGATATATCATTGCAGGAATCCAATACTTGAACTCACAGACTAGGTTATCTCATGCCATCATCTATGTCATTACTCTTTTCTTAGATCATTATCCATTGTTTTCTTGAGCGACTCTTCAAACCCTTCCAGCCCTACCTGTCTGCAAGATCTCTCCTGTCAGCGGATCATCCTTCTTCAGCACCGGCCAACTGTTCCCATTTGCCTTCTTGAGCTCCATTTCCAACTTAGTACCCATGATCTTGAAGGTACTGGTTTCAGGGTTTATCTCGCCAAAGAAGGGCATGTCGGTCTGGTATCGCTTATTGTCCGAGGTCCGTAGGTCTAGCTCAACATTGGTTGATGTGAAGGAGACGGTCGATGTTGCTTTGTCGATCTTCTTGAGGTATAGAGAGGCGATGACGGTAGAAGGGGTTTGGTAAAAGTCGTGGCTATTGTTGTCAGTATCCGTGATCAGCTTGCTTCGCCGTCGTACATACCGCACTGTGTCCAGCTTCTCCTCCCCTCCCTTCTTCTTGCTGCCAACAAACAGATGCCGGTCTTTCGTTTTGCATCCTTCTATCTTCATGAACTCGTCGAACTCCAGCACCCGCCTCTTACAGCACGACCACCCTTTCGAGCCTTCGTGGAATATAGCGGCACCCGGGTGATGCACACATTGCTCCCCTTCCCGATTCCCTGAGTATTTCCCGTCACATCCTCGACGCCTACAGGATTGCCCTGTAACAATGGGTGTATCGGGATCGTCATCTTCAGACTCTAGTGGGGCTGGTGATGGTGAAGGTCGTGCCTGGGCTGCTTGTGGTGCGGATTGAGGCAGGGCTGCAGATAGGCTGTCCATAGATACAGGCACACGCGGAGGCGCAGGCTCTGCAGGAGCAGGAGCTGCTGCTGACGCTGGCTCAGTTGCTAGAGTTTCGTCTACATCGGAGTGCTTTCCGGTGGTGCAGGGCGGGATGGAGAGGAATTCGTCGAAGGTGAGGACTCGAGGCTTGCAGCACTTCCAACCTGTACAGTGTCAACTCTGACGCCTTGAGAAATTACGGACGGGCTCTCAGACACCTTTCTGTCCCTCGTGGAATTCTGGCGGGCCGGGGTGATAGGAGCATTCTTCAGACTCGTCTGAGTAGACTTTCCCACACCCTTTGTGGACGCATTTCTTTGCCATGATTGCCGTCTATGCGAAGTTGATTGAAAGACTAACGAAGGTATAGCCGCTCATAACTGTGAAGTGAAAATGGGACCTCGAGAATCCGAATCTTCTGGAAGGAGAAGCGGTATGATGGAGTTCACGTGATCTGGGTTCTGCCACCGCCTTCGAATTCACTGCTTTCATTGCTCAGCCCGTGTCGTCCAATAGCCATCCTTATTACAGCATCATCTCAGATCTTCGTAACGAACATGCTCCCATCTCGACGGCTCCTCCAGCATGCTTCCAAGATCACCCTGTTCACACGAGCCAATTGCTCCCTATGTGACTCTGCTAAGCGTGTCCTGTCAGACGTATGGGACCAGCGGCCATTCGAATATACCGAAATCGATGTAATGGAGCCAGGGAAGGAGAAATGGAAGATTTACGAGTTTGATACTCCTGTGGTACGCCCTCTCTGTCTGCCCACCCCGAGTACTCGGCTAACTCGAGTAGATTCATGTCGATAAATTTAGACCGGGAGAAGAGACAACCACAGGGGCAGTCCTAAAGCTGATGCATCGGTTTAAAGAAGCTGAAGTCAAGAGTTTGATGGATGAAGCCGAGGAAGATAAGAACCCGTGATGGACTCGGGGATTTTCGACCTTTTTAGCGTGCTGCATATTGTGGGGTAGCCGTAATGACGAAGAGGGGTGGAGGGGTATGACAGGTTATATGACGGCTAAACACCAAAACTTTATCACGACCTACCGAGAGCTGCTTCTGGTGCCATTCAACTTCGTTCTTCATCTTGGGCATTGCTTCTGTATCAATTGCTACGATGCAATCCGCAAGTCGACTCCACAAAGCTCTGAAGAAGGGCGGAGCAACGTTCGGAGCATGGCAGGTGCATACATATACCTATCCCTCCTCACTTTCCATCTCTAAAAATACTCAATATAGATGCTTCCAGGAGCAAACATCTCCAAGACTCTGGCTAGCACTGGAGTTGATTGGATATGCGTAGACACTGAACATGGCAACATCGACGGTAGTACGCTCTCTCGACGTAGAAGAACAGCCTCACTAACTCGTCCTAGACGCCCAAATGCACGAAGCCGTGACTGCAGTCGCCAGTTTCGGCATCAGCCCCGTCGTCCGCATCTGTGCAAACGAAGCCTGGATGGTGAAGCGCACGTGACGCTATCACCTCTCAACAGCTATGTCCTAACAAGGTTCTAGGAGCCCTTGACTCTGGTGCCCACGGCATAATCGTCCCGCTACTCTACACCCCCGACGATGCCCGCCGCCTCGTCTCATCCGCCAAGTTTCCTCCTCTCGGAAATCGCGGTTTCGGCTCACCATTTGCACCCAACACCTTCATCACCTCAACCTCCCCTGACGGGCCTCACAAGCCCGTAGCCCTGATGGACTACCTTCAACAAGCCAACGACTCCCTCGTCACAATCGTACAGATCGAGACCGCCGAAGCCTTAGCTAACGTCGACGCCATCGCCGCAATCGACGGCATTGACGTACTCCTCATCGGGCCCTTTGATCTAGGGAATAACATTGGGCGGCCTATTCTGACGCCTGAGCTGCATCCGGAGCTTAAAGAGGCTATTGCAAAGATCCATGCGGCGGCAGGGCAGCATGGGAAGGGAACGGGAATTTACTGCACTGGGGTTGAGCAAGCGAAGATGTACCAGGAGAATGGGTTTCATATGATCAGTATATGCAATGATGTTGGTGCATTGTCGGGCTTCTTCGGAAACGCGCTTCAGATCCTGAAGCCGACGAATGGGGGCGTGGGAGGCGGAGTTAGATATTGAGATGGGCGTTTGTGTCGCGAGATTTCCGGTGCTGCTGGTATAGATCTTAGACTGGTTTAAATAGAGCCTTTCCCTGCTAGAACACAACCATTTAAAACTCGATTGCTTCAGGACGTTCAACTGGTAAGTGAGAAATAAAGAGCTCGATGACTCCTACGCTGCACCGCTTGAGCGAAAAGCTTTGTACAACAGACTTCCTTTAGGTCGATCTGATAGAAGGGTTCTTGTATCCCACCCACAAACGTGATATTTAACCCGTAGTTGCATGACAGGAACTAGAATATTACGGTATTCATAGAGCGACTTGAAGGCCATCCAATCGCCATTAATGACGACCAAGTTCTCAATCGCTTCACTCCTCGATAAGCATGAGCAAGTCCGGCCAGACAGCGTACTCTCAGACTAATCAGACTCCATTACTCACAGCTCTCATACAGGCGCAGTCGAGAACTTCATTAGATCCCTCAAGTCTGTCACCGCAAATGTAGCCGGCCAACTCGATGGCCTACGCAAATGTGATACCGCGTATAGTTGCTTGCCGGTTCGGTGGTATCCATGGATCGTTGAGCCGCTGGGGTCTTATTCCATCTGGTCACTCTGGGCTATTGCCATCTTAGGGAGCGTAGTCTGGGCTGTCTTGGAATATATCTGGCCGGTAGGCGTCTACTTCGCTAGTTCTCAAAAGGCGGACGTCGCTCACGCTTTCTCTCGTAATCGGAGCGTAGTCACACCGTTCGAGACTTCTTCCGAATTAGGGGAGCCAAAGGAAAACGAGGGTGATGCTAGCCAGAGGATGCCACAAAACGTTTTCGTCGAAAGTGATGATGAAGAGACAGATATGATTGGAGTGATGCCGAGTGATAAGGGGCAGGTCAAGAGGGTGTTGAGGGAGGTTGCGATCCTATCGAGAAAGGCTAGTATTTGAGTAGGATACTAAGTGTGCAATATCCTAAGACCGTAGACGACAACATCCATTCGTCGTACTAGAGACATTTGCGGGCTCATTTATGTGATTGATCATGTATCCGTCATGCTAGTATTCCGGCATCCAATAATTTCAAGCCGACAGTCTTTCGCTGCATCGATGGCGATATTTTGATTTCATTTCTCCTCATTCCCGTACACACCCGCTTCAGATCTTACCGCCTAAGCCCTCCGAATTTGCCACTTCAAATCCTTGATGCTGACCTCGTCGTTCGCCTTCTCATCGTAATCATACCAATCGCCTTCCGATAGATCGATAGCTGTGAATTTGGTATTAGATTCGAGGCCAGTCGCAAGCCAATCACCCTGTGCCATTCACTACATTAGCTTCCAGCCCATATAAGCCAGCATCTTATCATATCTAGCACTCACATCAGCCTTAAACTCAACGAACTCTAAACCCCGACAGTCAAACTCGATGATGTTCTGAATCCTCGGTGGCGAAGAAAGAGGGTATGATTTTGGTGCCTCCTTAATATTGGCAGAGTGCTCCCTCTATATAGCCTAGTGAGTAGGCAGTTGTGATATATGGGCGAGAGCGCAATGACCTTACAGTTCTTGCATCTCCAGACGAAGTTGGCTTCGCCTTTGCTACCGCTTTGCTCGTTCATTTCCTGGTATATTCTCAGAATTTCATCTAAAAGCATGGAGCATATGACCTTACGAATCTGCTCACGCTCACCCAATTGGGGTGTGTTTCTCGGCATGATGTGCATTGAACTTTGAAGGTATAGAAGAAGGGTTTGTCTTCGGTGTCGTCGGGGCGGAGGTCGGTGACCCTTGTGAAGTTAAATGAGGACTTCTGAACCATGAAGCTTCTACTTACCCACTCAAGTCTGCTGTCAAGGCGAGTGCGAGCATTGTGATGATGTTATTGCTACTTTGAAGCTCCTCCAGGCGGGGTGAGGTTTGACGTCGATGCTGGTCCAAGCTTCAAATTATTTCTCCGAGTCATGCATGCATTTTCTCTCACTCACTTCGAACACCACAATTTCAGTTTAACACCCAAATCTAACCACTATGGCCGACGAAGACGAAGACATGCCGCCGCAGCTCTCCGGGGGTGGAGCCGGCGACATCGACCTCAGCGACGAGACGCAAGACTTCCGCTTCCTCTCCAACCTCTCGTAAACACCCCACTACACCCATGGCCAGCTCTCAACACATACTAATCATACCGCTATCCAGTCTCAGCGGCACCGAAGGCCCCAAGATACCCAAGCGCGGCGAAAAAGACTTCGAGCCCCATGCCACCGCACGCCAAGCCGATACACTCGCCGCCTCGCGCGCTGCTATGCACGCAGCACTATCCATTCCACGTATTCACGCGCCGAAGAACCACATAGTCGCGATATATGACCCGTCCTCGAATATGGCGTCCGTAGAAAAAGCCAAAAGCCAGCACTTTCAGACCATTGGACGGGTTGCGAATGGAAAGGAGTGGTTATTACCAGAGGAGACGCTGTTCATGCTCGAGCGAGGGAGTCTGGACGTGAGGTGGCCGCTCAAAGAAGGAGAAGAGGGGATGGGGGTACCGATGAGCTTGCAGGGGGCGTATGCGGCGTTCATAGGGATGGAGGGCGGTGTTGGGGGGAGGCTGACGTTAGAGATGTATAATGTCTATGCTGGGCTGAAGAGGGCGGGGTATATTGTGCTTAGGACGGGGACGTGGCATGACGCGAAGGCTGAACTGAATCTCTCGAGGATAGGCCATGCGAAAGAGAAGGTAGAGGGGAGGCATTGGGGACTGGGACTCTTTGGGGAGATATGGAAGAGGTTGTTCAAAATGCAGGCATCAGAATCGCCAGAGAGGTTGAAGCTGGGGCCGTTAGTTACGCCTGGGCTGTATCGGAACTGGACGGACATCTATAGACTCCTCGAGGTCATGCCACGGCACGATCGAACCGCTCCGCCAAAGTTCATGCTTCCGGACGATGTTTCGAACCCCTTCCGAATCACCTTCGACGTCTACAAGCCGGTCTCACAATTTAGGAAATCAAAGCCCGGGCCACCGGACTACCGCATCGCGGTCATTAACGCCCGCGAGACTTTAGTCCCAACAATGGTCGAATTGAATGATCTTCTCGCGACAACGCCTTACGATCTACCAAACTCATCGACCCAGATGTACCAGAAACTGAAATATGGATCTCGGAATATAATCCTGGCTGTTGTCGATAACGGCATTCCCAGCTACATTCGGATCGCGGATGCTCCGTTTGAGGACGAGAAGCTCTACGAACGTACAGGACGGGGGCGAGGTGGCAAGCGGGGTGGATTTAGAGGACGTGGACGAGGGAGAGGTAGAGGCCGATGATATCGCCGGATTTCGTACCAGAAATTGGCTTTTCGACCCTGCTTGCCGAGGCACCATGGCCTACATACTCGAAGTCATCTGCCAGTCTCCCACGCTGAAACAATAGTCAACTTGTGGCTAGGCGCAGCAAATCCAGAAGGATGGAATGAGCGCGGTGTCCCTAGAATCACCCGCTCCGAGAAGAGCAAGCACATGAGTGCTAGCCGATCGATCCTCCCTGAGGTTGGAAGAGGCCTTTGGTGTTCAATCCGGCCGGCACTATCGATTGTCTGGGCCTCTTGAAGCCCTAAAAGGCTGAATAAGGGATTTTGGATGCGTAGGAGTATACCCAGGCCGAGATATCATACGGCCTACATATCTGATTTACGGTCTTGGATAAGCAAGTTTGGAAAATCAATTAGTTAGTTCACTTGGATTATATGATACCCATTGATCTAATGGAATCGACTGCGCCGCTCTGAGTGGCAAGAATCCCCTTTTTCTGCCATCTCTGCATGAACCATTCCATTCTCTCTCTCCCCTTGGCGTTCTCATTGCCCCTCAAATACTCACGCAGTTTAGACACAGTAGGGTGCAGCGAGTCGCGTGCCAAAAGAAGCCACCCCTGTTCCAGCCCGGCGCAGAAAAAGAAATACTCAGAGTAGGCATATGGGACTAGCGCGATGCCCCCTTCAAACTCTATGTACTGTAATGATCACAACTACCTACACCACACTACGCTACTCCTCCATACCGCTTCCCAGCCATCAATCGATGCATCATCGCAAAACCTCCTAGCTCACACCCAATCTCATGCCCGCCAAACTCCATCCATGCAACCAATCCGATTCCGCTCCGGAGTTCTCAAAGGTACTTTTTTGAGTCCATCAAACCGCTCCGATACGAAAGTAGTCACCCGCCGCCAGCACCACACCATCCCATCGTTCATCTACCCAAAACCTGCTGCCCGTTATACTATACCCCAATGTAACCTCGCCTGTCTGATCCCACCACTTCTCGACCTCGCCTAGTTAGAGCTCATACTCCTCAACTTCTCCTGCTCATCGGAATCGAGTCGCGCAAACTCGGCCTCGAAGCCCGGCCTACCCGCCGCAGCTTGGAACCAGCCCACCAAGTACGACTGCGTCTCGTCGTCGCGCTGGCGGCTCGCAGGCCCAAAGCCATTTCCAACGCTCTCGTTCGCAAACGCCATGAGCTGTTCCTTGGTCATTCCGGTGCCGAGATCAAGCAGCGGGTTCGGGTCGTCCTCCCAGGATCCGTCGTCAGAGGCGTCGTCGGCTAGGTCGGCGGCAGCCGCGGCGGCTTCGAGGGAGCTGCCTGCGGCGGCGAGGAGTTCGCTGACAAGGACTTTGAGGATCTTGAGGGAGGCGGGGATGTAGGTGTACTGATCCGGTGCTATTTTTGAAAGAAAGTTAGCGCAAGTGCAGAAGGTCAGACGAAACGAAGGAAAACAGGAGAGTGATGGTTTGATATCGATGTAGGACGTCCTCAGAGTGTCATGTCTTCGCGTGCAGAGGGTTTATTCTCCTTACGAAAGTCATCCTCATCTTCCGAGTCCGACCACTCCGGCTCCACCATCCTCTGAGACACTGGCCGGGTTCTCAAACGCATTCGATCGCGATGAGGAGGGGGCTCCTTACTTGTGCGTGCGCGCGACCGAGTCATGATACGGTCGCTCTGTGGAACTATTAGATTACCTTTTACTTGGATCTGCTCTAGCCGCGGATCCTGGAGGTCGTAGACTTTGGAGAGGGCGACGACGCTGTGAAACTATGGTGTTAGCAACTGAGCGGGAGCACTGCTTGAATAGAAGGAGTTTCGATGACAATGCAGGACTTACTTCTGTCGAATCTCATCATATCCAGCAAAATTGATAGAGTTCTCCAACCACTTCGAGAGTACGAGCTGAAGACCATTTTCACCATTAACCTGCATCTGAGCCAAGAAGTCGATGACCTCCTTCGCGTTGATGAGACTCAGCCTCGCAAAAACGAGAGTCAAGCTTTGGATGAATTGTGCTTGCGAAGCACTGCCCAATCGGACAGCCACCGCGGTTAGCAGTTGAGGTAGATACGGTCCTAACAATTCACTCCCGGCCTTTTCGACAAGCTCGGCTGCCAGAGCACCAACCTCAGAGGCTGCGTTGTCGTCAACTGTCGGGGAAAGAAGGCGATCGATAATGACGAGAACGGCTTCTAGGCCTCCTTTGCCGCTTTCTTCGTGCCACGCAAAGAGCTGTGTGTGATCGTGCATGATGATATTCTTCACGGCAGTGGTAGCGGCCTTGAGTAGTTCCTCGTCGTGTGAGCCGAGTAATAGGCGGTTGAGCTTGGGCATGGTGGCCTGGACAAAGCCTTGAGGTAGAGGTGTAGACCCATGTTCCGCAAGAACGGCAAGAAGCTCGGCAGCCAGCTGCGGTGGGTTGTTAGCGTCAAAGCACTTATATCTGTGAGGCATAGGAGGTTAACGTACATTTGTTAGAGCATTCTCCTCGGTCAGGCTACCAATATCGAAAGCTCCCGTGAGTGATGGCAGGACCTTCTCACACAACTTTACATAGGCCTCGGTTCCAGTAGCCGAAATCGTCCCTGTCACCTCCTCAAAAGTCTCGTTCACGAGCATGACTAGCTGGAAGTTGCCCGCGCCGTGACTCGCGATGCTGAAGAGAAGATCCAAGCCACCACCAGTGAGACAAACACTGGTATCGAGCAAGATTGCATCTCGTAGAGTTTCAACGAACGTAACCATCAGATCGTCGCATTCGGCCAGTTCCTGTATGTCTTGGCTTTGAAGATATGTCGACAGCGCTGCGATTATATTATTCTGTAAAGGTAGCGTGATGGCTGGCGGAATAGCCTGGAGATAGAACTGCAGGGCTCGGATGCAAGACACCTGAACAACATCTGACTCGTCATTCGTAATGGCATGGAGCGAAGCCTCCAGGAATGAAGTTGAGACTTGATGGAGGCCATCGCCAGAAGTTCTTGTCAGACTACCAGCCACCAAGTAGCCTCGTGCCCTCAGGAAATCATCAGGCTGTTGCATTGCGTAACGGATAAAATCAATGAAACCATTGGCAGCTTCCGGAGCAATCTGCTTGTCGACGTCTTGAAAGTCGCACAGAAGCTGGTTGAGGACGAAAAGGACCGCTTCTTTAGCTTTCCAACTCTCCGTAGTCGAATATAAGGTCCGAGTGTAGGAGAGGAGACCTTCAACCGTAGCAGTATTCAGCCATTCGCCGAGCTTAATAACTAGGTCTCCACACGCAGTTCTCGGAGTGTAATTCGCCGTGACACTCGTCTCCTCAGATAGGAAAATATTGACATCCACGTTCCATAACCCCTCCTCTTCAGTCGTAATCTGAGCATACGCTACAGCGAGTTTCATGACTTCAGTGACCCAAGTTCCTTCGGTGTTTTGCGCTGACTGCAGCTGCTTTTCTAGCTCCGATCGAACGGGCGGAGCCCGCAGACAGGCCTGCATGAAGTCGAGCTCTTCCAGTACGAGAAAGTCCAGCGTGTACGGTAGGCCGTCGGCATCTTCCAGTCGGCTTTGCCGCTCCCCTTCTATGTACATCTCGTGATAGGCAGCTTGAAGCGATGATAGCTCTTCCCATGTTGCAGAAAATAGGGTCGGGGTATGCGGAGATAGCGTGGAGGCGAAGACGGATCGTATTCTCATGAGAACCTGTGCCAAATGAGTACGAGTTGCTTGCAGGAGGGGTTTTCAGATAATCTTACCTTGACAACCTGCATCTTGAGCGAGACGAGGCCTCTATAAGTCTCTGCAGTTCCATTGTCTTGATTCTCGTCCTCCTCGGATGGCGGGGGAGGCAGCCTTGACTTCATGACCTCGACGAAAAAAGGAAGCCACCCTGCCAGGGCCTCATCGGCGAATGCCTTGACCATGACCTTGTGGTCCTCCATGACCATCTCTAGGATATCAAAACAGCCTTTGAAGACAGAAACTGACAACGCCCTCAGCGCAGGTTTGCGCGCATCGTTGACGGCTACGTCAAACACGACCTTTATCAAGTCTCTTGCCACGCTGAAGAACTGCTCCTCGTTGAAGCAATCATCAACGAGCCCGTCTAAGACCTTCAGTGCCCCGTGTATTTGTCCGTCGGTCCCAGTGGGAATTAGATGTAACAGCTTCGGCAGCAGGTCCGGCCACTGCTCGGGGAAATCGGCATTGGCAATCTTGCTGACGACATAGCTGGCCGCCGACTTCACTTTTCTATCCTCCCGATCGCTCGTCGCCAGCTCGAGCAACGCGGTCCGCACCTGGCCCTTCTCTTCATCTCGAACCAGGATCTGACCCTTGAACTCGTCGAATTGTGGTGACCAGGCGGCGAGGACAAATGTCTTTAGGTAGAGCAGCGCGGCTTGCCGAATGTCGAGGGGGACGGAGTCGTGAGAGGCGATCTTGATGAGGCCCAGAGGGAATTCGGGGTGGCCGTAGAGGGACAACAGCTGGGTCTCTGCAGACTTGCGGGGTCTTTCTGAGGATGATTGTGTGGCGGACAGCAGCTGCACTAGTTGCTCCTCCATGGCGCGTGCTAGTATACCGTGTGGCTGTGCCGCTACGAGTCCACAAAGACAATGGAGGATGGGAGCGCGCGACGCGTGGAATTTATGGGGTGTTGGGAGGGATCCGAGGACACTCCCGTGGTGGGGTGAATTGGGTTCGGAGTGAGGTTGCTGGTGGGTCGAGTGGGAAGCGGAGAAGTTCGCAGTGCAAACAGAGCGATGCAATGGACGGTGAGCAATGGGAATCGTCGCGTCGTGAAAGCGAGTATTAGAAGTGGTGAGGCGATGCAGAGTTGGAGGAGGAGGAGCAAATGGAATTGGCGCGTCGTTGTTGACGTTTGGCTCTCGAATAAAATATTGGCAGGGACTACCTCCGCCGCAGTTCCTTCGTCCTTCACCTCACTCCCACCCAGCAATCGAATACGAGTCACGATCCTAGAATCTTCAAGATTGGCTCTACCAAGACGTTCAAATTGGTCTCGCAATGTGAGGCTGAGGTTATGGGTGGCACGTGTTAGATGGGAATTTCTTTGCAACCAGTGCATCCGTCTCTTCGCAACTTCGTAAAGCATCTCGATCTATCTTTGCAAGGCTTGACTTCTATAAATTTCTGTATCTCTCTAGTCAGCTTCGATTCCGACTGGGCTCAACATAGTTAAGCCACAAAACCTCCTCACTCACGGAAATCATCTACCGACGTCAAATTCCTCCATCTGGGCATCACTGGTCTCTCGCTCTGACAAAACATAGCAAAGGCTATCTATTTCATGGCCTCTCTAGATTTCTGTTCGATGTATTACATCTATAAGTGCTCAACGTGATCAGAGATGCCAAATCTGTAGCAGATTTAATCAAGCTTGAAACACCTATACTCCAAATGGGAGCCTACATCGAAAATTACATCATCACAACTTCTCCTTTTTCTTCTCCACCGCCCTCGCACTCTCCTCCATAATCATCTGCATCCCGGCACCCGCCGCTGCCTTCAACCTCTCCGCCATCGCAACCACCACCTGCTGCATCGGCGTCATCGTATCCCCCGCCACAAAACACCCCTTAACACTCGTCTCATTAAACATTCCATCCACCTCCACATGTCCCCCCTTCTCTCTCGTCACTGTCTTTACCCCCAACTGCTCAATCAACTCCTGCGCCCGATTCACAATCGGCGGCTTACTCACCAAGAACCCCAACGTCACACTCTTCCCATCTTCAAACTCAATACTCACGCCCTGCTCGTGGCTCTTGCCATTATTGATCAGCCGCTTGGTCTTCCGCTCGTCAAGCTTCACGCCCTGCGCTTTCACCGTCGCGAGCGCCGCTTGAATCGGCACCGCATCACTAACGGGGCCATTACTGAAAACCGTAACGCGATTATCAAACGCAAGCGCCATCGAAGCCAAATGCGAGGCCTCCGGGGTCGCGAAACCCAGGATCCCAATGGGCGTACCGCGTTGCTCAAACTCGTCACATCCAAGACACTGATAACTAACCTCAACACAGCATCGCCCCATTTCAAAGTAAAAATAAACGTAAAAGGAGGTCCACATACATATGCCCAGGCCAATTCTCCCCAAACCCCTCAATCGCCGGAAACACATCCCTCGACCCCGTCGCCAGCACCAGCTTCCGGCCCACATACGCCTCCCCGTTCTCGTCACGGATCTCGAACCCGGGGAACCCGCTCGCCGTCTCTTTTTGCACCGCGTCTATGATTTTGGCGGACGCGAACTGGACGTGCGGATACCGATCGAACTGCGCGCGGGCGGCGGCGCGGAAGTCCTCGGGCGCGATGTGGTCCCGCGACGGCACGGTGTGCATGTGTTTGATGCCGGCGTTGCGATACTCGCCGCTGTCGACGAGGAGCACGGTGCGGCGGACGCGGGCGCAGGCGAGGCCGGCGGCGAGGCCGGCGGGGCCGCCGCCTATGACTAGGACGTCGTAGATGTGGGAGGACATTGGTGGGTTGAAGAGGTGTAGGTTTGGGTGGTAGAGGGAGTGGTGGGAGTGTGACGAGTTGAACGTTTGGAACAGTTTAAGCCCTTTGGAATGGCAATGAGCTTTACACAGAAATCCTAATAGAAAGACGCGCGCTCTGAGGAACATGCTATATAGGTTAAAGGATATGGGCGTTTACTATATATACCTACTGCTGTCTCGGAGACTTTAGTAGTATGCTGACATGAGGAAGTTCAGTCTTTCCTCTAGGAAATACTAAATAAAAGATTCAAGCTGTCACTGTTGTAGCATGCTCGGAGCGTATCTCGCATAATCGTACCTACTCACCACAATGCCTTGAAGTCCCAAATTTCCATAGTCCATGTAGCCATATCGCTACATCACCCCTTCAGGCCTTCCACCCCCTCATACCCTAAAACCCCCAAAACTCTCCTAGTAGTTTCCACCTCTCATCACACCTCTCCCCTTCCCCCAGAAACCCCAAAAATACATCCCACCGCTACCTCAACCCCAGTTCCTCCCGCCAGGCAAACCCCCCCCCCCCCCTTTAGCCCGTTCCAAGTCTCGCTAAACTCCACCTACCTTCACAACGTCACGTGCCACCATACCCCCACACCAGCCCCATGTAATCTAATCTCCCCATCCCTTCCCGCATCCGTCAAGCCGCCATCCCCCATCCCGTCCCACCCCACGCCAAAACTCACCAAACAAAGTAACTCTTGGCACCGGCTCCCACACCGCCCCACACGGGGGCTGCTGAGAGGTGTTGAACCCAGATCAGTGTTGCGCACCCTGCCTCGCCGTCCCAGGCCCCAGACCGGGGGGGGGGAAGTCTGAATAGAGCAGGTCTTGGCTGGCTCTTCCAGAGGACCGAACACCAATGGGCGTTAGGATGGGAGAATGGAAGCGGTAGGTCTTGGCGCCCCTGGGGAGAAGTGTGGAGGGCAGAGTGCCCTGTGGGAGAGTGTGAACGTGTGGCGGGTGCGTTGGTACAATGGGGCCTGTGGGTCCGGGCATGGGAGTGTCGGGATCGGGCAGGTCTTGGCTGCGCTTTGGTTGGGATGGGATGGGAGGGGAACCTAGGAAGTGTGGAGGGCAGAGCACAGCCGTGGCCTCTGCAGGTACCCTTGTACATACGGTCAGGAGGCAGGCGTGGAGCTGGGGCGCTGGATGGATGCGGTAGGTCTTGGCAGAGGGCTGATTGTGGCAGGTCTTGGCCTGCCTAGCGTGCACTGGAAAGTGTGGAAGGCAGAGTGGTCTGGTGTCGACATTGGTGCTAATAATGGGATTGTCCTAAGGCAGCAAGTCTTGGCCTGGCATGCTTTTTGAAAGTGTTGAAGGCAGAGCGCTCTGATGTCGACCGTCGATGGTCGACATCCCGCACATCTCATCTAGCGGGTGGCTTGGGCTGAAAAGTGTAGATAGAGGAAGACGGAATGCCTCAATGTCGACCGTTGACGAACGACATTTGGCAGATCTCAATCCTGATACGGCAACTCTTGGCAGGTATATTAGGTGTATTGTTCGGAAGTGTGGAGGGCAGGGTGTATCTGTGAGCTAATTATGGATGAGTTTAGAAAGATGTAGTTCGATGAATTTGTATGTAATTGTCCCTTGGGTAAATAATAAGCGTGTATTAGGCGTGGAAGAAGAGCCGTGAGAAATTCGCAGGTCGGTTCACGTCACGTGAGGGGCAGGTTAGATCTACGACCGTTGATATCATGAAAAGAGACCAGCGACGCTTCAATTTAGACGTAGCTCTTTAGGCACGATTGAGATATGCATACAAGTGTAAATTATTGCAATGTATTGTTCGTCGTAGAGATTAGTGTTTTCAAAAAAGGAGTAACGCCCTTATCATGCAATATAAATCTCGATACGGAATTTGATGCCAAGTACTAAGTGCTGTTACCATAACTCCGGGTCTGGATGTTTGAATGGTCCGTCTTGGCATTAGAGGAGCTAGCCCAAAATGCGCTTCTGGACTAAGGACTAGACGTTTGACCGCGAGACAGCGGTTTGAGGTGCTAGTTCACTCGCAGATCCCAAAACCATAAACGTGAGGGGCCGTAATTTGTGATGTTCCGGTAAACACAGCGTCTAGGCCCTGATTTGCATTACCTCTCTGTAGACAAGTTCGTAGAGCTTGGACGCGATTAAGCATAGGGGATATGCTAGGCATAGCCGCGTCTAGAGAACTTGGGAATTTGTCAGTGTGGTTGGTTCTAAGCGAGCAATATAAACGTGGGAAGGCATGGCCTGATGCAACAGCTAACCGAGTTTTGGGCTGCTGAAGTAGCCTCTTTGAGACCTCTTCCCTCATCTTTCGGGCCTGTTAGCCAATTAACCTGACTCCAAAAATTAAGTCATTGTTCAAGAACTGAATCGTCATCTGGAAGGAACGCCGGGTACACTACGGGGCAAGTAGCCGGACCTCATTTTCCTAACTTTAACTCCTTTGGGACTTGGTCGACAGAGTGTTCTATGTCTCCGCGCAGAGGTCTCTCGGGACGGGGTTATGCTTACGCATGCATGCCCACCTCGCGGCTATTCTGGGTGGCTTGCTTCGGATCGAGATCCAACGACGCGAATGCAGCTACCGGGTCTCATCTGCGTGTTCTAGTGCTGCAGTAGTATAAAGTTCTTTGGCTTAGCTGGAATGCAGGTCCACGTCTTGGGCTCGGAGAGCCTCCTTGATGAATGTATGGGACGAGAATTTAGCGATCTGCGCATGGTGGATCATATCATTGGAGGAGCAGTAATGAGGCGACCAGAAGGAGGTACGATAAGCCACCTTGATGGTGTCCTTGGATTGAAAAAAGTGTGGTAGAAGACGTGGGCGTACGGGCCTGGACGAAGCATGAGGGGTAGATGGGCTTTGGCTTAAGTAATTATGGCGAGCGCTGAAGACTGTCGGCTCAGAATTATATGACCCGAGGAAAAGACCGTGGGATTGCTTACTTGCCCATAAACGAATCAGCTGCTGGCATATCTTGTGTCGGACCTGAATGCTGTGAGAAATGAGCCTCGTTGGCCCTACTAGGGTTGTCCCCTACGCGTCTAACCATCATCCTCCTCCCCCACCTATTGCACTGCGCAAGGCTGCTACCCCACGATGTCCACCATTTTAGGGAATCTCAATTCCTGATCTTCTGCGATGACGGCTGGGCTTGATAGGGCGGAGTGCTGCTGAGGTATTTGAGACGTAGCAGCCGCCGTGAGGCTTGACGGTGCAAGGCGCTGTGAGCGATAGGCGTGCGGGAGATGGGCGGAGAGCCCATTTCGCCAACGGCGCCGTGATTCTAGACCTGTGTCGATCGATCACATCGCCTACTAGCTTCATCGGCGATGAAACATGCAGCCTCGGCGCCCGGCACAGACAGCCTGTCTCAAAAGCGCCGGATGCTGCAAGAATTGCAATGGCGAGGCAGACCAGCACGTGCCAGCACTAATCCGAGTCCGCAGGCGCTAAGAGGTGATGTCGGTGGACCCGAGCATCGACGATGCCGCGGGAGCCTCAAAATATTGCCGCATGACTTGCCACACGGGGCGGATAGCGCTCCAGTGCCCCGACGGATCCTGCCTTGCAGGTCGCAGATGGCGGAGGAGGGGGTGAAGTGATTGGCCCGGGCTAACTCCGAGATAGAGGCGGAATGGTGGGCGAAAATAACGTCCACCTGCTCATCACTTCTGTTCGTCCTCGCAGCAGCGCAGCAAATTTCCGCGGGTGGTTCGATGCAAGGATGCAGAGAGGGATTGGGCTCGGTCCAACTCCGAGATGGAGAAGGAGAGACGTCTCGTCTTGTCCGAACAACAACAGTGCCAGGCGACACAGAGCTAGGCGGGAGGTTGCGCCAGGTGTGTCTATATTCCGCACTTGGTGTAGGTGCTGGGGGCGTGGGCGGGCTGCCGGCGGGGGGCTGTATGGGTGCGGCATGCGACGCCGAACCAGTGGTAGCGGGCTAGGCGCGCTCTATCCAACGCCTGCGGTGCTGGTGGGACCCGGGGACGGTTTGGAACGTGCGAGGAAGACGCTCCATCCCGAAGTGGTGTCAGAGCGGACCCCAGAGGGCCAGCGGCGAGGGCGGAGAGGGCGCGGCGCACCACTTCACTGGCGCGGAGCCTGCTCCAGCTAACGGCAAACAGCTAGTGCGTGTGCAGTGCTGAGCCTCCCGGTGCGACGAGTGTGTGGCGTAGGGCAGCGCGCAGGGTGATACGCCAAGCGTCTCTCACAAATCGGCCGACACGGTCGGAGTGAGGGAGTTCGGCGGCGACGGGCGCAAGGCCGGCCTGGACGTCGCCGGCATGAAGACCAGGAGACATGGAAGCGTCGGTACCTGCACGCTGCCAGTGCCCGCTCAAGTGCTCTGCGGCCGTGAGCCGCTACCTTGCCCCCCAGTATATACCCTCTAGGCAAGGCCTCTCCGCCTCCCGCCCATATATGCCCAGCACACACGCAGCCAGCATGCGCTTGCAACCCCCCGTTGCCCGCGCATGCCCTCTGGCACGTAGATCCCCAGAGCGTGGCTACAGACCCGCAAAGCGCCGGGCCATTGCGCAGCCTTGTCTTCCTTGTTTTCGAGTATGTGTGTTCCGCCGGCTTGTGTCGAGCATCGCCATCGTCGCCGCCACGTTCTCAACCTCAACGAACCGTCTTGTTGGGGAGCCTCACTGGGACCAGCCCCCCACAGCCAGCCCGTCTGGTGCGACACTGCCCGACTGTCCATTCTTCTCCTGCGAACCGTGAAGCACACCGCCTGTTTTGACACCACCACTCCCCCCTCGTCCCTGACGCTGCTCCAACCCGGCCACCATGAGCCACCGCGGCCTCGCCGACAGCCCCCTTCAGCCAGCCCCGCCAGAGCCCGCCAGAGGAAGCAGGGCCGGGCCAGGGAAGCAGACAGAGGCCCTCGCCGCCTCCAAGCAGAAACTGCAGAAGCGAAAGCAGATCACCGCCGTCGCCTGCCAGGCCTGCCAGCAGCGGAAAAGCAAGGTATACAGACGTCCACACCGCCCTCGGGCGCAATGGGAATCCGGCAGGGGCTGATTGGTTGCCGTGTGTAGTGTGATGGCCTCCGTCCAGCGTGTTCGGCGTGCCAGCAGAAGAACAGGACCGACTGCTATTACGACATGAACGGGGACCAGCGCAGGACGGCCGCACTGAAGGAAAAGATCAAGCTGCTGCAGGACCATGGCGAAGAGCTGAAAGAGATTCTGCAGATCGTCTGCGAGACAAGTGACAGAGACGACGCCATAGATCTCGTCAAACGACTCCAACAGGCCAATTTCCGCAACGCCACCGAGATACTGAGCATCTTGAAAACCAAAGTATCCGGCCACACACTAGACGCTTCGTATCGACGTGACGAACCCATCGACACGGACTGTGAGGCCGGAAGCCCACTGTTCTCACCAGGTGTGCCGTGGACGCCATCCCCACAATCGCCCGTGTACTCAATTGCAGAAACACCTTGGGCATCAGAGGTAAGCCTTCTGAGCATACCGAACACGATGTTGCCGTGTTGAGACGGTGCCTCCTGATATCTCTTGCATCGTCTGTTGGGATATCCGCGAGAGAAAATAAAGTTCAGACTAAGAAATGGGACGAATTAGGCTGACTAGTGACAAGACGAAATGGAACCCACTTAGCACATATGTTCCGAGTCCGTCGGAAACCTCGATCCCCATGTATGCGGCGTCCTCCCACTCATTCCAGGCGCCGTCTACACTCTTGAGTAGTGGACAACAAAGCATTGAGTGAGCGAACCCGACTGCATCCTTATTATGAGCGAAAGCTGACAAGACCAAGGAGCTTCTGCGAACCATCAACGAGAAACAACTCGCAACCCACCAACCAGACTCAGAACCAGCGATTCACCTGGCAGAGTAAAATGGCAGACGTCACTCACGTACGTTGCTTTGCCAACACAACTGAGCCTGTAAGTCTTGACGGAACGCTCAGTATCGATGGCATTCTGGTTCCTATCTACCTGGTACGGCCTGTGTCCGGCAAGTACAAAGATCTGATGAGCGAGCGGCTCCAGTTGTTCGTGAAGCAAAAGCGTCAAATGATCCATGATGGCTGGTCAGTTGAGCAGGTACTAGGACCCCTAAAACTGTATCCCCCTGTGAACAACTATAACAGCATGACGGATTCGCAGAGCATGACTCCCAATGTGTGCGAGTGGGTCGTCTCGATGATGAGCTGGATGAACATCGACCGACATCCTGAACGAATGGCCATGACGCTTTTAGGCGTTCTGTTCCTCACGGTATGGAGTACTCCTATCAAGGTCATCAATATCTACTAACCCACCCCAGTGGGCCATCGTACCTACTGAGGAGAACTACCAGGCCATGCCTGCCTGGATGCGGCCAACTCCCAGCCAGATCATCGTGCCTCATCCCGCCTGGATCGACTTGATTCCATGGTAAGACCTGTCACCTACCTTGCGGCATATCCCCTCGCACGCCACAGCGTACTAAGCTCCCACAGGCCTGAAATACGCGACTTCTTCATCCGCTACGCCGACCAATCACATGGCATGGAAGTTCTGGAGACCTTCGTCTCTAGCCTCTCTGTCAACTGGAACTTGCTGCTCTCTGATGTCGCCGTCCTGATCCCAAACACGAATATGTTCGCGCTCAGCCAGTCCTTCGAGGTATATATCCGTAACCTGGACAACTGGTCCCTCGACCCGGCCGTCTTACACGTGTATCCAGACCTCGCAGGCATGGCGTGGTTCACCCCATCTGCCAACAGCTCGTCGGGGCTGGATAAGATGGATGGGCAGTATATGTTTCCATGACAGTAACTGCATCCCTGGCCCTCTTGTAGTGTTTTATCCCGTTGTTTCAGCACTTTGTACTAGCTGAGCATTCAAGGCGCCTGCATGTGGTTTTAAGCCATTGAACGTGGGCTGGGACCACGAATTGTTTGACGACGCGTAGGGTCTTGGGGACTTTTCGCATCTCCGCTTTCGCGATTTGGTTCCTCGATTTTTCGGTACGAAGTTTCGCTTTTCTGTCGCTTCGTCTTTAGCAAGCTCTGGAGTTCGGCGGTTGATTCGATGCGGGAGAAGAAGGGGGGCTTTTAAAGGATGAAGACAAGAGGTCTACGTTTGGGATGGCGCGACCCTTCTGGGCGCGCTTTCGTTACAAGAATAGCGAGAAGCGCTCTCGCTACGTTGTATGAAGATGGTATATCGGTGAAGACTGGCGCCTAAATGGTAGAAGTTTGGTACACAAGTGGGCTAGACGCGCTCGGGTGGGAGGAGGTCTGGTTGAACGGCCGGTCTAATGACGAAGAAACGAACGAACGGTATAGCACCCCATTAGAGGAAGCAAGCTCGTTTCGGCGTTTACACCAAACAGCAGCGCAACTTTGCTGGCGGTTCCGGTATTTTAATATACTGAATATCAACTGGCTGTCTGAAGTGCTGCAGCCAAGTGCAAGGATAAATGCGGACAGGTAGCGGCCACCTGCATGCGCGAGGAGCCTCCCGTCGGACCGATGGGTGGGTAGGGGCTAGGCTCCATTAGCTGGAGTGGCTGGAGTGCTGGGACGACCTGCGTTGAGAGGAATCCTGCCTTTCTTTTAGTGATACGAGGAATCTACCACGAGTGGCGAGGAAAGTATGGCAGTCCGACGGGGCTCCTTATACCTACTCGAGGTACCAATTGCTCCATCCCTATCCAGAAGCTGCGAGGCAGCCAGCACAAAGAACCTCCCCAACGCAACCAAGCAGCCCACAAACCTCACCACCAAGCGACCGAAAGACCAGCAGGTAGGCCCGGACCACGGCAAACATAACAAGTATCCCATTCCCCTCATCCCTTATGGTGAGTCCAATTCGACTCATGGCGCAAGAAAAGGATCCCCTCGCGAGACGACCCCATAGCTCACAGCCATGGCAGCCGGCCCTCTACATATGGCCCCACTGGAGCCGTTTCCACGCGCCCCCTCACGCATCTGCAGAGAATTCATCGGACATCGCCACGAGTGTCCGCCTCCCCGCCTCTCTTCTTGCACGACAAGTCGACTTCAGCTACGCGGACCCCTAACATGCACCACAAACCGCTTGGTAGAGTCGCTATCTTGGATACATCGGGTCCGGACAGGTCTCACAACCACCTCATGAGGCACTCAGTGCCTCACCAGGCCAAGTCTTGAGCGTAGGGGGACACTTGAACCTCAGCTGCCGGGGAGGCGGACTTCGCGGCGACGGGGAATGGCGCCGAGATGTGGATAATCAGCTGTTGTGCGCTTCGTACCACATCAAGGAGCGTGGATCCAACCACGCGACAATGGCCTGCCTTTCACAGCATGCTTCTTGCGCACCCAAGTCACCTGGCTCTCGGCCTCAGGGGCCACCACACTGGGCATCGTGAACTACTGGGAGAGCCTGGAACATGGGTACGTTCGCGCCTCAGGCTTATCAAGCTTACCAAACTGTGCTCCAAATCCCAACATTTACGGATTTGTACGGCTACACCGTGGCACTGCCACCAGCTCATCTCGTCGCGATCATATCAACTCACCCCGATCTTGGATGGCCCGCTTGGCTACGGACACGCCTCTCGAGAAATGCTTTGACAGACGCACGCAGCGTCGGTAGTGATACAGGCTCAGATCCCGCACATCAGCTCTGCTGCGCAACGGCTGCGCAATGCGATCCGCGCTCCAGAAAGCGTCCCGTGGCCAGTAACACGATGCGTCCATGGGTCCCTCGGCCTCGACTACGATCTCCGCTCCCTCGACCAGCGCAGCGAGCTGAGTGTCCTTTGAGCTCCGGCTCGTCGACCTCCACACCTTACTCGACTGCTCCCAACAACCACGCCCCCACTGGGTGACACCGAGTGGCGCACTGATTCGACCGATGACGCGAATAACGGACGGATAACGGGTTGTGAAGGGTGGATCAGGACATCGAAAACACGCAGCGATCATCAAGAATGGAGAGGACCGGCCTTATCAATCACAACCGATCTATGCCTTGACCCGTCGTGGCGCAACGCTCGGACTGAGGACTTTGGGAACACCGTACTGAGCCGTCTATAGCAGGCGAATTCACCCGCCTACTATGAACGTACCCTCTAGCACCATTTCCGCACGCACTGGCTCACACACTGAGAGGTGTTATTGACCTTAGATATCCAATGAGTGGGCACGCGGCGGATAAAAAAAGCCGTACACCAAAACAGCTTATCCTCTTCAGAAAGCAATTACACCCCAACGCTCTGAAAGAACGATACTATTAAAGTAGACAATAATAATCTTCAAAAGCAGATCTATTCGTCTATGTACGTTTTATATACTTCGACTGAATAGTGGTGGCTGTAGACTGCTGTGCTTCCAGGTATGTTTCGCTGACCTAAGTGATTTTGGTGGTTTGGTGTAACTACGGCTTTTTTTGTCCCCCGCGTGCGGTACAATAGGTACCTTGCCCTTCGAAAACTCCACACCATCTTCGGCGGATCGGCCCGGATCGCCCGGCGCGGCATCGTGTCTAACTCGCTAATCTAGATAAGCTGGATCCTCATAGTTCAAAAACCCGGCTGTGCTTGGGTTTGAGATCTATCGTTAGCAGCAACTTAGACCTGTGTGTTGTACCCTTACGTAGATTTTGAGGCTCCCGAAGAGCAACCTTGCTCTGCAGAAAAATACAGACAGGGTCAATGCGCATCCCGCATGCCCCAGGGTCGCAACAAATCTCTACAGATATCATGCATTCGTGTCTCCGAGCTCTAGCTCTCTCACTTACTCTCTCCCCCACCCACACAACACGCACACACCTCGAGCCCACGTATGTTATTGAGAGAGAGAGATCCAGCACGTGACCGGAACGCCCTGCGTACGTCACGTGTCCACGGACGCCCGCATCGATAACTTCCCACCCACCACTGAGATGCTCTGATACATATCTAACTACCAATAACTAGCCATCCCGAAAGCGCATCCAACTACATAGTTAGTCGCCTAGCTCTTCCATCTCCTCAGACCTCCTCAAACTCGTCAGGCTATTCTCAAAACAGATCGCAAAACCGCTTCAACATCGAACTGAGTCGTGAATAAATTGCTATCATCTAGCTAGACAACATAGACAATCCCCGAAATATGCCTCCTCTCAGTGCTCGCCACACATGCAGCGTACGCGCGACGGCGTAGCCAAAAACTAAAAAAAACTCCAGAGACAATGCCAGCCCCCAGTATGGGTATCCGTAACCGTATATCTTCGCGCCAGCAAAAAAATCCGCCAGCATAGCGCAGCCAAGCGCTGTATTCCAACGCCCTATATCCATGCATTGCCCCGGCGCCTCAAGGAAAGGCCCAGCGCAGCACTAAACTCAACAGACCCTTATATTCATTCCCCACCTCGCCTTTTCCCCCCGTCCCCCCTTCTAAATCACCGATCCTCCTTATCCGCGCGCCTCCCGCCCCGCTGCCTCGTCGACTTCTTCCCCTGCACCGCGCCCTCCTCCTCCTCCTCGTCCCGGCCCTTGACCAGGTCCTCCTCGAGCCCCCACTCCTCGCGGTCATACCAGTCCTCGCCATCGCTCATCTCGCCGACGTGCGCCTCGGCCTTCGCCCACTTGAACACGTCGTGCCGCATGCGGTCCGCCTGCAGCATGCCCATGAACAGGTCGGTGGAGCGGTGGGCGATCTGCTCCATCTTCTGCACGACGGCGAGCAGCATCATGCGCGTGTCCTCGGCTTCGGCGGCGGGCAGCCCGTAGTCGCGGTCCGGGATGATGTCCAGCGGGAACTTGTACATGGGGTGGATGGGGTTCAGCGTGTCGGGCGGCGAGGGCGGCGGCGACGGGGACTTGGAGACGTGGGCGCGGGCGCGCGTCGTCATGCGGTGCGAGGCTGGCTGCGAGGTGGTGGAGGAGGCGTCGTCGGCTGGCGGTGAGGGGAGGTTGCCTTCGGTTTCGAGGTCGTGGTCGGAGTTGTGGGGGGTGGTGCCGTTGACGGTTGGCTGTGGTGTGTCTGCGTCGGTGCCGTTGGGCAGCTGGCTTGGTTCTGGCACGTGTCCGTTTGCGCCGTTCGGCAGCGATGAGGCTGAGTGGACTTGTGGGGCGGTTCCTGTTGTTTGGCCGTCGCCTATGATGACGTCGGTATGCGATCCATGTGCGCTTTCGATCTCCACCATCTGCACGTCCAACAATGGAACTTGTCGTGGAGCTGAGGTAGGAGGGGGAGTCCGGAGGCCCGCCGGATCCATTGAGGCCTCTGCGGTCGTGCCATTGCCCCATGAGTGCTGCAGCTCAGACAGCGAGTTGTTCCTGGAGGCAGGGGTTGTCGCAGATCCAGGGCCGTTCGTCTGTAGGCCTCCAAGAACGTACTTGTCCGTTCCAGTCTCCATCAAGCCGCAAGGAACCCACGTGTTGTCCCCTTGGAGCTTCGAGAGAAAGTTCTTGGCCTTCCATTGTGATGCCAACTCGCGGCGCGAAATCGCTCCCGCTTCCTCGGTCAGGTGGGTAAGGTGTTTCGAAGTATAGGGAATCGACATGGAGGGGTGGTTGTGAAGTTCAGCGGCTGAAGTCAGTGGAGCGAGGATATCTGAGAATTGGATTAGGGAGTGTATTGTGAAGGTTTTGTCTGGGGGTTTTCTTACGCTCAAGGTGGATGTCTGCGTAGGGATTCTCCTCGATTGTGGTTAAGTCTTCCTCATCCTCATATTCGTCGCCATACTCCACGATGTCGCCATCCGGGTCGAATCGAGGTGGGTTTCTATGCAGGATGTATCTGTGGTAGCCAGCGTGTTCGATCCTCTGCGCGTGAGAAATTGTGTTAGCGGGTGTACGGAGAGGAGGAACGCGGGGCAAAGTCACCTTCTTGTACGGCGGCGCCTCTGCGTCGAAATCGGGCTTTCCAGGTTGCGCTAGTCCTGCCTTTCGCTTGAGGCTATACATGCGGTTGTTGAAGGGCGTTTCGGCTTCGTCCGAGTCGGAGGCTAAAGGTGAGGAAAGTCGGTCAGCCAAGAGTCGCAAAAAGACAGCACTAAAGCGGGTGGAGGCTGCTTACAGTCCTCTCGGCGCAGTATGCGCTTCTTCATGCTGAAGATTGTATCGATAATGTGCTGCTGCTGGCCAGCCATCGTGAAATGCGCCCTGGGGCAGCTCGTGGACAGGCGGTGCCGTGTGGGTATTGTCAGTGCCGAACGGGAGGGCTCCCGAGGATTTCCAGGCGCAGAAAGTGCGGCAGAAGGTCGCAGCAGTCGGCGAAAGCGTGGGCGTTATGTATGGGCCGGGTTGCAGGTGTGGTGGAGGAGAGAGAGAGGACGGGGTGAGGTTGGTGTGGAGAAGAGCTTCACCTGGGCAGAGTTCACGCGCCGCAATTATGACCGCCGGAATCCGACCGGCCAGTAGAATTGTCCCACCACGCCAACACCGTCACGAACAATACCCTCACCAGCAGCTCCCTGCTACTGTGCTCTATGCTCTGCAGTCTTGCTAGGCGCTGCTGAAGCTAGACGCAGGGCCGCATTAGTTCCTGGCGCTGCAGAGACTAACAGAAGCTGATGGCTGGGCCTGCAACTCCACCACCGCCCACGCAATGGATGCATATCCGCCCGAATATATTGCCCACAACCTCCCGCTCATAGTCCTCTCGGGCCTGGGGTCGACTCCGGAACTAGAGGCCATCCCGCCCGTCCAAGATGTGCTGCTAGGCCGCCGGTCAACACCCATCAGCTCTGAACTCCCCCCCGTCACGGGACAGCGCGCAGACCAGCTTCTGCAGGAGTTTCTGAGCACCGATGCAAGAGATGCCGCCTGGAACAATGTGACAGAGACTCGGAAGGGCGCCGTGAGAGGGTTCAGGATCCGGCCTGTAGGGAGGGTAGGTCAGGCGCCCCGTCGTGAGAGACTCCCTACGGTGTGCTCACTACAACTCAGGACTTCATGCTGCCTCCTCGAAAGGCTGATCCTCCCGAAAACCCAGATGGCCTTTCTCCTCCTGGTAGCCCAACCGTCGCCCCTACGCCTACATGGATCCTCCACTCTCCGATCTCACCGTTGTCGCCCGAGTCTGCAATCTTTCCCGATGGAGTCATGTCGGTTGCGTGGACCATGAAGCACCAGTACTATATACCGTCTTTCTTCATATCTTTCTTCGACTTCACGTCAGATCCGAGTCGGAACAGCCTGCATGACAATCAGCTGAAGACAGAGATCAACAAGATCAAAGGACAGCTCCAGATCTCAGAACATAGGACCAGATACGCTGTAGTGCTGATAAGTGACAAGTCTATTCTGGAGTCTACCGATATTGAAGAGAGGCTGTCCACCATCAGGAGAGCGACGGGCTTGGATGCTACGAAAGGCCTTTTTTTCCTGCCTCCAAATAGCTCACGCGTGGAGCTTGCTTCATTCGCCCAGATGATTGTCACCACACTAAAGCCCTTGACTACAGAGTACTACCGTGACCTGACAAAACATGCCAGGCGGAAAAAGGGGCGCAGCCAAATACCAGCACCGACCGCACCGCCAACTAGAGGCACTTCACAGACTCTGGCACAACAGGGCTGGGCAGTCCGTTATGACTTCAAGCTAGGGATCTTCGCCGAATTTCGCCAGGAAATGGATGCTGCGCAGAGGCATTATCAGTCTGCGCTAGACAATCTTTTTGGACCCGACGGTGTGTTCGAAACAACTGCCAATTGGTCGCCAAGATGGGACGAAAATCGATTACTAGCGGATGCTATTGCTATTCGGAATATTCGGTGTCTTCTCTGGAACAAGCTACCTACTGCAGCGGTCCAGGCGTGGCTAATCTACAAGAGCAGAGTGCGGTCCCTCTTAGATCGGCGAGGAAAGGGGACTGCTAATTATGGCTGGGAAGCTTGGGAGTCGAGATGGGCGAAGGCTATGTCACAGCTTATTCAGAGGGCAGAGATGCCTATCTTCGCTGTGAAAGATTCCCCCCAAGACTCCAGCGTCGTGTCTGACCGCCCTTTCACCCTATTCTCACCCCCAGAGAAAGTCGGAATATCGCAGGGCGAGAGATTATCACCTTGGCATCTTCTTCACCACTCAGGATACTGGCTTAGGCTATCCGCTAAACATGCTCAAAAGCGTAGATTACTCGCTGAAGATATCCCAGACGAAGACCGTACGCCCCCAGGTCTTTCTCCCGCTACGCAGGTCAGCCACCGGTACACTACTTACGATCACTATCTCGTCCCGGAGCCGCATGTGGAATATGCCTTACCCGAAAACAAAGGCTACGATCACTGCAGCGAGATCATTGATATTATGAACCAAGCTGCACAAGAGTTCTTCATGCGAGGACAGTATCGTGTTGTCGACCAATTGAACCTTGATACCGCAAAAGAGCTTATTCACGCCAAGAGATACGCCGATGCAGAGAGCGTGCTCAGGCCCTTGTGGGAAGGAATGATCTGGCGGAAAGAGAGGTGGTACCCTCTTGTTGGTGAGGCGACTTGGGCGCTTCGAGAGTGTGCCATGCGTGTGCAAGATCCCGAGATCTTACTCGCTACTGAATGGGAGCTCCTTTCTAGTGCTTTACCACCCAAATTAGGGCACTCGCATAACTTGATGACTTGTCTGGACGCATTTCCTGTTGAAGAAGGTGGAAAGCCCACCGTGACAGTTAGTGCTGACAAGATCGTATCTTGCCGTAAGTTATCCATGCGTACTTTACAGCCTCTTCTGATCTGTCGCCACAGTTGCGATTACATTCACATTTTTTGAGGGAGATGGGAATGTCGGCGAGCCTCTGCCCTCGCAGATCGCCGTGACATCGAATGCCCGATTAGAATCTGCACCGCTTACACTATCGAAAATTATGATTCGGTTCAAAGGCTGCCTCAGCGAGGTTCAGCTTCTACATACAGCCTCTACTTCAGAGAGAAGTGACGGTCCTGCACACTACTCCGTCATAAAACAACTCGACCTCGAAGAGACGGCTGCAAGCTCCCGGTCGGATCAGAAACCACTCTGGAGCGGCGGTTCGGACCTGACAATATATCCTGGACAGACCAAAGTATTTGCATTTGCCATTACGTTTCGCGATGCCGGCGAGGTGAATGTTCTCGGTAGTATATTAGAGATAGAAACGGAACGCTTCAACCTGGTGTGCTCCTCAACAATGAACGAAGGCGATGTCCTACCCTCCTGGTGGATTAAAGGATCTTCCACCATCAAAGCAAAGAAGCTTAGCAGAACATCTGGCATATTCGCTCAGATACATCCGAAGCCTCCTAAAATGGAAATTGCCCTTCCGAATCTTCTGGATCACTACTACACTGATGAAGCCGTAACACTTGACATCGAAATCATCAACAAGGAAGAAGAGACTACTGAAGCGGTTCTGGAGGTCAGGCTCCTCGGACTGTCAACAGACACGCTAGAGTACTCTTGGGTGCCCAATGCGAACTCCGCAAATAAAGAACCTGTCAAAATCCCAGCTAGCGATTCCGACTCTCAGATCGAGCTTCCAGGGCATGTCGTTGGTCGACTAGAACGGAACGCGAGACGGACAGAAACGATCAAGTTCAAAGCGCCTGACATTCCTTCCGGATATGCTCTCGAGATCAAAGTGTTGTACCATCTTCTCAGCGACGAAGACATTCCAATATCAAAGACGCTCACCACAGATCTCGTATTCGATGGTCCCTTCGAAGCCAGTTACGAATTCTCACCCCGAGTTCATCCTGATCCATGGCCGAGCATGTTTGAAGTTCATGAAGGCGAAACTGGCGATGCTGTGTCGGGTGTCGCTGGTGGCATTGCCCAGAGATGGCATTTGAAGGCTAAGGTCGCTTCATTCGCCGAAGAAGTGCTGATTATTGAAGAGACGGGTCTGGAGCTGCATGAAATTCACGGCGGCGCCGTCTGCGATATATCCAAGGAGTTCCCCTCTGAAGGCATTGATATCCTTCCCCAAGAACTTCAGGAGCGATCGTTCAGCCTCGACATGCGTAAGATCAAGTTCGAAGAGCGTCGATCAGCAGCTCTCGACATGGGTCTCAGCATCACCTGGAGGCGGAAGTCGGAGAACAACTCGGATAGCCCTGCCATCACATCCGTGCTTGCAATGCCCCGTCTCCACCTCCCTAGCAGCGAGCCACGCGTCCTAGCTAGTGTCACACAGTCTTTGACTGTCCAGTCTTTCCTGACTCTGCACCTCGACTATACCTTGGAGAACCCGACGACGCACTCTCTCACATTCGAGGTTAGCATGGAAGCGAGCGAAGACTTCGCGTTCGCCGGCTCGAAACTTCAAAGCTTGATCATGTTACCGTTCAGCAGGCAGACAGTGCACTACAACCTCGTGCCTATGGTCAAGGGTGCCTGGATCATGCCGCAGTTGAGGGTGGTGGATCGGTACTTCAATAAGACGCTGAAGATCCAGCCGACGGGCGACATTAAGATGGACAAGAAGGGCATTTTGATCTGGGTTGACGATGACGAATGAGTCCGGCAATTAAACGGTTTGGGTAGTTCACTGTTGTGTTTGCTACCTGCTTCATGTAATGAGAATTGCGAGGCGTTGTAGAGAGGGACATTTCCGTGACGGCATTGGTTTTGGTGGAGTCAATTGCGAGTGGCTAGGCGTCTACATCAACATGGGAGCTATGGCATACTAAACGACCATTGCCTTTCCCGTAATGCTCCAAAAATCGTGGCGCAGGCTGTGATGAACTTGGTCGAAAGGGGCTGATGACTTATTACCCGGTAACGCTCTCCTTCTATATGTCTACAGTGCTACTTCCCGACCTTCTATATCGGACCTTCTTTTGTATGCGACAACCTCCAGATCAATAGCCATTAGCAGGCCCCTCCACAGATTATCTGCCAAGTCCTATCTGATGCTATCACATACCGTCCTGATTCTCCCTTCCTCCTCTTCTTCCTCTTATCATTCTTCTAAGTCTCATCCACCTGCTACCCTACAATCCTCGTCTATTCAAACGTCATCTAACTCTTCAGCATCCACACCTATCGCCATTCCTATCTCCGTCCTCCCCATCCTCGCCCATCCCACATCACCTCCAAAATGCCCCATCCCTCCCATAACACCACCTCTCCCAGCCCGAACTCCACCAACCCCTCCACCCGCGTCAGCATGGTGCACGCCATCACAATCCCCAGCATAGTTCTCATGCTCGAATGCCTCGCCATCCGCTTCTACCATCGGCGCCTCACCTACATCGGCCTCGACGACTGGCTGATGGCATGCGCAGCCGTTCGTCTCCCCCTCTCAAAAAAGACCCCCCTCCCTATCACTACAACCCCCAACCCGCTAACACACCCCCCAGATCCTCTCCCTCACCATCGCAACTCTCGCGCTCGTGAGCTGCAAATTCGGCCTGGGCTACCACATCGCCGACCTGCGGCCCGAGTGGGAGCGCGCGTTCAACATCGTCAGTACGCGTCCAGCCCTATCCCCACTCCCCATATCCATCCGCCCCGAGCTGACGTAGCGGGGCGAGGGCAAGATGGCCTTCACATCCGCCCTCCTCTTCTGCATCTGCGTCGCCCTGGTCAAGATATCCGTCTGCTGCACGTACCTGCGCCTGTTCCCCTCGCGCGGCAACCGCGTGTTCTGCGGTGCGGTGGTCGGGATGTGCGGCGGCCTGGCGGGGGGCGGGGTGGTGCTGGTGCTGCTAAGGTGCTGGGATGCAGCGGCGCGGGGGAGCGGGAGGTGTGAGGGGGCACGGGGAGTGCTGCTGGGCAGCGCGGGGCTGAATGTCGCGGCGGATGTGGTGGTGTATCTGTGGCCGGTGGGGCGGGTGTGGGGGGTGCGGTTGCCGTGGCGGGAGAGGTTGGGGCTGGTGGGGGTGTTTGGGTTGGGTTGTGTGTGAGTCTGAAGAAGGGGGGGGGGGGGGGGGGGGGGGGGGGGGGGGGGGGGGGGGGGGGGGGGGGGGGGGGGGGGGGGGGGGGGGGGGGGGGGGGGGGGGGGTGGATAGAAGGGGGGTAGGCTGACGGTGGGAGTCTAGGGTGCCGGTTGTAGGGGTTTGTCGGATGTGTTACCTGGAGGCGTACTTTCGCGACTATGAGACTCGGAGTATGTCTGACTTCCCCTTCTCTTCCTCCTCTGATCTTATTGCACCGCAGCTCGCTCTCCAACTAGCTAACTTTCAATAGTCGACGCAGCAATCGTCTACGCCATTGCCATTACCGAAATGAACGCCGGCATTATCTGTGGTAGTCTGCACAGTATCAAGCTCGTCCTTGCGTTCTTCTGCCCATGTCTGTTCGCTCAGAGAAGGGGAAGAGAAAGCGAGGAGCAGCATGATAGCGATATTTCTTTGGTCGCATTCAGAAGCGTAAGGCGGAGAAATTACGCGGAGACTGTGAGCGGAAGCGAGAGTGTGTGGTGGGAGGATGGGGATGGGGAAGGGGAAGAGAGAACAGGAGACGCTTTGGCGGTGGAGCCGCGTGATGGAGACACAATGAGGCGTCCATATATGCAGCGAACGTTCTCAGATCCCCTGCAGACAGCGTCGATGGTCTGGAATAGGCTTTTGGAAGGGCGGTCGAGGAGTTGGTAGGCCGTTGAGCCGGCAAAACAAGAGAATGCTGGATCGTGCGGTCGTTTATGATGTTCGGGTGTAGTGGTGCTTAACGTGATATTTTAGTGTCAAGGTCTTCGGAAGATGGATGTGTTGATGGTTACTTCGGTCACCTTTTGTGACTGCACAGCGTGCACGCGGAGGCTACCCTGCGTCTATGAAATTTATATCTACGCGGTTGAAAATGTGAAAATTTGTAACCGAGAAAGTCATATTCGAGGTAGGGCTCCTTCGATGGAGTGGGGACCAAATAAGATGGATGTCTTTAACCACGGCTTGATTTAAGAGCTCTGGAAAGAGAATGTTCTGGGTGGTTGCTTTTGCTACTTGTTGTAACTACGTGCTGGCTACGTGGAGGCTACGCTGCGTCTACAAGAACAACCATCACACGGTTAGAAATGTGAAAACTTGCAACTAAGGTAGTTATCCTAGAGCCGACTCGCCTCGGTGTACTAGACAACGAACAGGACGGAGGTCTTTACCCAGGCCCTAATCTAGGAGGTCCGGAAAGAGGATGCTTTCAGCAGTTACTTCTGCCGTTTCCACCAGGTCCTCATCGTAGCCTTCGCGTGGACGTCTCGTCTATCAAAATTTTCGTCTACACGGTTGATTTGGTAAGTACTTGTAACCGGGCAGATCGATTTGAAGCGGAATCTCTTCTATTGAGAGTTCGATAAGCTAGGGGGAACTCGTTGACCTTGACCTGATTTAGAGGCTCTGGAAATTGAATAGTTCAATTAGTTACTTTGGTCGCTTGTTGTGACTAGACCATACCGACATAGAGGGTACATGGAGGCCACGCCGTGTTCATATAACACTTATCTGCGCGGTTAGATCTGTAAGTATTTGTAATTTTTGTGAAGTTTATTAGGCCGAAGTGCTTCAATTAGAGCTCCAGCTAATCTAGCGTAGTCTTTTGCTTCTAGTCTAATTTTGCTTTTTTAGAAAACGGATGTCTTCAGCGGTTGGCTTTGTTCGTTCTTATAACTACATCGTGGTTACGTGATGGGTATATGACATACCCCCAGCGCCTAGTAACAGAACGTCTACGCGGTTGGTTGTGTGAGATCTTGTAACATCAATAATAACTTCTTTAGGGAAGCTCTTCTGCTAAGATTCTGGTCAATTCGGCGTATCCTTCTACCTCTAGTCCGATTTCTCGTCCTTTGGAAATCAATTTTTGGATGGTTGCTTTAGTTACTACTTACAACTACGCGGGGCTTACTCTGCGTCTCCTCTCCAGAAAGCCCATATATGTAGTAAGAAATGTCAGAACTTATAACATGACGGCTGAAATCCTTCACGGAAGCGATTCGGTGTACTTCATTCTCGATCCAGCTTTCATCTCTGCCCCGGTTCTGATTTCGGTTCCTAGAAAATTGTCTTCAAGGTAGTTGCGTGTGCAGTTTCTTGTGACTACTACGTAGCGTAGACGCATCGTTCATGGAGAGGCTATGCCGCGTCTATGAAAAATCTAGAATTCGATTCAGCTGATTAAAAATGTAAAGTCTTGTAAAATCACGAGTGTATGCCTTGATTGGAGCACTTCAAAGAATCATACTTCTGTTTTTACTTCTTCCCTTTCCCTCGTCCTGATTTTGGGGCTGCGGAATTCTGACTTCGCAAAAACCGTGCAAATCAGGACCTGATCCCAGCCCGACTAGATGAAACCGAAAGCGTTATTCTAAAGCAACCACGTAGAGGCAGAGAAGAAGCGTGACTAACTTATGATTTGCACGTTGGCGCCCACGTTCTTACGTAAGCAAGCTTTTGTCCAATCGTTAAGCTAAGCAGCTAGACCCTATTGGCTGGTTCTTATCGATAAATTGTGGACGCAAATGGAACCAACGCGTAAAGGATACCTCAACAGCCACAAATTGTGGGACAGCAAAGAAACCATGACGGTATTCGTCTGAGGTAGGAGTATTTTTGGCCACGGTTTTGGAAAAAAAATTATACTGCGCCGTGAAGATAGAGGGGGTCGCAGGCTATCCCTAGCAAAATCCGCGTCCGTCCACCTGGAGGGAGCTTCGATGATTCTTTTTCGAGAATACGGATGTAAGGGGTTTCAAAAATGTACGACACTTCAGACGATATTCCGTAGAAGCAGAACAAAGGGGGAAGATGTGTCATGGAAAGAATATAGGTCTAATGTAGTATCGGTAGGCTCACGACCTCCAAATAACACTCACTCTCCACTTCCTTCACCCTTCCCTCCAATCGCCATCAATCTGCATCGGCTTCTCCGAATCAGGAAACCAGCAAGTACTCGTAGACCCGTTCCCGTTGCCCATCTTTCCCCATTACCCACATCCACAACACCATCCCCTAAATCCCACTCTACTATATCTACCCCTCAAGAGATATTTGGACAATTTTTTTCGCCCCACTTCTTCACTTCTGCTCTCTCATCAGCACCTCATATTCTAATCTCGCCCCCGAAACAACAATTTAGGAAACTCACTAATCGTTTCGAAAAGGTTGCACTTTTTTCGAACGCACGCCTTTATCGCCTTCCCAAATTTTGCGTCTTTACAGAAACAATTGATATCGGACGTGTCGACTGAGCAGGTGGCGGCTTTGAGGGCGTCAGGGACGCACTTCTGAGCGCACTTAGGAGCATCGTTGAACGGAGGCTTGTTGATGTCGAGTTTGGCGGCTGCGAGAGCTGCGAGAGCGAAAAGGGCAACAATGGTGAGGAGGCGCATGGTGATGCGCTAGTGGATGGATATTGGTGAGGAGGATTGGAGTAGCGCAAGGATAATGTAGGGGCGATCAGTACTGGGCTGTTGGGAGAGCTTTATATCACGCAGGTACGGAGGAGTTCGTGTTCCATGTGTCACCACCCAAGGTTCACACTTATGTCCAGCCCCACGACAGCTCAAAATAAAAATTCCAGCTCGACTGTAAAGGTGTGGTTCCACACGCTCAAAAGATTGCATTCACTCTTTCGATACTATCGTTTGGCATTATTTGGGGTGGATTTTTCGCTAGTGGCTCCAAAGAAACGAACTCCTTCGTAACTCTGGCTCTGCGACGCCGAAATAAGTGCCGGTTTGGGGCTAGGCGAGCATTTCGTTGCTACGCCAAATACGTGTCCCTAACTTGCTTAAAAGTAGCCTAGAAGAGGCCCTAAAACAGGATACACTAACCAAAAATAAAGCAGTTAGACGCCTAAAGGCTGGCTAGTCCTGTAAAGATGTCCGTAGGCTTATAGGGTGACCACAAGATTGCAAACAATTACGTTTTCACGTGCTTGACCGCCCACCAAAGGCCTCCAGAAAAAGGTGGGCGGGCGCAGAAGACGGTAGGTAAGATTCACAAAACCTTAAGTTTTCAGATAAAATCAATCTTTAGAATAGCCAGCACATGGAATTCCGTGTGGCCGACCCATGGGGATAACCCCTGGAACCCCTCATATAGAGCAGATCGACCGGGGAAGTAAGTTACACGACCTAACGAACGCTTATATAACACATATATATATGGAGCTCAAGCTCTAAGCTGGCACAATCTTCTCTGCCGGCGGCAACCTAGCCTCATAATCCAACTTCAACAAACACCCCTGCCCCTTCTCCAGATTGACCGTCCAATTCACCTCCCCATTCTTCTTCAGCTTCGCCACCGCACTCCCCCAATTCGCTGCTTGATAGTTGGTGCTCACATCCATACTCCCGCTGCTCCCCTCCTTCGCGCTCACCCCCGCTGCAACTTTATCCCCCTCCTTCGTCAGCCCCTTCGGTGTCGTGATGACGATCCTGAGCCGCTCGTCTTCGGACACCGGAACCTGATCGAGCACGAGGATCTCAACTGGCGTCGTCTTCGTGTTATTGAGCCATGCGGAGCGCGTATACACTTGCGCGGATTCTTTGTTGAACATGAGCCCCTGCGTGCTGCGGTGCACGTTCGGCTTGGGGTAGTTGACGTGGATAGACGGATCCACACCCAAGGGCAAATCGAAGACTTGACCAGGCGAAACGCGCGGGAGGGTCATGTTGCCTAAGAAGGACCCGTCGAGGGTAACGCCTGCGCTGCCCTTCAGCAGCGTGACGGAGCTGGATGGGTTCCGGATCTTGGTGCGTAGGAAGGCGGCGGCGCGGAGTTTAGGAACGCAAATGTGGGAAAGGTGGATGTTTGACGCTTTCAATGAGGCTATCTTGTGCCGGCGGGTTGTGGAAGATGGCGTGATGGTGCGGAGGCCGGGAACGTCGTAGGTGGAGGAGAGGCCGTTGTCTTCCCAGGAAGACTCCTCGAATTCGACCGCGGGCTCGGCAACGGAATAGGAGTCCTCGATGGTTGGGTCGTACGTCTCTTCCGTGGTGGACAGGGCGTCCATTTTCTCGCCTCTCTCGAGGACAGATCTGGCGGATGCGAAGAGCGATGCCGGGCCTGACTTCTTGCGTCGTCGTGCCATACTGATACCTCGACTTAGCTCAACATTTGCTTTCGCGACGTTTTCCTGTCCCGCTACCTGAGAGCTCTGCATAAAATGCGAGCCGTGGCTGCTGTACATGTTGCTCCCTGATCCGAAAGGACCTCCAGGACCAAAAGCCGAGGATGATTGTTGCGGAGCGGCGCGTGCTTCAATGATTTCCGGAGCCTGTTCCTTCTCCTTCTTTTTCCTCTCGTAGGGAGTATAATCGTCGTTCAATCCAAAGACCTCACTCCGCTTGAAAGAGGAGCTGCCAATTCCGAGTCCCTTACGCGGCTTGCTCATCTCTTCGGGGCTCAAGAAATCAGGGTCATTCCTGCTGTATCTGTTGAGCTTGACACGCCACGCATGCATGAATGGAACTTCATCATCAAGGCCTTGATAAGAAGTTTGCGACGTAGAAAAGGAAAGCTTTGCATCTTTCCAAGTTTCGCCGGTCCGGTTCAGGAATTCGGTGCGGTAAACGATCGTTGCTGATTTCTGCTGGGATGAGATCTGGAGATCGTAGCGGGGAGTCCAGGAGGCTTCTTTGGTCACGTAAGACAATGACAGCGAGATGTTGGTATCGGAAGTAACTGAGTTCTCCTTCCCAGGCTCCAGTACCGTCGACTTCCCAGCGAGTGTAAGTGTGTCCGTCGAGTTGCGGCGAGAGCTTGAAGGTGTCATCTCGCCAGACGCAGTTTCGAGCTGAAGAGTGACCTTATACACTTTCTTCGGCCAGTATCGTAAGCGCTCTTGAATGATATGCATCTTCTCCTTTTCTCGCTCCGCCTTTTGAAGATCCTTCTTGCGCTGGATCTTATCTTTCTGCTTCTGAAGCTTACTCTTCTGCTTTCTTCCCTCCTTCCCAGCCTTGAGCTTTTCACTTTCCTTCCTCGCAATCTCTTTGCGAAGGTCTACCAGATCCTGTGTCGCAGTGGTATGAGCCTCGAAAATCTTTGCTCGATCGTCCTTATAAGTCACCAGCATTTTTGAGACGCTTTCCGGGCTGTTATGCTCCGCAGCCGGCGTCTTGGTGTAGCGGTCCAACGCTTCCAAGCGTTTGTTAGAAGAGTTCTGTTCCTCAATGGCTTCCGCTACTTTGAGACGAAGCGTCTTCAGCTCTTGGGCGATTTTCTGCACTGCTTCGGCCTCATCGTCGCTGTCTTCGTACTCGTCGGATGACTCGCTGCTTGAGTCGTCGGAGTCCTCTGGATATGCTTCTTCGAAGATGTCACGGTTTGGGACGAGGTCCACGGTCATATCGACGATAGTTGCGGCGCCGCGGCCTTCGATCTGGATAGAGTGCTCGTCGACCGTTGGAGTCAGGCCATAGATCTCGACCTGGTTTGCTCCGGGTTTCAAGATCACATCGTGGATGTCTCGAACGACATGCGCTCGGGAGGGGTACAAGATGACTGACTTGGTAGGTAGATCTCTGATCGAGATCACCTGCTTGGGAATGTCGGATGCCATGATGGACGGGAAATTCAATCAACGAATGCACTCAAATAACAATGAAACTTGACCAGAATGTCCGAAGTTTAGATTGATGACAGCAAAATGTGAGATTTCACGTTGCCTTTATAATTTGGGGCCAGGCAGCAAGAAATGTGCGCTCATAGTGGTGTGGTGGAGTCAGCCTTGGGGGTCAAGGTTCTCCGCCGCAGCCTAACGCCACCTTGGCCATAGCTCCAAGCTACCCCTGAGAACATCGTGGTGGCGCAGCACATGCTAGAATTGTCCAGGTGGAATTAAGCGAATACATTAAAGTCTGTAAATAATGCGGCGTAAAAGGGGCTCGACTGCGCCAGGCTAAAGACCAGTAGACGAGACTAGGAGACATACTCTCGATTCGTTATGATCTAACAGGCAGCTCACTAAGACATCGATATTCGTACGCTTCTGTATATCTTTGATATCGAAGCAATGAACATGACCGAGCTCTACCCGTTGCTTCAGTGGCATAGCTGGTGTCATCCTTTCCTAACCTGTACCCAAGTTCTCTCACGCAGTATATCGTTTCTTATGACGCCAGGATTCTGATTGGTGAACGTGTTATCACTCTCCAGAACATGCTCGAGAAACAGAGGTTCAAGTTGCAGAGTGAACTCTCCGTTACACCTGACATGTTTCACCGGCGCAAACAGAGTTCTCTCCTTCTCTTCTCGATTTCTGGCTCCTCCAAAATGTGAGAATAACTCCACATGTAAGGTCTTAAGCTTTGCCATACTTGCAATGACACTCCACATTTGCTCCCATTCCTCCAGCCGATTAAGTTTATTTCCCCAAAGGGCAAAATTTAGTGAAAGAGAACGGACTGAAGCTAGACGGTGAGGTAGAATAGAATGCGAGAACATGATGACATTTTCCATTGATTCGGAACATACGTGCAACGTGTCTATTGAACTGAAAGAGAACTCATTTCCAGTATACAGCAGGTCGATTGCCTCAAGATATCTAACGTTTTGTCAGCTTTTGACGGGACATAGGCGCCGAAGAGTCCTCCATTGTGCGGCATGTCAATAGCAGCGGGAGAGGGCTGTTCTTTTCCCCAACCGGAATACGTGATCTGCAAGTATCCCCGGCATCGCACCTAGCGTTGATGCATGGAGTGAATGCAAGCCGCTGCAGTCTAGGAATTACATCCCCAATTACGCGTGAACGATAATTGGTCAAGCTCCAGGTTGGTTGCATATGTAGGCATGGGCTGCTACATAATGCTTCGCGATATATAAGGACACGTAACTCTGCGGAGAGCTTGCAAAAAAGCGGCGAGGATGATTGATTCGAGGCACTAGCTGAAGGTTGCGGGTTTTTTTTTGCTAGATTGCGGACTTGAAGGAGCCTCAATGGAAGGCGACCGTGAAAATTCCTCTGTCAAAGCTCTTTTCCTCCTCAAGGTCTCTGCTGAGCGCTCTTCAAATTCATGTTATAGGCGACGCTCTAACTCCTGAAGCTCTCCCCGCGTTGGACCGTCGATTGACCTAGGCATTTGTGTAGAGCAGAAGATATGGGAGGAGTGACCAGCCTAGCGCGTATACTCAGTCGGTCAATCAATAATTCACCCAGAGAGTGAGATATGCAAAGGTGATGAAATTTTGGATGAAAGGAAGTGTCATATGTCTAGTAAGCCTGAGCGATTGACCGAGAAAAGAAGAGCATGAACGATAGAGATGAGCCGAGTATGCGCTCAGTTGGGATGATCACAGCGTATACGAGTTGTTCTAGCATGAGGGGGAAGTCTGCGCGAAGTGGAGGGTATTCGTCCTAACCCGATCTAGCGAGCCTCGGTCTACCCCAGAGATTTGACCTCACCTCTACCTAACCCCGCTGCCATCAACATGAACTCCTCAAAGCCGGACCTACCCTCTCCTCCCCTTCCAATTGACTGGATGAATCGGGAAAACACTGCATACTATTCTAGATCTCAAGCACGAACAACATACTAACAGCTATGTCATCCGCCCCGAAGAAACGACTCCAAGCTCTGAGCGAGCAGCTCGTCAAGAAGCCAGAAGACCCGGGCATGTTTGAGAACATACCCAAGCTGCGTCACATAGCTGGGGACTCTGTAGGGCCGTAAGATAACCCCCTAAAAGCCCCAGATCTCTCAAGAAACCCCTCGAATCTGACGACATTACAGTCGACTAAAAGACAAAGTCGCAATCATAACCGGCACGCATACACCCCCTACCCCCTCCCATACCCAGCCCTGACAGAAGGGTCCAACAGGCACAAACTCCCCCATCGGCATCGGCCGCGCCAGCGCCCATCAATTCGCCCACAACGGCGCCCGCGCCCTCTACCTCTGCGACTACAGCAACGAGCACCTGCCCACCCACAAACGCGAAATCGAGTCCCTCTACCCCAACGTGGAAATCCACATCCGGCAATTTGACGCGGGCGACGAAGCCGCCGTGGCAGCCGTTGTGCAGGAGGCCGTCGACACCTACGGCCGGCTCGACGTCTTCTTCGCGAACGCGGGAATATCAAGCGCAAAGATCTTCTACGAGAGCAGCGGGGAGGAATTCATGCATATGATGAAGACGAATGCGTTGAGTGTGTTTTTGGCGGCGAAGTATGCGAGCAGGGCGATGTTGATAACGAGCGAGGGGAAGAAGTATCCGTCGGGGAGTATTATTGGAACGGCGAGTGTGGCCGGGTTGAGGAGTAATGCGGGGCCGACGGATTATTCGGCGAGTAAGGCGGCGGTTGTGTCGATTATGCAGACGTGTGCATATCAGCTCGCGGGCACAGGGATTAGGTGCAATGCGCTTTGTCCAGGTGTGATAGAGACGGGGATGACGAAGGTAATGTATGATGCTGCGAGGACGAGGGGGACGGTAGGGAAGATTGGGCAGCTGAATCCGCTAAAGAGGGGCGCGGTGCCGGATGAGGTAGCGAGAGTTGCGTTGTTTTTGGCGAGCGATGAGGGGAGCTATGTCAATGGGCAGGCGTGGGCAGTGTGTGGAGGGCTAAGTGCTGGCCATCCATTTGTTCCAGGGAAGCTGGCATAAGGGAGCAAAATCTGCCCGCTGCGGCGTGGAAAAAAGAAGCAGGTAGAGGTAGAGTCAAAAAGGAATCGACCCGAAGTGCTATACCCCTGATTTTTTCACTCCTTGACTCCTCCCAGTGCTCACGTGGTCTGGGAAAGATAATCCTCCCGCAGTCCAATGGCTGTTGCTGTCAAACCGTGACAGCTCACGAAACATGGCTTGGAAGTCGGTGCGGTGGCGAGGTTCTCTACAAATTCCCCAAAGCTAAAAACATTATGGTGTAGGAGATGGATGCAGCCAGCATTCAACGATGATGCTGTCCAACAGTATTCAATACCGCAAGAGACCATGCTCTATTCTCCAAATTAGTATAGTGCCATGATAGGGCAGTCGGAATGAGCATGTTCACGTGTATACAAAGATGTTCTCTATCATTCGTTCCTTATCATGATCAGCACCAATTGTAGTTGAAGACCACAACCGCGCACGAGACCGAGTTCTCCCATTGGGTGGGGGGGGGAAATGGGGAGGTGTTTTTGGATCCCACCACCAACTCTTCCCATGATTTTGTACATCTGGGTGTGTTTGATCCCCCTCTTCCACAGGTTTACACAAGATGAAGAAGAAACGTTGGTCATAGAAAGACTCTTATACCTCAAGGAAAGAGAACCATCAAAAGTCACACATGAAGTAGGTCCAAGATCACATGACCGGGTGTGTGAAATGTTTACTCCAGTCACCATCAGATTCCACATCCAGACAGTCTGATCGTCCTCGCTATTCAAGAGTGGATACGAGTCATTTCACATCGTCAATCCCGCAGAGAGAACTGAGTCTGACATTGCGATGAGCAGTGCGATGCATCGCGTTACACCCACACATCAATCATCTCGAGAGGTGAACGGAGCTCGAGCATCGTCACGCGCGCCTGTTCTCGCACGTGCTTCTGCCTTGGTTTGGTGACCAGTCTGGCAAGTCTTGGCCGCCAAGGAGACCCTGAGTGTTGAGTCCAGAGGAACTGAATTTTCCGCCCATTCGAGGCTCTGACCACGTTTTCGCAGCTAACTCAACAACCAGCCATCGTACTACAGAAAAAACACCGGGATTAGCTGCATCTCATCGGAGAGAATATTTCATGGGGTTTTGGAGAAACATCTCCCTTTTCTCATCGAAGTAGTGGTGGGGTCTGCGAGCAGAGTTAGAAAAAGTCGTGCGCTATTACCAAACTTAGGCCCGTGCGTGGTATTCGAATAACACGAAACTTAACATCGTACATTCTCCATCCATTTTCCATCACTCGTCAATACAAAAACTCCCCTAGCACGATAGCTTGCTATTCCCATGATATGGACGTAACTAACGCCTCGAAGAAGCGGACCGTCATCAACCAATGCAAATATCCTTCTGCTGCCGCACCTCCCCGAATGCAGATATCAGGCCAGCATAGTGCACAACACCAGCCAGCAGGACCATGACATGGAATATCTGATGGCTTGCGCCCACGAAATCGAACGCGTAAGGGTACCACCGCTCTGGTATCTGCGTCTTATTAGCGAGACTGATTGAAACACTACTTCATCTTCAAGACGTACCCTGGCCGCATAGAACGCAGCGCCGACTATGTTGAGAGTTCCCATCAAAAGCATCCAATCAAGCGACATACGCTTCATCTGGATGTCCATACCACTAAGCAATATACCGTGTGCGATAAAGATCAGTTGCTGATAATCCTAGACCGGCGTACATCATCGCTCTCCAGGTTCGAAACGTCGGAGATGAGAAGCGAGGATGAATCGTGAAGGTAATACAAGCACCGGCCATCACAGAAGTGAGCAGCCAGTAAAAGTTGCGGATAATGGCATCGCAGAAGAAGCCGTAATATATCGATGCGATGCTAGCGGACCACATCAACAGGACGATCCCGAAATAATCGAGCTGGTTGCCCTTTATCGCCCATCCCGGGCTGTGGTTCCAGACAATATGGCAACTATCTGGGCTCAGCAAAGTTGTCTTTATCTTTTGGCAGAAGGGAAAGAACTCACCTCGCAGAGCACACGAAGCACATCGATACCCCAAAGAAATATAGCACGAACAAGACGATGTCGAGGAACTTTGCATACTCATTGAGAGCGTACACATGATGGTAGAAATGAATTGGGAAAAAGGCGAACATCGCTGCCCCAAATATATGCGAGTCTATGTTGATCGTTTCATTGTGCCAGTGGAAGATGCTCATTACTGAGCCAAACAAAGAGCCTGAAGTTGGCCTGCTCTAGTAAGCTTCACCTTTAGAGATAGATTTCGAAGCTTACCGATACCCGCAGAGCAAGTATTCATTTTCTCTGGTCGATGTCTTAGAGGAACGGTCCCAACTTAATTATCATTAGTTGTGATGGGAATAGCTTCACCTACCGCTGCCAATCAGCTGCAGTATATGTCAGGCTCCGCAGTCTTTGCACTATTGTTTTTCAATGTCAGCATTACTTACGAATCTCTTCTATTGTCAACAACCGCTTTTCAAATGTGCCTTGTAGTGTCAATAGCTCTGCCGTTTCATCTTCACTCATCGACACAACAAACTCCGATTTCCCACCTGCAGAACCCCGCTTGAAAGCCATAAGCACGTCCGAAGGAACCATCTGGCACAAAAGAAATATTAGAAAGGCGAAAAGGACTCTACACGTGAGATGCTGTCTTTTAAACGTTGCCGCCGGACTCTAAGGGTGCGTTGTCTTCCTCTTTAAACCCATGGCACAAGGGGTTTGTCGTGTTCCAGGCTTGTGTCGGACTCGGCCACTTGCAACACGGCACAAGTCGGAGGTGGGCCCTAGTCAGAGAATTTACCGCATGTGATTAGCTAGAAGAGTTCCAATGAGCAATAGAGGGCAAAGTTAGATGCCCTTATATTCCTTTATTCCTTCCTTTGCACCATCGATTTGCAGGCTTAGAGCTAGCAATATATACACCCGAAAAGAGGCTTTATACGCGCTAAGCACCCTGGCACATGGTAGGAAGTGCCTAATCTTCTTTGTTACTAACCAAGGGAGAAGGAGGGGGGCGGAGTCGTGGATGAATTAGGTTTAGCCGTTATATCCCTGTCCACCTGGCCTTTGTTCACCCAAGTAAGCACGTTTCCTCTAAATACTGTGGTTCTGGAATGAATCAGTCAGCCTGGAAACCGGCAATGGCTGAAGCGGTCTATCAGGTTCAAGATACGCGCCGTGGCCCTGGTGCCTCAGCCTTGCTCAGCATGCTCAGCATGCTCAGCCTCACAATTCTGCCTCGCAGAAGTGTTCTTCGTGTCGAATAAATTTACGAAGTCCAAGAGCTCCCTTCGCAACATGCGTCGCACATTTCCAATGCTGCCTCTCATGCTACTAGAACTATGGCTCTTAAGCACCACGGCGTATTGCACGTACTCATCCTCGTCGCCGTATTCTCCAGCCTTTCAACGTCCCAAACCGTGTTTCCAAACTCCAGGCTCGTAATGTCGTCACTAGGACCTCCAACATCAAAGCCCACCTCCAACATCACAAAGCCAGAACGTACCTACCTCCCTACCACGGGTGCTTCCCCAGATCCCCTTGGTATAAACCTGATCAGCGGGTTTTATGGCCCCGGCTCTTGGGCGGGCTGGTTCCTCGCCATCACAGCGTCCTACGTACGGCTGGGCACGAAACCCGACGCAAAAATCGATCCGAATACCTGGCTTTTTCTGCTCGGCATGAACTGGGCGGCCATCGATCTGCTCCGTAACATCCACATCTTTTGGGATAGTAGTAGAGGAGAAGGAGAAACGGACAAAGGCCTAGGGCAGGTTGCAGCAAGTCTGTCGTTTGTCTACTGGGGGAGTGTCTACACGCTGCCTCAATTCCCCCTTGTCCTAAAGATCGGTGAGGGCCGCAAAAAGCCGCTCACGCAACGTCTCATCACGCTCATTGTCGGCCTCATGCTCCCTGCGAGCGCGCACACCGCAGTGCTCTTGTCCTGGCGCTGGCCGCCCATCAGCACCGGGACGCCAGAAACGTTTCTTCGGGACGTCAACATCAATCGCATTCCATTCTTCTATTATGAAGGCAGAGACAAGGACATGTACGAATTCGCCATGATGGGCGCGCTCCCCTTGGGCTGTCTGACCCTGGGGATTGTTCTGATTGGGTTGTTCAGTATTACGGTCGCCCACATTTATGACCGAAACATCTTGGTCCGATACCTCTTAGACCGAGCCGCGAAGCATGAAAAGGCTTTTTGGGTCACCTACTTCACCCTTGGAGTCGTTTTCGTTGCGCCTTTGACGATACTCCTGTTTGTTAAAACTTCCAAGTTGGTTTGGACATGGATGCTAGGCATATATGCCTTCCCAATCGTACTTGTCGCCTCGTCTATTTTGCTGTTCTTTTCTAGTTTGGGTTTTATCTATTTGATATGTGATTATTTCATTATTTCTCTGATTCAAGGCTTCAAAAATTTCCACAAGTCATGTTTCTTCATGCCATGTGCGCCGCAGTCAATCACGGAGTGGGATCAGGCTTACAGTCTTATGGTAGGCTTGGTGTTGCTCTTTGGCATCGAAATTGCGCCAGCGGTGATAAATCATAGGAAGGAATTGAAGGAATTTGAAGAGAACTTGCGTAAGAAGATCAACGATGGGATACGTAGGAGAAGTCTCGGGGAAGCGGAAAGACAGAGCATGGATATTACGAGCGCGAGAAATCACGGAATCGAAGGGGGTGACATAGAGATGGGGCCTTTGACACAACATGATGATGAGCCGGATGCACCGTTGGAATTTGGCACGCCGGAGCGAGCGACATTGTATGACGCATTTGCGGCCTCCGAGGAGGAATTTGGCACGTTCGAACACGCGGATGTGGATGTACATGTAGGCAGCCGGAGACGTAGGATATCTGGTGACAGATCTAGGACTACTACGGCAGATGATGGGGAGATAGGAGACGAAAGATATATGATGTCAGGTGGCCGATCTGGTGCCTAGGAATTATATTCTTGAAGATTGAGGAAACTTTCGTCCGCCGAGTAAGAGAGGCTCGTACTTCCGACCTCACGCTCTAAAAATTTCATTAAACGCAGCTAGTGCACTCCTGGCACAAAAAGCTCGTAATCGCAGCACCCGCATCCACAACCACCCCCTCCGCATCCGTGAAATGGTGGAGCGTCGCCTCTCCAGGCGGGTTGATGAAAGCATCACCATGCAACGTGCATGATTCTGCGGTACTAGTAGCCGTCAGCGTTACCCCTCTCTCAAACACTCTCTTTACTCTCTCCCTCAAGCATAAACAGTAAACTTACTAAGTAATCCTGCAAAAAGCCCCTGAGTCTACTACAATCGAGCCTACGTTCTTGTAGTACGGCGCTGCGAGCGTATGGCAAGTGTTATAGTCGTAGACCGCATACTCGCAGTCGCTAGTGGAGTTCTCGCCGGTGCAGAATTTGACGCCGCCCGGGGTGGCGCGTTTAGATTCGGTAGGGAGGGCAGCGGCGAGGGTGAGGAGAGCGGCGAGGGCGGCGAGGGTGAACTGCATTTTGATATCGGTGGTGGTGTTGATATGTGAGCGTTGAAGTTTTAGTGGATTAGGTCGGCTGAACGAATGAAGTGGTTGATATGAAGCGAGTGAAATAGTGATTGATCGCGGTTATTGAAATTTCGAGTCCGGGCTGAATTGATGGATATTGTTGATACCATTCACAAACCGGCTCCTCATAGGACTTATATAACTAGTTCACGATAAGGGGGCTCAGATGCTCGACTGTGCGTGACTTCTCCCCATCCTCCGAGACAGCCACGTCACGAACTGCTCCCTACAAGCGGTGAGGCATTAGTCCTATTATTGATCTAGGTAACTATCGCCACATTTCCCAATACCGATACGTCCGCAAGTACTATGTCTCTCGTGATTAGACAGCAAATACGAACGATTGAGGTCCCAGCATCCATCCATGCAGGGACAAAGCGAGGCTGACAGTGCAGCGAGCAGCGAGCAGCGAGCACCGAGACCACTTTTGTCATGGGTACAGAACACAAAGGGCGCTTCGTCGGTGTGGGGATATCGAGAGGGATAGTCGTTGGCCGGGAGCGAATCTGACAGAGATCGGACTGATGTGCATAGCGCTGCGCCACCCGTGTGATCCTTGACGTGGGTCTGAGTGACGATGTCTATTTTTACTTGCCCCACACGACACTTTGGGGAGAGGATCAACCTGGCGGAGTCGCGTTACTGGGGAAGGTAGCATTTCAATGTTCCTGGGATGTCTGGCTCGGGTGGAGCAAGAATTCTTCGCAGCAATGTCCACGGACCGTTGATAGTTGCTGGTTGAATCGTTGTTCCTGATTAGTTGATCATCCTAACGCATGTTTTGACCGTCTCTAGAGCGTGTGCTCGGATTCAAGGGTTTGTGGAGAATCGAGCGAAGGGTGATGTTGAAGGCTGGAGGTTGGAACAGAGTGGATAAGAAGTGGGGAAGTGTATTTCAACCAATCAGAGCTCGCCTGCATTCATCCAAATTCTACATTTGTACCCATCTATATTTGCTTCTCCTCGCCAATAAAGATGCAGTCCTCACACAGTTGTTTCCAGTCCGTATATGATAAAAATATGTCTCCTTGTAAAATACTAAAAGTGGGCAGGCGAAGTTACAGAAATGTCGAGATCGAGCAACTTCTCGCAGTTCTATCCGGCTATCATTCACTGCAACACAGGCTTTCTCAGATGCATATTGCTATTCAGGCATTTGAAGTGCCTATCAAGATTCAATTCAGCAAGAAGGTAGCTTAGATGTGCTGCTCAGCATAAATGAGTAAGTCAAACAAACGCAGCGAATCGAAAATATGTAATATAGTCCAATCACAATTCAATCACCGCTGTGATACATCGCTATGGAATCCAACCCACCTCGACTCAAATCCAAATTAACTCGTCGTATATATTGAATCTAGAGCACCCAGACCCACCCGTTTGGTTTTCAGACTTGAGAAGAAGATGGAAAAGAATAAGAACTGGAAGACCGTAAACGTTGAAATCGGAAATGGAAGAGTAGAAGAAATAGCTAGGATTGGGCATTCTCAAGGAATTGAATATACACACACCACCTTCACATGCGCCATGATGCAAAATAAAATATCAATTACCCGTCTCAACCCAGGCCCTAGAGAAGAAATGAACCGAAAGGAGTCGAATAGAATCGAGGCTACCTCTAACCCCTAGCATTCATCCGTGAGACGTCATGCATGACAAAGCCATCCCATCAGCTTCGTCGCTCATATCTGCTCATGCCTGTGCCATGACAGTCCTGGCACGCCTTTCGAACATCCAAAATCCGTGCCTCTTCGCCATGAACACAACCCTTACCTTTCTCGCTATACGCTCGCTATGTTCGCTATGCTCCCACAATCCCCACCCCATTCGTGTCCATCGGACTCCCGCCTTCACCAACTGCACCTCCAACCGCCCCAGTCCCACCGCTCCCGTTAGTTCTCCGCCGCCGTCCAACAAGCTTTTTCCTCCGATCTACCGCCTGCCCTGGTACCGCGTCCGCCATGTTCGAGTCCTCATCCCCCATCTCGCTGCCTCCTCCTTCTCTGCCGTCCCAGAATCTCCGCGTCTCGTCTAGATCTGTGATATCCACCGGCCGCATCCGTAACCACTTCATTCGCGGGCCACTCTTAGCTCTCTCTGAGACACGGAAGCCGTAAATGCGTGGCTCATAGATGTTTCCCGGCCCTAGACCTGGCGCCAGGTTTGACGGGCTGATGCCGTTGATAGTGAGGGGTAGAGGATTGAGAGCAGTGCCGGCTTGGCCAGACGCCTTCTGGGCAGCCTGTATCGCTAGGAGGGCATCTGCGGCGCCAGCGGCCGATTGCCGTACTGTGCCGATTTCGAGTTCGGGAAATGTCATGAAGAAGAGGCAGCCGAAGGTCGTACCAAAGAAAGCGCCGTCGACGGTCTGAAAGCGGGAGTTCGGGGGCGTGTAGACATCGAGGCAGCTAGGGCAGAAGAGCTTGACGGTTTCCGAGCCGGGCGTGTCACTGCAGCCAACGGGGAGCACTTTGCACAAGTTGCAGAACACGCGAGGGCATGTGCCGAAGTGCTGCAGCTCGTACTTCTCTGCCATTTGTTGGATCCCCGGGCGCGAGGTGATGTAGCGCTGGTGTATCAGGCCATATAATAACTCGGCGGAGCTCTCGATGACGCTAAGGTCGGATGCCATTCGCAGGTGTCTCCGGTCGCTGGCTCGCCGGTAGCCGGTAGGCTTGTCGTCGCCTAAGATGTCTTCGTCCTCATCTTCCTCGTCCTCTTCGTCATCTTCATCATCGTCGTCTTCCGGCTCCACATCCAGAATCATCTCTAGAGCTTCTTTGTACATAGGCACTTGTGATTGTAGGCCAGTGAGGTTGAAGTCGTCCTCGATAAAGTCTTCACTCACTTCTGCAAAGTATTCATGGCCGAGTAAGCCGCAGAAGGATGATATCCAGGATTCAGCGACCTGGGAAGAGGAAGACATGGTGTGGGGCGCAGTATGCGCAAGGTCGCGCTGCTGGATTGTAATGGGTTGGATCTATATAACAGGGGACTATCCACGGCGTGGACAAGTGCGAAGGGCCTGCTTTCGTAGGTAGTAAATACGGAGGACGTTGAGCGTCGGCGTGGTGAGGTGGGAATTGCGCGCGTGGGGGTGTGATGTTGTGGGCGTCGGAGTGGGGAGAGCGGCCTCCAGGGAGCGGAACGCGGGCTCGCAAAAGGGCCAGGAAGGCGCGGAGTCGCCAAAGGTTGCGATCGCAGAGGATCTCATGTAGTAGGGCGCATGTTACCAACGGCGGTCGCAAAGGCAGGGAGAGGCGTGGTGATACGGAGGTCGCTGAGGTGGCTGCGGGGTGGCTTGGGGTAGGCGTCGAGGAAGAGGCTCGGTGAATGCGGCTCGCGTTGCACGCCTGGCGTAACTGTGCAACTTGGAGGGGGCGGAAGGGATGCGGAGGGGGGCGGGTCCGTTATGGGTGGTGTTTGTACGAGTTTGGGAGATGATGAAGCGTCCCACCAACCTCGACTGTCATCCAAATTCCTCCCCTCCTCGTCACGTGACTGTTTTAGCAACATCAGTAGTCATAGAGCGCCAGTTGCCATACTGTGATAGGTTGAGTACCCGCCACTGCATTAGTCTTCTTTTGTGTCTCTCATGGCGGTCAGGTATTCCATTCAATTCTTTACTCCTTACGCGAGCGCTTGCTGGACTACGTAGGTATGTCGGAACATTTCACGAACTTGGAAGCAACTTTGCTAGATGATTGGGCTAGAAGTCGAACCATATTTTTCTCTACCAAGGAATGCCCGTGTCTCTATTTGTCGCCCCTAGAAGCTATCCCCTAAGTTCTGATCCGTGGTCAATCCCAACGCCCAAGGCACATACTAGCCATTCAACCACACCTAGATACCTAGCTCGACGAGCTATTCCTACGCCACAGATATCACGATACCCATCAAAACAAGTCCCTCATAATCTTTGAGAGTTCATCTTCATGCCCAAACAACGTCGGCATTAAGTCTCCTGTCCCCATATCGGCCCCAGACATACCGAAGCCGTTTGCCAGCATATTCGGATAGGACCCCGCGGCTTCGAAGAGATTCGTCAGGTCATTCGCCATGCCGGCTGGACTGGCATTCTGCAAGGGGCCGCCTTCCCGGCCATTTGAGAAGATGGCCATTTCGTCGACCTGGTGGCCTGCCAGACCGGCCATGGCAACCGCGGCGGTGGAATGCGCGTCGTCGGCAGATATGTTGCTCAGATTCAAGCCAAGCTTCGGCACGATCTCTTTCAAGCCTCGTATCGTCTTCCACAGCCGCTGCGAGACGTGGGAATCCGCCGATAGGCCACGGACGAGGTCTAATGCCATGTAGAACTCGTCCCGGCATTGGCTGCTGAACTGTGCCGGTGCATGGGAGACCGCGAGGAAGAGAACCGCAAGAGCAGAGATAAGGAAGTAATTGAACATGACCTGCTGTGTCTTGTAGATATCTGAGGTTTGGTTCGTGTGGGTCAGTATACGAATGGTATCTTTCGCAATGCTGACTACAGTCTGCGCGTGATCCATGTTCTCCACGATACTAGTAGCTGTGTGGAGGACTGGTCGATAGATGACTATCCGCATCTGGTTGGCCCTGAGATAGAGAGCCACCCGTAGGCGTGACACTCCACGAGTGCTCGGGGAAGCCTTCTGACCTGAATCTGGGTGTACGTATTTCAACGAGTCCGGTACCGAGCGGTGCCATTGGAGGATCTGGTAGTCAAGGTACCCTATGTCTTCTTTACTGATGTTGTTTTGCGTGCCATCAAAATTTGCGACAGATTTCCAAACTTTGCTCCCGATGTGGCTGTAAGCAACCATCAGAGTCAGGTATGGAGTCGAGTTGTTCTAGAGATCTGTTAGCGCATCCAAGGAATATGGTCTCCCCGGGAGGTATTGGGCTTACCGGCTTAGGCAATTGAGGATCGATATCAGAATCCTGCAAAGCTAGTCCAAGCCCTGTTCCGAAACTCCACCTCCTGTCGAGTACGTAAACTGCCCAAAACGTTCGAATGGCGCTCTGTCGGTCCTCTTCATCATGGAAGATGAGGTTGTACGTTTCACGGCGATGAAGGCCTAGCTCTAAACACTGTCGTGCTGCGAGTCCGCAGACGCGCCAAGCAAGACTCTCATCCGAACGTTCCAACTGGAAGTGATACATGCTTGTAAGCATGAGCATATGAATTCCTCTCAAGGTGACCGGAGCCAGGAGGGTCGTTTCAACCACCGTCTGGACATTCTGAAACAACTTCTGGCCGAGCTCGCTCTTACCATATCCTTCGAGGACCAGGGCACTCGCTAGTATGAGCTTAAGCACACTAGTCTGCTCGTCCATAATGGCATCCCCACCAGGTTTACCACTCTGCATAAGTCCTGCTCTACTCGCCGCATCGATGAAAGTAAAGAGCATTCCGGTGTATTCAGATATTTTCTCGTGGTCGAGGAAGGGATACATCATTCCCATCTCCTCATGCCACACATTGACAAGCCGTGTCGCTTCTTCTTTGCTTAGTGACCAGATAGGATCCTTCGTAGCATGCAGCACAGCTCTTGGTAGCCCAGAGCTCCCCAATGGGGGTGGAGATGCTGCCGGCGTTTGGTCTTGCGTTCCAATTTCCTCATCTATCCCTCCTGGCGGGAAGATCCCCATTGTCTGTAAGCTCGATTTGGCTATCCCGAGACTGAACTGAGAACTTGTAGGACCGTGGAATTGAGGGTGTCGAGCGTGCGAGTGGGTTCTTTTGTGACCAGAAGATGATATATAGCCCGAGTTCTGTGACATAGACATAGATCTGCCATGGTCGTGCCCGGTGAATGGTGTGCCTTCAGTATTTGGGGATGTGCTGACTTGGGTTCGGAGGGAGCTGATGTTCGCGAATAGCTGGTCGACTTGCTCTTGGAGCGATGATATATGGGCATCCATCTGCTTGAATTCCCTGTACTGGGTTAGCACTTTCATTTCTCACAGAACATGTATCTTACTCGGATTCCTTGAAGCTATTGCAGCAGTTCGGCGCATACATGCACTCGAGCGCGAGGTTTCCGCATCGCTGACATGGGTTCTGGCCATTGCACTTAATCTTCCTACGTTTGCATTCATTGCTGTCGAGAATTATTAGCTGCATTCCCGTAGCCCCATGTGCGCATCCTACCATGCGATTGAGATGTATCGATTGCGCTTTGCGCGCGGCTGAGGCGTGAGGTCGTCGTGTTTGCGTTTCTCGGGGCCATTTGTCGGACTGATACTCTCGCTGTCATCCATCGTTGACGACAATGTTGATGTGTTTGGTTTGATCGTGGTGTTCGGAATGGATTCCGCCTGAATGACACAGCGGAAGTTGGTGTTGAAAGTGTCGCGCTCGGGCCGTTTGGTGAATGCGGGGAAGACGTCTCCGCTTACGGGCCTTTGGTTGGCTGAATGCCAGTAATTGCCGTGAATATTCTATATGCACAGTAAAAGGACATTAGACTTCAATTCGACGGAGAAACTAACTAGTCTTTGTCAGATTAGGCACGCTCGTTTTAACACTCCTCCATCCAATGTTGGCATATCAAAACGAGCGGAGGATCCTATATGCTTTGGTCACAGATCTACGAAGAGCCGAGGGCCCGATTTGAAGCATCAGATCTTATGAATAACATTCAGGGTTCCAAGTAGACCTCAGTCAAAACGGTCCACGAGAAGGCTATCCCTCACGCGGAAGCATAATTGGAGACTCTAGCATTCTACACTTCCAATCTGCTCTGAGTTGCCTCTTCTGGACGCCCTGTTCTTGATAGTACTATTTGGGTGGTACGTATCAACAATCTAGATACTCTGCAGAGCATTCAGCAGCTGCTGGATTCCTCTCAAAGCAGTAGCTAACACAACAACAAGCGAATTTCGAATGAAGTCTCTAATGCCTTTAGGAGTAAGCCTCCTCTTCTTGGCCTGATACAGACCCGTGAACAGCAGAATCCAGCTGAGAATACGAGCGGTCTGTCTTAGCCGCCTCTTCGTAACTCCTTTGGATGTGAGTGTTATGTCCCAGTCACTGTACTTTGGAAACATGCATCTCCATGCAAAGTCGAACTGAGTATATCTGAAGAAGAACAGTTAGTACCTTACGCAGTCCATATAACGATTTCAGTGAACTTACGGGTACACGGTAGAGTTCCAACCCTCATTGACATACCAATTCTGACATCCGCCAGTGGTCCACACCATTTTCTTCAACTTGTTTTGGATTTCTTTCGTAAATGCCATCTCCGCTTCATGCTTGACCTCAACGGCGCTCGCTTCTCCGTTCAGGACCTTCCTGATGAAATTGATGCTATAATTTACCATGCCCTCACTTGCTAGCACGACGGAGCTATGACCGGTGGCAGTATTTGGACCAAATATGAGGAAGAAATTAGGGAATCCGTCCATCGCTGTTCCCTGATATGCCTGGGGACCACCTCGCTTATCCATGGTGTCGATGAGATCGTTTCCGTCCCGGCCAACTACTTTTAGAGGATACAGCCACTTGGTAGTGTCAAACCCGTTGGCCAGAATGATGACGTCCGCGGCGATTTCTCTCGCGTCTGTTGGGATCTTCGAGTTTGCTTTCGACGGGGGAGGATAGGTCGATCCAGGCCCGACTGTCACACTGTGCTCGTTGACGCGGGTAAGAGGCTGCGTTGTGAGGTCGACATTTGGCTCTGCCAGGCAAGGATACCACGTCGCGTCGAAGATCCTCCTCTTACAGCCCACCCCGTAGTCTGGAGTAAGGATTTCGTGATATTGTTCGGGGGCCATCTTCTTTATTCGTTGCACCAACTTGTCTTCGAGCTTCTTCCTCTCTTTGATGGACCACTCTGAGACACCAAAAAGTCTGAAATCATACTCGCCACCTAAGAAAACGAGGGTCCTCATTAGCCGCTGAAGGCCTGGAATGTATGTGAAGAGTGTCGGAGACCATTTTCGATAGGCTTCGTCTCCGCCAGGAGGAGTGGCCTTGGGGACTACCCACGGTGGCGATCTCATAAGTTGCGTTACCGACTTCGCATTGAAAGGCGCCTTCGTGAGTTTCGGTACGAACTGAATCGCGCTGCAGCCAGTGCCTACTACAACTACATCCTTGTCTGTGAAATCTACGCTGTCGTCCCATCTCGCAGAGTGGAAGATTGGGCCCTTGAAAGTGTCGTATCCAGGTATGTCATCTGGCCAGCCGCGTGGCTCCACTAGGCCACCAACAGCGCTAACAACGACCTTTGCTCGGACGATTTCTGTGCTTGAGTATACCGCGGACTCTCCACGCTCGTTAAGCACTTTCGAACGGTCTTTGTGCCCTAGATCTCCCATTCCGTGGACGAGGTGGCGCAATTTCACCTCCCAGAGCTGCTCATCTTCAAGCCATCGGCACTCTTCGACGTCGGTATTGAGCTCGATTTTATCGAAGATGCCAAACTTCTCACATACATCGTGATAGTAGCGCACGATTTCAGATCCAGGTGGGTAGAGGGTCGTCCATGTGGGGTTTTGTGCGAAAGAGAAGGAGTAGAATACAGCAGGTCTGTGGATTGATGAGTAGGTGCACTGCACTTTCAGGGAGCGGACTTACACATCACACGCGACGCCTGGGTATCTGTTTATCCACCACGTACCTCCGATGCCCGCCTGCCTGTCGAAGATCCGGAACTGGTCGAATCCTAGCTGCTGCTTCAACTGGCAGCCCATAGCTATTCCGGACTCCCCAGCCCCGACCACTATGACGGGATAGTAAGTGAATGCATCCTTGGCGTATCCGTTTACACGATGAATTGTTTCCGGCATGGTGGGCAATGAAGTCAAACACTCGAAGGTTTGAGGACTCCACCTGTGCTGAAGTTCGTACAAAAGCTATAAATAGCTCCTCAAGAGGAATTTGCGGATGTAGCACAGCAGGTCTACTATTCTATGAAGGCCTAGAACAGCGAAATTGAAAGTCAGGACGAAGTGGCAGCAAAGCAGTCAGTGATCAATTTCGAGACACATTATGGAAGGTAAGACTTGCAGGGCATAGTAGAAGTTGAGAGCAAGAAAGGCAGGTATGAAAAGGGCCTCGGCTCGGGAGAGACACCTTCCTGGCAAACCCAAAGTAGTACGATGATCACCTTAGCTGCATCCCATCGCCTCCACCCCCGCAACTGCGGGGTTTCAGTGGCTTGGAGATCCCAGTTTCCTATCACTCTCTACCCGGCGTGCCGGCCACCATGTATTCTATCGTGCGGTCGAATGGCACGCAGGTGGTTATTACGATGAAGAGCCCAAGTGTGTGTAAATAAGGGAATGATAGAATTTACGCCGCGGAAAGATTGAGTTCTTTCAGTTCCTAGGTACTAGAGCCTGTTTTGATATCGAGGATCTGCTATAGACTAGCGATATAGACTGGAGTCTTCGAGCATAATGTTACTCACGTTGAGCGTGTTAATCCGATGGTATGCAACTTCTCCTAAAGATACCTCTCGAATACTCCCTTACGGCTCGGATTGACTTGCTGAGCCTTACTCCTCCGCCCACCCCTGCCACCAAGGGGAGCTCATTGCAGTCTGTGCAGCAAGCACTCCATACCATCGTATAGTAATTAGGACTATATGACAAAGTAAGGTCTCTAGTCTGAGTACTGTCTGACGTGATATATCGCCGTATTCCCCCCGAACGAAGCTGAAATGGTCTATCCGAATGACTCGAGGAATACTACTCAGAAACAAGGGGGGGCCTGTCTGGCGGTTTGGCATCGAAAAGCAAGGAAGGTTGACGAAACCAGGGGCTTAAACTGTTCTGGTTTTGTTCCAACATATATGTCTAAGTTCACTGCCGGGATGATCTCAAGCTTTGGAGCACTTTTGCTGACCCTGTCTTGAGTCAAGTCAAATATTCGTTTACTCTCTTACCAGAAATGGGGAGTGCAGTAGGACGGGATTCTGAATATGAAACACTATGAGATACGAGCTCTGCAAATACGAGGACCTTCTATGGCCTGGTGAGTTGGGATGATGAAGCATGGAGGTAACGAGCAATGCAGCTGAAGATAGGAGCCAAGCGCTAAGGTCAATGTGGAATAGCCGAGCCAATCAGCCACGCTAGGACAGATTGGCGCACCTGCATCCGAAGCTCGCGAACTATCCCCTTTCAAGAGACCATACGTTCAACTACTGTTTCTCTTAGCACCAACTTAAGATGACCTCCTCGCTGGCAAAGCAGTTCAATGTGCTTCTAGTGGGGAAAGGTGCTCGAGAACATGCCCTTGCGTGGAAACTGAGTCGTTCCCCTTCCGTAAAGCACTTCTACGTAGTACCCGGCAACGGAGGAGCAGCAGCGTTGCAAAATGTTTCCAACATAGAACATGTGGCAGCAAACGACTACCAGAAGCTTGTATCCCTATCCAAACAACACGAGGTCGGACTCGTGGTCGTCGGGCCAGACGATGCCATTATGGATAGAATTGAAGGTATTTCACAGACAGTTAGTACCATGATGCGCCTCTCATTCATTATGAGCTTCCTTTCCTCTAATATGTATCTAGGTGGGGTTCCCTGCTTCGCCCCAAGTAAAGAAGCTGCCGGAATCGAAGGCTCGAAGACATATGCCAAGGATTTCATGAGGAGACACGGTATTCCCACAGCTGAATACAGAAGCTTTGAGGACGGAGGTGAAACAATGCATTGAACGAGGTAAGTGATGTATTGGATGAGCATCTATCTAGGCTACGTACGCCGTATATATACTCTCTGTGTGTGGAGGCTTACTAAGCCGTACCGTAGAACTGTGAGGGCTAAGTATAAGAACCGTGTTCTATATCTAGGTAGCCGAGCTAGCCGTACCATACTCCGTAGGCTAGCTGGCTAAGAATACGTACTCCGTCAAGCTTCGATAGATATGTAGATGCGCAAGCATACCTGAATGACGAGAGCACTAATAGTAGGGTTGTCATCAAAGTGGACGGATTAGCCTCTGGCAAAGGAGTAGTGCTTCCAGTAGACCGAGCGGAAGCGCATCAGGCGCTGAAAGACATGATGCTCGGCGGCAAATTTAGCTCGGCCGGCAACTCTGTGGTTATCGAAGATTACCTTGACGGTGACGAAATAAGTGTCTTGACCTTAAGCGACGGAAGAACGAGTAAAAGCTTTCCCTTGGGACAGGACCATAAACGAATATATTATAGTAACAAAGGCCCTAATACCGGAGGAACGGGTGTTAATGCCCCTGTCCCATTTGTTAGCTCTAAGCAAATGGCGGAAATCGAGCGCAAAATCCTTCAACCGACTTTTGAAGGGCTCGAAGCTGAAGGTAAATACGTTTCCTGTCAAGACGCATTAGGAATTATTCATTGATCTTATGACAGGTCGTACCTTTGTCGGAATGCTGTTCACTGGGATCATGCTCGCGTCTTCTGGGCCAAAAGTCTTGGAATACAATGCTCGTTTTGGAGACCCAGAAACGCAAACTATGATGATGCTCCTTTCGGACGACGATTTCGCAGCAATTCTACTCGCTTGTGCTCAAGGGAAGCTACACCAAGTGGAACTAAACATAACCCCTGGCTTCTCATGTAACGTCGTTATTGAAGCAGGCGGTTATCCTGAAGAGTATTGTAAGGGCGATGTCATCACGTTGAGCGATTGCCCTCCAGGTTAGTGCCTTAAGCTCCGATTACTGCACTCGGAGGCTGATCTGAATCCAATGCTAGGCGTGCAAGATTTCCATGCTGGGACCCAATATGAAGACGGCGTGCTTAAAACTGCTGGTGGTCGAGTGTTTTCCGTTGCTGCGAGAGGTGAAACACTCGAAGAAGCAGTTGCGACTGCATATCAAGGGGTGGAAAGTATCCAGTTTGAAGGCATGTTCTACCGCAAGGATATTGCAGCTCGGTAAGACCACTAGATGCGGCCAGACCCCTAATAAAGCTGACGAGGAGCCTGGCTATATCTTTGAAGCCGGATCGTCCGTGAGTGTGTATTCCTGCATCTGATGTCTTCTTGGGGATGGCCAAGAAACTGCACAAGAACGGCTCGGTCAGCATGCGGACTGCAAGGAAGAAGCAAGCATTTCAGCCCGTCAACTTGATTCTGTCCTTATTGATCCATCCGATGAAGACATTGTTGTCGGCCAAGCCAGACTTGGTCTCTACAGCAGGTACATCTTCTGCGTGGGATCGAAAACGCATGTATATGCTTGCTGAGCCACTGACTGGGGACCGCGGCTTGCTGAGAGTTTAGAAAAGATGATGCTACTTAAACGCGAGCCACAATCGACCAACGATCGCTGATAGTTAAAGCACTTCTGTTTGGGGCAAGACTGGGAGCATCTTGAAGCAAAAGCGGGTTGTGGAGGGTTCTTTACCTGATCCGAAAAGGCAGGCTATTTCGACACTGGAGATATATCAGTTGGTATCGGACGAAGAGTCCAACGTAGAGATCAGGCTTAGAGTATAGTGACTGGTGGGAACTCAGCATCGCAAACAACGGATCAGCCAGTAGCTTTCGACTCGTCACCGAAATAGTCTAGTACTACATATTATAAGATTTGAAACCTGGAGCCTAAAGGCACAAGCAGCTTTAGCTGATGCTTGCTGCTCAACTAAGTTTCTCTTCGAATCTCAGGGTGGTTAGAAAGGCACGAATACTAAGCACCGACTGAGACGAAACGCGCGCGACGAAACGACACATACAAAACCACAAAGAGCCCTAGGGCTGATGCAGTTCAAGAAAAATGGGACTTCGCATTCTGTTACTAGGAGCCGTTACTAGGAGCCGGCGGTAGAGAGCATGCATTGGTTTGGAGATTGAGTGATTCCAGTCTCGTGGAAGCAGTCTTCGTAAAACCTGGCAAAAGTGGAGCCTCGAACGGCATACCGAGAACTGTGAACGCTGTTTGCGGATGGAAAAGCAACGATTTCACCCCCCTTGCCGGTGGAATGATGTTCGATGGAAGTGACGAGTAGTGCAGTGAAGATAGGAGCACAGGAAGGGGAAGATACGGCACGGCCCAATTCCGCCCTATGACGCTCGGACCACTTGGACCTTCGTGAAAATGTCGTCGTACCTTTGGAGCTTTCGATGCTTGAACGTTCCAGCAAGGTCCTTGCAACACCAGTTTTCCACAGCTCTTCCCTCTCACCGTGCAGTAAACCTATCTACTCATACAGCTCCAGAGCCTAAGATTTGGTTTCTAGGACATGAGTTACCTCTCGTATCCGCGTCAAAGCCAGCAGTTTTAGAGCATCAGCACCATGAACGCCATCGACGGCACTGATCGCCATATCAAGAGCACCGATGGTTCGTCTTCACCAGTGCAACTGTTTTTCCTTCTCATCATGCGTATGCTGTGTTCTATGACTGACCTTCTTTAGGCCCGCCACCATCCCTCCTCACCATCATCCTAGACACGAATCCGTTTGCCTGGGCCCACCTATCGTCGACACTCCCACTCTCCTCCGTAGTCGCGAACCTCCTCGTCTTCATAAATGCTCATCTGGCGAGCGGGAATGCAAACGAAGTCGCCGTTATCGCAAGCCACAACAAGCGAACTGCCTGGCTATACCCAACACCAGTCTCTGCCCATAACACAAACGGGCATATCTCTGCGCAAAATGGGGCCGCTTCACATACCCAGAATGCGAACAAATATCAACCCTTTGCTGAGGTTGAGACGAATCTTCTATCTAATCTGGATGATCTCCTAAAAACAACCACACCCGATGATCTATCAACCACAACAACGCAAATCGCGGGCGCCCTCTCCACTGCTCTATCCTACATCTCCAAATCCACCATCAGGCACTCTCCCGTAGATCCGACTCTATTAAAAAGTCATGCCATCCTCATCGACGATGGCAACCTCACTTCACAACGTATAAACCTCGTGTCGCGGATACTCGTTTTCAGCGTCTCTGGAGACCTCGCCAGCCAGTACATTCCCGTAATGAATGCCATCTTCGCCGCACAACGCCAACGTATCCCCATCGACATCCTGAAGCTCGCAGGAGACACAGTGCTACTACAGCAGGCATGTGACGCGACTGGTGGAATTTACATGGCACCTGAATCTCCTCAGGGGTTGCTCCAATACTTAATGATGGCATTCTTGCCGGATGCGACAGCTCGGAAGTCGCTCGTACTACCAAGTGCAGGGAGCGTGGACTTTCGCGCTGCTTGCTTTTGTCACAGGAACGTCGTTGACATCGGCTTCGTATGCTCAGTTTGCTTGAGCAGTATGTATCCCCTCCTTCACGTCGCGGGCAACCAGGTCCACCTCCTTACCTTCTGACCTGAGTCTAACTTTGCGAAACAGTCTTCTGCTCTCCCAATCTTCAAGACTCTACATGTTTAACATGTTCTTCCGTCCTTTCTCTTAGCAGTGCCCTCACAGCAGCACCGGCGCTAATTCCCCGAAAAAAGAAGAAGCGAAAGAGGGCACCAGGTGATGGCAGTACTCCCGGTGGAAGCGCGACGCCCCTGCCCGGTAACGGTACACCGATGCATACCTAGGACTACATATACAGTATACTTTACTTGTTGCTGACGGGTAGTGGCAACATTATTTAATGATCAGTAGCATACCGGCACCTGACTTGAAATGAAAGAAAGGTTCGTGGGCAGTCTGCACTGGATGACGCAGTTCCAATATGTGTCGTGGTTTTGAATGCTTTGGTACGTTCATGCGTGACTCACAAGCCCCTAGACCCAATTACCTACTTAACCAATCATTCTGCTTGCTGAACTAGTCATCTAGATTGATCAGTGGTTACGTGGCACATGCTACTGGAAAAACTCAGGGCATAGGGTCTTCGAGCCGAAGTGGTTGACCAGGCACCTATCAACAACACTACCTTGATCATATTTAGCTTGTGAGCTGTGAAGTGATGGACTATTACGCTATCACTCATATCGTCACTGTTTCTGCAGGAAATTGGATAGCTAGGTATCTTTCTAGTAGTCAATAACAGTTTATTACATACAAACAGGCCATTTGAAATTTCTCTTATCTAGCACCCATCTTTAGTCATCTATTGCAAATTCATGCTTGCTCAACATGCAACTCGGAAATGAAGCCTTGAGATATCCATCCGATCTGACAAGGGGGCCGGTAATGGCGGGGTATGCAGGGGCCGAATTTCTTGGCAGGAACCAAACTCAATGACGTCGCATGTTCGCACTGGACGCGACGTCCCGCTGACATCCCGCCTTAAAGACCCTCGTTCGCGCAACCTCGCAACATCACAAGTGACTCTCTCACCATCTTCCTATAAACACAACTCCTCTTCTCGTTAATCACCATGGACGTAAGTAGCTAAATCTCGGACGTGCAAACGTCGCTGACAATCGCAGGTCTACTACTTCTACACCTTCAGCACAGCGGGATGGATGGGTACGGCGATCGCGAATCCTATGCAGGGCATCTTCACTCACTAACTGAATAACAGCTCTACAGGCGGCGCCGCTCATTATATCCCCAACTATCATAGTCACAATGCTCTCCCCCGAAGTCAGGGAGCCATCTAGTACGCCTGCTACCTGCACCACTTTCACGCTTGGCATTATACTAATGAGCGTGCCTAGTCCTCGAAGTCTATTTCTCCCGTAGTCTAGGCTTCTCCCTCATCACCATTGGCATCCTCGCTGTTCTCCTTACGGGCTCCGTCCCTTTGAGCTCCCGCCTCACAGAAGGTCTGTATTCTTCCCTTACCCTTTCTAGCCTAGAGTCCTCACTAACGTGCTGCCCACCCACAGCCGGCGGAACCACAACCGACCCCTCCGACCCCAAAGCGCCATATGCTGTCCCCACACTCATGGTCACGCTCATCTTCCACGCCACAATCGCCTTTTATACCTACGCCTTGTGGACGCAGACGGGCGTCACGTCGTTTGCCCTCGGGACTACGTTCAGTGCTTTCCTCGCTGTGGTCGGGGGCTGGGTTATTCTATTTGGAAGTAGTAGTGGGAGGATCTCGAGGAAAACGGGGGCGGACAAGAGGACGAGTGGCTTCCCGTTCAAGAATGCAGAAGCGTCGAAGAGGCACGTGAAGAAGGCGTTGTGAAAGCGAGATAGGTAGGTAATCGGTTAGCGGTGGAATTGGAGAAAAGTCTAAACAGGGTACATGGTGTTAGGAGCAGTCTTGACTTGGCCCTTTGAGATAGCAATACATGGTATAGCAAAACCTTTCTTTTCTCGAAGCTTAGATGAGGATGTGAGAAGACGTAGAGGAGATGTGTGATTTTTGTGTTTCGTGCTATTTTGTAAAGAGCCACAGGCCGTGCTCTTGTAGGTCCAGCATTTCCTAAGCGCGGTCATGTTCTCAAGGATACTAGCACTATAGCCAGCGGCTGATCCCGTTATAGATCCTGAAGAATTGATGGCACCCTGCGCAATTTCTTAGAGGCGGAGAGGTCAGTTCAAGTCCACCGACCAGCGGCGTCGGCGGCCTGAACGCCTATATTTCGTCCCTGGACATATGGTCGCCACTGCTTGGGGGGCTTCAGGATCCTTTCATGTACCTTAAGGTCTTTACAAACAATCTCCTTGCCAGTAGTAGGTAGACGTCACTCTCTGTGGTTGCCGGTGAGCTCACCAGCCGCCTCGTCCACTATCAGAGCACTTTCACAGTTCTAAAAGTGCCCCCAGGTAGGTGAAGCGAAGAAAACTGTTGTTTCGTTGCTGTCACAGCGCGGGTGGCGCGTTTGGTCGCGTCTGTTTACTTTGACGTCAATTTAAGTCTTCTCTCCGCCCCACCTCCAAACAGCTTCACACCCACCTTCTTCCACCTCACCTCACTCAAGACATCGCGATGGGTCTGCCCTGAGGCGCTCATCGTCTGCTGCTGTAATCACCGCTCCTCTGTCATCTGCCTCTGCGCAGCGCAGTCCTCATTGCCTCACCTTGGTATGTCGTTCGCACCGTAGGCAGACATGAAAACAAACTCACCACAACAACAACAACAGCGGCCTCTCTCCTCTAAGCAAGCACCAGCATCTCTCGGAACGCCGTCGCTGGCTACTAATCCTTCGCCATGGCCTCAGAAGCAGGAGATATCACCAACGGGTCCTCAAAGACCTTCCCGAGCCCGAAGATCTTCCAAGAGGCTGTGCACATTGAAGTCGGTCCTGAGGGTGCGAAGTTCATCGTACACCCTCAATTGCTTCTCGCTACCGCTGGCTTATTCCACCGTACCGGTGTTGCTGGTGCCAAAGATCCCATCTCACGAATCTTCAAGTTCGGCAACCGCGATCCTGTCCAATTCGGCATCTTTGTTCGATGGCTCTATAAACAACACCCACAGGTCGATCGATTCAACATCATTCTGGGAGCCTATCAGTTCGCTATCACACTTGATGCTCCAGCCTTTCGGAACTACTTGCTCGGGCTCATGTGCAATAAGCTGGTCGAGCAACAATACTTCCCCAGTGCGACGGAGTTCAAGGAGGTCTGGGAAAAATCCGACGACCTAGCGGCGGTCAAGAAGCTATTGCTAGATGTCTGTGTCTGGGGTACGGCGCAGCCTGCTGCTGGGTGGAGCGAGTTGTTCAAGGAAGTTCCGCCAACTTTCGTCATGGATTACGCTGTGGCGCAGGCCTCCAAGGGAAGCCGGGAGGCTCCCTTCACCAATGGCATCAAGCCCTACGAAGACGAGGTTCCTGCCAACCGTCAGCATCCATACCACGATCGTGACGCCAAACCCGATTTCCCGGACTCTACGTTCGCCAATGCCATCCAAGTCAAAGTCGGTCCAAACGGCGAGGAGACCTTTTTCATCCATGCTGCCTTCTTCCGTGGCCTAGACTCACAACTCGACGCATTGATCACTCAATCGGAGAATCAGCAGGGCGATGTGAATCTACCCCAGACTACAGCGGAGGTCTTCGGACCTGTTGTTGAGTCAGTGTACTTCGGCAACAACGATGTCTTTAACTCCTTCGCCTTGGCCCCGCCTGTTGAACCTGTAGCGGAGCCAATGGTCATCGATCATACGGACGCCGAATCTACTGTTCCAGTCAATACATCTGCCACTACAGAATCTACAGACTCTAGCGAACCTGAAATAGATTGGCCAACACGTCCGCATTCCCGCTATGAGACACACCGACCGGTTCTTGCCCAGCCTCCCACAGCTCCCGCAGCTTCCGCAGCGCCAGCAGCGCCCACGTATTCCCACGCTGCCCCTCCATACTCTCGCGGCTATGCAGGATCCATCAGCGACAGCCCCGAATACTTGCCCTTGCCGCTCGGATGGCACTTCTTCGTCTCAGATTTCCGCAAGCGACTCTACGTTGACCAGATCACAGGAGCGTACACTCAATGGGATCCTCGTGCTGTAGGAAAGCTTCCGCAGGGATGGGGTGTCCGACTCGAGATGAACGGAAATGTATGGTTCGAGAATCCTGCCTCCAAGGCTAGGTCCGAGGTCCACCCGTCTACTTCGAAGGACTGGACTGCGGCTCGTATTCAGACGATGGGGAAGCGTAAGGCAGCTTTGTTTGGAATGCCTCAGCAATAAGTGTTTGTGTTTGCTTCTATTGCGGTAAGCACATCACGGTTCTATGTCCTCTACCACAGACTGTCTCTCACTGACTGTCTACAACTGGTTTTGCTTTCCTATACGGGGTCGTTTGGTTGTCAGTGAGTACCTGAATGGGGGCCTTGTGGCGTCGATTAGGGCACAAGATGTAGGGACCTCATACGGAATCACTTACGCCTACTGGTTGGCTTTCTGCACTAACGAAGTTCCATTGGAACTAGACTTGCTTATCAAGTCTACTAATCAGAATGCTTTCCTCGATACCTCTTTCTATGCCTGTGAACACTCAACTGTCGCTTTCGAGGCTGATTCTTATCATCATCTAAGACATAAAAAATGCCGCACGACGTAGATTCAACTCGTTCCTCAAAGCTCAAGAACATGGATCAGACTCGTTTTCGGAATTTCAATATCGTGAATTGGGCTCGCCGCAAAAGTCCAACGCGTAGGCGTAATTTCTATGCACGCTGGAGGACCACATGTTAGCCATCTATTACTCGGACTTGCATCCTGAATCACAGACCCTCGGGCTATGCAACGCCCACGATGTCCCTGTTCGCATTTCATCGAAGCAGTCCACGTCACGTGATACTCCCCCATGACTATGAAGACATGTTGTCGTAAAAGAACCCATTTTTGAAGATTTCAAGGAACAACCGAGTACGACTATCTAAATTCGCACCATGAATTATGTCTTCAAGCAGTCGAGTCATTCGTCGTTACTCGGAAGATAAGTCTCCGGCGAGAGCATCGGAGCTTCTGTGCCCCCGATCTCAGCCTCTCCAACAACCCCCTGCATCATCATTGAATCTCACTCCCCACTCTGCCCACGAGCACGGAGACCATCGGCACGCCGTAGCGCCCGAATCGCCTGCTGCACGAATGACTCCCAGGCTCCATGGAGTTAAGCTTTGTTCAGGGTGCGCTTGCATAGCTCAAGCTTCGGTCTGCGGGCCATGGCTCACTACCAACCCCAGGAAGGCGCTGCGCCTCAAGCCTCCGTTTCGAAGTAGAGTATGCCAGACCAACGGCGTCAATCACAGCCCATGTAGTTCGGTGCTTCGGGGGTATCGCGGGCTGCGCCGCACTCTTTGAAGCATGTGAAGAGGAAGTATAAAGGTAGCGTATTGTCCCTTCTCCAGCCATCATCAACTCAGCTTTCAAGCTTCTCTGCATCCATCATCCATCCTCAACCCACCAATTCCAATCTTCTAAACCCTTAACTTTCCAACTCCCCGCCTACCCCAATCCTACCGCTTTCGACAACCATCCCAGTCACTGCAAAAATGGCCTACCAAACCTCCTTCCTCGCTGCCACCAAAGCCCGCCGCTCCATCTACACCCTCACAAAAGACAGCCCCATCCCTGCCTCCCGCATTGAAAACATCATCGGCCACGCCATCCAATACGCGCCCTCCCCCTTCAATGTGCGCAGCACGCGCGTCGTGATCCTCTTCGGCGACTCCCACACGAAACTGTGGGAGTTCGGCCTCAAGCATGTCGAAGAGAACACGCCGCATGCGCTCGGGTTCCTAGCGCCCAAAATCAAGGGCTTCAGCGATGCCTACGGGACGTGTCTGTTCTTTGACGACTCGAGCTCGGTGGACGAACTGAGCCCCCGTTTCGCTGCCCTGTCGAAGCAGTATCCGGAGTGGGCAGAGCATTCGATGGGAATGCATCAGTTTGTTGGTATGTGATAAACTCCCTTCCTCTTTTCCCTTTTCATCTGCCTTCATTCCCTCCTGAAATCTCATGTGGCTGTCGCTAACTCGGATTCACAGCCTGGACTGCCCTTGAAGCTGAAGGCCTGGGCTGCAACCTGCAGCACTACAACCCCGGCGTCAATGCCGCGGTTGCTAAGGAGTGGAACATCCCTGAGACATGGCAGCTGAAGGCCCAGCTGGTGTTTGGCGGGATCAAGGCGGATGCGCCGCCGCTGGAGGACAAGCCGAAGAGGCCGCTGGAGGAGTGTGTGAAGGTGTTTGGGGCTTAAGCGTGAGACGGGGAATGGATTAGTGGTAGCGTTGAGAAGGAGACTCACTTTCATATGCTGAGCTTTTGAGAGCGATTCACGGTGGACTTCGAAGATATCAATAGCATTCGATCTGGATCCATCTATTTCCTACTTCGTTTTACTCTCCATAGCTCAACCATATTTGCTAGTACCGTGATACACATTTCACAATCTATGCATGAGTTGTATTGACCGTTAAATCTCATTATCCAACAATATCCTCATCGCCTGTGTGTAACAGCCGATAAGATCAGAGTACCATTAGAAAGTATGCTAAGAGCTCAGTCGAACGATTTAGTGAGATCAGGACTTAGATCACGTGACATAATCTCACATCAATGAAATCTTACACAATCCAGTCCATTTTCTTTCCTATGCGCATGGAGCTAAGTCGGACTATTCAAGAGAAAAGGAGAGAAAGAGGGTAGGTATAATCCGGAGAAAAGACGGTGCGAACAATTGCTTCACCCTAGTCGACCTCCGTCGGAACACTCCCGAACGCACTCCCGATACACCAACTGGCCGTCGCGCCGCCATCTAGATCAAGATCCATGAGCCTCTAGTAAGCGGTTGAAAAGTTAGGATTGACTTCCTCGGGCGCGTCGTGTGCAGGCCTTCCGTTGGGGAGACTTCCGACGCTATGTCTCGCCCTTACACGAACCACGAAGCGGATCCCAAGTTTGGGTCGTTCTTTGAAACTCAGATGCTCTGCATCTTCTTTGATGCTTCATTGACTTGCAACTTTCTCAAGAGATCTGGCATTTACTTCTATTCACTCTTTCTTGCTGCGATAACATGCTTGGATTTCATATCTCGCGATTCACCATCCGTCGACTACTGCAAAGAAGCGGATCTATCTAAATTTCTTCGATCATGGCTGCACGGGTAGCCACATGTCTCCAGGTCAATGGCGGTCCGTGATATAGATATATTTACAATCATATAGTCAGAAACCATTCTAATCCATCCTAGCGACCCAAGCGACAAAGGCACCACGAAAGACTCGCTTGATTACTGGATCAACCTCGCCAAACTTGCCGAAGAAGGCAAAATTAGCTTTATATTCTTCGCGGATGGCTATACCACCCACGAGGTCTATGAAGGAACTTCTGAATCCATGCTCCGAGCTGGCACCCAATTCGCGACTATCGACCTAATGACCGTCATCCCCGCAATGGCAGCCGTCACAAAGACGCTCGGGTTTGGCATTACGGGTAGCACCAGTTATCTAACAACATTCATTCTGTGGAGGACGTTCAGTTCGCTGGACCATCTCACCAAGGGCCGTATTGCGTGGAATGTGGTGACGAGCTGGAGCAAAAGTACTGCTAAAGCTTTGGGAGCTGAGGATGTCATCCCCCATGATGAGCGTTACGCCATGGCACATGAGTATATGGACATGATGTACAAGCTCTGGGAAAGTTCGTGGGCAGACGACTCGGTGGTCTGGGACCGCGAGAGACGCGTAGCCTTCGAGCGGAGCAAAGTCAAGCGGATTGAACATCAAGGTCCGTGTCTCCAGCCCGATATGACGCATGAACACACACTTACAGAAACTTCACAGGAAAATACTTCAAAATGTCCGCCCGCGGTGATACCCACCCCTCGCCACAACGAACACCAGTCATCTTCCAAGCTGGCACTTCCACGGCTGGACGCGCCTTTGCTTCCAAGCACGCTGAAGCGATATACGTTGGTGGTCTCATCCCAGCACAGACAAAAGGCAGCATTGCTGCCATCCGCACTGCAGCAGCCGAACGAGGCCGCAACCCGGCATCGCTCAAGTTCTTCGTTGGCATATCCCCCATCCTAGGGGCGACCTTAGAAGAAGCGCAAGCGAAATACGAGCGAGCGAAAGAATACGCAGACGTAATTGGCGGATTAGCACAGTTCTCGGGATACACAGGCATCGACCTCAGCCGCTTCCCATTAAATGATGTGTTTGAGCTTAAAGATGCCCCTGGAGACGACGCAGTCCACTCGTTCCTCGAAAACTTCAACAAGGTCTCTGGAAATACTGAGCCATGGACACCACGGCTACTAGGCGAGAAGATGGCGCTGGGCGGATTCCATCCGGCGCCAGTAGGGACACCAGCGATGGTTGCGGATGTATTCGAGCAGTGGATTGACGAGGCTGATGTGGACGGCTTCAACATCGCGTATATCACGACACCGGGTAGCTTCGAGGACATAGTTTACCTTCTCAGACCAGAGTTGGTGAAGAGGGGGCTTATGTGGGAGGACTACACAGTCCCAGGTGGTACTCTGAGAGAAAATCTCACGGGCGTCAAGGGCCAGAAGGGCATATCTTCAGATCACTACGCAGCGAAATTCAAGTACGGGAGCGGATTCGAAGGTGATAGCATCGAAGCACTAAAAGCGGTGGAGCCCAAGACGAACGGTGTCAATGGTAAGCTGCCAGTACTGAATGGCAAACCTCCGGCAACGGTAGCTGAAGAGGAAGTTAAGGCATAGCGTTTTCCAGTCTGTACTTCTTTTGATCGCGAAGCACCTCTTCCAGACTATTTTCCTTGCATTTTCGGCCGGATGCTGTGATCCGACCCGAAGCCCTATCTAGCGCTCTACATTTCATGTACATATCTTCTCCAATGCCAAGCATCCGTCGCATATAACTTGAAGCTTCCCACGCATATATCTCCATCACTACCACAAAATCCACATCAATCACTCTTTACTGTACATTTCCACCATATCGCCGCTACTCCTCCCAGCATCCCACTCACTGCTCGCCTACAATGTCCACCCCCATCAAAAAGCCTACGCCGACAACCCCCTCCGCCAAATCCACTACCGCACCGCCCTGCCCCCCTCGCCCACCAAAACCCCCCCCCATCCTCCTCCACAAATCCGCCTCCTCCTCCGCCTACTACGACCGCCTCATCGCCCACTACTCCGCCCGCGGCCACCCCTGCTACGCCCCCGACATGCCGGGCTTCGGCAACTCCTTCGACCCCTCCGCCGCCGACGTCGCCGCCATCCACGCGCGCGGCACGGGCCGAGGAGGTGGACGCGCGCCCCGGGCGCACAGAGGCCCAGGGCGCGGAAGACGCCCATGACGTACTTCGCCCCGTTCAACGCGCCCGTCGCGGACGGCAGCCACCTGCTGAAGACGTGGGCGTACCTCAGCACGATGGGGGTTAGAGAAGATTTGGCGCTGCGGCAGCGCGAGTTCCTGGACCATGCGCGCGCGTGGAGGGGGAGGATGCCGATTTATGGGAGCGTGTGGGACCAGGATGCGGTGGGGTTGTATTGGCGGGTCCGCGCGCCGATGGTGGTGATGTGTGCGAAGGATGATGTGCTGTGGCGGTTTTTTTGGGAATATGAGGGCGTTGAGGGGGGGTGTGGAGGCGGTGGAGTGTGGAGTGTGGAGGGGGCGAATTTCACGGTGGATAGGGATGTGGAGGGCGTGGTGAGGGCGTGGGATGGGTTGATGGACAAGGGTGAGAGGATGTAGGGAGAGACGTGTGAGATTGGAGTAATGATAGATTTGGAGTTGGATTGTTCTATGGTGGTTTTGGATGTGTGAAGTTTGAGTCCGTGATGCAATGCCGCGGTGGCTATGCTTTCTTGCCCATCTCTTCGTCGACTACCTGTGCTGAAGATGCGCCGCTTTTGTTCTCGTAGTCTATAGTACGTGGTGCCACGCCTTCTACCGTGATGTTTTCGTCCATACAGTCGGTGACGTATGGCGCTCCAGGTGGAGGGGAGATTGTGCAGATGAGCCAGTACATGGCACCTCCACCCATGAACCCAACTATCCAGGTGACCTGGAACGTACGAGTCCACCCAAGTGCTACCTCTGTGCCAGCAGTCGCGTGAATAAATCCGGCTGAATGGCGTTAGGCGGGTTTTCATTCAGTCGATGGTATTTTTGACTCACGGAAAGAAGCCCATATAGCCAATGTCCACGCAAGAAAGGCGCGCCAGTTCAGGCCTCCGGTAAACCAGTAGATACTTGATTTGTTGCCGACATATAGATCCGGGACCTTCCAGTTGAGCTTACGGATAATCTAGCTTCGTAGTCAGCGTTGAGATTAGAGAAGAGAAAGAGGACGGCTCACAAGCCAGCAACGTTGATACCCGCTAAAGGCGAGACGAACATGCCGAAAGAATTCAACACTACAATGAATGTTCCTGGGCCGTTCACAAATCGCCAGGGGTTGGTCACGTACCCGATGACGCACATAAGCAAGCCCCCGCGCGATACATCTATCCACTTTGGAGCCATAGACGCCAGGTCCATTGATGCCGCTACGGAGTTCTGCACTAGGTTGGTCTGGTTTGCATTAGTTTTGCTCATCTTGCGGCAGAATATCAACATACCGCAACCTGGCTACAGAAGAAGCCCAGCCCAGCCCAGCAAAGAAACAGCCAGCACGCGTCGCGGCGTTGTAATTGTCGCTTAGGAGAAATTCGAAAAGAGAGATGGGATTCCATATGGCTTTCCCGTACATCTGCTTTACAGCACTGGTAGCGAAGACTCCTAAAGTGGCGCAGATGGTGATTGTGAGCGGCGCTCCAAAGAGTTGGTTGAGCACCGGAGCACGGCGAGTTTTGGCATAACGAGTCCAGTCGGATTGTCTAGAGGCTGTTCATTCACGAAGGTAGAACCCCCTTACCTTATACTGCTGCCAGTCCAAGACCCGGCTACGGAGCTCATTGCTTATAGGATTTTGAACGAGCGTTCGCTGCTCGAAATCGACTTTAATGGGGCTGGAACGGGAGCACCACCATTTGAAGCCACAGTCCAGACGAAGATCCCAAAGATCGTGGTTGCCACCATGAAGAACGATGCGAATAGAATCGGCTGCATTCTCGAAGGACGAATGAACATCATGGGCGTGAAAATGATGATGTACATTATGAAGCCGATCAACTGGGATGTTGTGATGAGAGCAGATTCTGGCAAAGTGTTCGCCATGTGTTGGAAGGATGGGGAAATGCTAGCAAGCACAACTTTCGCGGCTAGGCCTCCCCAGTATGCTTGGACACCGAAGCAGATAGCTGTCAGATTCAGACGGACTTTTCAAGGTATATGTCTAGAAAAGGGAGGAGTGATGCTGAGAGTACTCACAAGATAAAGTTCACAAAGCATTTTAGCAGAATAACAAAGTAAGAGCCGTACATTCCAAACGTTGCCCTACTCATCATGGGAAGTCCAACATGGTATCAGACCTAAGTCACCTCAGCAGCTATTTTTACTAAAGATATCGGAGAAACTTACACCAGATTCACCGCAAAGAAACGCTACGATACCAGCGATGAATGATCCAACTAAAACACCTCCGATTGTACCTCCGGCATCAAGACCAGCAGCAAGATTGCTAGACCCCAGAGACCAGGCTGTGGCGTTCACTCCCACCGCGATCCCGCGATAGTTGCATTAGCATAATTTTATTTTCAAGGTTGCCACAATGCAAGTAGTACCAGTAACCGAAGAAGGCCTTCGAAGTATAATTTCGCTCCTCAATAGGCACTGGAAGAACATCGTGATTCGTTCATCTGGAATCGTGTCCCTCGTCTTCGATCCTGAGTGTCTTGAATGTGCACGGAACGTGAGGCCGGAATTTGATGCCCATAATGCTGATGGAAGAGCTACTTATTCGAAATACAATACAAGGCTTGTCAAGTAAAACACCAACGAAAACCGGCGATGGATATAGCCAATATATACTCCAAGAAAGGATATATTCAGGTAGGGTAGTGTTAAAAATGTGCCCGAAGTCGGGATGAATGGCGAAGAGATTTCGATACTGGTGGCGTTCCTATCCAGATGAACGCTTCGTTATCAGTGAACGGATCGAATCTATTCCTTCTCCGGGCTTGCCCAGACGCAGATATCTCGTATATTCGATGATATTGCGACGACGACTGAAGTTGTGGCTGCTAAAACGTGTGATTCCATGCTCGCGGAAGGCATCCGATGTATGCCTGGAGAGACCGCAGCTAGGGAGGTCCGTATCGGTGTCCATGTTCATTGGAATGAAATTGGCATGGCACCCGAAGACACCAAGAGGCTGAAGATAAGAACATGAATTGTGAATTGCGTCTAGCGGTGGTGGGCGAAGTGGCCGATGGGTGCCGCAAGGGTGCCGCAAGGGTGTCGTGGAAGGGCGGACTCAAAGCCATCGGAAAGCTCTCTATCGGCAGCAGGAACCCGTCTTCCAATGCGCCTCCACTATTCAGGATACCGAAATTGCCAACACCATGAGGGTAATAGTGAGTTCGGATTAGTTACAGTTGATGATGGAAAGGCAATTGGAAAGGCATGACAGTTGTTGATGGATGAAGCATGATCTCGATCACGAAGCCTCGCATCTGCCGAGAGAGCTACCCGGGACTATAGCTTTATTTAAGTTTTAAAACAAACTCCGCTGGAGCACTAACTATATACTATGCATCCCCCTAGATACCTTCAGAATCTCACTCTAGCAAGGAACCCACCATTCACTTGATTAAAATCTACCATTTTTCGCGAGCTACGACGTTTTTTGAAAGGTCCTATTCACAAGCCAGAGTTCACAACATAGCATTAGCTATGCCTGTCCCATCAACTACCACATCCAGCACCCTTCCCATCGAAGCTCCAGACAAAGAGTCCCTTATAAAACGCAATCCTCACGCCGACTTCCCCGCCGTCCAAGCCTCCCGCCCCTCCTATCCAGCTCCCTCCTTCACCTACAACAAAACCCCAAATCCAGACTGGCTCCCCGGCACGGGCGCCTCCAACTCCTCATGGCGCCAACACCCCCTCCGCGCCGTCGACCCAAATGGCCCGGGGCGCGCAACAGTCCAGAACTACAAACTCATGATCTCAACGACCATCCCGCGGCCCATCGCGCTAGTAAGCACAGTCTCAAGCACCGGCGTGAAGAATATAGCACCGTTCTCTTTCTTCCAGGCCGTAAGCATGGACCCGCCGCTGTACTCGCTCTCTTTCGTAGGCGAGGACCCAAATGATAGCCTCAGAAACGTGCTGGAGAGCGGCGAGTGCTGCATAAGCCTGGTTAGCGACTGGTTCATTGAAGCCGCGAACTATACGTCTATCAACACGCCACCTCATGTTTCTGAGTGGGAGCCCGCAGGGCTTAGCCAGGTGGCTAGTCAGGTGGTGAAGGCGCCGCATGTAGGGGAGAGTGCGTTCTCGGTAGAGTGTAAGTTGCATTCGTCGCAGGACATTGTGGGGAAAAATGGGAAACGATCGGCCACATTGGTGCTGGTGGAGGCGGTGATGTTTCATTGTAGGGAGGATGCGGTAGATGAGGCAGGAGTGACTGCGAATCCGGCGGTTTTGAGAGCGGTTTGGAGGGGCGGCGGCATCACGTATGGTGTTTGTACGAATGCGTGGGAGCTTCCAAGACCGGGGGCTTGGAGGGACGAGAGGGAGAGGGAGGAGGTAAAGAAGCTTGATAAAAAGGTCAATGGAGTAGCGTAGAGGGTATTCTATCTCTCGTGTACACTTGTCGGCCACTGCTTGAAGTGCTTCATCCAGTTTCCATACAGTCCAAGGGGAAGAGCTTCTATCCCGTTCAAACTTCTGAGAATGCATTGAAGGACCCCAAGCAGTGGCGTACACGCGTACACATCCACCACGGCTTGTTCAAATTAAGAGTGCCCACTTTTATGCCTCGCGTGGAGGGATTAGGTTCGAAGATAATAGAGTCAGTCAAAAGACTGTTTTAAGCCCTCTGACACTTCCTGTATGGAAATTTCTCCCTAAAGTGCTCTGCTATTTGAGTCCTGGTGGCCACCCAAACATTCTCTTTAGCCGCAATATACTCGACAAACTTCCTCAGAGCTGCGATTCGTCCGGGTCGACCCATAACGCGACAATGAAGCCCAATCGTCATCATCTTTGGCATTCCTTCTTCGCCTTCCTCGTACAAGATGTCAAACGCGTTCTTGCATTGCTCGTAGAAGTCCCCAGGAGAAGAGAATCCAGAATCAAGGTGGAACTTGTAATCGTTGCAGTCGAATGAGTATGGTAGTATCAGCATTCCCTTTGGGTTTGGCGATTCTTTCTCCGCAGGAACGTCAACATAGTATGGAAGATCGTCAGAGTAGCTGTCAGAGTTCCAGAGGAGAGGAAGCCCCATCTCTTGGTAGACATCCCAAACTAGGGCATGAGAACGTGGGGACAGACGCCCATAGTACCAGCCTTTTGGAGCGAAGCCGCATACATTTTGAATGGCTTTGATGCCTTTTCGTATGAGCTCCTTCTCTTCTTCAACTGGTACAGAGTGGTAATCAATCCACCTAAGTAGGTTCAGCAAGGGATATGACAAGATCTTTGGCTTTGTCACTGACCGGTAGCCGTGAGACGCGATATCATGACCGTTCTCAACAGAAGATATAGCAACGGCCGGGTTATCTTCAATCGCCTTGCCCACGGCGAAAAGCGTATACTTGAAGTTGTACTTGTTAAACAGTCGAAATATTCGCCAAACTCCAGCTCTTGAACCATAATCGTAGTGTGATTCGACTTGCACCGCTCGTTCTTGCGGATATGGTTCACCCCCAGGAGCGTCCCAAATCATTGTCTCAGAGTGAGGGTCGCCATTTAGGACCGTGTTCTCTGCACCCTGGAAGTCGACATTAGATGAAGTCTCCTCATACTGCGAAGTGCCACACCTCTTCGTAATTTATAACGAAAGACACAGCGATCTTCGCACCGTTAGGCCATTGCGGATTGAACGACTTCTCTCCATATCCGATGAGGTCACGTGGCCAATCGTAGTGATCATCCCATTTCCATTTTTTAACGTCATGTGTAGCAGGAGACGTGTTTGAAAACATAGTTAAGTGGCATCAATGAACTTGTATACAAGAATAGTAGCCAAAAAGGACGTCTCACCCCTCGTGATAGAGAAAGAATCGTATTGTATGCTTCCGGAGAAGGCAACGACTTACTGAAAGATGAGCAGAACATACTCGACGATTTGGACTTCATATACACAAGGACCTTTTTTTGAGCCGTTGCCTGCATGCCGCCGACGGCAGATCTGTCCCGGGACTGGGGCAGGTTGATAAGACAAACACCGCCACTTTCTACATCGATCCAGGCTGAAAGTGGAGGCATGTAGACCGTAGAAAGGTTCGACGGCGCTCCCAAGGCAGACGGCTCTGATCCAGATGGGCTGGGAGGAGTTTGATGGTGAAAGCGTAAAGTCGAGGTCCATTTAAGCACGTCCCACCTCTAACGTTGTTCCGCCTCCATAGCCATCAGTGCCGTCTCCATCTCATCAACAATGACGGAAGTCTTATGTGAGAGACGCGTCTCTACGGCCTTTTCGAATCGAATATACTACATTTAGATATGACTTGAAGTCAATTGCCAGCTTCAACGCGTCGATCCCAGCTTACAATGACAGAGTATTGACGAACCTCAACCTCTCTCCATAGCGTCCCTCTCACTCTCGACCACGTCAATCGCGACGACCACCACCTTTTATCAATAGCACACATTAAGACAGGGAAGAGAAGTAGGGACACAGTGGCTTTGAGCCGAAATAAGCCACGTTATACGCTAGAATCTGTGCAGAGAGGCTGCTCCCTCGAAGCCTTCGGAACTATCTGAGTTTCGCAACACTCATACTTGTGGTTCGGGATATTAGACCGCGGATCACACGAAATACTAGTGGTGTTCATGGTCCGTAGAGATTCTCAGATGGACGTATGCTGTCTCCAAAAAGTGTGTCGGAAGGGAGATCTCCCTTGTCGAAGACTCTTTTAATCGGCTGCGATTGTCAGAGCAATACCATCTGCGACAGCTGAGATACTTTCCCTTCGATACACTACTCACCTCTCGTTGGCAGGTACGCCCTACAAGCCCCAACACCTCTCTAGAATATATACGTCACCCACGCTTTTAGCTCGAAGATTTTCTGCGAGGTCGCATTGTATCGTATCTGATATGGTCGCAGCCGGTTCTAATCTATGCCAAGTCTATATACCTCCAGTACCCCAACGCCTTTTTCAAATGCTAAACGCCTATCCATGCAGTTTTGTTAGCCCTTTATTGCATACGCACAACCATTTTCTTCCCCCCCATATCCCCTTTCTTCAGCATGTCCAATCCGCTCACCACCACCTCCAAACCGCCATCCATGACGTGGATTTCTGGCAGCTTCAGCTCTCCAGATTGGAGCATACGATTCAGCTCCTCTGCGTAGAACGTATTTGACCTGTCGAGCACGAATTGCTTCATTTCCACCGTGTGTGCTGTTACATTCTCAGGGACGACCTGCTTCGACGACATCATCGCCAAGGGGGCAAACTCGACGGCAAAGGTTTCCGAAACACATTGCAGAACCAGTGTCGCAGTCTTCGGGCCCACTAAGTCAATCGCTCGTGTAACCTTTCCGCCGGTAACAGCTTTGATCTCCGACACGATCTCGTCGTCACTCTTGCCGTCTCTGGATACGACATGTGTTGCTCCAAGCCTCTGCGATAGGTTCTTCGTTCGCTCAGAGGTTACGGTGATCACGTTCAGTCCACTCGCGATAGCGTACTGGGTTGCAAATTGGCCTGTTACAGTGGAGCCTCCCCAAATCAGAAGCCAGTCCGATTCATGGCTTTCTTTTAGTGCTCCGGTGGTTTCTGGCAACGGCACTCCCAACCACTTCCATAGGGCCATTCCAGCGGTGAGTGCAGCCACGCCCAGACACGCCGCAGATTCGAAGTCGAGATTGGCGGGAATTGGGAGCACTGTGTGCTCGGGCACTACTACAAGCTCTTGAAAGCAACCAGCTCGGACGTCACGGTAATATGTGCTTGTCCAGACTCTGTCTCCTGCACTCAGATTCTTGACGTTCTTCCCGACCTTGTGTACTACACCAGACATCTCGCGGCCGGTTACCTGGTGGCTGTTAGATTACTTCAGTGGTTGACGTTTGTGGAGGTACGTACCCATGGGAACTTAGGGAGGCAAAAGTTGTAATCCACGGATTTCCAGTCGATTGGGTTCAAGCCAACACAGTGGTTCCGGATCATCACTTCATCGTCGTCCAGGTGTGGGACAGGATGGCTATGTCGAACTTCATATTGACCCTTCTCCGCGACGACTAATGCCTTGTGGAATTGGAGATGTGGATATTCGGTCTTGTTTGGGCTTTCTACGATCTCGACGGCCGAATCATACTGCACGTCTTTCTTTTCGCCGACAGTAATCGTAGTGCTGCTACGTTTGGCCCGATGGCGACGAGCCTTCTTCAGTAGCCCGCGGATGCTCTGCCACGATGTTGTCCTGATACCCAAGGGCTGTGGTTGGGTCTGAACGGTGGCCATTGCTACCAGTGCGGAATACGTCCGAGATAACGGATTAGAAATCCAAAAGGCTGAAAGAGGGACAAGATACGATGGTGGTCTGATTGTCTAAAGATGGTGATTCTACCAGGAGGACATGATGGTGATATACAAATAGGACGCAACGGGACGTTTCAAGTTACCGGCAGTGGTAAGCTTCTCCTTCGTGCTTGGGTAGTGGGATAAGGTCACAGAATCGGTATGACAAAAGGATTTTGCATCGCGGAAGCCACTAGAATACAGGGCCGATTTGCCCTTTTCCGACCCGCGTGCGCCTATCATACATAGGGCGGATGGCGTGCGCGCTCCCCGTTGCCAGATTTGCGTTCCCTGCCCTCCCGCAGGCCAAAGGAAGAGTCGGCATCGAGCAAATGGGACCTTTCCTCTTCCGTCGGGCCCTAGTCGAACCCACTTTCGGGTACTAGGAGCAGAGCCGATCGCTTCGGAAGCCTTCCGATATCAGCCGTGACCACCATCTGATCACCAACAACAACAGATCTAGGAGTTTGTAGGCTCAAAAGACCAAATCCTATGGGCTATACCCATGGCCCTACTACCCATAGCCCTACGGCTAAGTCTCCGACGAGAGTTGATGTTGAATGTTCCGCAGGCTTGCGTTTGATCTAGCGACTAATCTACAGTACAGCTCCTGGCATATTAACTACTGCCGTAACTAAATATCAAACATTCACTCCAGAAATTACTCACAACAGATTTTTCCAGTAATACCAATTTCGTCAAGATGGGTTCCGTCAATCCCCAGCGGCCGGTCCGCGTCATGAACATTTCTGGATCCCCATCTGACCGCCGAGATGCCATCGCAATCGCCGCCGCATCCAATGAGCCAATCGACGTGTTTGTTGGAGACTGGATGTCAGAAGTCAACATGACGACACGAGCATACGATATTGTCAACGACCTGGGCGTTGGATACGAGCCAACATTCATCGACGCGCTCGAGCCGGCTCTGGAGAATATCGCCAAGAAGAAGCTGAAGCTAGCAGCGAATGCGGGCACAGTTGCGACGAAAGAGCTGTTCGATATTGTTGTATCCATGGTAAATGAAGAGGGACTGGATCTGAATGTTGCTTGGGTCGAGGGTGACGCGGTGCTAGATCAAATCTAAGCATCACTGAAGAAGGGCCCGTCTTCATTCGTCAGCGTATGTACTGGACAGTCATTGGCAGATTGGCCATATGAGCCAATATTTGCACAATGCTATCTTGGCGGCATGGGCATTGCGAAGACTTTCGGAGTTGGTGCAGACATTGTCATATGTGGCCGAGTAGCCGACGCATCCCCGATCATAGGGGCAGCAGCATGGCGGCATGGCTGGGCGGTAACAGATTTCGATAAGCTTGCACAGAGTCTCATTGCTGGTCACCTTATCGAATGTTCGACCTATGTGACTGGCGGTAACTACACCGGATTCAAGAGCTTGGATTGGGACACGATGCATGACTTTGGGTACCCCATTGCAGAAATATCCCACGACGCAGATGTCATCATCACCAAAGTCGAGGGAACTGGAGGAATTGTCATTGTTGAAACTTGTAAAGAACAGCTTCTTTACGAGATTCAAGGCGCCTACTACCTAAATAGCGATGTCACCGCTGTCATCGACAAAGCCAAATTCACAGAGATTGGAAAGAATTGTGTGTGTCTTTCTGGAATCACTGGACTGCCTCCGCCGAGTACGACAAAGTGCGGACTTACGGCATTTGGCGGCTACAAGGCAGAGATTCACTGGGCACTAGTCGGACTTGATATTGAAGAGAAGGTCAAGATGCTAGATATCCAGATGAAGCACAGTTATGGAAAGGAGTGGCTCTCCAAGTTTACGACATTTGACCTCACCGTCTATGGTTCCGTGGAGAGAAATCCCAAGAACCAGAACGCTGCAACAGTTGACTTGCGGCTTGTGGTCGAGTCGAAGGATACTAAAGCCCTGTCAGTAGAGACCTTCATAAGGCCAGCATTCGACATCATCATGCAATCTTTCCCGGCGGCGACCTACCATCCAGACCGGAGAACAGCGTCACCTATACCAGTAAGTTCTGTCAATGCGTCCACACAGTAATAGTCGCTCATATTTCAACAGTATCAAGAATACTTCCCAACTCTCATCCCCCAACCAACACAAACAATCCACTTCTCCAATTCTTCTATGAAATCCATCATACTGCCACCCCCTTCAAACACCATTCCTCACAAACCACAACAGCCCTCCTATCCTCCCACTTCCCCCGTCTCCCTCACATCCTTCGGCCCCACCACTCCGTACCTCTCGGCTACGTCGTTCTTGCACGCGCGGGTGATAAGGGCTCCAACTGCAATATTGGTCTGTTCGTTCGACACGGAGACGAATGGGCACGGCTGCGCAGCTTCCTGAGCCTGAAGACATTCATCGAGCTACTAGGGGAAGAATACCACGGACAGCAGATCGATCACATGGAGTTTGAGCAGCTGTGGGCGGTGCATTTCTTGCTACATGATTGGTTGGATCGGGGCGTGACCGCGAATGCGACGTATGATATCCTAGGCAAATTCTTAGCGGAGTATCTCAGGTGTAAGATTGTAGATGTGCCGAATGTGTTTCTAGAGAGGGGGAAGATCTAGACTGTTAGAGATCTGAAGTGTAGCGGTATCTTGTTCTTGTAGCTAGTTTTGATGCACGTGGATCACATGTGACGTTCGCACTGCCTTGCCTAATCCGGTAATCGTCAATAGTCGCTTGGTGTTCCAATGTCAAACGCAAACGCCACTTCAATCCCGTCGTACAACACGGATGCTAGATCCAAAAGAGCAATGTGTGCGGTGACATGCATCCGCTTTTCGGTCTTTCTGGCCCGGAGTTTCCCACCTGTGTCATCTATCCTTATCTCTTCAGGCCCTCCTGAGTCAGGCTATTCTTCGGGGCCTCTCCATTCCCCCTCTCATCCCTCACCACCGCCACCCGTCCTCGCCAGCCAGTCGGCCTCGACTCGCGGCCTAGCGTCCCAGCAACCATAAGTTAGGTATATCAAACCGCGCAGTCCGACATGCCTATTGGTGGGGGGAGCTGTCAACCTGAAGTGCCAGTCCAGAACGCGGTGCAGGATCCTGGGACGATGCCCAGGTTGCGCAAGTATGGCGGGCAGGGTCCACGACGATCGTGTTCTAGGGATTAGGAGGGGAAAATGGTCTTCGTTATCAACGAGAGAGGCGAGGGGAGCTTAGAGTTCGTTGAGAAAATGCCGAGATATATGTACAGGAGGCCCACGGCGCGTGGCCGCAAGCATACTTCCCTTCTTACTTGCGCCTCTCAATGAGTTCATATACTTGCCTATTCTCTGCTTTCTCTTCTACGTTATCACGAGTGTATGAATCACGAGTTCCACGCGCATGAACGCAATGAGAACACAGGACAGCGCGAACAGCACTGCTGCTACAGACAAACCAAAGCCTGTGAAAAGGGCGAGGGTTGCGGTGGCCTGCCAGAGGTGTAAAACGAGGAAGAGATATGCTTGCCCTTTTCTTGAGCAACGCTTCCACAGTCGCAATCCCACCCTAAGCATTGATCACAAAATCCCCGAGAATCTGAAGCATGAAAGTTATTCTGAAAGAGCAACAAAACTAACCTTTCCAGCACAGATGCGACGGCGTCCACCCCACTTGCGCCAACTGCCGTAACTTTCAAGCGAATTGCGAGTACATCGTGCCCTCCAAAACCGTGAACGGTACCCGCGAGCAATACTTCCGCGCCATCGAAAACCGCGTCGCTGAACTATAAGGCATTCTTATGCGCGAGGGGATAGAAACGAGGGCTTGGTGCACTGGAAGAAGCTACAGAAAGAGCTGGGTTCCGCCGGGAATGCAAATGCGAATGGGAGCGGGAGCGGGGGCGGTGGCGGGGGCGATGAGGCTGGTAGTGATAGTCCGCCCAAGAATTCAATGACTGTAGCATTTAGCAGTGTAAATGGGATCGGGGATTGGTGGTCGAGTTCGAGCACAGCGCCAACCCCTACGAATGCGGTGGCTGTGAGGAGGCATACGAAGCGGCCGAGTGTGTCATTTGATGTTGGAGATTACGCTGAGAGCCGGACCGATCTAAACGATTTCGGAGGCGTGGAATCGGTAGTTGAAATTCTAAGGGACTTGTCGCTGGAGGCTGGTGGGGGGTATATTGGCGCTTCTTCACATATCACGATGGGCCGGATGATCGGATCGATAGTCAAGGCGAAAGAGACCTTCACAGCAACGAATGGACGGGGAATCGAAGAGCATCTTAGCCCGAAGTCGGTATGCACGGCTGCAAGTCCACCGGATGGGATACTAGAGGCGCGACATGTTCCAGCGGATATTGCGGAGAGGCTATTCAAGGGGTACTTGAAGCACATTTCGACACGATGGCCAGTACTACGGACGCCATATGTACGCAGGCTACATGCGGAGAGGTTGAATCTGGTCGATCCGTACTCTACTGCGCTTTTGCACTTGGTGTATGCTATTGGGGGGCGATTCCTAGAGACCACGGGCGAGGCGGGTAATTTCTTCCCGGAAGAGCACCATGCAGCAGCACTGCGACATTTGGATGAGATACTACAGTATCACGAGATCCGATCTGTAGAGGTGTTGCTTCTTTTCTCGATATACAGCTTGAGAGCACCGAGAGGACCAGGCGCTTGGACGTATGTTGGACTCGCTATGCGGCAGTGCATTGACATGGGGTTTCATCGAAGAACTCCTCGGAAAAGGAGGCCGCTTATGGAGACTGAGATGAGGAAAAGGGTCTTTTGGTCTTGTTATTATCTTGATAGACCAGTATCTATCATCTTAGGAAGACCGTTCGCAATCTCTGATCGGGACATCGATGTTGAAATAAGTGCTTTCCTCTCATCTAGAACAACTAAATCCGTGCTGACTACCAAAAGTTACCCCTGGACGTCGATGAAGCTGTCGAAGACCCTGCGTTACTCAAGCAGGCACATCGTGCCGCAAAGATACATGGGGACCAGCCTCCCGCCAAATCATCATCTATGAGCTGCTTCATCCACATATGCCGCCTAAGAATCATCGAATCCAACATTCAGCAAGCGATCTACCGTGTCGATCAACCCACTAGCGTAACAGAACCAGAAGCCGAGAGATTTGTACTACAACTAGAGCAATGGAAAGCAAATATGCCTCGAGATGCACGAAACCCTGACACTCCCTCAAATGTAGAACTAGACTCCATGTCCATGGACGGTTACGACTACCACGTACGTCTCTCCTCCCCCTCTCTTCCAACCTTATCCACAAACACTCACCCGAGGTCTATAGATGGTGTACTACTACAAATGCATGCGCTTCCTCCTCCATCCCCGCCTCTCCCGGCAACAAACAAACACCCAGTTCCTCCGCAAATGCGCCGAAGCCTGCGGCGGCGTGTGCCAGACCTACAAAAAGCTGCATCAGAACGTCTCGGCCGGCTTCTACCTCATGGCGCTGCACTGTCTTCCTCGCCGGGCTGACCCTCATCTACTGCGCCTGGATATCGCCGCGCGAGGTCTTCGGCATCGTGCTATACATCATCACGGAGCGCTGGCCCGGCGCGAAGAAGTACCGTGATGTGTTTGAGACGATTAAGCAAAATGCGCTGGATAGTATTGAGGAAGGGAAGTACGCGCCAAGGCGGGCAATCAAGAAGTTGAGGCCTACGCTGAGGCAGACGCTGCGGACGATAGATAAGAATGAGGAGGGCCAGGAGGAGTTTGAGGCTATGGTCGCGGATATGGCTGGAGCGGAAACTGAAGCCAGCGGTGAGGGGAGTTTAAGCTTAGGCACGAGTCCGAATACCGAGAGGCACGATAGTCACGACTTTGGAAATGGGGATATGGAAGGGGGGCAGTTTACGTTTGGGCCGCCGCTGGACAACCTGCCGTTGGATTATCATGGGGGCCAGTATGGGATGGAGCTGCAGGTTCGGATGTGCAGGATTGGATGCTGCATGACGCGCTGGATTTGAGTGTGTTTGAGATTGATGGGTTTCAGGCTGATGCAGGGCATTTCTGATGATGGGGAGGTTGTGGAAAGCGGCATGACCTCTGCCCTGCCTGCTCGCCGTTGTATTCTTTGGTGGCTGGCTAGGAACGACCGCTATCTTGCTTTGGTCTTGTCCTGCGTTCCTGCGTGGATGAACTGAACTCTTACAATTTGAGTAAGGGAAAGCTCCTAGAATTCACCCAGGGGTATATACATTTAGAGTGTGTATAACAGAGGTATCCTACACAAGTCACATGACTCTGTGAATATCAATTTGCATAACTGCTCAATCTTACTTAATACCTTATCACCCAACCCCTCCCCTCTCTACCCACCACTCTTAACGTGCACTCCACCAATCAGACGCCATCGGCAGCTCTCAGCCGACTCTATCGGAACAGCGCTCTTGTTCCGATATCACAGAATATGTGAGCACGCTTGCGAATGACGAATCGTGGATCCCTGGGACTCGCGATAAGAGACGTATGTACTTAGGAGCTGTGTAGAGGGAAGTAAGCGGGGTAAAATTCGGCACTTCAAGCTGGAGGGATGATGGCGGCGGCAGGACTTCTTATGATAGTCAAGGTGCCATTGGTAGCACGTGGGTGAGTACGAGGAATATGCAGGTACGGTAGCTAGAAGGGCTAGTTGGGGACGTTGTGTTCCGTATCTGTAGATTGTGATAGAATAGAGACCCCAGACTCTCTCTTCTCTACACTTTTCTTCTTATTCGTATTTACATCCTTTCTTCCGCAATAATCGCAAGTTAATCTTTTCTTTTTCATACTCTAACTCACACATCCTATCCTAAACCATGTCCTCCTCCCCCAAAGATTCCCTCCTCTTCACTCCCCTCCCCATCGCCGGCGGCAAAATCACTCTCAATCACCGCGTCGTCTTCGCCCCTTGCACACGAAACCGCGCTGTTCCTTTAAACAAAGAGCCGACACCAGAGAACCGAAATCGGATATGGTATCCAGACGAGCTGGTAGCGGAGTACTACGCGCAGCGGGCGACGGAAGGCGGGCTTTTGATATCTGAGGGGATACCTCCAAGCTTAGAGGTGAGTTTGGGTGGGTTCTTTAATCTTAGAAAGGGGGAACAGGAATCTTGGGGGGGTTAAGGGATGATATGACTATATATGTATAGAACCTGAACATTTGTAATAGTATTCATCCGAAAATGTTACTCGAATACTAACGCTTCTTTCCCACCTAGGCCACAGGGGCACCAGGCGTCCCCGGCCTCTTCCACCCCTCCCACCTGACCGGCTGGCGCCTCACCACCACCGCCGTGCACCGCCGCGGTGGCTTCATCTATGCTCAGCTCTGGCACGCCGGCCGCACTACCCTCCCCCACCTCACCGGCACCCCCTCCGTCAGCGCGTCCGCAACACCATGGGATGACCCTTCTGAGCAGAAGACCATCCGCCGCCTCCCACCCCTATCCGACGAAACCGTCCGCTTGGCTGACTACCCACCAACCGAGCTTACGCAAGAGGGAATCAGGAGGACAATAGCAGACTATTGCAACGCTGCACGGATGGCAATGGAAGCTGGGTTCGATGGAGTGGAGGTGCATGGCGGGAACGGGTATCTGCCCGAGCAATTCCTGTCGTCGAATATCAACGTGCGGAGTGACGGGTACGGGGGAAGTGCGGAGAAACGATGCCGGTTCGTTGTAGAGCTGATGGAGGCGCTGGCGGCGGCGGTGGGGGAGGAGAACGTAGCGATAAGGCTGAGTCCGTTTGGGTTGTTTAATCAGGCTCGGGGGACGGAGAGGGTTGAGACGTGGGGGCATTTGTGTAGGGAGTTGAAGAAGTGCGTGCCGGGGATGAGCTATGTTAGTTTTATTGAGCCGGTGAGTAATCAAACGCAGTCAGAGGTTGATCTTGGGGTGTGGGTTTAGGGGGCAAGAGCGCTGATGTTTGAGCAGAGATATGAGCAGATCTTCAGCACATCAGAGAAAGGTTCGTTCCTCTCGTCATGGGGGCTAGAAAAGGCGGATCTCTCCCTCTTCCGTGAGATCATGGGCTCGACCCCTTTTTTCTCCGCCGGTGGCTGGAACGATAAGAATTCCTGGGGTGTGCTGGAGTCGGGTGTCTGCGATGCCCTCCTATATGGCCGCTACTTCCTCAGTAATCCAGACCTGGTGGAAAGGTTGAAGCACAGCTGGCCATTAGAGAAATATGATCGAGCCACGTTCTATGGGCCTTTTGAGGATCGGATTTACCACTACACCGACTATAAGCCTTGGCAACCGGAGAGCATAGAGGTTGTTGAAAGGGTCGAGCCGGAGGATGTGAAGCCAAGTGCTTTGTTTAAGAAAGGCGAGGTGATGATGGAGGCGCGGGAGGTTAAGGTAGTAGCATGAGCTAGATCTTGAGCATAGCCTGCGCTAGGAGGCTCATTCCGCATTAACAAATCCAGATTGTAATGACTAGTAGCAAATCAGGATATAAAACCTAGGTGTAAACCGGAAGTGTATTCTCCCCATTGTGATAACTCTTGGCAGTCTAAAGTCCCGTAGGGAGGTCGAGGAATTCATAGACTCTCTACGGAATCTATGCTGTGATGTCCGGAGCCATTCATGCAGGTGTGCACGAGAATAACTTATGTGTCAAAGACACTAGTTCACAGCCCCTTAACACAGGGTTGATCGCTGATTGCGAAGACAGTTTGCTTCATGAGAAGTGAGTGTAGAGAGGTGAGAGGTGATTGTCCTGGAGTTCAAGGCACGGCCCACCTCGGTGAACTACCCCTGAAACCACAGCATTCATACGATTCTAGCGTCATATCTCGGGTGACACACGCTTTTCACAACGCTTTCGACCTCGGCTCAAGAGGACTATACGTCTGGCGGATAAATCGCTTTAACTTCCATCCACTAAACATTGAACACCCAGATTCTAGCAGACATGTCCATCGAACTACGTCCAATGGAGGAGGACGACTGCCTAGAATGGATGCGCATCCGCTGGATCGCATACCAAGGCCCAACGAATCTCATCGTCCACCATCGTCCAGTGTCCGACGAGAGTCTCGCCAAGGTAGCAGAACAACGGAAAAAAGAGTTTCATAATCCAGGAGCCTACCATTGGAAGGTTGTGGACGTCGAGACTGGGAAAATGATGACCGCTGCGAAATTTGAGTTGCACAACACACTGGATAAGAGAGAAGATGATAGAAATGTGTCCATCAAAAGTAACGAGGCCCCATTCGTACCACCAGAAGTCAACATACCGGCCCTCATGGCACTGCTGGGACCTCTTGGCCAAGCCCAGAAGGAGATCATGGGCGATCGGCCATACCTACTGCTCGACACGCTGTCTACTCTTCCAGAATACCACCGGAGAGGTGCTGGGGGCATGGTGGTGAAGTGGGGGGCAGAAAAAGCAGACGAATTGGGCATAGAGTTCTACTTGACCAGCTCGATGATGGCAAGACATCTTTACGAGAAATACGGCTTCGTGTTAGTCAAGGATATGTGGTTTGATCGAGTGCCCTGGGGAGGAGAGGGCGTAGATTGGCATGGAGTAAGTTCCAACTTTCCTTGGTTCCTATCAGAAGACCCCTTGACTCTTTAAATCGTTCGTCAAGTACTTCTGTGATATGAATCAGTCCTGAAATTGGAGGCTGATCTTTTCAGTGCATGGTCAGGAAACCGAACCCAAAATCAACGTAGAATTCAGTCCTAAACTCGAGATGATCTTTAACCTTAATCATAATGGATGGCTGCAACCAGATTCTCGCTCTCATACCTATTCTCGGCCACAGCGCTTCATGTCCACGTGGCTGATTACCAGGAATAGATCTATCTCAGCTCTAACATTTTAAGTCTAGATCGCAGACTGGAATAACACTGATGCTCCAATCAAAGGTGCCAAGGAACGGGAAAGGGGCCACCAAGATGATGGTGAGGCCGGAATGTGCAACAGAATGCGAGATACGAATTCGCCAAAGTAGACGGCGTCTAACGTTGTAATTCGCTGAGCTCTGTATTCGCTGTGAATATAAAGAAAGACCAGCAGCGTTGTCATGAAGTCAAGTCGAAAACATATGCAGCCAGTCCGTATACTATCATTCCCAAGATATAGTCAATTGACACTAAATCATCTCTTTAGATCGCGTCAACTGTATCACCCTATAGAAGATTACGCATGTTACAAGCACGATGAAACCATCGAATCGCGCCGGAACTCCTACGATGTCTGCCTCACACAGCGGCAGCTCGTCGCTCGTCGCTCTTCTCCTTCTCATTCAGTCTCTGACACTGATTAGTATCCTGATTGTCCTCGCCATGGGCCTCGTCGAGCTCAAGAAACCATTGGTGGCGTCTGAGGATCTACCCACCATTTCGAAGAATATCTACTCGTTAGCGACAGCATTGACAGAACAAAAGGGCATCCTGACCGGCTTTGGAACGAGCATGAATCCATTCAACATACAGTGGACGCAATAGATCTGGAATTGGCCTTTCGTACTACAGCGCTCAAACTTATTGATCTGTGCCAATATCTTTGCCGCTGTTGAGGGAGCTTTAAGGCATTATCGGAAGCCTGAACAGCACGTCGAGCTTTTGGGGGCACGATTCGTGCAGATTCGTGATCAATCATTCAGAGATCAAAGGAGCTGAAGATCTTGGGAATCGAAGGCCAGTAGGGTACGAAATTGGCGGTAGTATTTTTCAGGTGTATTTTTGAACATCTGGGATTCCTTTGGCTGCACCATGGCAAAGAAGATGCTTGCAACTTTTTCTATGTAGAGTGGATGTTGGCAGAGTAGCTTTAGCTGAAGAAAGAATAAGAATAGCAATCACGCCAGCTTCATCGTTCATCAATGCTGGGGTTCGTTGCCCATTTCTGTGGCCTGAACTAGAGTGCCATGTCGATGACATCTTCGACTGGGGAAAGAATTCCGCAACTGCGTCACGCTAACTGAACAAGTACCTTGTAACTGTCGAGGCACGTTTATCCTATTGAAGCTTGTCACAAATTCATCGGGGAAATGTGAATAGTGTCAATTCTGACCAATCACATCCCGGCTAGCTGCCGCTAATATTTCAAGCTCGTCCACCTCAATCGTCACAACCTTCTTCCAATATCCCACATCACGATGTTAAGACCTTCCTTCCTTCTAGCATTTCGATCTCTAGCCCTCGAGACACCGCGACCATGCATCCGCTGCGCATTCCATCCCCACCGCGCCGCCCCACGCGTCACATCCAACCTCCGACTCTTTTCCTCACGCCCACGGCTACAAACCTCAGAAGAGAGCTCCCAAGATGACGACGGCTTCGTCCCCCGCGCCCTCGGCCGCCCAATCGGCTTCCACTACCCTCCCCGCCCAGGCGAAAACACCGGCTACGACAGCCGCAACCTACGGCAGCGCAAAAAGGACTTCACAAACTACGACCGCCATATCGAGAAGCGCAAGCAATTGTAAGCCTACACCTCCCCTTCCCAAGCCCCGCTACTGTCACTACGGAACAGCAATGCTAACGGTACCTGTGTGCAGAACCGCGAAAATAGCCAAGCCCTACTTCCGCGACTTCACCATGACAAAGTATCGCGAGGGCAAATCCTTCCTCGCGAACCCCAAGATTTTCAAAAGCTCTGCGGCGCTCTACTTCCCGAACCTGCACGGCAAAACCCTGGCGTCTGCCTCGCCAACCGATACGACGCCGGTGCTGAAGGGGAAGGTGTCGATTGTCAGTGTGTGGTCGAGCTTGTGGGGGGAGAACCAGGTGAAGACGTTTACCGGGGTGGACCAAAATCCGGGGTTGCAGGAGTTCTTGAAAAAGAATAAGGAGCAGGCTCAGAGGGTCGATGTGCATATCGAGGAGAATCTCGCGAAGGCGTGGTTGGTGAGCTTGTTCCAAAATCGATTGAGGAAGCAGCGGGCGGAGGAGGATTGGGGGAAGTATTTCATTGTGAGGAAGGGCATTGATGAGTCGATAAGGGAGACTATTGGGATATTGAACGGGAGGGTGGGGTATGTGTATCTTCTGGATGAAGAGTGTAAGATCCGTTGGGCGGCGAGTGGGAATGCCGAGGAGGGGGAGCCGGAGACTATGATGAAGGGGCTTCAGAAGCTGGTGGATAGCGTCCCAGTGCTAAATGGCGGGGCGTCAAAAGTGGATGGGAAGGTGAAGGCTGTAGCTGCAACTGCTGCAGTATAGAGGCTGCTGTGTATTTGTCCATTCAAGCTGGCCAATGTAAGAAGAAATGTAATAGTACAATTTGAACGATGCTGCTTCAACAGTTGCGCATGTCCTGCACCATGCAAACCCAACAAATGTGATTGTCCATCACGCATCCTCCAAACTCCGTCCCTAACGCCCACGACGCCGTGCCAAATGTACGCTCCCTTGTAACAACCTTAATCACCAGAACCACAGTAACATCAGAAAACAAAACGCAATGAAGCTTCCCAGGATTATGCCATCTCTCCTTTTCTTCGCCCCTATCCGTCCGATCAGGCTGTTGATCCCCGGCACTTGGCTTGCTGCGCCAACAATCCTCCGATTTATGCTGGCGAGCGATTCCCTCTGGATCCCAAAGTTCTCATTCACGGCATACGCCTGGGAAAGGACGCTGTCGGCCATGGTGTGGCTATTGTCGATTCGCCGCCGCTCGTCGAGCATGTACTCGGCCTCGGCGTTGGCAGGGTTCGAAGAGCGGTACGCATCAATGTCAGATCGGACGTTGGAGAGGAGGTTGGCCTTGTTGCGCGCATCCGCTATCGTTGACCGCAAACGAGCGAGTTCTCGGCGGTGGTCCTGCAGGACTTCTCGGTGGCGTGCGACGTGGGTCTGTTTCATGGCCGAGGAGGTAAGGGCGGATTCGGAGTCAAGGAGGCGGGAAAGCTGTGCTATGAGGGCCTCGCGCTGGCAGTTGTGTGAGCATTGAATATATGTATTGCCGAGGAGCCGCAAGCTACCTTTTCAAGGACCTCTTGCAATTGTTTCTCCGTTCGTAGCTCCTCTTCCGAAGGTTTCTGGGGTATGTGTGTCATGGAGGCATACTGCGAGTATGTATGGAAGAGCGTTTCGGTCTGTACTCCCTTGTCAGCGTCTTGAATCTTCAACATAGATATAAGAAGAACCCACTTGAGTCTCTAACGAGCGAGCCTGCTGCCGGAGCTGCGCCCACCCGCCACCGGTCGAAGACATGTCGATTTGTTGCTACACAAGGGCTGTGAAAGCTTAGAGGAAGTGGAGTGTCCAACGTCGCCAGTGACGACGCCTGCGGTTTGGGGAAAGCTGCGCACGGGCCACAGTTTCGGTGCTGGCGAACTATTTTCCGCCCGCCAAGCCCACGTCCAGAATTTCGAACTTCTCAATCGCCAACGAGACGACGACGAACTCCACGACAACTGCAATTCCACCCGCAGCCTCGACAACCGCCACGATGGTCAGTATCGCTCTCTTGCTATATCATGGGAACTCTTTCCTGTACTGCGTGCCCAGCGCTAGCTTCTCGATACTGCCACGACGCGCGAAGTGAGGGATGTTCGGACAGCATAGCCTTTACGACGCCTCATTGTCGCAGCCCACTCCATCTACTGTCTCCGAGGAGATAGGGCTCTCTAGAATAATTGCTGATTGCGTTGTGAATTACAGAGTTCGACCAAAGTCAAGCCCGCCGCTCTCTGGAGCAAGAACAAGGAGGACCTCAACCGTACGGCACCCGAATCCTTCACACGAGACCACCACTAAACCAGGACACAGAACAGCTCATCGAGCTCAAGGGAGAGCTGATCAGCTTGAGGACTTCGAAGGTTCGAATACAGTCCTGGAATCGGCCTTGGGAATATCACATATTGACAAGCGCCTAGGTCGCCGGTGGTGCCAGCAGCAAGCTCACGCGCATCCATGATGTCCGCAAGGGCATTGCCCGCGTCCTGACCGTCATCAACGCCAAACAACGCGCACAACTCCGCATCTTCTACAAGGGCAAGAAGTACCTACCGTTGGATCTCCGCGTACGCATATACCAACCCTCCTTATCGGACTTCTAACTCACAACCCACCAGCCCAAGGAAACCCGCGCACGGAGGCGAAGACTCACAGCCCACGAGGCCGGCAAGGTCACCGAGAAGCAGAAGAAGAAGCAGACGCACTTCCCCCAGCGCAAGTATGCCGTCAAGGCATAGGCGGTGCATCTTGTTCTCTTTCCTTCCTTCTCACGAGCATTACGTTGCGGGTTACTAGTGTCGCTTTCCCTGGTCCAGCGATGTACCTTAACAACACCAAAATCACGATCGAACGGCCACCGGCCTACCAACGGAAAGGGGATGGTGGAGATATTGGGGCGAACAATGATTGGGGGCGTGGAATGGAATTCGAGGATGGTGTTTCAGACTCAACTAGCTGAGGCTTCATTCAAAATCTGAATAACCCGCATCCTGACGTGTTTAGTGGCTTATTGTTTGCTCATATTGACCCAAATGCAGATGGCACTCGCTTCTACTGTCAACCACACACAGCGTGCATATGGAACACCGGACGAGCAATATACTGATCAACGCAGCCTAGAAGCAGTCGCATATCTACTTACCACAGATTGTTCTACATCTTGCACCACTCCTCGAAGCCCAAACACGAATACACCAATACCCTATAAGAGAGCAATATTGCAACGACAGATACCTCCTAGACAAAATACGACACGAGCCCACCCACCCATATCAGAGCACGCAACGCCAAGAATAACCCCAAATAATCGCCTGCAGCATATCATTATATTTTCATCCCAGGCTACCCCCTCCTATCTTCCTCGTTTGCTTCCCTTGACTTTTCGGCCCACACACCCCGTTCTCCCCTCTACCCACTTAACAAATCCCTAACACTCATCCCCCGCCCACCCCAACTCCTCCGATCCGTATTCAACATCAGCAACGCCTCCGTCGCCTCCCGATCCTCGCAATCACGCTCATCAGGCTGCGGCCCTAGCGCCGGCGACGTCAGACTAAACGCGTCTCGGCCACCCTGTCCCTGACCCGACACAGATCCCGAAAACGGATTCCGGAACGTAGTACCCGACTGTGCGCTGAAGGCAGGCGATGTCTGAACGGACGGCGAGGCGGCGGTGGATCGCAGCGAGGAGGTCAGCGAGTAGTGGTGCGGGTCCGAGGGCCGGAGGGCTGGGGAGGTGGTGAGGGAGTAGTGGCCGGCGCGGACATCGGAGGCGTGGAGGGCGGGCGAGGGGTGCGCGGAGTAGACCGAGGGGTTGCGGTCTGTGGGGTAGAGAGCGGGAGAAGTTGTGGAGGAGGGCGGTGGTGGGAAGTGCACGGCTGGCGCGTTGATATGGGTCGGCGACACGGCATCGGACATCTCTTCGTCGTCCTGGTCGTCGTCCTCGTCCATATCCTCGCCATCATCCTCAGGCCGTTGGACCGGCGGCGTATCCTGCGGCGACACCGGCGCGGTCGACGGCCGGCGCGAGCGATGCGAGCCCTTCAGGTCGACGACGCACTGCTCCAGATACCGCATGTAATCAATGCTTGCCTACTCCTTAATTAGCCCCATCCCCAGGCCCAATCGCACACACCCATCGCCGCAAATGGGCACCCAACTCACCTGCAAAATCGCCAGCTTATGCATCTCCTGCCCCACACACGCGGGGATCATATCCTTCAGCACCCCAAACTCCTCATTCATCTTCGACCTTCTCCTCCGCTCAATCAGGCTATGCGCCGTCTTGCGCGCGATCTTGCGCCCCGCGGCCGTCGCACCGCCTTTCCCCGCCTTCTTCCCCGTAGTCCCAGTCCCCGTCCCCGTCCCCGTCCCGGCCCCAGCACTCCCACTTGCTCCTCCTCCCGCTCCGCTTTTCGCGAGCGCGGCCGCGTCCCCCGGCGGCTTCATCTGGATGATCTTGCGGCTCCGCGTCGGCGGCGGCGGCAGCGCGTACGCGCCCTCCCTCTCCTTGTCCTTGGTCACTGCATTGCTGCTCGCAGGCGCAGCCCGCTTCCGCGACGCCGCGGCCGGCGACGTGGGCGACGGCGGGCGGTAGCTCGAGTCCGAGGCCGCGGACGGGCTGGCGCTCGAGCTGGCGCGGCCGCTGGCGCTGCTCAGCGCGGCGGGGGGCAGGATGAAGGTCGCATCGAAGGAGGACGGGGTTGCGGCGGTGCTATCGTGCGGCTTGGCGGCGATGTCGTTGGAGGGGGCCGGGGTTGGGGGCGCCACGGGGGGTGGCATTGCGCGGTGTTTTGGGTTTTAAAGGAGGGAGAGGGGGAGAGAGTGAGGGCGAAGAAGGAGCTGGAGGGGTTGGAGAGGGCCATTGATATCTAGGTGGTGGTTAGATGGAATGGTGGGAAGTTGGAGGCACGCGACCACGGGCAGGCGTTGCGGGTGCTGATTGGGGGATTGGTTGGTGGTGTGCGGAAAGGGTATGGCGTGAACCTAAGGGTGCTGCCCCCCGCGCAAATGAGGGTGGAGGGACTGCGGCGTGCGCCTTTTTGCTGGCTGAGCGAGGGGCTTTGTTATCGGTGCTAGACACAGAGATGGATGGCCCAGTGGCGAGACTCCTTGCCAGTATTTCTTCACCGTGTGCTGTATGGAGAGCACGTGACTAGCATTTCGATGTTGAAATACTTCAGGAGGTCAATAGAGTGCTGGATAGCCCATAAGAGTGATGATTACATTACAAATGTAATTAGACATCTCCAGTGATTCAGCAGTAGTCTCTGAGCAGCCCTCAAATCCTCCGGAACCTGCAGAACGCTGCACAATGTGTGCCCCCAGCTCCCCTGATATCACATATGCTCGAAGATGAAGCATAGTCCCTGAACCTTCCTCATAATCCACACCGATGGAGTGAACCGCCAATAAGAGAACAATTCCAGCCAGCCTCAAACGCCGATGATACATGTGTGCGTGTCCCAGCCGCCAGACCAAAAAGTGCACGACGTAGACGTCGTAAAAGGAAAACCCCCATGACCGTATGTTTTACCCGACCCGCTTACTTTTCGAGCCAGCCCAAAGACTGCTCCCAGGCATCAAGCACATTAACGTCTCGCTCCCGAAATTAGCATAATATTACAGGGTAATAGGGACGGAGAGCTGCTCAGTGTGCAGCTCCAGCCCAAACCGTGCTCAGCCACCCACCCTGCTTCTTGGCCGCCATCCCAGCCCAGTCCTTCCAATTATTGCCGGCTACAAAGGCTGCTACGTCGTCACCGCCAAATCGCGTTTCGAGGTTGTTCAGCCATGTTTCCTTGGTTGCTGGCGACCACAGTGTCTGTTGCTGCTGCTGCGATTGAAGCTGCTGCTGAAGAGATAGTGATGCCTGACGGGCCTGTTCGCTAGGATGTCCGAGGTGGTTTCGTGCATGGTTGTTTGCATTGGATCCGTAGGGAGGTGCTGTTGAATAGCCCGCTTGTTCAGACGGGCGCGACGGAGAGAAATGCCGGTTACGTGGACTTGGCAACCCGGTTTGAAGGTGGTTGTAATGGTGACCTGGCATTGCGGCGTTCGAGTTGGCTGGCGTTCCGTTTCCGCTTTCAGATCGCTGGTGGCCAACTGTGTTGACTGGATTCCACACTCCACGGACCGATACGCTGTCCGGTGTACCATCTGCCATATCCATGGCCACATCACTCTTCATAGCTGAACTGCCAGCATCACTAATGTCGTCAAGTCCTTGCCCCAGTCGCAAAGACAAGTCGCCATCCACGTCAGCCATGTCGAGATCTTCGTCTTCTAAGCTGCCAAATTCTTTGAGAATTTTCTCAAGTAGCTTATACTCTTCTAAGCCGCCACCGGATCCGCCTTCTCGAAGGCTCAAATGCCGGTAGGATTCGGGCGAGTTGCCGCTCTCTGAGGACGCTTCTAGAGCTCGAGTGTTTCGTTCGAAGTCCTTCTTCATGCGTGAAAAGTACAAGTGCACCCGTCGGATTGTCTTGAACCAGCCGTCGGCCATTTGTAGACGTTTCCGCATGTGACCAACGATTTCAAGAGCCTTACGGGCAGCTTCGGCACCACTTCGGTCTGAAGACGAGTAAGAGCCATTGGATTGATTTCGGGCCTTGCACATATATCCGTTGGGGTCCATCCATGGGAAGTTGATGCAATATACACCTAAAAAGTGTCAGCCTTGTGATTGAAGGAAGCTATACTTATAGTGTGACTTGCCGCAAAAGGCAACTGTGTATGCCGCAAATCCGACGATTGGAGTCTCCACCAGCACTTGCCACTCTTGACACGTGCGCAACAAGTCAATCAAGTCTCGCGCAGATCTGAAACATTCCCGAGCACCGTCGTCCCAGAACCCGGGCGGTATCTGATACTCCTCAGGAGAGAAGATGGGAGGGTCCAGGGGACCTTGCGGTTTTGAGCAGCGAATAGGAATGAACGGGACATATTCTCTGTGAAGCACAATGCTGCACAACAAATGTACAGTATGCATGAGAGTATAAGGTGTCGATGTCCTGGACGTAATATGCGCAGATATGTTGGCTGCTGTGAGTGTAAGATCGCGGGGTAGAGTTTCCTTGAATTCAGCAAGCTGCCGTCGAAGAGTATAAAAGGTTGATCTTTGATCCCAAGGTGGGTATTTTTCACGCCTGGACAAGTCAACACTGCGAATAGACAAAGCTCATCTCGGAGTGACCATACCTCCGGCCACCTGCGCAGGACCATTTGACAATGCTGCTGTAGAGGTCTAGAGCCTTAATGAATCGGCTCAATACGCCCTCGTTAAGGCCAACCTCCCACCGGCCGTCGTCTTCGACTTCCCGCTCTCGGTCCGTCGAATGATTAGCATGAGCTCCTCTAAAGTTGTCTCCGTTCTCGTGGCTCCGCTCTCGGTCGCCGCTCCATGTCCCCAACATGACTGAGGCATGGCGTTCGTTTTGCACCTCAGCCCGACCGGCGTTACCATTGACCTCTTCTCCCAGCATTGGAGTTCTAACCTTCTCTCCAAAAAGAAAGGCCCTCTCGCTACTGGGAAGTTGTATTCGCAGCTCCTGAACGTTAAGCATTGAAGGTCGATATTTCCCACTACTAAGATATCTGTCCATGATGAAGCAGCTCCAGAATGTCCTCCGCCGGATTTCTTGCTCGATAAAAGCGTCTCCCTTACTAAGACCCGATCGGGGATGGTTACGATCGGTGCTAATCCCAAGGTGCTGAGCTTCGGTGCTCAAGGCGAGGGACCGAGCCAAGGGCATGTCGTCCAGATCCTGTTCAAATTGAAAGCCAAGAGCTTGAGCGGACCTGACTGCGACACCGACGGAAATCCAGGCTTTTACACCCTGGCACATTCCCCAATCGTGAAGTCCGAGCATTAGTAGGGCTTGTGTACTTTCGAGGGTAGGCACTCCAATAGAGTCGCCGTAGGCTCCTGCTAGTCGAGACTTGGCGGCGACAGAATAGTACTCAGCGGCTACCAGAGGATTACTGGGTCGCGACGAAGTTGCAGGAGAATGATGTGCGACTAGTGTTGGGTGAAATCGAGACGTCAACGCAAGAAAAGCAAGGAGCAACAAGGGAGATGCTGGAGGTATTGCCTGGGCATCCGTTGGTGGCGATTGCAAAGCAGATTGACGGAGTGGTTTCAAGAACGTTGGCGGATGTAGAAAAGGTAGGTCCGTGGAATAGTGCTGCTGGAATATTTCGAACTAAGCGTTGTTAGAGACCTACAGTATTCAAAAGTGAGGTCTCGTCCTACCAGCTCTGACCATATCTGCGACGTTAAGAGAGAACTGTCTAAGGCGTCTAGCATAGGCCGAGTGCTCTCCTTGGTCGGGATCGAGTGTGTAGAGGTGGGAGCCGCGATCTTCTTCGCCCGCGGCCGTCGAGGAGTCTGTGACGGTCAGCAAAAGAACGATACATTCGCCGCATGATAAGAGGTTGTCATTTCGCATGGGTAGGCATCTTCTCGTGCCAAGACTTCTGATATATCGACATCATTCGCCTCGGTACGTTGATATAGCCTCTTCGCTGTTGTCTTTCGCTTTATGTCGCCGGAGCTGCTACTCTACTCGAAATATGACATAGCCCATCGACGACCTAGCGCGTGAAGAGAGGGATAATTATGGTCAAGATGAAGTACAGCAGGTGGCCTGCCGAGACGCTAAGGAATGTCGATGTACCAAACGTCATATCACTAGGAGGAAAGCTTTGCAGATGGAGGGACTGAATGAAGGGGCGCATGGGGGCATAAAATTGAATCATGATTCAAGATTATAGGGCAGTGGATATTGAGCCTTACCTCTCCTTGTGGCGATACATCCGGCCCCCCACTAGGATGGCTAGAAGGCATGCTCTCCCGCCTCGCAGCTCCAGGACCCCAAGTCGCCGGCGACGGATAGGTACATTCTCTCCCCGAGGCCTCGCAGGCACGGCACGTCGTGTATACGCCATTGTTGACGCACTTGACCTTGCTACGGCGACAGCGCGCGCATGCGATGGATGACCTCATGCGAGGCACCAGGCGGCGCGCGCCGCCCTCGGCTTGCGTGCCCTCAATGTGTGCGGTGAGTAGTGGTCGCCGGACAAAGAGGTGTGCGGCGTGGTCGGTGGGCAGTGCAACCGAAGGTGGATGCAACGTATAATAGGGTGCGGAGGACGCGTTCGCGGCGGAGCTGGTGGGAGGGGGAGGGGGAGTGGGAGTGGGAGTGGGCTCCGCCGGCGGAGGTGCGAGCGTGGAGGAATTAATCTTGACGGTTGTCCGGGAAAATTGGCGGGGAAGCTGGGCAGCGAGCGTGGCGGGACGGTGCCTCGAGATCGGCGAGAACCAGGCGTGGTGGTGGTGAAAAGCATCAACAGACGGAACTGTGGTCGAGGTGAAGCTGTCTCCCAGAAGCTGGAGCCAATTGGACGCGGGCACAAGCGTGGCTGAAGAGCCGTTCGCCGGCAGCGGGTCGCGATGTTCGGGCCGGCAGCCTGTTCGTCGTGCGCGGCAGGGCTCGCGTCGACGGTAATCAGGGCGTCGGAGGAGCAGCAGCGGAGTCGGCGACGTTAGGCGACAGCTGTAGCAGCTGTAGAGGCTGGACGGGCGGCAAACAGTGCTCTGGGGTTGTTCGGCGGGTGTTGGACGGGCAGGAACACGGCAGAGGCAGAGGTCAGGCTTCGGCAGCGGCAAGGCTTTGTAGGAGAGTCTCACGCTGCTCGGCAGGCTCACGCTCCAGGCTGTGCGGGCGATCGACGTGCAGCAGAGCCGTTTCTTCCGGGAGCATCATCGGCCCTTGTGATGCTGAGGGTGGATGCGAAGCGCCGCCGACATGTCTGTTTTATATCCATATGCCCATCACGGTATCAGATGATCTGCTCGCTCCACCATGCTCCTTGACCATGCCACGATCCCCGCCGTCAAAGCCGACACTCTCCACGATGCTTAGGTGTGAATACCAGCCTCGCTGCTGCCGTGGCTCTCAAGGGACAGCCTGCCGCTCTGTTCCCGCGCAGCCGGCTTGGCCCCCGACTCTCTATGCAACTGTGCCTCCGAGGAGCGTCCGTCAGACCCTAGTGCGTCCGCTGAGGCTCCTCACACGGCGTACGGCCCGAGACCTGGTGTCCCGTGTTCGTCCTAAAAAGCATCAGCTGTGGATTGGGCTTGGTACGGAAGTACCACCGTGATTTCTGAGAAGATTCCGTCGCGTGACATAGTCTCGGTAGCAGATTGCTTTAGATCGCGTCACGTGACGGAATCTTCTCAGAAATCACGGTGGTAGTCTCCGCCATATTTTCTCCGTGGCACGAACATCGCTTCAGAATTGTAAACAAGCTGTACACGATGGCGGCTTCCAATGATTTCAGATTGTGTCGAACCTTCCTCGGATGGCTGCGTAATGAGTGGTCAGATATGATTGTGAAAATGTCCGGACTGCACAGTAAACGAGAATTTGGAGGGTGTGCTACGTCATAGTAGCTAATTCTCAATGCCAAGTAAACCTTTGCTTTATTCTTACCGATCGTGAGAGACTAAGAAGTGATACCTGGGCAGCACGGCACGCTCGGCAGCCCTGATAGGCGCCCAAAGAGCCCTAAGCCATATGCCCTATGCCAGGCATAATTATTGCACCAAGCGCCACCCCACAACTCTAACAGATCTTAAAACCCAAAAGCCGAGAGATGCAACCTTGCCCAGCAAACCTTCCCCGAAACATCAGCCTCCCGGACATCCTGCCGAGCCGCTATGGCTCCCGGCACGCCTAGTGCACTTAAAGGGTCCTCTCCTCCGTCAGGGCCCCATGTTCGGCTACGCGCGCATCGCCCAAGCGCCTTGCAGGCTTGCCTTTACCTTGTAGTAGACCCCGGAAAGACTCGTAAGCTGCTGCAAGTTTTCTCAGGTTGGTACAGTAGCAATATTACATTTTGCAATAGCAGTGCAATCTCGTACCTTACAGCCATTAATAAAGCAGAAGACAGAGAAATGGCAAACTGTTTATGATTTGGAGAGCACTCTTAGAAAGAAATGGTTGTTTCAAAGTGGAAGCCCTATGTAGAATATGGTAACATTCTTACACAGCGCAACTCTGAACGTGTTCGTAGAATCTTCAAACTTCATTCTAGAGGCTCGATAGTGCCGTGTATACACGAGAGAGGAAGCTTATCGCCCCGGGAGGTTTCTATGTCACAAGGATTTCGAGGTCAAGTGCTTCCTTAGTAACCTTCGTACAGGTCATTTTCACCTCGTTCCGATCTACGATGAGTTGCTGAGCGTTACAAACACCGGTAAGTAGACCGACGGTCAGTGTGTGGAAGTTCTCTGATGAAAAGCTCACGTCTTCTCAAAATTTTCAGAATACGCCGAAGCACCTCCAACGGCGGTGGGCAAGTGCCCAAACTTTTGGCAAGACACTGTAGCTAAATCGCTATGCATTCTTTCTCGTGCTCTGCGAATTGTTTACGGCGGCAATGAATCTATATTCTTTCATCCTAACCTAGGGCTCGACTTTATCTCCAGGCCGTGGACGGCAAAAGCATATCTGGAAGAAGTAGTCACGTGCTAGACCCGTTTTGCCACTTTTGCGACTCACGATGTAACCTATGTGCCTGTAGCGTCAGAAGCCACCAATGATCAGCTATTGATCGAAATAAACCCTTGAGATTGTTGAGCCAATCCGGAGTGGCTAATTTCCCCTGACCGACGTCGCGCAAGTGTTTCAACACCACATGCTTTTATGGTTCGAGCCGTCAGCATTTGACAAGGACAGTCACACTTGGAGGTATAGTCCATCTAGATATACAGTAGTAGCAAGGAATGATTACTCAAACGTCGGTCCATTACCTTCAAGCGTTGAAATAGTGGAGACGAGCTGAAGAAGCTGACAGATTCGGTCAACGGACGCAGTACTTGCAGGACGAGGCACTGCAGAGGCATGCGTGGGCCTTTGGGCATATGTCGTATCACAGAATGAGCACATCTCGATGGCTACCGCAGTTTGCCACTTGGACAGTACAATGAGACCCTTGAACGACGGTGAGAGAGTGGACCCATCGAGTATCAGGCGCAAATAGTGAATGCGAGTCGATGCTTGACGATGGCTGCAGCTGGGGTTCGAAACGTTTTACCCAGCCACTCGATCGTATTGGCACTTCCCGATCCGTACAAGCATGGAAAGAAACTATGATAGCCACCGCGCGGTGAAAGGGGTTGCACAAGCAAGATGGTGTATCGGAACTGCACGCATTCATTCCTGCGCCCGCCACCGCCAGTAATGGAGAAGCATGACAGAGCATCGTGACGTACCGCCAGACGGCCCGCGAGACAGGAGATAGTAGGAGTCAACCGGTCAGCCGCAGACAGCAAGCTGGCGGCGTCGTGCTGTGACTGTCTGGGTGCTCGCAGTGTTTTGGGTTGCTGCCCCATGGGAGTTTTGGTCACTGGTTTTGTCACTGGCTCCCCGCCAACTCGCCCCACCTGCTTTGCTCTCCGCTGCTCAACAGTTACGTCGTCTGCCCTCAGCCAGCCCGCCCTCGGCCTCATCGTGAACTCGCCCTGTTGCGTGAACCCAAGCGGCCACCGTATTCCAGCAGACGCCCCGACCAGTCCTCCATCCACGGCTCAGCCGCTCGCCGTCCCCGCCAGCGGCCGTCTCCTCTTCGCGACCCACGGTTGCCTCTCGCCCGTATATCACGTTAGCCAGTCCTCTTCGATACCTGCTGACCGGCGTCACGATTCCAGGCCACCTTAGCGCTCCAGACACTCTTCTTATAATCTCTCACCCCGGACTGCCCGGCCGCCCTCACCGCGGATCACTTGCGGCGTGGTCAGGCCTCAATCTTCAACCCCAGGCCTTTCCGCTGCTGCTATCGTCGCCGAGGGAGCCTCTGAGGGCTCTCCTGCAGCTGCCTCCAACCCGCCATCACCATGAATAACAAAGACGATGTCTTCACCAATGTCCACCGCAAAATCGACCGAGAAAAGGCGCTTATCAATGCCGCAAATGCTATGCGCCAGTCAACCCAGAACCCGGCTGTGCTCTCGCGATTAGACGCCCAGATTCGGGATGGGCGAAGAAACATTGAGTACTTCGAGGGGACTCTGCGGGACCTGGAGATGCAGAGGATGGGCTCCGACGTGGAGAACATGAGCCTTCAACAGGGCGGCGGCCTTGCACCCGGTCAAGGCTCCACTCGAGGGGGCGGTAGTAGAAACCCTTTGACGCCTCCGCCTAAGGACGGATATAATGGCTATATTGGTCCAGATAACGGTGGCTACGGCGATCCTGGGCCTGGAGGATACAGCCAAATCAGCGGAGGACAAGGCCTCATGCCGCCAAGGGCACCATATGCCCCTCCTGGACCGCATCAAGGAAAACCAAAGCAGAATTATAGCAGACTTGGTACGTGTCTTCCCGGCCTGGTTAGTACTGTAAACTAACAGCTTCGGCCAGACTTGATCAAATACGACACACCTCACCTCGGCCCAAGAATCCAACTCATGTTGTCGCAACTGGAGTTCAAACTAAGCGTCGAAAAGCAATATAAAGACGGTATTGAGAAGATGGTCCGGCTGTACCAGCTTGAAGGCGACCGAAAAAGTAAAGCAGACGCAGAAGGTCGACGAATCGAGTCCAACCAGAAAATACAACTGTTGAAACAAGCCTTAAAGCGATACGAAGATCTTCACATTGATATAGAAGGCGCCGATCCTGGGGACGGTAAGCGTTGCCTCGATTTAGGATCCATCGGACCACTAGACTAACATTTTTGTCTTTAGATGACAGCCTCAATATGCCGAGTCAGCGGAAGCCCTTATCAGGCCATCTATCTATCCGCGTACATGCCGTTGCAGATGTCGACCACGCTGCCACTAGCCGCTTCAGTCGAGGACCTGAGACTTTTGTGATTATGAAGGTTGAGGACAGTGCTAAAGGTCGAACTAAGGCTACTAGAACAGATCGCTGGGTGGACGAATTGCATGACTTTGACGTGGACAAGGCTAATGAGGTTGAAATCACCGTATACGACAAGACCAGCGATCACCCGCTGCCCGTAGGAATGCTCTGGCTCCGGATATCAGATATTGCCGAAGAAATGCGCCGCAAGAAATTAGAGACGGAGCTGCAGAATTCAGGCTGGGTTTCCGCCGACAAAATGGCCGATGGGAGTCAACCACGACCGGATTTGCAGTTCAATCCTCCTCCTGGACAGAATTTCCAACAGGGCGGAGGAGGGGGCACAGGCATGGGTCTCGCGGGCATGAATCCGGCAGGCGGGCCAGTCCCGCAGACTGGGCCGGTTTTCATCGATGCCTGGTTCTCGTTGGAACCTGCTGGTCGGATTCAATTGACGATGAGCTTTGGTAGGGACTGTCGTCCTCGAGTTGAGAGATATATGCTAACTCTTCTTAGTGAAACAAGCCAAAGATAAGCGGCCATTCGACGTGGGTCTGAACCGGAAGGGTGCTATCAGGCAGAGAAAAGAGGAGGTTCATGAACAGTACGGACACAAGTTCGTGCAACAACAGTTCTACAATATTATGCGGTGCGCTCTGTGCGGAGAATTCCTCAAGTACGCCGCCGGCATGCAATGTTCTGATTGCAAATATACCTGCCACAAGAAGTGCTACGGCAAAGTCGTTACAAAGTGCATCACACAATCAAATGCCGAAACAGACCCCGACGAAGCGAAGCTCAACCATCGCATCCCGCATCGCTTCGAGAATTTCTCGAATATGGGAGCGAACTGGTGTTGTCATTGTGGATATATGCTTCCACTCGGCAGAAAACAAGCCAAGAAATGCAACGGTAAGTCTCCAAGCTTCGTTCTCTCATGCAATCGCTAATATAACTATAGAATGTGGTCTTACCTGTCATGCACAATGTATACACTTTGTTCCAGACTTTTGTGGGATGTCTATGGAAGTGGCCAATCAGATACTATATGAAATTCGGAATACCAAGAAACGACAGACTTCCACCATCTCAAGCATGAGCAATAGGACGCTGAGACCTACCACCGGCCGACCTACACCACCGCCTTCTCAACCTTCGTTTGCGCCCCCACCTGGACAAGAACAACCTGGCCAGCCTGATCAACGATACTCTTATGGCAAAGAACAGCAGCAGTATGCAGCACCTCCGCGAACTCAATCATATCCTGCACCGTCTTCAACCTCCGTCGATGCTGCGCGGGCATCGTTCTCGACTACAGGATCCGGTGGAGCAGCACCTACCTCGCCAACCTCGACGCGTCCTTCTTCTGACGCTCGAACACACTCCCAACAGCCGACTCCTGTTGCGGCTGCGGCTGCAGCCATGACTGGCAAGACAGCTGGACCAGGTCCCGGCCCCGGCCCCGGCCCTGGCCCTGGGCACTTCCAGAGAGCGCAGACAGACTATCCCCAGGGTGCACGAACCTCTGTGGGGTATCCCCCACCCGGGGGAACTGCAGCAGACCAGCGCTTGCCTCAGCAACCGCAGCTGCCACCACAGCCCGAATATAACCCCCAGAACTACGCAAATATTCCGAACTACCCTCCGCAATACCAACAGCCTGCTCCAATACAGAAGCAATCTTACCCGCCACAACAGCCTCCGACTCAACAACAGCCACCACCTGTTAGCCAAGAGATGCAGCAGCAACCACCCCCTCTACAGCAACAAACGCCGCCTGCGCCTCTGACGAAGGTTACCGAGCAGAAACCCACTCCGCCTGCTCAAGCTCGGCCACAGATAAGAATTGGTCTGGACCACTTCAATTTCTTGGCGGTTTTGGGCAAGGGCAACTTCGGAAAAGTTATGCTGGCAGAGACGAAGAGTTCAAAGCAACTTTACGCCATAAAAGTCCTCAAGAAAGAGTTCATCATCGAGAACGACGAGGTTGAGAGCACCCGATCTGAAAAGCGAGTCTTCTTGATTGCCAACAAGGAGCGGCATCCATTCTTGCTGAACCTGCATGCTTGCTTTCAGACCGAAACGCGAGTCTACTTTGTGATGGAATACATAAGTGGAGGTGATTTGATGTTGCATATTCAACGAGGTCAATTCGGCACCAAACGTGCACAGTAAGTTGTACTTTTACCTTTTTCTCGGATTAAGACTAAACATAGTTAGATTCTATGCTGCAGAGGTTTGTCTTGCGCTCAAATACTTCCATGAGAACGGCGTTATTTATCGCGATCTTAAATTGGATAACATCCTCCTCACTTTGGACGGCCATATCAAGATCGGCGATTATGGTCTTTGCAAAGAAGATATGTGGTATGGCTCGACCACAAGCACGTTCTGTGGAACACCTGAATTTATGGCTCCGGAAGTAAGTCACACCAACTTAAAAGTGATGTTACGAGCCAACATGCTAAATCCTCCTAGATTCTGCTTGACAAGAAATACGGGCGCGCTGTAGACTGGTGGGCATTTGGTGTCCTCATCTACCAAATGCTTCTCCAGCAATCACCGTTCCGCGGTGAGGATGAAGACGAAATCTACGACGCCATTCTCGCCGATGAGCCCCTATACCCGATCCACATGCCCCGTGACTCGGTGTCGATTCTCCAGAAGCTGCTCACCCGCGAGCCTGAACTTCGACTGGGCTCTGGCCCAACGGACGCGCAAGAGATCATGAGCCACGCTTTCTTCCGCAACATCAACTGGGACGACATCTACCACAAGCGCATCGGGACGCCCTTCCAGCCGCAAATCACCAATCCGACGGACACCAGCAACTTCGACTCCGAGTTCACTAGCGTCACGCCCGTGCTGACCCCTGTACAATCTGGTACGTTTCTCTCTTTCCTGCTCTCTCTCTCTCTTTCCCCTTATCCGTCTTTGCTTGCTTAACTAATTTCACCCATTTTGCAGTACTCTCTCAAGCGATGCAAGAAGAATTCCGCGGCTTCTCCTACTCGGCCGACTTTGCATGAAGCGTGCTTTGAACAGATTCCTTTGTTCGTTTGTTCAGAGGCGGTTTGGCGCGCGCCTGTGTGCCCACGACTATGCATGCAAGATACCACGAAAAAGGCAGAAACTGGCCCTTTTTTTTTTTTCCTTCTTCGCGAGAGTCGGCATGGCCCACTACAAATTTGGGGGGGGGGGGGAGGAGGGCGCTAGGGGCGTTTTTCAGATCTCAGAGCACGGTCGTTTGGGGCGCGGGCTGATGGGTATGACGGGAGGAATTTTTTTGTGAGAGATGAGGGACGGGCTTGGGCGTGATGCCAGTGTTTGAATGGATGGATGGATGGATGGGTAGGGATAGGGTCCTTACAAGATGTGACGGTGATTGTGTGAAATTGGCTGTTTTATGAATGGATGGATGCATTGATGGAGTGATGCGGAGAGAAAGGAGAGATGCCATGCGGATGGAGGGGGTATGGTATATCATAGATGAGATGAAAGTTCAGTCGTTTTTTTCCCAAGGTCCTGCCACACACTATTCCGAATCACGTACATAGAAAGTCAGAGTCACCTGACGGCGTTGCGATATCTGAATTGGCTTCAAGTCCAACCGCCACGACATCTTCACCGATGCTGAGGAATCTAGAGGGCCTGATTGTACATTGAGTTCTTGCATATATCTGCGCGAGCCTAGATGATATATTACAGTCGAGGAGGAAGGACATGTTGAGACAAATGCGAGAGACGTATTCCAGCAGACGACGTTGCTGAGTGGAACTACTTCGGCCGCCGCTTTCCTTGGTTCCGCACGCGGTCTTGCACCAGCCAGACGTTCTTGTTCCTCTTGCGGCGCGTTTTGTAGCCGCCTTTGGCTGGGGTGCCCCAGGGGCTGACGGGGTGCACGTTGCCCTTTGATTTACCGCGGCCGCCTCCGTGGGGATGGTCGGCTGGAGAAAGTGTTAGCACATTTTCAAAAACTTGAGAAAGGGGGGGTTGAAAGATATTGGACGTACCTGCGTTCATGGCAAGGCCACGCACAGTGGGCCTGATGCCCAGCCATCGCGCTCGTCCAGCCTTTCCTAGCTGCGCAAAGTGTGCGTGCGGGTTGCTGGCCACTCCAACGGTACAGCACGCATCCGGATCGATCTTCCTCTGCTCGCCGCTCTGCAGACGAATCACAACCTCCCTGACCTTCTGCCTCGTCTCCTCCTTGCTCATAATCACGGCGTACGTCCCCGCGCTGCGGCAGAACACCGCGCCCCCCGTCGCCTTGGAGCCCACGTTGAATATCTGCGTGCCAATCGGCACCATGCGCACAGGCAGGCAGTTCCCCCGGAACGCCGTCTTCGCCGCCAGCATGCCCGGGTCAATCACCCCGCCCATGCTCGCGATGAGGTGCGGCGGGATGCCCGAGCGGAAGCTCTCCACCTTGTCGCCCGCGCGCATCCCGTCCGCGGCCACAATGTACGACTGCTCCTTCGTCTTCGAGTTGGTGAGCAGCGCGATGTGCGAGCTGCGGTTCGGGTCGTACTCGATGCGCTCCACGACGTGCTCGCCCGGCGCGCGGCGGTGGTAGTCGATGATGCGGATGCGCCGCTTGTGCCCGCCGCCGCGGTGCCGCACCGTGACGTGGCCCGAGTTGTTGCGGCCCGCCTTGCCCATGCCCGTCTTGGGGTACGTGAGCTTGCTGACCGGGCGGCCTTTCCAGAGGTGGTCGTTTATGGGCCGTTTGAGGTGGCGTAGGCCGGGGGTGCGGGGCTTGTAGGTGCGCATTTGCACGGTGGATTCTTTGCGAGGCCCCGCGGCTTGGTAGACTTGGCCATCGCCGGCCGAGACGGTGGGCTCGAGGGTTGGGGGGGGGTTGCGGTCGACGGCGGCGGCGCTGGCGTAGCTGCGGATGGTGGATAGGAGGCAGCGGCAGGGGGTGGAGGAGGGCCGCAGGGGCAATCGGGTTTGCAGCATGGCGGGGGATCAATGGCGGTGGTCCGGGGCCATTGACGCCCGGCGGATTGGCGGGAGGGAGGGAGAAGGGGTGGTGTCGTGATGGTTGATGTGGGTGAGGTTCTCGAAAAAAGGTTCGTGAGCAAATGCTAGCAGGCTTGGCGCGGATAAAGTGCTGGGACGAAAGATATATTCAGCCACAAAGCCATTACAATACTACAAGCATGATAAATACAGCTAGCAGATCAGTTTCAGGCAATGGTATATCTTATTTACTCCAAGTGCTAGAATCTAGAGGTCAAGAGGTGATATCGCGTGTGCCTATGTATTGACATGCAAGTACAGCGCATGCATGTACAGCGCATTGGTCTGCTCGCAAAGCTTGACACTTCTTCTTCCCTCGAACTGAGAGGCTCAGAGACTCTACGGGTGCTCTGTAAGTATAATTGAAGGTGGTTGCTTCTTCATCGTCAAGTCTCTCGAGCATAAACACTTACATAAACACCTAGGTCGTGCGGATAACTCTGTGCACGCCGCTAGCTGGCAGGCGCGAATCCCTGGCAACGGCGCCATCGCTCTCACAACAGTGCCTCTTCTGCCCGCATCCCATTCACGCCCATCGCCAATCGATACCGAGTATTTAGCAAGCAGTCCTCGCCGCGCATCCTCGACTCTCACGCTCTTCGCCGCCGGTCTCGGCGCCATCTCAGCCCGCCACCGCCGCCCTCTCGTGCGTGTTTCGCGCCCGTCTCGCCTCGCTCGCACGTCCAGTTGCCTGCCGCACCGCGTTGCCCACGCTACCTCCTAGCGCCATCGCCAAGGCCGGCACGCCTACCTCACCTTCAAAACAAACCTTCCCGCCTGCTCTTCCCTCCACCTCAGCGCCCACCACCACCGCCATCTCCGCCGTCCTCCTCTGCTCGCCCGGGCTGCATCTCTCTCCTCCTCGCCACCACAGCCTTCGCGTTGCTGAGGCTTCGGGTTCTTCGCCGCCGCATATTCCCATCGCTGTATCCCTCAGAGCGTGTCCAGGACCTTGATACTCCAGAGCATCTTCACGTATTCGCTCGAGCCGGCCCTCGTGTCTCTGTCAGGCTATCTGGCACTCTTACCGCGTATGTTGCTGCCGCTCCCCGCTCCGATTCACCTTTGTTTGGGTGCGCAGGAACGCTAATTGCTCCACTACAGTGCATCATAACAACCACTCTTAGCTCTCCACCACTACTCCACCAACTTCTCAGTCCCCCTTGAGTCGTCGAAGTGTCTCACTCTCCACTCACTCACAATGCCTCCTGCCGTAAGTGTTATGCTCATGTCCAACGCGTGCCATTACGTGTCTTGGCACATCCCAAACATGGCCATATCCCAGGGCCTCCGTCGATCTCTCATCTAACCTCTATCACTAGGCACGGTCTCTCCGCCATCGGGCCATCACCGATGAGAACGCTGAGAATGTCAACACAGGATCGACGCGCGTTACGCGTGCCAAAACGGCCGCCCTAGGAACCGACTCGGCGCCTGGCGACGTGCCCAAGAAGGCCCTCCAGTCCAAGAAGTCAGCTGCTGGACTAGCCGCCAATGGTACTGGCCAGGCTCGGAAGCGTGCTGCTTTGGGAGAGAAGACAAACGTTACCAACGTCGCCAAGGATGATCTCGTCAACGGCGACAAGAATTCGAAGGACGGGAAGGACTTGAAGAAGCCATTAGCGACCAAGACGGGCCTCGTCTCGAAGGCAGCTCATCCCACCAAGATTCAGAAAGTTTCCAGGACTAACTCGACGCGTTCTGTTCTCGGACCTAAGGAGAAGACTACCGCGTCGTCTGATCTCAAGCGGCCCGCCAGTGGGTCCGGCGTCATGGGCAATCCAGTGAAGAAGAGGAACACGTCGGCATCGAGTGCGACGTCGGTCAAGGAGCAGGACCCAGAGGACGCAGAAAACGTCCAGCCCCATCCCAACGTGAAGACGACTATTACCGTGGAGGTTGAGAGGGAATTCGTTACAAAGGCCGGCTCTACCAAGCACGAGCGCGCCAAGGTCCAAGAGGAGGTCGAGGTGTTCGAAGAGGAGGAAATGAAGGACGAACCCCAGGACCTCGACAAAGAAGACATGGACGACCCACTAATGGTTTCCGAGTACGTCGTTGAGATCTTCGAGTACTTGAAAGAGTTGGAGATCTCTACACTGCCCAACCCGGACTACATGGACAGCCAAAATGAGCTTGAGTGGAAGATGCGTGGTATACTCGTCGACTGGTTGCTGGAGGTGCACACTCGGTTCCGCCTACTTCCCGAAACCTTGTTCTTGGCCGTCAACATTATCGATCGATTCCTGTCCTGCAAAGTGGTCCAGCTCGACCGTCTACAGCTTGTTGGTGTCACCGCCATGTTCATCGCCTCAAAGTACGAGGAGGTGCTGTCGCCTCACGTTCAGAACTTCCGCCACGTCGCCGATGATGGCTTCACCGAGGATGAGATCCTCAATGCCGAGCGTTTCCTTCTTGCCGCGCTGAACTATGACTTGAGCTACCCGAACCCGATGAACTTCCTGCGGAGGATATCTAAGGCGGACAACTACGACATGCAGACGCGTACTCTTGGAAAGTACCTTTTGGAGATCGGCTGCTTGGACCATCGATTCATTGGACACCCCCCTAGCCAGGTTGCTGCCGCCGCGATGTATCTTGCTCGCCTGGTTCTTGAGCGTGGTGAATGGGTAAGTTTACCGTCTGCTCTACCCATGTTCATTTACTGACTGATGTCGATAGGACGCTACACTCGCACATTACGCTGGTTATACTGAGGAAGAAATACAACCTGTCCTCCAGCTCATGATCGATTATCTTTCTGGTCCTGTCATACATGAGGCGTTCTTCAAGAAGTACGCTAGCAAAAAGTTCTTAAAGGGTAAGCACATCATCAATCCACACTCAACGAGCTCGACTAATAAAATTTTCAGCATCTATTGTCCTTCGTCGGTGGGCCAAGGAGTACGTTGCTAGCTTCGGCAACGCGTTGGCTCCCGCCAACAGTGCGAAGCCGCGCACAATCGACACCGTCAAAAGCGCTCGACAATAGCGTGGTCGCGCTTCGATGACTACATCTCATTTCTCAAGCAATCATGATACTCAATGACGACTATTCACACGCGTCTTGGCTCTCCTCATGACGACGAATATCTCTGCATGCTGCATTTTGGTTTTCAAGCGGCGTTCCACATGGGGTGGCATTTCCTTATACTCCTCTCTTCCATCCTGCTGGGCGGCGTCTAATAGGACGATTTTTACATTCGTCTGGGTATCTCTGGATAACGCTCGACACTGCGACAAGAAGGTCGACAACGCGGTCACACGTTTTGGCTTGATTGCTTGCAGCCGGTTGGGCATCATGTACGATTAGTGAGCGGCAAAGGTGGACTCTGGGCAAAACGATGTAGGTTTGATAGAGTGGTACTCTCTGGTACTCGTTTTGTGTATGAGTGCCTAAGACCTACCGCTTCTCTTTTCTAGACCTGATACCTTTTGGCCTTATTATTACTATTGGTCCAAAATCATTGTCTTTTGCTATGTTGCTTTTTTGGGGGTTTTGGTTGTGGATACGGTGTTTTTTCTCTCTCAGCGATGGATCCTTCACCCCTTGGATTGATGTTGATAGCATGGCAATAAAAAGGTTTCTCACCAATTTTGTTCACTATCTTAAGTGTCGACGTGTGATCTGCTCCTAGTGCGTTTCTTTTTCTACTAGTGTCCGCATATTCATCTTCTCTGCCTGGTCTAGTTTCTTTTTGTCATTCAACAAAAGACAAAACAGCTATAACCCCTACCCCGATTTTGCTGCACCGCTCCGAGCCAAGTTTTGATAGATATTATTACTGAGGCGAGGAGGTAATAAGACAGGAGCTGGAGGCAAAAGCGACTAAATTCGAACTTCTCCCAATGTCAATGCCCAGCTACTTGCGAATGGTACGTCGTTTATTGTCTAAGATACCTAAGCTTACTGTCTCCTCACATCGTCTACCATTACCGTCTACTTCAGCCGCTGCTGGCCTTATCGAGTTTCGTCCAGAACTCACTAATCAATGCTGCGACCTCCGGCACTCTCTCTCTGACCACGCCATGCCCAGCCTGCGGCACAACCGCCACATCCACAAACCCCAGCTCCCTAAGCTCGTGCTCACTACACACATCATCCAGCCCGCCCAACACGGCCAGCGCCGGAATCCCCGTCCGCACTGCCTTTACAAACTCTGTATCACTATCCATAGTGCCCCCATCCCTAAACACCGCCACAACACTCGCCCCATGGCCGCGATGCTCCCGCATCTGCCACGCCCGCACCGCCTCCGCCACCACCTCCCCCCGCCCCACCCGCTCCCTCCAATCCGCCGGCACGACCAAATCCCCGCCTTCCAGCCACCGCAGCACCCACCTCCTCGCCGCGACCTCGTCCCCGCCACCGCGCAAGTACCCCCGCTCCTCGTCCGTGAAGCCCGCCGAGCGAAGCAACCCCGCCGGCGCCACGAGCGCGAAGCTCTGCACCCGCGCCGGCCGTGAGGCGGCATACGTCGCCGCCAGCGCGCCGCCGAAGGAGAAGCCGACGAGGTGGGCGGCCGGCCATGCGAGCGCGTCCAGCAGCGCGTCCAGCAGGCCGTGGAATAGGGGCGCGGCGTGGGGGAGGACGGGCGTGTCGCTCAGCCCGTGGCCCCAGAGGTCGGGCAGGACGAAGTGCGTGGAGGGGAAGGCGGCGGCGAGGGCGCGGGCGAGGGGGACGAGGCCGAGGGCGGGGGTTTGCACGCCGTGGAGGAGGAGGACGCGGGCGGGGCTAGGGCCGGGGGAGGAGGCGGAGGCGGAGGAGGGGGGGAGGGAGTAGTAGGCGGCGCGGCCGGCGGGGGTGTGGAGGTACTGGGCCGGCGGGAGGAGGGCGCCGAAGGTTGAGGTGAAGGCGGATTCGGGGGGGGCTGGGATTGGGGGTTTTGGCGGGTTCGGCGCGGAGCCGGGGCGCGGGAGGACGAGGTCGGCTGGGGGGAGAGACATTGTTGGAGGGAGGTTGGGGTGGGTGGAATCGGGCTGTGAGGGGTGCGGCTTCTTTTGGCGTTGAGGGATTGCATGTAGGTGCTAGGGCGTGCTTATATAGAATAGCCACACCCATGTCCACTAGGGAAGTTGACTATTCCCTAGACCTTGCTATATGATAGGCCTGGTTCTAAACGTTGACGTAACTTTGTAGCAGTGATTAGTAAGCGTTTATTGTTGTAACGTTAACTAGACACTTGGGATTAGAATATGTCCACTCTTTAAATGAGCTGATGATGTTTGTGAGGTCGTGAGTAGATATTGATCTTTGTACATACATGGCACATTGAACTTGTGAACTCTTCTTTATTTGTAGCTTACTACTGTCATGGCGGAGTATGCTAGGGAGTGTGAAGGGGATGGAGAAGTTGGGTGCACATTTTTTGAGGACCCTGTCGACAGTGTGCAGGCTGTGGAATTAGAACTCCCTAACCAATCGCAGGAGTAGGAGTATACATGCATACATACTATACTCACTAAATTTTTTGCAAAAGGTGGCTAGAAATTCACCCTATATTCAAGACCTCGGCAACTTTATATCGCCTCAGGAACGTCACGTCCTCGTCGCCCAATGAAGTAATCTCCACACAACATGCCTCTGTCCGCCTAACAATCACCCCAGTATCAACCCACAAAGTTACACAGCCCTCACCAGCCCTCTATGCAATGAACGACGACACCAGCCCCTGCCCCTTCTGCGCCATCGCCGCCGCGTATCCCGCGCCGCCCGCGTCGTCAACCCTTGCCGCCAGCGTCCCCACCGACGCGACCGCGGCCCCGGAGCGCGTGTCGCCGAGCGCGTTCGTCGTGCTGGCGTCGCGGGATGTTGTCGCGTTCCTGGACATCCTGCCGATGACGGCGGGGCACCTGCTTGTGGCGACGAGGGGGCATGTGGGGATTGTGGGCGACGTAGTGGGAGAGGTAGGCAGGGAGGTTGGTACGTATTCATCGTTCATCCTGTCTTTTTGAAATTCATGCCAGTTGTCTTGAATGGGCTTGTTTATCCTGGATGTTTCAAGTTTTTTTTTTGGTTTTTTTTTTTTCTTTCTTCTAATTATTTCACCTATTGGGTTGCGTCGCTTGCTCGTCTTAAGAAGCCATTATCGATCATGCCCTCACCCTCTTCTCTGATAAGAAGAAACTACATCTAACCAACCTACCGGCCGCAGGTTTCTGGCTCCCCCTCCTCTCGCGAACAGTGGCGAAAGTTACAGGCGTGACCGACTACAACATCGTCCAGAACAACGGTAAGCACAACATATATTCATTATCCCCCAAGTCGGCAGATACCCTACCAGCCTTCGACCAAGAAAGATGTCCTAGAGCGTTTTAGCTCAGACAGTTCTAACCCGTCTCCTTCCCAGGCGCCCGCGCTGCCCAGGTCGTCCCACACGTCCACTTCCACATCATCCCACGACCGGAAACGATGCCCCAGGTGCAGAGCAAAAGCTGGACCATGTTTGGGCGGGGCCAGCGCGATGAGCTAGACGACGATGAGGGGGCCGAGTTGGCCGGGGAAATGAGGAGGGTTCTGAGGGAGGAGGTGGAGAGTCTGGGGAGGGCGAAGCTGTAGATGTTCATGTGCTGCTGTAATCACGTGTAAGATAGCCGGACGTGTCGGAAGTAGACAGAGGCATAAATTGGGCTGGTATGAATATGATCTCACTGTAAACTTGGGCAGTTATCTAATGGTACTGTAACATGAGAATATTTACACTTCGTGGTTCGTCGCGTAGGGATAGATTAGTATGTGACTGAAGGTCAGGCATCTATAAACACCCTCTCTTCCCGCTTGCAAAGCTTGGTATCAAATCTGCCAAAATTATTTCTCTGATTTCCCCAACCAACGCCTTTTGTACGCCAGTGCACCGGATCCCCATAATGCCACGGCGGCTACCAGTCGAGAGTTGAAGGTACCATAGCGTAGGAGCTGTCGTTCGACAACGTCTAAAGAGAAATTTTTCGTAGAGAAATCGATGTCTAAGCCCTATTTCTAGATCGCATCAGCCTAATATTTGTGACTTAATATTCGAGCAGTACATCATAGACTGAATTCCACGACTTCTTCTTACCCCTGGAAGCTGGAACTCTCTCTTCGCAACAAGCTAGTAACACACGCATTCCTCCTCTTAACCATGCGGCAAATACCACACCAAAGTGTCCTTAAGCACATTCAACGACAGCGGTTTCGCCAAAAAATCGTCTGCGCCCGCCTTTCGAAACGCCCCCTGCGCTTCCGAATTCACCACCGCAGTCACCGCAATGATTGGTCGTCGTCGAGAGAGTGTGCCTGCTGCTTCCAGTGCGCGTATCTCCCGCGTCGCGGTGACGCCATCTTTCACAGGCATGGATTGGTCCATTAGGATGATGTCGACCGTAGTGTCGTGCATGATGATCTGCTCGATAGCTTCTTGCCCGTTGTTGGCTGCTATGACTCGGTAGCCCAACAATATTAGCATCTTTGTGGCGAGTTTTTGGTTGATCTATTCATGTGAAATTAGCTTCGAAAACATTTTGGCTGATAGCGTATGAGATGGCCCAGCCCGTTGACTAGTTGTTCCCAACAACATTTTTGTTTCGTTCGGAACCTGAAAGGGGGACTGGGGCACCCCTGACTGCAAAAGGAAAGTAGAGTTATTGAACGTACCGGATTATCCTCCACGAGGAGAATCACATGCTTTGCCGCAGGTTCTTCTTGTGGTTTCTCCTTGGCATCCCCGTCCGACGTTCTGTTAGATGATCCGTTAAATGCTCCGTTAGATGCTCCGTTCAACTCTTCATTCAGGACTTCAACCTCAGCGGCGAACCTCAAGGCCTGCAATGGGGCAGTCGGTTGCCTTCTGTGCTTCGAAGCCGTAATCCGCCTTTCGAAAGTGTGCCAGATGAGCGGCCTGGGAAGCATGATAAAATTCGGTAACGACAGTATACCCGGAAGTCCTTCTAGCGAGTCGTGTGTATCGTAAGGCACAAGCACTGACAAGTTCTTCTTCTTCGAAAGTGTGTTGAATTGCCCAATGTTTTCGTTGAGGAACGTAAGCTCTGCCCAAATGTATTTCCACTTGCCCTGTGTCAGCCCCGTCACGTTTGGCACGAGATCAACTTCGTATCCGAACGACTCCCAACAGCTGCGCAAGCCTTCCATAGAGCGATCCATGTTCTTGGATAGAATGGCTATCCGGGGACGGTCCGCACCAGCTGTAGTCGCGGGCCTCGTCATTGTTGATTGCATCGGTATGGTGACTGTGAGTGTGGTGCCGCTGTTTTCCGGACCCACGTCCTCAGAATGCATATACTTCGTGTCGAGGTCGATCGAGGCATTCATTCGAGCAAGCAGGCGCTTGATAATGCTGAGTCCGAGCCCAGTTCCTCTCGCAGAGCCTCGCACTTCTCCTTGCTTGAACGGTGTCCACATATCCGGAATGAAGGTTGGATCAAGACCACAGCCAGTATCTTTGACTTTGACAATGAGGTTGTCGTTAAGTATCTCGATGGATAAAAGAACGTAGCCGGATCTCGTGAATTTCTGAATCGAACTGTTAGTCACTATATGCGTATAGAAGGTACGCTCAAATAGCTTACCAATGCGTTCGACAACAGATTCCTTCGAAATATTAGCCTGAAATTCATCTGGCAAGCCTTCCGGAATGCTCTACTTACATCAGGATACGATGAATGTATGTCTCATCCAAAAACAAAGTTTTGGGAACATCCGGAGCAACGATAACGAAAAGCTGAACCCGCCCTTCGTCATCAATATTAGGTAGTAGAACTATGACCGACTCGCAGACAGCCCGAATATCCAGGGCTGTAGGCCGATAGGAGCTCTCGCTATCACGCTCGAATTTCGACCAATCGAGAACGTTGTTGGTTACTGTTCATTGTAAGCACAGGGTCTCTAATAACTATAAATCTTGGCACTTACTTAAGGAAAGAGTTTTAGTGGCGCGCTGAATTGATGTCAAAAGGGACCGCCCCTCTTCGGTTAGCTCGGTCTGTGCTAGGAGATCACTGTAGCCTTGTAAATGATGGAGGGGCGTTCGAATCTCATGCGATGCAGAAGCAATGAAATCGCTCCTAGCACGAGAGGCAGCTTCGGCGGTCTCTTTGAGCGCGATTGTCTTCCAAAGCTCCTTACGTGTTGAAACGATCTCGGCAAGTTTGTTCCGCGAAACGGTAGCAGAGTGAGCTAACAGTACGTTGGCGGCAATGCACGTAATGAATGCAATACCTACAACAGCATTGGCGAGTGCGGGAGGATAGCCTCGGACATCCGATGGAGGTGAGGAAGAGTAGAAAGTTGTCGCAAACATCCCGGTAGTGTGCATTGCTGCAACTCCAACCGAAGCTATGACGGAGAAAAGAATCTGCTGCGGAAGATATGTCTCCATCTTTTCCATCAATATACAACCCACAGTACAAACAGTCCAGCTGATCAACGCAGATAGAAAGACCAGCCAGGGATTGAATCTGAAGTAGCCAGATGGCACATGGAGAGCGAATATCCCTACATAGTGCATCGAGGTAATCGCGAGCGACCAAAGAAAGCCTTTCCCAAAATTTCGGCGAGTGCTTCCGGTGTAGAGCATATCGGCTGTAGTGAGAAATGCGTTCTTTGCGGGGACCGTGCTCTTGCGGTAGATCATGCCTATGGTGTTGCTTATGCCCATGGAGCCTGAGCTTGCATAGGTTGAAGTGACCCCAAAGCCGAAGTAGTCGCTTGTGATACCATCACTGGGCGACGGTGCGCCGTTGATGATACCATTGCCGACACTGTTGGGGCCCGACTCTTCATCTTGGCTCCTCGCCGACACCAGCCTGTTCAAGGCTCTGCTTTCCTCGGATGAAATACTCGGCGATCGATATGTCGAATTGTGGTTGTACGCTGCTAGCTCTTCCGTGGTGTTCGCAAAGAATGGAGACGGCGGGTCAAATGGGTCCATTGGCTCGTCTGAATCTTGACCCTCGTCATTGTCGGCCTCATGAATTGTCAGGAGAGGCGCAGAAGAGCCCTGGGGGTCTGGTTTGGGATGGTGGGAAGAACTGTGTGATCTTCGCCCGGAAGAAATCCAGCGAGATTTCCTACGCCGTCCTTGCTTTGGATCGCTATATCTGCCCCATAATAGATCCGTTGCCAGTGCCACGAAGGTAAAAAAGACTGCGAGGAACGAGCTTAAGATAGTGAGTGGCGCATTGACGCCGATGCGGAGATCGAATTCGCATGCCAACATGGCGACCTCGTGAAGACTCCAAATACTGCAAAAGCCAAAGATCATGCTTCCGAACAAAGACCATATTAACACACTAGAGAAATGAAGCGACATCCTTGCATGGCACATGAGCTGAGTAGACGTAAAAGCCCCCAGGAAGGAGATGGCAATAGATGCAGCGAACATGGTCATGTTCCATTGGGGATGCAGTTGCCGTATCTCGGCATGCTCAGGCGATGGAGCAAGCATATTGACGTCGAGTGTCGATGAATGTTATAATCTATGCATGTCACGTTTAGCATTCCATCCCGGAACAGAGGTCCAAGGCCTTAAACCTTGGAAGGTATAGCCAAGGGGAGAGGTACTCACGTTAAAGACGAGTGAAAGTAGGTATATAACGCTAAAAACAGAGAAGGTTCAATTGGCCGCTAACGCCCGGGTATATCTAACAAGAGAGGAGAGTTAAAAAGGTGTCGCGCAGGATTTGACCTCCATAGCTCGTGCGGGTGGGCCTTGAGAGCTGTGGAGAGCGCGTTAGGGGTACGCGCACGTCGAAGCGCGGAGGAGACAAACCGCAGACTCGAGGCAGCAAACACGATAATCGTAGAGATGAATGACGAAGGTATCACGAAGGGCGAGATGGAAGTCGTGACTTGGCACGCAGGCGACGTCCTTGGGGTAAAGGGAGGTAGAGACGATGCCGTTTTCGGTCCTACTTTGCGCCACACATATTGGCGGCATCTAGATTCAGAGATCTGCAGATAAATCCGGCTTCCCTCCGAGGGACAACCTCGGAACAGTTAAATGTTTGACAGGGAATAAAAATGAGCACTCTCGCAGTTTGACGCGTCTTGATTGAACATAATCGTATTTTCTGTCGTGGAGTACTCCTTACAACACAGTGAACTGGGGAGGGTATGTATCTCACGTGACCTTTTGTGCCAAGCCTATGTGCGCACGGCTGTGTGTTATCTCAAGAACCTCAGACCCTCTGCGAGGAATTGCCTTGCCCGTCCTGCGGTGAACGTATGTCCGTGCACCCGTGCACGGGTTATGCTGAATTATGCTTATGCACGTGATACACACAGACGGGCACAGACGGGAAAGGAATTCCTCGTAGAGGCCCATTTGAGCTCAGACGCTCTACAGAGGAATTTTGGGGGTTGCAGGGGGGTTGCAGGGGGGGATGGTAGGTGCTGAGTTATGCAACCGCCACAAATCCACTCTGTAGAGCGTCTGAGGTTCCTGAGATAAGCTATGTGTATTATAGTGATATATATGCCGTCCGAAGCCGACCACACTTTACGTGACATATTTGGCGTTCTATTACCTATGGTCGTGTGTGAAAGAGCGATGAAAAAGTCTTCGAGCCACACGAGGCCAAAAATATTGTTAAAAATCACACCTGCTGGTAGGGTAGGTAGCTTCAGTGCATGCTATGGCATAGGTTCAAAACTAGTTGCAATACAGTGTATCGTCGTACAAATGTCTGTTCTCTTCATCTTCATAAATCCCAAGGCAAACCAACATCTTCCTATCCTCTCAAACATCTATTTTGAACCCATCCCCGGAAGTGGGTTACCCTAAAAATGGAAAAACTGAGGAGGACAAGATGACATGCGGCTAACGGAAAATCGGTACACCAAACCAGCGAAAAGACACCTGAAAGTAAAGCAATTTAATCCCACCAAAACCCTATCGTTTTATATGAAAACTATACCGATGGATAGGGCTACATCTAAAGATTACTTTTGTCTATTTCGAATTTATTGCTCTCTTGGAAATGGGTCGGTGTATTACTTGCTGAAAGCAATAAGCAGTTTCGGTGTTCGCCTTCTGTGTTAGCCATGTGGATGGACGGCAAGGAGTAGCAGCAAGGTGGGAGGAGGACAATGAAACGGGCGGCCCGCTGGGGTTCATCAGCTACAAGCATTGACTTTCTGTCTCACATCTTTGTCTCTCTGCAGGTTACGAAGACTAAAGAAAACGGTGTGTTGAACTGGTTAAGGTGGCACACTTAGTAGTTCAACACTGTGTAAGGTGGCCCAGAGAGCTATCAGGCTTGCTAAGATGCTATTTCATGAATAACAATAGCATACTAGAGGACCTCAAGCGGTGCTATAGAAGCGTACACAAGCACAGAAAAAAGAATGCAACCAATAGAAAGCTTCGAGTGATAAGAACCTTAGCGAATTACTTGAGCAACACACTCCCTCTAGGCTTTTCGCACACTCGCCTAGCACCGTTTGAGGTCCTCTAGTACGTTATGAAGGATCGACAATATTCGCAAGGCTGATAGGTGTCGAACTGCAACTTATGTTCAGCGGAGCCCAACCCTTGGAAGTCTGAGTGTTGCGCCACGACGGGTTAAGGGATACTTCGATTCGTGACTGTCACTTTCTGTCGAAGTCGTCGACCACGCTGTCTCACTCATAGGTGCACCTCTCTACCACTGCTTGAAGTACCTCAACAAGTTTCCACGGAGTGCAGAGTGAGCTTCTACGCCGTTTAGGTTTCTAAAAATGCATTAAAGCACCCCAAGCAGTGGCAGACAGGTGTACACACGAGACTGTGTGGCGAGTGTGCCACTATTTTCCCACCGCATGCCCTACACCAATTCTCGTGATAAGTGATGGACGAAGTTATGGGCGTGAGAAAACCAGATTGTATTATTTATTTCATTTTGTTAGCAGAATCTAGACAAAGTGCGTGCCAAACAGACTTTTTGTCCCTTGAAATGTAAAGTCTTGTTAAACATGTTACGTGAAGTGTGATCATGCTTCGGACGGCACGCAGACCTAGTAATATTTTCATGTTGGACAGATGGAATCTTCCCTACTTCAAAGTTAGAGCTCTTGACAAGTATGCGATTGACGTCGTGCTCTCCCAGAATCCTTCTCTAGCTTAACAGACCTTGAAGTTACCTAAGTCCTAAGCCAAAGAATGATGCTCTGTAGTACTATACTACATCTGCCATCCATCTAGACATACTGCCATCGCCTCGTCCCATGACAATGTATTTTGAACTCCAGATGAAACGGAAAGAAAAGTGCTTCCCCATGATTGTAATCCCTTGGTATCTTGAAAGTCAAGTGATCCGCCGTTATGATCCATGAGAGACAAGCTAGTCTCCCATCACGGTCCGAACTCCATGAAGTACAGTTTTTCCGACCGATATTCCTAATCTTTAACGCCATAAATCAGATACCTCTTTGCCTAAGACTGAATGCCAGCCTTGATGATCTTGCTGATATACTTCAGCTCCCATTCTCGAGGATCTACGCCTAGGAATTGTGCGTTGGGTCGTTCATCTAGGATATCGGATGTCATTGCAACAGTCTCGCACCACTCCCTCGTCGTAGGATCCGGGTCTTCGCCCCACGCAACCCACACCCCGTCTTCGATACGAGGAGTGAGTTTGGGAGGGACTCCTCGCATTTTTAGTAGCATGTGTAGGATGTCGCTGAATCGCTCGCCTTGCTGGCTGTAATATGCTGGCGGCTTATCCAGAGGCCATTTCGCATTGCGTAACGGTTGGTTCGGCAGGTCTGGCTGTGATCCTTGGAGCGCTTGTGCAAGATCCCTGTCCGCTGTGGCTGATTCGGGTTTTAAGTCGGCATTTCGAGTCGTGCCTACTTCCCAAGTCTTGAACAGCCAACACATGCGCTCAACACAAGCGAGGAGAACTACCGCAACCAGAAAGGTTTCGAATGGATTGGCCTGTTGCCGTTGCAACAAGCGCCTCTCTAGATCGTTCATAACGAATTTGCTGAGAGCAGCTGCACTCTTTTCGATGGTGCCCGTCAATTGACCTTTGATGAGATCGTAAGAGTCTCGATTGCTTTCGCGCGTTATCGGTGTGCGAGAAGTTGATTCTAGGTCAGATTGGCCTAGAATAGCTGGTACGGTCATAGGGGGGTGTGATGGATTGAGAAAGAGGTGCCACTGTATCGAGTGATCGACGAGAATTCGAGTCGCTACCCACAGCTCAAGCACACGCCTGAGGAGATTATCCTGTTGCTGTATTAGTGACGTCCCTCAGCTTAGGAACAACAGAGATCGAACCTTATTTGTTCCAGCGCTCATAGCAAACGCGGTTGCGAGTGTCGGCCTCATGAAGGCAGAAGGCTCGGATTCGGCGAATTTGGGGGCAAGTTTCCGGATGTAAAGCTCGAGCTTGCCGCACAAGTCATCGCTATCTGAGTCTACGATCTCAAGATTTGTTGGATCAGATTGAGGCACATTTCCGTTGCCTAACAGTGCTGGATCAATTGCGGAACTCTGTGATCGCTGACACTTGAGTGGCTTGAAGGTCGCAAACGTAGCAGTATCTACATAGTGAGTAGCTTCAATCCTACCAGGGATCTGGTCAAGGTGAATCTGCCCCTTGGCCTGGCCGACCGCATGGAAAGACAAGACACCATAGAGGCCTATTACATGTTAGAGCTGAATGTTGTGCTGGAGATGTTTCAGAAGACCAACCTGCCACGTATAGGTCGAACTCGTCTGCAATTCGAGTCCTTATGCATGGCTGTTTCCACAAGCGCGCGCTCTCTACGTTCACGCAGGTGCTGCATGGGTTTTCCCCGGAACACTAAAATCTATCAGCAGGCGTACAAGCCATTTTGGCAGAGCGTCATACCGGCTTTTTCAGCATTCGGCAACGGATACATGCCCCGCGCTTTCTGACCTCCTGAACCTCTTTGCGTCTCGAGTCGGTGAATCTTCCTCGGACCTTAGGTTTCGAAGGCCTTTGATTCATGCTGAAGTCTGTTGTGAAATGAGTCTGCGTTGTATTCGGATTCATTGCAATCGGCCGTGGATATGTGGGGGCTCTGCTCGCAAACCCTTCTGTAGGCATAGAGTGATCCCTGCCATTGTCTTGAAGCATCGGGTCGATTGCGTTCGACTGGAGACCCGCCCACGGCGATCGGCCATGCGTATTGTGAAAGTACTTGTCAGTAATGCCTTCGTTCGGCACACCGAGTTCGGGTTCCATAGTCAGGCCATTCTGCGGCAGCAGGTTCGAGAGCTCATTTGCAGCCGAAGCTGTTATGACGAGGGAAGGAACCAGGTGTGCCGCCAACGACCCTGAGGTATGTGGCGTTGGAAGCCCTCCGATGTGAGGAGAGCCTGAAGGTGAATGAAGGGAGCCGTACTGGTATATAGAAGGCAGAGGAGGAGCGGCAGAAGTATCTAGTCGGCAAAAACCGTTAGCTATGGTCGAGCACGACGGGAAAAGGAGAGCTTCTTTCGGGCCAGTTGGTGTACTGCAGAGAGCAAAGCGAGTTGCTTTTGTGATATGAAAAATCTTGGTATTTTTCCTTTTCAGCCCACCACCATAGCCAGGCGGATACAAATGAGTCATTTGCATAGGTAGAAAGCCAATGCGGCACAAGCACGTACCGACTCGTTCCACCACACTACCAGCCTCCTCGGGTCTGTCGTCCTGGACTATGAACTCGTCCATATAATTTCCAGTTTGTGTTCCAATGGCACGCGGCGAAGACTGCCGCCTGCCATTGCCGGGCGTGTGTTTGCCGGTCATGTCCAGTCGCTGCCTTGAGACTTCAGCCAATGTCTCCAGAGCTGACATTGCTCCCTGCTTCGGCGCAAAGGGAAGGTTCATGGTCTGGCCGGCTTGCTGCTGGGTGGGAGAGCTCGTGGTCGGTGCCATGTTGCCGTCAAGGTCGGGCAGCTCGTGGAATTGGAGAACCGCGCGCTGGCGGTCGCGCATAGTTATGGCGGGACATTTCTTGGTGAGGTGGCTCGTGAGGCTATCTATGCGGCCTTTTGGAAACTGCAGTGTGATCAGCTCGAGCTGCATACGAGGGCGATGCGGCACGTACGTTCTCCCCGCAAGCCTTGCAGGTGTGCTGGTAGCGATTGCTGGCATCTTCAAGCTTCGCGCCGCGATTGAAGAACTCGAGAATGAGCGGGTTCGGCTTGCGGCCCATCTCCACAGCTTGAGGCAGCTCGGGGCCGCGACGAGGTAACGCGGTCTGCGATGGGCGGCAGATTTTGGAAAGCGGTGAAGACGCCGAGGGAGGGACGCCGTGGCGGGCAGCGGGAACGGCGGGCTTTGGTGGAGTGGGTGGCACCGTTGGCGACAGAGCAGGGGAAATGTGGGGGTGAATCCAGCCTCGCTTGCGCGGTAGGGCTGAGACTTGGCGGTGAATGAGATTCATGCCGGCAGATGACATCTTAGAGCTAATTCAAGATTTGTGGATGCGAGTCCATGACTGCTTCAGTGTCCTCTTGATCACTGGATGCCACTGCTTGGAGTGGCTCAATTAAGCAGCACAATATCGATCAAAAGTATCTGACAGCGTCCCTGCCCGCCCAATTTCCACACTTATGGGTGCTGCATCATGTCCAAATTTTTGCAACTGTATTGAAGTACTCCAAGCAGTGGCTGCCCGTTGAGTTCCAGCATAATTCGAACCTTCAAGCATCAAATTGGACTCGTAGGCAACAGACACTCTACGAATCGTCTTCCACACTTTTGAGATATGCATGCAGGACAGCGCGAACGCAGCCAATATGGATGCGACGACCTAGTAGCATGTTCATTGAACTAGTCTGACGCTGGGACCGTGAGAGTAATGGAGGTCGTCGTACTAGCCACTGTGATGAGCGCAATGTACACCTTCGGGACCCAAACCTCCCTTTGCTGGTAGTCCTGGCAGGTGTGCGAACTGTAAGCGCAATAGTGGTGCTTGTGCCGCTAGACTAGATAGCACAAGATGAATCCGGCGATGCTGGATGCTCCGACCTGGAGGAGCCCGAGTGCCAGGTACAGTGACACAGAAGAACTCGTGGATGGAGTAAGAATCGCGGAGATAGCCATGTTGAAGTGCAGTCAGGTCATAGATATTTCTGCGCCGCAGAATTGGAGGCTCTGATTAATGCCGGGAGAGTTGCTTCGATGGCGCTACAAGGCTACCACCAAAGAATTCGGCAGCTACAAAGAGCCTGCTTTTCAGGGGATCAGTAGCCGGCTTATGGCTGCATCCAAACCAATTGTTTTGTCCTAGAGCCAACCCAAAGGGAGACTTGGCAAGCCCAGCTGGACTGGGATACGACAACTTAGGAGACAACCAGAGACTCAAAATATGGCGCTGGAGACATCCGTGCTGTAAGAACTGTTTTACATAGTAGCCCCTGAGAAGAGTGTGGGAACATGACGAAACGCCGGATGGAATGAAGCAAAATACAGAAATGGCGTAGTCCATTAGGATAGGACCCTCGTGGAGAAGACCAGCCATTGCTAAGAGGAATGCAGCTCATCAAGGTGCTCATTGATGTTTTCTTCTGCTACAGTGAGTCCACAGATCGGGCACTCAACCTGAGTTGACCTTTCGTCTATATCATGTCTCGGCCGTTTCACAGCCGAGGGGTGGTCCTCCAGCAAAGCAGACTCACGATCGACGTATTGAGTGACGCTACTTGTCTCTGAGAAAAGATCCAAACGCCTCTTAAGACCTCCATGGTCACCCAGAGTGAGATTACGGCCCTCCTTAATACTTTTCGCGGATGGAATTGACGGACTCTGTATGACACAGGCTTTCTCTACACCAGAAGCACTCTTTGCTGTTGGTGCAACCCAGCTGTCGAGCTTATTCTTCTGCCTACCAGCCCTTGCTTTCAAGCTGAGATTCTTTAGTTGCTGTTTTGTAGGTTCGGGTTCAGCAATCTTGACATAGGTTCCCCCGCAGTCGTTTTGATGCTTGTCCCACCAAGTATCACTCTTTCCAGGAGCACGGTTCATGCTGCGTTTGACGAGTCCGAAATAAGGTGGTGTCTGACGACAGGGACCGTCACATTGCCAAACATGGGTCCGGTAGCTGTCAACCTCGTCGTGAAACGTGTGATACACGGTTATTGCGTAGGATCCATGGCTGTTAATAGAATCTGCCAATAATTGGAACCCAAGACCGTGCCCTGTGCCATCATCGCCCCGGGAATGATGCCACGATGTAGTGATGAAGAAGTACGCATGAATGGCCTCGTGAAGAAGGGTATCGACTGTATCTTCTCGAGGCCGGAATTTGAGCAAAGGCTCAGAGAGCTTGAGACGAATTCGACGGTACTTGCCCTCATTGTCTTTAGTGAGCTCACAAATGCCTGCACAGCTATAATACCTGGGTTAGTGGGGGATGTCTACAAAAAGGTGAGAGGTGCTTTACAGAGTTAGACGAGGAGACCATAGTACCTCAACCTGGGGTAGAAGCAAGCTCCGAAAATACAAAATATTGTAGAGACCGAACAGTTCGTGAATATCTACGAACGGATCAGCTCCTTCGCCATGAAGGATGCTCTGGATCGATGTCTTCGCTGCCTCCTGGTCCTGCGAGAGCGGGGGCTCACAGAATGTGGATATTGCTAGGAGCGCAGCGTCCTCGTCAGTGAGGGGCATAGCTATGGAGCGCTGCTATGTATACAGAAGATAGTGAACGGGTCATAGGCACGGGGTACATGGCCGTCGCAGGTAGAAATGTACCCCCGATGGATGGTGAACAGTGGCGGAGCGAGGCCCATGCGAGGGGCAGGGCAAGCTTGGAACACGGCGCGGGTCTACGAACTTGGAGACGCGCACTGTTATTCTATCTCCTCCTGCAACAACGCTCCATTCCCTTCTCGCCCCCCCTTAGCTACCATCACCGCCTACGCCGACGCCCCCTTCGCCACCCTCCCTCGCCGTCCCCGAATGCGCCAGTTGCTTCTTCGCTGTCTGGGGGCCGTTCTCGTAGATGACGACACTGCAACAACACCACCACACTCGCTCGTCACACGAACACATCTATATCCACCCCCCGTCCAGCACGCTCCGCATGCCCAACACCGACCGCGCAAGATAGCCAGACGCGCTGGCCATGGAGGTTCCCAGTGCTGCTGATCTGGAGCGCACCAGGTCGCAGGACTCCTCGTCGAGTCGCAGGAGCAGCACCGTTAGAGTCAGGCCACGCAAACGAGAATCGAGCACTTCATTAAAGCGCACCCCGTCAACCTCCACCGATGCTAAGAGTCTGACATCTTTTCCTTCGCTGTCGCCCACCCCTGATGCGTCACCGGTACAAAACCGTGTCAATGGGTGGTTTCGAGCAGCTGTGGGCGAATCGGGGACGAAGGCAGCAGCTGGAGGGAATAAAACTCGTACTGCGGATACAGGGGACAAGCTCGCTGCGGCCGAAGTTGGGAGTGAGCCTGCGCCGGACACAATTCGGAAAGCATCAAAAACAGTACAATCGATTGTAGGCACTCTGGTAGCCGCCTCCCCATCTACGAGAAGCCGGACTGCTCTTTTCGACGACACCCCTCAAGAACCAGACAAGGTCCCAGGCAGCCTCCATCACGCCAGCGACAAGAGCGTAGAACTGACACTAGAGCGAGTCGGACCGGTCAAGCTGGTCAGGCAGCTTGCAGGTGACTTAGCACAACGCGATGCTCAGGTAACAGCTCTTCGGCGTAGAGCAGAGGAAAGGGAGCGTATATTGAGGAAGATGCTGCAAGAATGCGAGGTGTCAAATATGGATATCGAATCTCGCCTACGGGAGCTTGACCGCAGTCAGGAGCAACGGAATGATGACCCAAGGGCGAGAAACAGGAGGAGTGATAGCGGGCTGCCTGGGACACACCCCGACGATCCTATGGAACAGCGGATTGCTCGAGCTATGGCGGACAACGTCTCCGACTTCGACACGACGAGCATACAGGACAATGCGTCAATGTTCAGTCAACGACTGGCTGATGGCGAAACGGAATCGCTAAATTCAATCTCTGAAATGCCCAAGGACCCAGCACGCAACTGGAAGAACTTCTTGTGGAGTGGTACGAATAGCAAAACGAGCAGGGCGCCCAGCATAACCAGTAAATTGGGCAACGATACTGATTTTCAAACTCGATCTCGGGCGTCTAGCAACTCTAAACTACCTCGGAAGCCCATCAGTGGCAACCTTTTCGTGCCTCCGTCAAACGGCGACAAACAGGGCGGCGCGATACCCACACTCCGCCGTCTTCAGAGCCAAGATGAGGAACAATCAACTTCATCATCTCGGAGATCTTCTGTCTCGGTCACGAACTGGGTCTTGCAAGCGGTGGCTGGCAAGAACCAGGTAAGTCGGCCTGGTGACAAACAGGGCACCCTGAGAGGTCGCGCCGCAACATCTGCCAGCGGTAGTACTGCGGATCGCGCACCTTCAAAAGAGTCGACGAGAACGTCTCAGTCAACTGGACCGGCAAACGCTAGTGCTAAGGCTAACGGGCGCCCGCGCGCCGCAAGAAGCTCTCTTGGACCGAATGGGACTATCAAAAGCATACCGCCAGAGAGTGTTACAAGCCCCAATGGCCTAAATCGGAACATTAGCAACCTTGGACCGGTCGAAATGGACACAATACTGCCCGAAGACTCCAGGCCTCCAACTTTGGTCCAGCAACACAACAACTTCAGTCAAAGCAGCGAATATCTGACGGATAGATTTGGTTTTATTTACGACCAAAGACGGAAAAAGCGGCAAAGCGAAGCGGCCGCCGCTATGGCAAAACACAAACGTAGCAGTAATGTCGAATCGTTGAGCGATGCGAGATCTGTTCTCAAAACTATCGGACAAGACCCAGATGTCAAGACTCCTCCGACTGAAGCACCACCTGATTCTGGACCTGCATCAAGGCCCGGGAGCACCGGTTCCTCTATCGAAGAACAAAATGGTCCGCAAGCGCCAAGCCGATGGCAAGATTTCTTGAAGCTAGCGACATTTCCCACAGAATTACTCTCTCACACCCCGTCTGCTGCACCTATAACTACAGTCGATGCGGCAGGAGCAGATCCGGCTCCTAAGGTACCTCCAGTCGTCGTAGCTAAGAGCAGAACTATGCCTCTCGTCAGCGTTAATCCCGAGCCGGCACCATCGCGTATCGTTTCAGGGAATGCGGAATTTGCCACCACGAGTCCATCAATATCCGTCGGCCCTGCAAGTCCGATCCGGCCACCGCAGCACCAGCCCGATCCCGTCAAAGCTTTGTTAGAACAACTGACCGACTTACACGATTCTTTACAGAGGGATAAAACCGTAAAATGGAACGACTTCCTTCGCAAAGTTCGAGCAGAACGAAAGCGAGAGGGCGAGGCCGCTACTGTTGGCGAAGGTCGTCCAAGGAACCTTACCATGCCAGAAGCCCTTCTTGGGGATGGGGAACTCATTGGTGTCGCCGGTCTAGGAAATAAGGGAAAAACTGGGAGAGCAAAATGGCAAGAATTCAAACAACTGGTCCTGGGAGGTATACCGGTAGCCTACCGCGCCAAGATCTGGGCTGAATGCAGCGGAGCATCCGCTCTTCGTGTCCCCGGCTACTACGACGATCTCGTAAACAATGGTGTTGATAATCCGAGCATTGTAGCGCAGATTCAGATGGACATTAATCGAACGCTCACGGACAACATCTTCTTCCGCAAGGGGCCGGGCGTCCATAAGCTTAACGAGGTGCTCATTGCGTACTCTCGCCGGAATCCCGAGGTCGGCTACTGCCAAGGCATGAACTTGATCACTGCCTGCTTACTTCTCATCATGCCAACGGCCGAAGACGCATTCTGGGTCCTGACCAATATGATTGAGAATATTTTGCCCGAAAAGTACTACGATCAGCAACTCCTCACTTCTCGTGCAGATCAGACTGTTCTACGCGAATATGTGGTGGAACTGCTGCCAAAGCTCTCAGCTCACCTGGATGAGCTCGAGATTGAGCTCGAGGCGCTCACGTTCCAATGGTTCCTCTCCGTTTTTACTGATTGCTTGTCAGCTGAGGCATTATTTCGCGTCTGGGATGTGGTCTTATGTATGCACGACGGCTCAACTTTCCTTTTCCAGGTAGCACTCGCGTTGCTCAAGCTTAACGAAAAGGCTTTGAGGGAGTGTGATAGTCCCGCTAGAGTCTACCACTACATAAACCACCAGATGACGAACCACGCCATTAGTATTGATGGTCTCATTCAAGCAAGCGATGCGCTAAAGAAGGTCGTCAAACGCAAGGATGTTGAAGAGCGTCGAGAGAAAGCAGTGGAAAGGGAACAGGAGGTTATGCGGCAGAGAGAAGAAATGAGGAGGGAGCGGGCACAGAAAGCGAAAGCAAAAGCCAGTGAGGAACCTACGGGCTTGAGACCAGACGCGATTCCCCTGGAAAATGAGACAGACTCGAGGATCTCACGCGAAGCCTTGCTCCTTCGGACTCCACTATCAATGGCCTCGCGGGCTGATAGCGAGGAGGATATCCTGAGCCAGTCCTTGGAGGAGTTGTAGAATCGCACTCCATTGCCGATCGAAGAGGAGTCTTTGTGGCGGGCTTGACAGGGTACTCATCCTCACACTTTTTCTACTCTCACGGGTTTCATTTATTCCGTCTAGCATCCGGCGCTCGGATTGACCTGTCACTTGACGTTATATACCCAAGACTCTTAAGTCGTTCCTTTTTCAAAATGGTCTTGATTTTCTTATGTCGCTTTCATTCCTTACTCAATTTGCATTGGATGGCGCGCTCGAATAATACCCCCTTGGAGAAGATTGAAACATCCATACCAGATTTTCGAAAGTCTGGAAATGCCTCTAGCGATATAGAATAGCTCATACCGAGTAACAGAGAATTGAAGTTTGGTTGCTGGTTCTCCCTGAGAACTATCGGATTCATTCTTTGTTTCATCGTCCTTGCAACCCCCGTATCTGACTTACGCTACACATTTATTCCTTTTACTAAACTCGTGTTACCAAAGCATTCTAGCAATTCTTGATAGCTGAACGAAGAAATACCTTTCTGCGATGGTCCGAGGTGGCTAGAAGACGTGTCAGACCTGCCAAAATGATCGGCATTTACCACGTTTAGATTTCTAAAGGAAGGATTGAAAAACTCCAAACGTCGTCAGAAGCTTTGCGACTTGGATTTTTGCGCCGTTTCTACAGGGCTTTGACGGGCCATGGGAGTTTGTTTTTCGAGAAGCACAGCTTCATCGTTCACTTATATTGAGGCTTTTCCCGGATAGTAAAGCCATCCGCCCCACAAACGGCCGATCTCCGTCTCGCTTTTGTAGTATTAACTTTATTGGACATGACCACCTTCTAGTTAAGTCGGCCGAGAGCTTTCTCGACCAATCTTCTACCATAGTCAGAAAAAGTACGTCCGCCGCTACCCCGCATGGGGAACCCCGAGGTCTAGACTAGCAACGCGCTGCAGAGCCGGCTCGGATATCGGTACCGGCCAGCAAACTGCGTATATAAATACGGATGGATTGCTAATCAACACTTCAAGTGAATGTACTCGTTGCGACGATCGCAGCCCAAAACCTCTGGGCAGCAGGCAACGGGAGACAACATACCAATTTCAAATCATCTCCAGCAACAATGGCAGCGATCCCAGCCCCGCCCTACGATGCTGAGCTCAGTGTGGCTCTTGCTCAGCTGCCCACTAGTCCTACTTTCAGCAAGGAGATACTACCGATGTTGCGGCAGTTCATGACTTCCATGTACAATGCGGAAAAGGCCATAGCGGGAAGGCACATCACCCTCGAGGAACGGACTATCCCGGGCCCTCATGGCGATATCAACATATCCATCTTCAAGCCCAGCGCCAGCACCGACAAGCCAAGACCCGGCATCTACTTCATCCACGGCGGCGGCATGTTCACGGGCAACCGCTTCCTCGGAAGTTCATTTCTCTGCGACTGGGTCGAGCAAGTGGGCGCCGTAGGCGTGTCGGTAGAATACCGCCTCGCGCCTGAACACCCCTACCCAGTTCCCCTAGACGACTGCTACGCCGGCTTGAAGTGGGTAGGCGAGCATCTCGGTGAGCTGGGCATCGATCCGGACAGGCTGATGCTCGCGGGCCAGTCGGCTGGGGGTGGACTATCCGCGAGTCTAGCTCTAACTGTCAGAGACAAGGGCGGCCCGAAGTTGCGCGCTCTTTGCCTTATATGTCCAATGCTGGACGACCACAATAACTCGCTTTCTGCGAGGCAGTATGCGACTGTGGGCACGTGGAACCAGGAAAAGAGCGCATTTGGGTGGTCGTGTCTGCTTGGTGATCAGGCGGGGAGTGAAGGGGTCAGTCCGTATGCGGCGGCGGCGAGGGCGACGGATCTCTCGGGGCTGCCGCCGACTTTTCTAGATGTGGGTTCTGCGGAGCCGTTTAGGGACGAGGTGGTTGCGTTTGCGGGGGCGATTTGGAAGGATGGAGGAAAGGCGGATTTGCATGTTTGGGATGGGGCGTTTCATGGGTTTGATATGTTGGTGCCGTCGGCGAAGCTGTCGGTAGCGGCTGTGTCGACGAGGTTGGATTGGGTGAAGAGGGTGTTGTGAGTTAGTAAGGAGGTTGTGCAGGATGGTTCTTACCTGTAGATACTCTTGGCTAATGGCATATGGTAGATTGTGCTGTGGTACCCGATTCACTAATGTTGCGGATGCATAATTACATATCTCTTGAATATTACGCGAAGCAAAACGTCCAAAGCAGTTGTAGAAACCTGTTCACACATTGGACAAAGAGTCTAGGTGGCTTTCAGTGGAACGCATGGGTCATGAAGTCCGCCTGTTGCCTAAGATTAGCTTTTCAGAGATTGAAAAGACTCTGTTGCACGAGGGCATTCCGGAGAATCAGCTTTCGGACAAAATAGTCTGTGAATATCCAACTGATATAGGTGGTACTCCAATATCAACGCTTCGCCCCTATCTACCTACCTGGTATCTACTAATGGTTCGGAATACGCGCCACACAGCCACACGAAGCTATCCTACAATGGCCTAGCCTAGATCATAGATCAGCCTCGACTCCAAGGTTGCACATTTCAGCCTGCTGCCCTCTGCTTCCTCACTCACGTTCCGTCCATAGTCGCTGTGGCAGTATGGGGCTATCTATGTGCCAGTATGGCTAGCATGCATTCTTTCGTCTCCAGCATCCTCGTCGTGTCATTGAGGTCTCCCCGCGTCACGAGAGCTGCCCCACTAGCACATGGGGATCTCGCTTCATGAGATGCTGCAAGAGACGATATGGCTTCTGGGTCGATGCCGACGGATAAGTTGGTGGTGTTTGGTGAACATCGAGAGGACTGCACTGCCTTGATCAATCAAGTTTGTTCTACCCTGCCTTGGGTGCACCCACCCCTTACTTAGTAGCGTTCCTGACACCGTTTAAGTTTACCTTGAACCATTTTGTACCCACCTACGATCCTACTATCGGGGATGACTCATTCCGAGTACAAGCTGTAATCGACGGGAAACCAAGCTTGATAGAAGTTCTCAGTACGGCTGGGCAGGAAGAATATACTGCTTTGAGGGACCAGTACATAAGAGATGGAGATGGATTCCTTGTCGTATACAGCATAACCTCGCGGAAGTCATTCCATGCTGTGACCCATTACATCGATCAGATAGAACGTGTCAAAAGCCCCAACTCCCAGACATCCATCTACAAAGCCGTCTCACTACGAATAATGCTAGTTGGAAACCGATGCGATAGGGTTACAGAAAGAGAAATTTCCACACAGGAGGGGTATATCTTCGCTAAAGAGCACGGGATCGATTTTGTTGAGGCCTCAGCGAAGAACTGCATCAATGTAGAAAAGGCATTTTACGACGTGGTCCGAGAATTGCGGAAACAGAGAGCAGCAGCCGCTCTCCTGGTGGCTTCAGCGTCGGCATTGTCAAAACCCATCCAGAAAAAATCCCGTAATCGCTCAGGGCTAGTCAAAATTATAGCGGAGCGATTTTCTCGCCTACGCCATAGTTTTGAAGACAGCAGTCCAGAACCCGCTGTCTTCAAGGGCGATCCCGATCAAATCCGGACTGTCGCTGAGCAGGGAAAACCTGAGTACGAGCCTGAAGTTGATGATTTCCGTGGTGGTGCCACCCCTTTTCGCTCAAGGCCGAGGCGCAAGACACAACGAGTACTCCCGCATCTGCTACCACCTGTTCATCCACCTGGATTGTCTCCTTTTCTCGATAAGTTTGAAGATTTTGCTGACAGTGGTCCATACGACCCGCGCGCTGGCTCATCCTCATCAACCACGTCGTCAGATTCACCATCAATACGCAAGCATCAGCAGGCAATACTAGACGCTTTCAACGAAACCACCACTTTTGATGATCAATATCAAGGAACCGGCAGGCTGACGCCCAACTTTTCGACATGGCTTCCACCACCTCCGCCTCCCGGTAGCAAGCCTACAACGAACCCCAAGAAAAAGATGAAAAGCCCGCTCAGTGCTGGGGTTTCGTACGTGCAAGCTTTGTTCGACTACGATGCTGATGACCAGATGTCTTTGAGCTTCCGAGAAGGTGATGTCATTCAGGTTATCTCACAACTAGAGAGTGGGTGGTGGGATGGGGTTTTTAAAGGCGTTCGAGGATGGTTTCCTAGCAACTATTGCATGGAGATCGCAGAACCCATAGGCGAGAACAGTCCGGATGAGAGCGAGTATTCCACATCAGACTCAGAGTCGACCCACACAAACAACGCCTCTTCATCGTTGATTGAAGGAGCGGGGCTGCGTTCTGCAACTCAAATATCTGGGGCTGATCCTCTATCAACACTTGAGCTTCAAATATCTCCAAGCCGACCCCCAACCCCCAATGCACCACTTCACGGTCCAAATTCACAGGATTGGCCGACGCCTGAAGGTTTGGAGGATCCTCGGGACTCGGGATCCCCAATTCCCACCACCACTCCTAGGAACGAAGCGGCTGCGATCGCAACTGATTTGAATGGAGAGAACCAGACTACTGAGAGCAAAGAACAGCACGAAGCTGAGTTTTGGATGCCCCAGGCTACACCGAATGGAAGGCTGTACTATTTTGATACGCTTACAGGAGTTAGTGCAGTGGAGCTTCCCTTGGAAACTCCATCGACAAATACGTACACGTTACCAAATAAAGGGACTGGGAGCTTAAAAGAGGGAAAAATTGAAGACTCGGTGCTACATTCCGATGCAGCTCCATTGGGCGATGACGCGTCAGAAACGAGCAAACTGGACGTAGGAAGCATCCCACGCTTGAATGCGAAGCTGACTCCAGGGCCTCTACCTGAGGTACAAATCACCAGCGGCAGACGAGTTAGCAGCCACTCGGGAAGCCGGCCATCAAGAACACAGGACATCTCAACCGCCCTTGGGGTAGCAAAACTGCCAATTAGGGAGCATGATCCGCCTTCGGAAACATCTGCTTGGGATTATACCATGTCTCCACAAGTATATAGATCTAGGTCACAGGCTAAAGTAACCGAAAGCGCAGAAGAGAACCAGAAAAATGATGGAGAAAAGCTCGCTCCTCTAAAATCAAATAACGGGATAGTGCGAGACCAGGGCGCCGGCGACTCCAGATACCTAGGGTCACACACGGGCGTCTCATTTTCAAGAATCGTCGCTGCAGCAGTGAAATATGAGCAGAGCAAATCTGCAACCTCGATACAAAAAGCTACTCCAAATCCCAGTAACCCCCTTGGACTCGGTAAAATGGAACTTCCGTTAGAGACTGGGACTCAAACCACTCGGGATGGACCAGAGCGACAGGTATTCAGAAACATACAGCACGAAGACTATGAAAGTCCCAGGGACGTCCCTTACAGACACATCGATGTGCTTGGCAATGGCCACTATGGATTTGTGGATGAAGTCGAGGCAAAATCACAACAAGCAGACGGTTCGACTGCAGTAACGTACGCTAGGAAGACTATTCTCGTGCAAAAGGCTCGCTCCGCAGAGACCACCCGTCGGATTCGCAACGAAATCGATATTATGAAGCGACTAGATCATGAACACGTTATCAGAATAGCGGCAACTTACACCGTAGGAAACAGATTCGCCATCCTCATGCAGCCAGTGGCGACAATGAATCTTGCTGAGTATATGGATAGACATCCTAAGCCGGCATCCGATTCTCCTATGCGGTGTTGGTTTGGCTGCCTGGCCTCCTCGTTGGCTTACCTTCACTCAGAGCGGATCAAACATCGGGATATCAAGCCTGCGAACATCCTCATTAAGGGAGCGACTATCATTCTCACCGACTTTGGTATCGCCCACGATGTGCAGGACGATTTGACAAGCTCTACCGTGGGCACGGTCGATTCGAAGACGCCTATGTATTGTGCCCCAGAAGTTGCAGATGAAAAGAGACGTGGTAGAGCCGCCGACATCTTTTCACTGGGATGCGTGTTTTTAGAGATGGCCACAGTGCTCTTGTGGAAGCATGGTGTCTCTCTCACTGCATTTCACGACTTTAAGCAAACTCCCGAGGGGAGAAAAGCATTCCACGTGAACTTGGATAAGACAGTCCAGTGGATCATACAGCTTTTCCAACATGCAGGACGCTGGAGTAATCAAGGCTTCAAACTTCTCCAAACAGATGATCAATTAGCGATGCTTTGTTGGTGTTACGCAATGCTACAACCTCGCTCCGACGACAGAATCTCAGCGCCCGACCTGGTTCTTCTCACAAACGCCGAGCAATGGACAGGTGAATGCTGCCGGCATCGCCCTAAATTCACCTCTCCTTGGAGCCCGCCTTCCATATTCAACCCCGTTCGGTCACTCGAGTCTTTCGCTACAGAGTCTAATTCATCTCTCTCTGGGTGGGAGTCATACAATACTGAACTTGGCTACACAGTGCCAAAGACACCGCCACCTTCTCAAAAGGAAACGTCGCCACCCAACGATCACCTGCCCCAAGAAATCCGCCGGTCGATCGAGCAATACATAGCGATGTGCGGCCGGCAACGGGCTTTCCATCGAGATCTTAGTGGCGATGAGTACGCCTACGAATGCATAGCCAAATGCGGCTATCGGACCAATTCTCGGGATCACTGGAAGCTACATGAGGAGACCCATCAACCACAGGAGTTCTATATATGTGGAATCTGCAAGGATAAATCTGGCGAAGAGAAATATGTTGTCTTCGGTAGACGTAAAGAGCTGCTGTTCCACATCCGACATGAACACCCTGACCAAGATGCTGAAGGCATCGTGAAGCAATCAAAGCAAGACTATGTTGCCGGTTTCAAGAGAAACTGCGAATTCTGCGGCGATCTCTTCATTACTTGGGATTCGAGGAACGAGCACATTCTTGCGCACTTTGATAGAAGGAACTTCCAGAATGAATGAATGGAAAGATCCATGGCCTGATGATGGCAACAAATGACATACATCAAGCGAAGGTGAAACAGAAACCAATAATTGGCATCAGCTCATCTCTCTTGTATCGCTCTCACCATCTGCTCCGCAAAAGCTATCTACAGTCACAGATTAAATGGCTGAAGGGTATCCAGATTTACGCCTTACGCCGAAGAAACACAACTTTCTCTACATAACCGTATCATGCTCAGCACTTCCCCTCCCTCCACATTTTGACCGACTTGACCGTCATCCCAAGCTCATTCCCCTTCCCCCACGTCGGCATCCACGAGTTCCGCGCGTTCCAGAAGTCTCGCATAGCCGTAGGCGAGAAGTTGATCCAGGGCTTGTCGCCTTGGCGGTCACTGGTGCCATCATTAATTGATAGCCAATGAAAGAGCGTCTCATATTCAACTTACGGGAAGTACCCAGTAGTACTACCAACAGCGACATTAAGGATCAGATAAAACGGCTCATCGAACGGGGTGTTCGGACGGCCGGTCTGGGACCAAGGGTCGCTCTAGGGAAAAGTCAAGTCAGCTGCTGGGGTGTTGGGAATGGGGGGCTGTGGTGTTCTTACCAAAGCTGAGCCGTTGACGAACATATTTTGGAACCCGCCGCGCTTCCAGAGATTACCCATCTTAGTGGAGAACTTAACGAAGAGGGTTTGCTGACAGGCGTTAGCACTAATCGCAAGAGTGGACTGAGATTGAATGGGAAGAAGCTTACAGCTAAACGCGAGTCGACATAAGTGTAGATGTAATTAGGGGTCCACTCCATGCCATAGACATGGAAGTCCTTGGAGTAGTCGGTCCGGCGGATGCCGCGCTTGCCGGTCGTCTTCCAGAAGAGGTCGAGGACGGTCTTGGGACCCCAGTGGAGGGTTCCGGAGATCTCGTCACGGCCGCCGTCGTAGCTGGCAATTTGTTTAATATTGATATCGGTGCCTGTGGGAAGCTGCAGACTTACTCGTCACCGTAATTTCCTTTTGATTCCATGATGTCTATCTCTCCTGACGCTGGCCATTCGCCGTATACGTCCTTCTCAGGCATCATCCTGTAATAATTAGCAATTAGCGATGGCTGAGAAGTGATCTTGATGCAAACTCACCAGATCGCTGGCCACAGCCAGTCGCCTTTGGGAAGTTTGGCCACGACCTCTGCAGTTTGTTTAGTATCGCTCCTTTCAGCTCACTCAGAGAGGGAAAACTACCAATCTTGCCGTAAGTCAGATTTAGCTTCCCCCGAGTAGTAAGACGCGCACTTCGCACAGGGTTGATGATGGCCCCGCTGGTTACGTTACTGCGCACTGAGCAATCTCCGCCGGGGATCTTCTTTGCGCTCGTGCAAGTGCCATCGCCGCCCGTCTTTGTAAGATTGAGCACGTAGCCGTCGTTAATCTGGGCTAGGGTGATGTTGGTCGTATCGACAGTGAAGGTAGGGACGATATGGAGCCCCTCGGAGTCAGTAAAGGAGTTCCTGGGATCCGAAGTTGTCCAATCGAACGTGCCGGTCCCGAAGCCGCCGAGCTCAACCTCATGATTCCAGTGTTCTGGGTTTATTCCGTTTGTGAAGTCGTCTTCAAAAAGCGGACAATACTAGAGACACTTCAACTATACCGCCACAGAGAGGTGTAGTCGTACTCACGTTGTCGTGGGGCACACTCCGCCATCCATCATAGCAGATGTAAGCTCCGATGCCCAATCCAGCAATCAGGAATCCAAAGAAGATGACTTTATCCCATATCTTCCGTAGTTCCTTCTCCTTTGTCCATGGTTTCTCGTATTCTCCGACTAATCTGGCGCTCTTGAACTTCCGTTGCTTCAAAGGCGGTGCCTGTTGCTCTGTGGCAATGATCTGTAAGCTTTCAACCTTAAACATGATTGTTCGCTGAGTTGACAGTACAGCAGAAAAGAGAGCTCGCTCACCAGTGAAGAAGTACGACCCAGAGGCCGAAGGTGCGGAAGCAACGGATACAGTCTGAGGCGTTTGGAAAGGATTTTCAGTCTTAACGTGCAATTGCGGCGAAGACCTGGGCACCCACTCGGGTTTTTTCTCCTTTTGTTCTTCCATGTGCTGCTCCATGTGACCAGTTTGAACACGCAACGGCGACCGTTTACGTGTTAGAGGGCACCCTTTAACTGCTCGAGTGGCGATCAAGACCAGATTTATGCGGAGGTGGAGAGCCTTATAGCAGGTATCTGACAATATCTGACTAGCATATCGGATATCGCGGATCACTGAAAACGTTGGCGATCAAAGACAGATCCTTGTTTAGAGAAGAGAGATATCTGACTAGTGGAGTTCACTCAAGATCGCTGGAACACAAGCAAAGGTTCGTGACGAGAGAGGGAGAAGACTCTTAAAGAATGACAAGATGAACACCGGTCACTACAGAATGGCGGTTGAGGAGCACTGTTCATGGGGTTAAGATGTACTGTTTCAGGGGTTGAGAGTCGCTCGTGCCAGGCGGTCCCATCCCCAAAGTCGATCGCTCGGAGTTGAGGGTGGTTTAGATAGAGACATGGCCGACTGCAGGATTCTAATTAAAGTGTCTCGAAGGAGAGTCAGACGTCCTAATCTAGCCGACGACTGCATCACCCACTAGTCTACGGCTGATAGAAGGGTAGCGACAGACTTTTCAAGTGTTCATCGCATTTTGGAACTTTTCCGTGAAAATGATGATGATAGCGCTCAAGTGGAGATATTTCGAGCACAAGGTTGCTTAGAATCGATGATAGACGATTCGATTAGTGTTATCGATAGTCTGAATTCAGGACCCTGCTTAGCAGAGGGATGGAGTTAGCTTCCAGGGGGCCTCCTGGGACACGTGTACGCGCAATGCGAACCCTGAAGGAGTTTTCCTCGATGAAGGGTCTGAGCTAGGATGAACAGTCCTGCGGTTTCGCATCCAGTCGACACGGCCATGCTGTATTCTTATAGAGGCTATTCGAGCGGCGCTGTTCCGATACGCTATGCGCTTGGAGCGTCAACCAACGAGTGTGAAGGGAAAGAATGCGTGGGCTGGACCCAGGGTCGCGAAATGTAGGATTCCTAGTGTTCCTACATCTCAGCCCAATTGCGCGTGGATGACCCGTGATGTTTTTGTGGGTCGTCCCCAGCGGGGAAAGTCTTAATTCAACCTCGTTGGCGCTAGAGTCCCTCGAGACTCTTTCACCGCTCCCTGTGCCTCCTTGTCTTCTCCCATTCACCATCCAAATCTCGCAATAACGGGTATCGTGGTGAGCAAGCCTGGGATGACACTAGGGTCCTTTTGCGCAACCAGCCTGGCCCATCTCCAGCTCCTCGGCGCCTCGTCCCGTCCCATTCCTAGGGTCTCTCCGTTGTTCCACGCGAATCGGGGCATGTGTACCTTCATTCACTGCCAAAAAGAGACGCCAAGCTGCATCGTCAGGAAATATCTGTCTTCCGTCACCCTAGCAGCTGATCAAAACAGAAATGATTCTCAACGTTTCATCTTGGCCTTGTTTAAACATCCATTGCCTGTCCTACACCAGTCGGAGATCACTTCGGCTACGCCGTAGCCGCGCCGTGTAGCCTTTCTGGCATCAGTCAACCAATTAGAGTCTCCTTTGCATTTTGGAGGCTTACTGTAGCTACTGGAAGGAAGTTGATCTGACCGCCTCTAAGAGTGGACACGAATTACCAGCAAAATTCGGCCACTAACTAGCATCTTCACTGCACGTCTCCCTTTGCTCTGTATTCCTTCTTGATACTAGACATCTCATCTTTGTGTACTCGGGACGGTCCGCTCTACCTTTTTACTTCAGTGTTTCGGTTTAGGCCAATCACTTCAGGTAGCTCCGTAGGGGCATGGGTGCCTGTCTCACCAGTTTGAATGTGATGCCAAGGTGGGATCTCACAAGGCTCATTTCTGTATGATTTCCACGAGAACAAGCTATGAGCACTACTCTCCCTGCTTTACTGTACCCGAATCATGCTTGTGAGACAAGCACTAGCCCTAACTCCATCAGCCTTGCCCGATCCCTAAATCTCCGTCCATGGTCCGTTCATTGAATGCGATGACTTGTAAATCATATACTTACTCTGTTTCTGTCAGCAATTTCTCGCTTCTACGGCGGCTATGTCTGGACGGCTACCGGGGACGTCGCCGAAGCTGCATATCACTAAGGTCAAGCTTTGCAGAGCGCCTCGGTCCCACCTGGAGCACGAGGCTAGGCTGGGATTTGTCCAGCCATGACTGAGGCGTCTCTTCCGTCAGGTGCTGATGGGTTGATTATGACAGACCTCGGGACTATTTCTCAGTTATCAACAACCTGCGAGCGGCAGCTATGTCCACGTCCGCAACGTGCCCTGCCATTTACTAGCCTTGTCTTGTGGAGCTAGACGGTACTACATCTTTCAGGCCGTCTTCTACATTTCACGTTCTCCCGGTACTTTTGCATTCTCCTTTTTTTTCATTTTCTGCGTTTTTTACACTCAGCATCATACCTGAAGGACACGATGAGTGGTACGATACCGCCTCCAGTTGGCAGCTCAATGCCTACATATCCTGTGGCTGTGGGACAGAAAATTTCTAGGCCCGAGCATTCACGGAACAGGACACTTCTTCCGACGCCTGAGGACCATAGAGTCTCTCGCCATGAGGTTGTGAGTAAAGTCCCCAATAATCCGAGGTGTCCATTTTCGGCTTGCTCGATGTGATTTTGGCCTTTTGTTCAGGAGGCTTGACAAGGCTCGACAAGGCTTGACACATGGACGGGATTATCTGTGTGTAATCATTCAACGTGGTAGTCGGGCTATAGCGATAAGATTTTAGTAATGAGCTTGCTAACGCCTGGAGCAGATGGTTAAGTTTATATATCGCCGAGTCCTAGACAAAGGATGGTTGAAGCCAGATGAAAGCTTACGAGGGTCGGAGTATGACCATCTAGGAGTAGTCATGCAAGTTGAAGACGACGAATCAGTCCATTACATCTCAGAGCCAGAAGATGTCAACCCAGAGCTCAAGGTTGTGTGCGAGAAGCTCAACCTTGCTGTAGCGTTCACCATGTCTTCAGAGATATGCTCACCCCTCTTTTCTCGAGTAGGGAAGAACGACACCGAACTGACTCTCGGACCGTATAATTTGACCGTCCCAGTGGTCAATAGCATACGCGAGCTCGCTAGGAACGATACTGGAGTGAGGCGGAGAGATATCATGTGTCTCGTTCGTCAGGAAAGACTGGTGCTTGTGTGGAGCCATACTGCAGAAGACTTGATGGTCCAAGGGGTAGATGTAGAGAGTAAGATTATGGGAACCGTGAGTGATGTGTCTGTATCTTTACTGAAATGAGCTAATGGTATCTAGCTTTGGGGTGCAGCAATTCCTGAACAAGATCGCCGACACACATTCCGACCCACAACAGGTCGTGACTCCGGATACACAACTCCAAGTATCTATGGCAAGAACTCACGAAGCGAGAAAGGATCTAAGAGCAACATCATTGCGCGAGGATTCGAAATTGAAGAAATTGAGAAGAAAGATGGAACGTATCTCGACATTGACGACGAAGAAGCTATGAAGATTCCCAAACGACCTTTCCTGCTCACTCACAGTCTGATGATTGGCATGACCGTCTGTCTGCTTGTCTGTGTGGAAAGTCTGGCTGTTCAGCATATCGTCGTCGAGATCCGCACATTGGGATCGGTTGGCCTATCGCGTCTTGCTTTACTTGCGACTCTTCCACTATTCGTTTTCTTTGCATTATTCTTCTTCGTCGTCCTTATCGGGTCGCTTTTCCAGCTTGTGGGCCCTATTCAAGACCCAAAACAGGGTAACTCGAAGTACTATTCATCGCGTGCGCCACGCAGAGAACGCCACCGGAATTTGGACTTACCGCACATCAGTATACAGATGCCAGGTATGTGGCATCCCCTATGCAATATCTTCAAGTGCCACTAACCGCTTGAGCAGTTTACAAAGAAGGCTTGAAAGGTGTCATCATACCGACCGTAACTTCTCTGATGGCAGCGATTAAGCAGTATGAAGCCGAGGGCGGAACAGCCTCTATGTAAGCTAGTTCGAATTTCTAGTTGGCTTCTACGATGTGCTAATGAGAAATAGTTTTGTTTGTGAAGATGGAATGCAAGCTATTAAGCCCGAGCTGGCAGACGCACGCAAGCGATTCTATGAGCTCAACAATATTGGCTGGTGTTCCCGACCCCCACATGGTAAAGACGGCTTCGTGAGACCTGGTAAATTCAAGAAAGCGTCCAATCTGAACTACTGTCTCAACTTCAGCATTCGGGTCGAAGACGAGCTGCAGAGGCTTCTCAAAGCTCATGCTGATGAGCTACGCTGCGCGGAAGAAGATATCACTCTCGAACAGGAGAACGATATGTACGAGCAGGCCTTGCATAAGATTATGGACGATGATGGAGGCCGCACGCAAGCTTCTGGAAACATCAGGCTAGGAGAAATCATACTGCTCGTCGATTGCGATACTCGAGTGCCAGTCGATTGCTTGGCTCTTGGGGCTATGGAGATGGCCGAGAGTCCTGATGTCGCCATCATTCAACATGCTAGTAAGTCAATCCAGCACGTACTCCTTGGATAAATTATCTAATTGCTTTAGGTGGCGTTATGCATGTAATCCATACCATCTTTGAAAACGGTTCGTCCAACTCTCATCCTCTCCACGATTCCACTAACTCTAACCAAGCGATCACGTACTTTACAAACCTTGTTTACCTTTCAATCCGCCATGCCGTTGGAAGTGGTGATTATGCACCCTTTGTAGGCCATAATGCCTTCCTCCGCTGGAAAGCGGTGCAGAGTGTGTCGTTCCAAGACAACGGCGTAGATAAATTTTGGAGTGAAAGCCACGTCTCGGAAGATTTCGATATCTCCCTGCGTTTACAAATCGCTGGTTTCGTTGTCCGAATGGCGACTTACGGTATTTCATACCTCTAATTATGAAGTGATTGCCAACTGATAAGCGTATAGATCATGGCAAGTTCAAAGAAGGTGTCTCACTAACCATTTTCGATGAATTGCTGAGATGGGAAAAATATGCCTATGGCTGTTCAGAGCTTGTGAGCATACTAGAATCATCGATCTGATTCTTTGCTCACTACCTCGCAGATGTTTAACCCCATCCATACCTGGCTTTGGCGCGGACCGTTCACGAAGCTATTCCGCACTTTCCTCTGGTCAAATATGAAGATTTCTTCCAAGTTTACCATAATCGGGTACATCGGAACGTACTATGCCATCGGAGCAGCGCTTCCCCTGTCAATCATCAACTACATCATCACTGGGTGGTATGCCTCCACTCTGGACCATTACTATCTTTCCAGCTGGAAGATGTTAGTGGGCACTCTCTTCGTGTTCAACATCATCTCTCCGATTTGGTAAGTCTTCTTCCGCCTCTTCTACATTCAGATCCTAAGAGACGGCAGTTTTGCTTGGTTCCGTCACCGCATGGGCGATAAGAACTTCTTCTGGGCCCTACTTGAAGGCGTCAAATGGATGCCCATGTTCCGTAAGTTCTCCGCCGCCCTTGCCTTCATGATCTAATCTTGAAATCGGATAGTCATCTTCTTCGGCGGCATGTCCTGGCACATATCCCATGCGCTTCTCGCCCACCTGTTCTCCCTCCCAATGGAATGGACCTCCACTGCCAAAGAACTCGAAGGTACTGGCTTCTTCATCAGCGTCGACAAAGTCATTAAGAATTTCAAATGGATGTTGCTCGCCATGGCACCTGTTATTGGCGGTATGATCTACCTTGCTGTAGGTGCGCCACGCGGCTGGAGGATCGAAGACTTCACTAGTATTGTGCCTTTGGCGAACCAGGTTGGTGCGCATGTGCTGTTGCCGTTGTTGCCTATTATACTTGGGTCGTAAGAAGGAGTGTATCGAGGGGGTGGTTCGGCTGTATTCTGTCGTTCGTTTATGACGGATACCCGGACATAATACGTTTGAATGGTGGAGTACGTTCGTTTCATTGGTTAGGTCAGGGATAGTTAATGTGCAGATTGGAAATAAGAGTGAACATAATGGAGATTTTGAGAACTTCACCCGAATCCACATGATCTTTCAGACATAGCACCGTGTTCCACGTATGCCTTCCTAGTGAAGAGTGACACTCACAAATCTTTCCTGCCAAATGCTGGATGCCAAATGCCCCGTGAATTTTCGTGCTGTGGACACTATTATACACACCTCTTCAAAAATACACTGCTACTTAACAGCCATCTACAACTGTGAAGCACCCAATCGTTGCACCATTTCCCACATCCGTCCTCATTCCTCATTCCTCATATCTTAACATCCCTATCCACCTCTTCCACCACCTCATCCACAGGCGTCGGCCTCCACCGCTTCTTCCCCTGCAACAACTCCCTCGCCTGCTTCGCCAACGTCTGCGCCTCCTCCCTCGCCTCCTTGATCTTGGTCGCCGGTTTGTCCCTCCCATCCGCATCGTCCTGCAGCTGACTATAAATCTCCTTGCTCCACGGCTCCCAGCTCTCCGGATCTTCCGGCCACACAAACGGCTTGTCCATTTCGACCGTCATGTGCTTGATCGCTTTCGGCCGGAACCACTTGTTCTGCTGTGGCACGGTCGCGTCGGGCCGGTCGTGCTGCACGCGCTGCTGTTGCACGTAGGAGCGGATTTTGTCGGTGCGGAGCCCGTAGGCGTGGAAGAGGTAGTCGCGCAGGTCGAGCTTGGAGAAGGTGAGGGGGACGCGGAATTTGGCGTGGGTTGCGGGGAGGTGTTCGGATTTGATTAGCGCTATTACCGCGTTGGGTCTGTGGGCAGTTAGGCAAGGAGAACGTAGTAGATGCGAATTCTTAGAGTTGTGCATACAGGTAGACTTCTTTCCTGCCGAAGCGGACCATGGTGAAGGTTGGGGAAGGAGTAGGAGGCCAATTGCCGTTAGGGAATTGCTGGGAGCGGTTGGATTGCGCAGGGGGGCTTCAGAGCATTAGACTGTGCCTCAAATAGTCAATTGTTCTTTGCTGGATTGCAGGATGGCGCGCGACGATCTCGTGGTGTTGAGGGCGTCCGGAAATTTCCGCGAGGTTTGAGATATCTCTTGCATTTGCTGAATCAGCAGGGTCAGGTTGATAACTAGTTATCTCCTCGACGTCCCTTCCGTGTCGTCCTCCGCGCGCGAAGTCGGAGCTTTCCTCCGCATTGCTGCTGCTCTGTCAATGCACAACTCCTATGCTTCCGATTCACGGGCTCATGGGCGTGGCATCGACCTCTGCTATCGAATCAAGCGCTCAGGGGCGCCTCGATCCTTTTCCTAACATGTCAATACACGATTCTCCATGCTGCAAATTAGAAGCAACGAAAGATGTCATCGATCACTGGATTCCTCTGTATTACCCAGGGGTGCTCCAAGCACATCCCTACTCTGTCAGAATCATTGATCGGGCTCCACGATTCGGCAGCTCGATAAATTCAGCTCCTGAACCGGCACCCCGAGGTGGTTCGTTCTAGCGGTTTGTAGGATATTCGCGACGCATTGGCACACCCTTTCGGCCCCGCAGATGCACTTCTTCGCGTTTATGTCGGTAAAGCGGCAATGGCCGTCGAACTCTGGCGCGCTGTCAGACGCAGTCTCACGGCAATGGTGATCGTCGTTGTCTAGGGTGACGGGGTCTTGGTGTCACAGAATGAGTACGACGGGCGTCACGTTTGCTATAGGAACCGGAAGAACTGTTTGACCATGGGCCGATTACGTGGGCGAATGAGGACATTTCACAGCGTGAATCTGGGTTTTCGAGGTCGTTGCTTCGAGGAAGGCAGTCCTGCGATTGCCAGGCCGCGCGATTGCCTCGACGTCTTCCTCTTCACCGCCCCTGTGCCTCAACAACTTTCTGCTTCGACAACAACAAGATCTTCAACTTGAACTCAATCTTCTTGCCAACGTGCAGTCTGTATCTGCGAAGCAGCGGCACGCGTCCTCGTCGTTCGCACTCCGCGTCGGCCATAAACGTGACGTTATTACAATCACGTTTCTTGTTAAAACTTTCTCTCCACGCTACACCTTAACCTTGGAGACTGATCACATCAGCACAACTAGTTACAGCCACGATGTGAGTTTGCTGCCTTCTGTGTGGCCTCCACATTGCTAATCTTCGATAGGGAATGTGGTAGTCGAGCAAAGAACAACTTCGCCAAAATCAGGGCCTTCTCGTACGAGGGATGGAGCGAGGACGTCCTCAACGACGCGGCAAAGACGCTCGCCGAGGCTTACAATAAGTATTCTGAGCACGACCTCGGGTTCACCGTACGCAGCCATTTTACGATTGATTTGGAGCTCTTTGAGGCACCACGTGTCGAGGTTATGTCGCGACTAACATCAACTCCTAGGGATATGTGGAGTGGACAGAAGACTTGAGCAATCCAGACCTTCATCCAAACCGCTTGTTGGGCCCTCAAATGGAAGAACTTCGCAAGATCCAGGTCGGCTCTATGGTGTATACCAGTCTCCAGAGCGCTGGTCCAGGCATGCCTGTTCGTATCATGATCACCGGTACCGAGCAGGCAAGAGTCGATGATGCGAAACCACGCGTGGAGAACTTTATCAAGGCCAAGATCGCTCTCCAGAACTTCAGACCAACTACCCGCTTTGTGTGCTTCGAGGAGCGTATCAAGAGCGTTCGCATAAAGCCGTATGGAAACCCGCAGGCATTGACTGTCATCGTTGACCCGATGGAGACTCTTCTTCCAGTGGAGATGGTTGCTCCACTACGCCAGCCTGACATTCAAGAAATGATTCGGGATGACCAGCTAGAAGCAGTGGAGGAGACCATTCTTGAGTCGTTCGACGTAATTCGCCAACGTAGCCAAGTCTACAGTATGGGAATCAGCCTCGGCCTGCTGAAGCTTGGTCCCCGCCTCAGACCCTCCCAAGAGAACTGCTATAAGCGCGATGAGTTCGTGGATATGATGGAACGAGACGACACTCGGGTGTCGGGCAGTATCGAGAAGCCGTAAGTCTTCTAGACAATCTGGTGGTGCATTTGATCATTTGAGGCACCAGCTAACGGACTGTGCAGTGTCATGGGCAGCGTTGAACATGAACTGCTTGGGCGCTTGATAGGAGCTCCGAATGTCCTCAGCCCCATCCATCATCAGATCAGATCGAACAGCTTTATCAAGCCTGTATTTAGGGTTACAGCGATCCTGCGTGATCCTAACAACTCCGGTCGCAACGTGCTGCTCCAGCTGGAGTTTGAGGATCGTGATGACGATGAGATCGTTCGCTTGCCTGCGAAATGGTCAATCCTGGAGCCAGGCAAGGATCTTCCAGCTAACATGATGAATGTCAACTTGCTGTTTCCCTCGAGGTAAGCTGCTTACCGCGTAAAAATACTCAGAAACAATCACTAAGCTCGATGCCTTTCGCAGTGGACGTGCCTGGCATTTCCACGTCAACAGTTCAAGGGTAGTCCGCAAGGACCGACTGTCGCCTTTCCTTGTCGAATACGCCAACCGGATCGTCCTTGACACTTCTCGAGCTCGCAATCCCAACTTCCTCGATAGATACATCCGATTTCCCACCGGAGGCCCAACATTGCTCCGCGCGAAGACAGAGCGTGTCTGGGTATTCCGTATTACAGGGACCGACTATCGTCTTGAGGCCTCTCAGTCTCGCTATGGCTACGACGCTAACCCCCATCCTACCCTCCAGTGGTTCTGCACTGTTCGCCATCCGGACTGGGAGACCCACTTCCACATGCTCGAAAAGATGACCATCGGCAACGTTCCCAAGTGGCCTCACATGATGAAAATGTTCTTCCCGGACGATGGCTACACCTACATCGAAGAGACTGAGCCTGTAGTGGAGCCAAAGAAAAAGAAGGAAATCGACAAGGCAGCGAAGAAAGCCAAGATTGGAGGCGAGAATTTTGGTAAGGGCAAGGGCAAGGCGAAAGACATCGATACAAACGAGTCCAGCAAGAAGATGTCAATTGCCGATAGCAACAATCTCAAACCTGAGACTGGCCTGCGCCTGCTTACTCACAAGCTCATCAAAATCACGGCCGTTGTCGAGGGCCGGCCTGTTGAGTAGGAGGGGTATTACAGGGCAAGGTGGATGCAGGCTTAGGGGGTGGTGATACGGACTAGAAAACTTCTCTGGGGTGATAGGGAGGTGTCAGGATGAAGACTCATCTTCTCTCCAGGTGCTTGGGATGGCATTGACTCTTTTTTCTTTTCACTGGGGCACTCTTTCATCCTCTATCCTTGGCTATTCACAAAAGCGGCAAAAGCGGATGGAGTCACGAGCTGACAATGGTGTTCATGGGCGTAGGAATGCAGGCCCAAAATGGATTACTTTAGCTGCACTGCCTCAATACCCAAATTCCATAGAGTATAATTACAGTTGCCCAATGTTTGGCTGGCCGGGTGACTTGCACCTTTGGGTCGACAGCTTGAATTGACACAACCTCTTTTCGATCAACGCGTTTGGCAAGAACTACAAAACGCAGAAGATGGTATACAATTACAAACAGCTGTCTAAGATGCTTTAATTTAAACTCTTATAACTCGATACATTGAGAACTTTGATATGGGCACGTGATCAGGTCTGACAAAGGGGTCAAGAGGATAGTCTGAATGGTGTATTTTGACACCGATGCAGCTAAGGTATGTACTAGGAAGACCCATCACCGCCAATCGTATGTCTCTATCACAGTTGCAAGCAGCTGGATTGGCTCAGTAGATTCTCTCATTCTAAAAATCTTCCCTATATAAGCCAGCGATCGACATCGTATCTATAGATACCTTTTGAACGTGGCCAGGGACCTGTTCCCCCAGCATTGATTGCGGGAGCCCCGATCTTGCCCGTCCATGAAAAAATCTCATGAAAAAATGCTTCGGCAAAGCCGTGACGCTGTAATGCGTCTTAATCCAAAGGCACCCTTTTTTGGCGCCCGCTAAACATCAAGAACGAATGAAACAAGCCATGATCTAAATGTAGTGCGTGTCCGAGGTTCCCGAATGCCGCTCGTGATAGCCACACGACTCAAATGACCTTGAACGGCCTGGTTGAGAACTATTCGCCAGCCATTGTTTGGTGGTTGGGAGAATGCTCCGCGTCCGTTCGGGCTTGAGCCGTTGCGGGGAGGCGGTGGTTCCGGGCGGCGGTGACGCGACTATTCGAAGCCGGCTTTGGAGACGTTGGTGGATCTGTTTAAGATGCAATGGATGCGGATGCGGACGCGGATGACTCTCCATTCTGGACGCCGTTGCTCTCGACGCCATTGGGGACGACACCGCCACCATGATCGCCTCCCTCAGCCTTGCGCAGACGCTCTTCTTCCTTCCGCTGCCGAGCGGCCTCTGTCTCGCGCCGCAAGGCTTCTAGATTCCAAGAGCCGTCTGCGTCCTCGTCGTCGCTGTCCGCGTCGCTGTCTTGCCAGTCGCCCTTCTCGAACATGGCGCGTCCGGTTGCTTCCTTCATTGCCTTGGCCTCCTCTTCTGCCTGCTTTTTGTCCATCCGCCCCTTCTTCCATTTCGCGAACGTTTCTTCGGTTACGGGTGTGAGTGTGCCGGTGAGCTTGTGGCGTTCGGATTCTAGGAAGTCTTCGAGGGTGAGGGTGGCCATGGGCGATTTGTCCATGAGGGCTTTCTCGGCGGCGCGTTGTTCTTTGGTTTTAAGGACGAAGCTGTCATATAGTCAATATCAAGAAAATATTTCCTTAGCGCCCCAATTTCGACATCGAAGAGCTCAAATAGAAATGAGGGAGAGGAGCGCAAAACATACCCCGGCGGCAGCGAATGCTTATACATGCACTTATCGCCTCCATTCGGACAGATCCAGAACCAGCCATACTTCCCGTTCTCGACCGCCTCAATAAAGAACTTGCACACTTTATCCGTCGTCGTCTTCGGGTTACCCTGCTTGCTCAGCACCACAGTCCGCAGCTTCTCCTCGTCCCAGTCTACCATATCATCCTTCTTCTTGACATCGTCATCCTCGTTCTCCGCTCCCTCCCGCGTATCCGTATACAGCGACCGCTTCTCACCCTTCCGCTCCACCGCAAGGTCGTGCGAGAACTTGCACTTCCGCCCCTTGTCACAATGCCCCTTCTTGAAAAACTGGCACAGAATCGTCTTCGGGTCGACGCCGAACGGCACTTTCTGGATCTGCACAGGCTTGAAGAGGTCCGCCACCTCGCGAGCCGCAGCTTCGGCAGCCTTCTTCTCGTTCTCGCGCTGCAGCTTCTCAGCCGCCTTCTTCTTCTGCTCTGGTGTCCCGGAGCCAGCCTGCGATTGGGCTAGTTGTTTGATCTGTCTCTGTGCGGCGCCGCCCTTTTTCTGTAGATTTCGAGGAATGATATTAGCGACCGCGTCTCCGGGCAAGGGTGTGTGGGGGCGTCCTGGAGGCGGGGGAGAAGGGGATAGCATACATTTTTCATGCCAAAAGACTGTATCAAGTTAGCTGTTATCCCATGAGTAAGACAGAATGGCAATCACCTTGTCAACGGCGACCTTGTCCTTGGCCTTAGGCTGGTCCTTTCCCTTTGGCGGCATGTTGGGCAAGCCGTGGCCTTCTTTCTACTAGGAAAACTGGGGATGAGGGTTGGTAGCTGTCCGGAGGCGTCCTCGAGTGAGTGTGGGTGAAGTTGGGGCGCTCGAAGAACCGGGGTCGGGGGTGTGATTCACTGGGTTTGCGGAGAAGTGTGGACGAAATGACGGTCGAGAGTTTGGCGGTGGGGTTAAATTGCCGCCGAGTCACGTGGCGCGAAGCCGCGAAGCTCAAGGTGGCTTCAGTTGCTCGACCTCTACGGATAAACACCAGGACTCCCAACGACCTCACTTGCAAACAGACCAATTCCTCAAAGCTACCCAAAGGAGCAATCTGTAAGTCCTTACCAACTGAGCCGTTCTAAATGCCGTAGCTGATTTCCTCCCTGGAAGACTGCCGACTCTCACCCGCGCATCCTCCTCCGACACCACAGTTCTCGCGACGGTCAAGATGATTTCAGACAACACACTCTATTCGCTAGCGCTCTTCCTCGGCGGCCTCTCTATGCTCCTCATTGTCCTCTACCACTTTCTCGAAATCAACTCGGAAGAACACAAGGCGCTCAAGGCGAAGAGCATACCTGGCGCGCAGCAAGGCGCAGGAAAGGCAAAGAGTTAGATGTATGACTTCTGGGAGCTTTAGGCCGACTACATTTCTACGCCATGGTGTATAGGACGACGTCTGAGAGGAGAATGTCAGGGAATAGATGGCAGATCTTCTATGTACTCTTCTGCTCAATTCCTCGAGTGAGCTGTTTCGAAGCAGGAGCGGTCGCCTTGAAGAATACGGCGTTTATCAGGATTCTGAGGGGCCAGTGCTGCCAAAAGGGACTTTTCTAGCATTAACAGGCGTTTACGGGAAGTGAATCGGTCAATGTGGCAGCGATGAATGCATTCCGTTGAATTCATTGGTATCAGAACTATTTTGATCCTTGACCGCATACCTTAACTGTTTCATGCCCTCAAGATCTGCTGCCAGCAGATAGAGCCGTACCTATGATACAGATTCTGTCCCCCGATTGCAGCAAAAGGGGTATTCCTTGTAACAAATAACTCCAAATTCGCAATCGCTTCCATGAACCTTTGAGATGCCATGCCTGCAACCCTAAGATTTGTACCGATGAGAGCACTACTGCTACCTATGCCCCTACTAGTCCTCCTTGTCGACGATCAGTTCGTCGAAGTCTTCTGCGTCGTCGAATCCGCGACGCCGCTTCGGAGTTACAAGTCTAGCCCCTCCTTTGTCTACTCCAGGCCCGACTTCCCTCTTCTTCTTGAGCATTGTATCCTCCGTCTCTTGCGCAACCTGTTCTTGCGATGGTTTGGGCGGTCTTCCCCGCCGAGGGGGTTTGGGCGCTGTGCTTTCAGCAGCACGGCCGACGCCAGGACTGTCGTGAAGAGACGATGGTGCTGATATCCTAGGGGTGGCGCGCCTTGCACGGTGGTCGCTCATGTTCGCATCCGAGTTATGTCCCGCATCTAGTACACATTAGCATGATTTATATCTGTTTAGCCGTTCTACTCACCCGAGAGCCCACTTGGTGGACCATCGCCCATAGTCCAGGCTAGGGGCCCGAAGTGCTTCAGCTCCAGGTGCTCGCGCCATTTAGAGAGATTGTCGAAGTCGAAATATTGGTGACGTTGTTCAGAATGGCCTGTTCTCTTATCGTAGAATATGACGTCCTTTCCACAGGCCTCCCATAAACAGTCGAATCCTCCATGTGCAGCTGCTTTACCGTGAATCTTCTCCACGTGCTTCCTCAAAGTCTCAAGGTTGTGCAACTCTGCGGTGCAAAGCTGCCACTTGCACTTGAACACTTGATAATTGGGTTCGCTTCTAATTTTGCCGGATGTTTTGGCACCTCTAGCAGCTTTTGTGGTTGAGGAGTCAGCACCTGCAGTACTGACATTGCGCAACCCGCTTGGTTGGCGGGCGACCTCGCGACCTTGGGCTTCTGCGGATCCGTGTATGGCTTTACGCCACCCAACGGGTCGTCCTCTCTTCTTGATGGGCGTTCCGTCTGCATTATGCTCTCGTAATGCGGCATACCCTGTACCTGTACCACTAGAACGGAATTGACTAGCATTCGTAGCTGAACCAGCTGCAGATGCTGACGAACGCGATGTTTCAGGATTTCCACCCGAACCAGAAGGCCGTGAACTTGTTACTCTTTCACCCCCAGCTGCTCTGTTCGTAGGCGGCGGTTTTGTACGGGGACTGGAAGTCGCGCCATCTCCAAATCCGTATGGTCTAGAAGTAACGGGGTAGCTCGCCCGAGGTGGTCTTCCACGTCCACGTTTCTTAGAACCTTCCTTTAGAAGGCCGCTTAAAGACGGTGTTTCAGAGAAAGAACTCATCCCTCCGCCTCCCCCAGTGCCAATTGACTGCCGGACGACGACCTGTGGTCGCGCTCTGGCCCTCGCGTGATCGTCATCGCTGTCGTCTTCGTCATCGGCGTCTTCTTGCTCTTGCGTGAATAGACTGTTTTGAAAATAACCTTTCGGTGGTTCTCCAGGATCTATAATATCCCATCTTAGGGTGCTCAGGTCTGAAGTGTTGTCTACTTCGGCAAACGAGCTTTTTAAAGGTTCCAGATGGGCGTTCAAAGGTCGCATGCTTGGATGTCGTCCCGTGGCAAGTAATACGTCGCGAGCAATTGTCTTGATGTCGTATCCTGATCGTCGAAGCGCTTTCTTCTTATTTATCGGTTGGACGATGTTGGTGAACCTTGGATCTTTTGTAGGTGGGGTTGTGGTGCCATGCGCTGGTTGTGATGGCACTATTGGGAACCGTCCGAAATTCGGACTAGGTACGTATGAATCCACAACACTTAGAGGCGCGGATCCAGGCAAGGACTGACGTGGGAAGTTTTGTTCGGCTTTTGACTTCTTTACCGGAGGCAAATCATCCTCATCTGACAGAGCTGTCAAATCGACGAACTCGCTAAAGTCTCGTTTTCTTGCAGCTTCTTCTTTATTCGCTGGCTTGAGTGTATCTCTCGGTGGCTCTTGTTTGGGCATCATTTGTGCCACTGGTGCGGGCAGCGGCGGCGGAGAGTCATCCTGAGGCATGTAAGGTGGCGAGTCTGCTTCAGGAAATGGAGGATAGCTATCATGGTAAGGCGTGTTTGAAACCGCAGCTTCGGGAGGAGGGTTCTTGGAGACTGGCGGTACATTCTCCATGTGTCCGGTAGCCGTCTGGACGGAGAACCCATTTGCAGCTTGACTCTTTGGTCCTGGCTGGACGGCTGTGCTAGTGTTCCTCGAGATGCTGGTTGATGAACTGACTCCACCATTCGGTTGAGAATTGGCACTACCATTTGGTCGAGAATTGGCTCCACCACTTGGTTGAGGATCGGCAGGCGGTGGACGTTGTGCTGCCTGGGCGGATTGGCGGGACGCTGAATTGACATCTGGGACCGCTGCTAATAACGACTTTGCAAATAGAGCCCTATCCAATTTTAGACCCATTCTCTCAAGTTGTTCGCAAAGGTCAACGTAGGAAGGATTGCTCTGAAGCATGCGTAGAATGTGAGCTGCAGTAATTGGTTTATCTTTGTTCTCCGGGATCTGATTAAGCCATAGAGACGCGGTCTCAGCGAGCAGTTGTGTCTTGTCGGGTGGCCAAATAGTGCCTCCTTTCTGCTGTCGAACTGGTTTTGGTGTTTGAGCTGGTGTATGCGTTTGCTGTACTTGAGGCGGCTGAGTATGGGTCTGAACAGCCGGAGCTGTTGCTGGTGGTGGAGGAACTGAGATATTGCTTGCGCCGTTGGTGCTTGTTCCATTGATAGCGGGACCCTGCCTTTGACTTGTCATGGGAGTTTTTGTAGTGGCCGCCTTTTGCCCTTGCGCACGAGGTATTTGACCTGCTTGCACGGTGGGTGAAGGCGCCGTCGGTGTCTGAGAGGATCTAGCTTGCTGGCTTGCAACATGAGTTCTTCTCTCTTCTTCCCAGATCTTTGCGAGTAATGCGGGATCTTTGCCGTTGAGCTCCCTCATCTTGGCCATTAGGGCCCTGATCTCCGCTTCGGTGTCCTGGGCGCTACTTGAAGCATGAGCAGCGTCGGTCAACGTAGTCGTTACGCTTCTAGAGTTAGCACTCTTTCTAGGCGTTCTTGGCTTCTTCGGCTTTTTCTCTGGGACTGAAGCTGGTACGTGCACTGGAACCTGGGGTTCAAGGGAGCGCCTTTCCGCCTCAACATGTCGCTGCTCTTCCAACCTCCTCTCTTCTTCCGCCTTCTTGCGCTCCTCCTCGGCCTTCTTCTTAGTCACTTCAGCCCTCTTCGCTTCATCTTGCTTCCTTTTTTGTTCAGCTAGGACAGCTTCTTCGGCAGCCTTTTGGGCTCGCAATGCTTCCTGCTTCCGCTCATATTCCCTCCATGGGTCATAGACTTGCATAGGGTCAACAGTAATCGTGGGCTGCTCGAAATGGTTAGTTGTCGTCTGTATTACTGGCGCTGAAGCCTGACGGTCTCCATAAATATACGAAGCTGAGACGGCAGCTGGAAGGGAAGTCCGCGGTGGCTCCGTGACATGCGGAAGGACTCTGTTGCTGAAGTCTGTGTACTGAGCCGACGAAACAGAACTCGACTGTTTCTTTGAACTCGAGTGAGCCGAGCTGTGGTCTGCCTGAAAAGTAGGATGGGCAGGACTTGCTGATCTCTGCTGATTGAAGGTCGCTTGGACACGTTGCGACGGATATGCGGCTGCGACTGTTGGTGATTGAAGCCCTTGACTTGGAGCCGGAGGGGCCCGCGCATTAGCGGTCGCGTTGATACTACTCGGCCTGGGCTGTGTCTGCCCGTAGGAAGCATGCGCTTGAATGCTGCTCAGTCCTGCCTCATACTGATTTTGCTGTGGCTGCGTAACCGTAGTCGAGTAGCGATTCGAGGGAGCAGCGTTTGTCGGAGTGAAGCCACCACTGCTGACGGCCGTGGCGCTACCAGTTGCGTAGGCAGCGTTGCTGAGATTTCTCAATGCCTCCGCGGCTGTATTATTGCTCCATGACCCATCCTGTTGCTGTCCATAGGCCCCCTGCTGTCCATTGTATGCTTGTGCCGAATATGACATGTAGTCCGGCTGGCTTGTCGCCGCATTATGGGCCTGGTAGGTGCGATTCGTGGATTGTCCAGCTGTATTCTGGCCCTGATGTCCGGGATATTGTTGCGACGAGTTTGTCTGCGCGTTGTAATAGTTGTTCCTCGTGGGATAGAAGTCGTTGGGTGCCATCGCGAAGCCGCTAGGCTACCACAGACACCTTCCGCGCGGATCTCGCTTTCCGGGGTATAGAATTCATGGAGGTGTAGAGTGTGGAAAGGCAGTTCTAGTGAGGTCGTCAATGAGGATGAGGCGTGGAACACGTCGGTCGCTCTCACTCCACGCTCCACGCGCGCACAGATGAATGAAGCAAAAAGCCAGAGGAGAGCCTCGCTGGCGTTCTTCGAGACGGACCGAGGGCGCGCGCGAGGTGCACGACGCGGGCGGAGTGAGGGCCTGGTCGAAGTTCTTAGCGATCACCACTCAACGCGACTTGCTCGAACGGGAAGACCCCAGATCGCCGCCAAGGCCACGGCCGGCTGCACTGTTTCGCCGGAGCCCGAGGCGCTAATCTCTAAGCGAGAACTTCTGCTCGTCGCCCACAATTGAAGCCGCGCGCAGACAACGACGACCTCGCAGTTCCACCGACACATCGCCCACCATGACGAAGATAAACTCAGCGTTGCACTCCAGCCGGAGGAAGGGCAGGAAGGCCCATTTCCAGGCCCCCAGCAGCGTGCGCCGAACCATCATGAGCGCGCCGCTTTCCAAGGAGTGAGTGCCCGCCATGTCTCTGTCCGGGGCCTTGCTCATTGGTTTCTCTAGGCTCCGTGAGAAGTACGGCGGTGTCCGCTCGATTCCCATTCGAAAGGACGACGAGGTTATCGTTGTACGGGGAAGGTACGTACTCGTCCTAGCACCTGTTTCGCAGCCATCGGGATCGGCCATTCTAACGGGAATTGGGATTCAGCAACAAAGGTCGCGAAGGAAAAGTCACGTCTGTCTACCGTCTCAAATACGTGATCCACGTCGAGCGTGTTACCCGGGAGAAGACCAGCGGCCAGAGTGTGCCTCTTGGCATTGGTAAGATCTGCCCTCCAATCATTAATGATCTATTGCTAACTGCTCGCAGCCCCCTCAAAAGTGGTGATCGTACGTATCGCAAAAGAAGGGTAGCACCAGCGCCAATGCTAATCAAAACCAGACCAAGCTCAAGCTCGACCGTGACCGCGAAAACATTCTGGACCGCAAAAGCAACGGCAGGGAGGCGAAGTCGAAGAGGTCGAAGGAGTAGGGGAGTGCGGATTTGGGTTGACGACAATTTCATGGCTTGATGGGCCGGGCTTCACGAGACTCTGTGTATTTGCGGTCAAGCCAATGGAACGGAGTAAATCTCTTATTCGACTTCGGCAACGGAATGAAAAGCATGGAGCAGCGAAGGCGGAAGATACCTGTTTCTGGCACGAACCACAATCAACTCGCCACACACTGGCTTGTACACACCACGCTGCACTGTGACTGAAACTGGACAAGCGTGTTTCTGCTAACGGTATAGGAATCTCTGGGAAATTACCCTAGAACGAACCGGACGAAAATCGATGATCGAGTTCGAACACGCTACATTATCTACTTGGCAGCCCAGTTCAATGGCCGCATAAAGTTAAACGAATAGCGGAGAGGAAACCCAATGGGCCGAAAGCCCTGCTTGCCTGCAGACTACCCCTGATGTTCTCTCTATGATACGGGTGGTTTGATGGTGAGAAACATCTCTCAATATGATATGCGTCGGCGATGAAAAGATGATCGGTGGTTAGTGTTCATACCTATAGAATCGCCTAGCGAGTGCTCTCCCAGGAAGGCTTCCTACGATGTTATCATGTACTCGGAATCATGATTACAAATGTATAACCAGTGGTGTTCGTCTAGATCTCGGAGTAGAACCGCAATCCAGTATGTTCGTCTCCTTGGATTTTAGGCCCAGCTCCGAGGGTTTTGTTGACTTGTCATGCACGGAAGGTCTATGGCGTACTGAAATATATCAGAAATCGATAGACATTAGCATCCCAAATTCATCCATGCACTGATTATGTTGATCGCGTGGCTATCCTCCAGTATCACTTGAAAACGACTTGACGCATACAACATAGCCAGGTTCAATCACGTTTCGATCAGGTAGCCCGAGGAATATATGCATGTATACGTAGGCAAATAATGTATCGAGAAGTTGTATTTGAAATGCCACGCTAGCCGATAGCGCCATTGACCATGATTATGACATACCTCGCGCATCGCAGTCTCTCTGTCCGTCATTGACAAATCAACTCCCCGCCCGCATCTTTGTTAACTAAACAGAAGTTCTCTATATTAAATCTCTCAGCCATCACCGTTTCTCGATCTCTCTTCTGTCTTCTCTCTCGAACAAGATTCTTTAAATAAAACACTCTCAAGTTCAATAAACTCAACTTCATCAAAAATGGCATCTAAGCTTGTCGCAATCGTCGCGGGCGTCGGTCCTGGAACTGGTGCCGCAGTCGCCCGGAAATTCGCGGCCGCCTATCCCGTCGTTCTTCTTGCCAGGAATCCCGAGAATTTCGAGTCCCTCGCGAAAGAGATCAATGGCAACGGAGGCAAGGCGATCGGAATCAGTACTGATATCTCTGATTCGAAGAGCGTGGATGCTGCGTTTGAGAAGATAGAGAAAGAGTTTGGTCCGGGTGTGAGCGCTGCTGTGAGTTTTTCGATGCTTCTATTGTTTGGACCCCGATGAGATTCTGACAGCTAGAAGGCGGCCGTGTTCAATGCGAGCGGTAGATTCGTCCGCAAACCGTTCCTAGAACTGACCGAGGAAGACTTCACGGCTGGTCTGGATGTCAGTGGGTAAGTAACTCCGTAGATCTACTGCTCCGCTTTCATTGATCCAACACGCGTATAGGAAAGGCGCTTTCCTATTCTCAAAAGCAACCTTGCCCTTACTCCTGAAAGGCGTCGAGCAGGGGTCTAAATACCCCCCAGCTCTCATCTTCACTGGCGCCACGGCATCCATCAGAGGCTCAGCACAGATGTCGTCTTTCGCGAGCGGCAAGTTCGCCTTGAGAGCGCTGAGCCAGTCGCTGGCTAGGGAATTTGGTCCGAAGGGCGTGCATGTGTCTCACGCTATCATTGACGGGGTTATCGATATCCCGCGAACTAAGGAGTGGCTCAAGGATGCACCTGCTGATGCCAAGTTGAGCGCTGATGGGGTGAGTTATTTGGGATATCTTTTCGCTACGCCCTTGCTAACCTCAGGCAGATTGCGGAAGTTTATTGGCAGTTGCATACTCAGCATCGGTCGACGTTTGCCTGGGAGATCGACCTTAGGCCATATATTGAGAAATGGTAGAGTCGGGTTTCTACTCTGTCCTCAGATTGCCTGGATGGTGAGCTAGGGGAAGCTTAATGAAGTTCTCACATTCCAGAAAGTCAATGTCTACCAATCAAACAGGATATCCTGGCATGCCGCAGAGAACATTCCGCATGAACATTCCCTTTCTCCTCTTAAAAAGTGCGCACTCTGATGTTATGCTGATCGACCACTGATCATGAAGAAGCTCCTCCCCTCTGTCCTAGTTGTTCTCACCGTCTTTACCCACCCTCCAGTAGCGCAAAATGAGATTTCCATCCACGCCTCCGGAAAGAATGTCGACGTCTCAGAATACTCCACCACCTGCCCACCCCGCCGCCTAGACTGCCGCAAATGCCTAAAGGACCCACGATGCTGCCGCCCTCACCCATTAGTGGCTAGTCACCTCAACGGCATCAACGACAACGGCAAATCCGAAATGACAGACTACCAAACTGGATGGAGCCACTGCCCACAACACTACCTCAACTGTCGCAAATGCCCTAGCGACCTACGTTGCCGTCCCCCAACACCTCCATCCGACTCTAATTACTGTGACGACGCGACTTGGAATTCACCGCCCAGTACCCAACCTTAACAGCGGCCCCTAACCGCCCCGGTGCCCCGCGCAGTGTCGCCGCGGCACGCCGTACGTCGAATGCGACGCCTCGACGACGCAGTGCTCGCCGGGCATATTCAGTAATCTCTGTGGGTGCAAGCGCGGGCTCAGAGCTCGGGATGCGGATCCGAAGGACGAGAGCGTACAAGTCTGGGGCCCTGACATCTTGTCTGGGCTCGTTGTGTTTGTGAGTGCGGGGACCATTTGCGATGCGCCGTGTGATACGGTGGGGTGTCTTGAAGTGACGAGGGATCAGGGGTGTTTTGAGTATGTGCCGGAATGGTAGTGCTGTGTGTCTTTTGGGAGTTGGTGGTGGTGTTGTGTTCTACCTATGTTTGAATGGTATCTTCTACGGAGTACTTTGAATGGTTTCTTCTTCTTTGAATTGATTTCGAAGTGAGGTGGCTTTTGGTTGGCTAGTCAGCCTCGAGATGCTGTTATCAGTGGAGGGGAATGGGCTCTAGGATATGGGTAGATAGTAGTAGTTAGGCAAGCGTGAAGATGGAACTGTTTTGGTGTTGCGAGCCCTCGTGCTTCAATTATTACCTACCTAGCTACCGTATCGACGTGTGGCTGGTGGCATCAAGGGGCGTTCCAAGGTGACGTGAGGTCGGTGTCTCGAGCTCGCTTCACCCGGAGGACGAAGCTCGTCCCAGCCCTGCCAAGTCGCGACCAACCTCCCCGTTCTCAACACCCACGACGAGCCTGTGTGTCTATTTCACCCACTCCACTCCATCAGCCCGCTCTCCCAACGCCATTTTCGTCGTCGCACGCCTCCAAGCCAGCTTCCCGTCCGCGTTTTATCACGTCCTGCCTCGATGTCGGCCCGCGGCGTCCTCTGCCGCTTGGCAGCTGATATACCGAGAACATCAACACACGACCTCGCCTGCATCTCACGCGTCTTCCACCGCGCCGTCCTCACCCGAAATGCGACCTCAATTGCCTCGGTCGGGGGTCTGTCGCACGCCTACAAGCTCGCCTACGCTGTTTCCCGCCGTTCTTATGCCACGGCCACGGCGAAAACGCCTGCGAAAACGGTGAAGAAAGCAACGGTCAAGAAGACGGTGGCCAAGAAGCCCGCTGCCAAGAAAACGGTAGCAACGAAGAAGCCTGCAGCGAAAAAGAAGGCTGCGCCAAAGAAAAAGCGAGCGGCGAAGAAAGCCGCGCCGAAGAAGAAACCCGCAAAACGGGTTCTGACCGAGGCAGGCAAAGCCAGGAAGAAGATATCGGAGGAGAGAGCGCACCTCAAGGAGCTCAAGGAGACTGCCTTGACTGCGCCCAGGGACCTTCCTTATAATGCTTGGCTAGTCTATGTCTCAGAGCTGCAGAAAAAGGCAAAGGGCAGCGATACACTACCTACGGAGGTTACGAAGCAAGCGGCGGCACAGTTCAAAGCCTTGACCGCAGCCGAGAGAGAGGTCAGTTCGCCAACATGTTGCCGATTCGTTTCGTCTCGATTTTATCTGACAGATCTGTAGCACTACAATCACCTCGCCAACCAGAACAAGGCCGCGAACGAGGCCGCCTACAGGGCATGGATACTGAGTTATACACCCGAACAGATCCGCCTCGCAAACAACGCGCGCCGCGCCATCCGAGATAAATATACCAAGCTAAAGGATGCCGGGAAGAAGACGAGCAGGAGATACCCGAAAGAAACCAATCGCCTCCAAGACGAGCGACAAGTGAAGCGAGCGATGAACGCTTTCTTGAATTTTAACGTTGAACGCAGAGCGAGTGGAGAAATGAAGGGAATTAAGTCCGTAGATGCCAGCAAGCTAATCGGCACTGAGTGGAAGGCGCTCTCTCCTTCAGAGAAGAAGGTAAAAATAGCTTCTGATTATCCTCCTTGCCTACTTTCATGGATGTCCACTAATTCACCGTTCTAGAAATACGAAGATCTTGCCCTTGCACAAAGGAAGCAGTATTCCGCCGATTTTACTTCTACTTACGGTCGTCAGTCAAGGACGGCGGTAGCCTGATCGGCCTCTACTCACCACATCACTCGTCCCTCGATGCACTTCGGCTACGCCGCCCTCTCAACATTTCCAAGCAAACTCTTCATTAGTCGAGGTTACTGGCGCCACGCGGATAACAGTAGTAGTTCCACTCTTGATGTATCTCCAACATCCTGTATTTCCCTTGTTCACTCCTGCAGAAGCTTGTAAAATCAAATTTTCGTCCGGGCGGGGCCCTTGCGTTGGTTTTGGATTGGTTCGCTCGATCGAGTGAAGGCGCTGGTGCTAACTGCGGCTGGTCTCTTCTTGCTTTCTGCCTGTGTGAGTATATTCGTACGGACGGGCCTCTTGTTGGAGAGAGGTATCGTTGGAGCCTTGTGGAACTGCTTTAGCCTTGTGAAATAGTAGGTTAGGTCGACATGAGTAGAAAAGGTTGCGAAGCCGTCAAACTTACTGTATTGCGTTCTATGCTGGTTAGTGTGAATTCTCATTAAAAAAAAATCGCGGATGCCCTCAACGAGATCACCCGAATCCTTCAGCTGCAGTCCTGATTTCCGGCCCCGGTCATCACGTAGAAAGATGGAACCACGCCGCGTTCAACAAGAATCTCTCTGCATGGTTGATTTCGTAACTTCTTATAACTAGAGAGCATGTTTCTCTACAGAAGCAACTCAAAAACATATCCTGAGCCTCATGTCGGCTACCTGGTTTCCAGGCCTGTTCATCTTGTAGAAACAAGGGACTATGACGGGTATCCACGGCGTGGCACGCTGCGTCTAACAAAAAACCATGTACGCAGTTGGTTTCGTTACTTCTTGTGACCATTGGGTGCTTTCGCTATCGAAGCACCTCACCACCTCATTCTTTAACCCTCTATCGCCGTCCTGATTGCCAGCCTCGTCCTTCATGTTATGAAAAGCAACCACAAGGAGGCTACGTCGCGTTGCACGTCGCGTCCAAGAAACTTCTCTTTACACAGTTAATCATGTGACTTCTTGTCATCGAGGGGTCGAATCCTTCCTTGAGGTCTCTCAGCAGTCTACTAAGCTTCCATATAGGAATCTGATTGCCAACCGCGTTCATCTGGTAGGAAAAATGACTGCAAGGTCCCCTCCGCGTCTAACAAACTATTCTCTACATAGTTGATCTTGTGACTCTCTGTAGCCAAAAACGGCGCTCCTTAACCGACGTGCCCAGCATCCTGTTCTGACCGTCTTTCCAGCAATCCGATCTACAGATCTGTTCATCGCGTAGTTACATATAGGTCACTACATTGTAGTTACACCGCGTAGCACGCTGCTTCTAACAAACCGTTATACGCGACTGAAGCCGTGAACACTTATACCAAAACTAGAATGTTTCTAACGGAGAACCCTCGAGCCCGTGACAAACCGGAACCTGAGTCTGCGAACTGATTCCTAGCCCCGGCTATCTCGTCTCAAAAAGAAGCCATGTCGACAGCACACGGCGTTTCACACCACGTTAATCAAAGCTTCATTCGCACAGTCCAAGGCGCGAATACTGTTTCCAGAACCATCGATAGTTCCAGCTCAAAGCACCTGTACCAAAACCAACGCTCTCTATGCATATCCAATCCAATCATTATCATTTACAAGTGGTATCCAGCGCCCAATCCCGCAATCCTACAGCAAACTCTCATACTTGTCAATCTCCTGCTTCTGGCCCTGCTGCGATTGCTGTTGCGCTTGCTGCGCCATTCCCATTCCCATCCCCATCCCCATCCCTCTTCCCATCCCCATCCCCCCCGCCGTCCCCACCCTGACCCCCGACGCCGGCGGCGGCGCAATACTAAACCCCGAAAACGCACTCTGCCCCTGCTGCTGTGGCGGTGGCGGAATCGCAAACGCCGGCTGTGCCTGACTCCGCGACTGAGCCGTGCTCTGCCACGCATTCGAGCTCGTTGCAGCGCCCCAATTAACACTCGAAGTCTGATTCTGCACCGGCGCTGTGTACGACGGGGTCGACACCGCAGACGGCGTGAGCACGTTCATACTGTTCATACTGCCCAAGCTATGCATGCTCAAGCCCGCCCCCGGCCGCGTCGGCTGCAGCGGCTGCGCGAACGACGACGCGGACGTCGCGTTCATGCCCGTCGTCGTGGTCGAGGGGGTCAGGGGCGCGAAGGCGCTGAGGGCGTGGTCGGGCGTCATGGTTCTCGAAGCAGATTGCGCGGGGGGCGAGAGGGGTCCCGCGCGTGGAGGGGCGGGAGAGGAGGGGGGTGGCGAGGACCATGAGAAGGCGGCGGCTGGAGAGGCCTGGCGCGCGGAGCTCGACCGGGGGTGTGCAGGGCGAGAGGGGAGGGTGGTGGAGGAGGAGGACGCGGCGGAGCTGGCCCAGGGATCGTGCAGCATGTCTGCGGTGGAGGAGGAGCCGCCGGGCCCGCCGCGGACGAGGGCTTCGAAGTCGGTTTCTTCGCCGTTGGCGGCGGCAGTGCCGTTTGTGCCGCCGACGGCGCCGAAGCTCATGAAGTCGTTTGAGCCGGTCGGTGGGGCGCCGTTGGAGGAGAGTTCTTGGAGCTTGCGGGTTTGCTCTTGCTCGATGCGCGCGGAGAGAGATTTGATGAGCGTCATGTAGGATTGGAATTGCTGGAGGTTGAGGAGAGGGCCGAGGCTAAATTGCCATAGGATGGGAAGGACTTCCATTGCCAGGTATTCGGAGTCAGCGATTTTGCCGACCTCCTTGAAGACGTTGAGTGCGGCCATCTGAGAGGAGCTTTATTAGCGAATCCTGCAACTGAGAGCGTCATGCTCCAAGGGTAGTTCAGATGAGACGTACCATAACAGCAGGTTCCTTCGTCTTTATAGCTTTCAGAAGCGGCACCACCTTCTCCTGGATACTATACTTATCCAGGACTGCACTGCCGTGTTTTGCTTTTGGTTGTTCTGGCATCTTTCCATCGAGGCCGTCACCTTGCGACGCCGTAGGGTCGGAACTACCACCACATAGGGTCACGAAGGCTTCCAGACCCCGTATCTTGATACCCATGCTACTTGTCTTACTGAAGACGTTAGCAATGACCGGGAACAGCTCATTCTTTATCGTCGAAAAGTCCAGGATGGGTAGTATCATAGGAAGCGTCCTCAAGGATGCGTCGACTAATGAATGGGTCGGCGATTCCAGAGCGTGTTGTATAATAGGTAGGATATCTAGAATCGTTAGCTGTCCAGTCTTAATTAAGACTCTATAGAAGGACTGTCCAAGTAGCACCAAGATACCCCAAGCCAAGTCGAAAAGAAGGCTGATGGATAGCTCTGACGAATGACTCCTCCGATAAATTCTGCAACGCAAGCAATAAATACTTCAATGGACTTACCATCTTTAAATTCTTTACCAGATGAATTCTCAGCAACAGTAGACATATTCTCCAACAACACCATCAGTCCCGCCTCTTTCAAGCTGTCTCTTTCCGGAGCTGCACCCTTGGCGCCACTGGTAGCTAGAAAGGTGTCTCGTAATCGTGGGATAACCTTGTCGGTAAAAGAACGTTTGCCTGTGCCGGATGGCATCGCGACAATTATCTTAAACACATTCTGAAGGACCAGAGCTAACAGTTCTCGATCCTTAGTTTCCTCGAGGAGCGCCGGAAGGACTTTCTTCTCGAGCACGGACTTTGGAAACTGAGGTAATATCCGTGGAAGTCCTCTCATGAACTGCGATTTCTCGTTGGGCGTTTTGGCTGGCAATGAGTCTAGGAACCGAATAGTGGATACTAGGATATTATCGAAGTATTGCGCTTGTTGGAATTCTCGGGCGTCTAGTCTCTGGGCTGGTCTTCTCGTGATGAGGCGAGGGAGGAGGCCAGAAACCACGTCTCGTGGTAAGGGTTGAGAGGATAAGAAGTTATTCGTTTGACTCGGAACGGATGAGGATGAGGAGAACAGTCGCTTGTACGATGATACACTACCATTGGCCTCCAATGGACTTCGGTGTGGTGAGTTGTAGAGAGCTATGATCAGCATCCCTAGGGAGAACATGTCGGCGGACGGCGTCACGTTGTTGTCCATAACGAAGTCCGGGGAAGCATAGTCGAGATTAAGTTGAACAAACCGCGGCACACGCGCGTCGTAGTTGAGTACTTCTGATAAGGATATTGGAGCCACAGACGTTGGCTTTGTCGAGTTCTCTGGAGGGCTTGAAAAACCAAGACCAGATATCTTCCAGTCAGACTGTCACAACTATCAGCAAGCAGCTCCAACTGAATGAGATTGTTATTCCCTACTTTAGCATTGATAAAAATGGCTTCCGGAGTAAGATTACCATGGACAAGTCCAGCACTCTCGTGAAGAAATTCCAACCCCTTGCCAATCTGAATCAAGCCCTTTTGTATTTCAAGCTCATCAATCTCGAGCTCTCTGCGCCGCCTTCCGCCATCAGCCTCTTCGACAACATATCGACTCCTTCGGCCGCCTACACCACCAGCCTTTTCTTGGTCATCCTTCTCTTGCAATAATCCAGCGAGGGATGCGGTGACCGGTTCTGTGGCGAACATGAGGCCCCCATGGCGAGTCTCCTCCACCGGCTCCGCCAATTCGAGTATACTTGGATGTCGTAGCCGTGCTAGCGAGCTAGCCTCCTTCTTCAATCGCTCGAGGACCTCCTCGTGTGCCCGTTTCAACGATGCAGCATTCATGCGCCCTCCGCTCATACCTCCACTAGACGGTTCGAGTGACTTCTTTTCGAAGACGAAGACCGACGCCGCCTTCCCGGTAGACTTCTTCTTTGCATCGTATATTTTCCATGGTCCTGAGGTCGAGTTGGGGTGTGGGCTGAGGGTATAGTTGGAGGATATGTTCGACGTGAAGGACTTCAACGCGGAGGAGAACATAGTGGAGAGGTTCGGGCCGCCTGCGCGACTACGTGAGAGCGATTGAGAGTGGGCTTCATGGACTTCCGGTAGCTTGCGGATGATGGTGGCGACGCGTTTACGATACGCTATATGTGAAATGGTAGTGGTTCTACAATTCTACGGTCCTGGAACAGGTAGTTGTGTCTCAGAGAAGCTGACGGGGTCGCAGCGCCCCTAGATGCTCGCGGAGGTGCGACTGTGACCTCCGACGCAGGATAGACAATTATGAGGAGAGCAGTTCGATATGCACGTTGTAGAGGGCAGTTTGGAGGCCTATCAAATGCCAGCTCAGCAAAAACAAAGCGGCTCTGCTGGACCCCACGCGAGCTGGCCTTACCATAGCTCATAGCTGCACTGAATGCAATGTCAAGCCCGCAACTATTACCAATACTACAATCAAATGTTCCTGTACACAGCGGGCTCTGCATGCTTGGTCTCCAGGAGAAATCATCATGCAGACCTTGGAACTAAACTCTTCGATAGCAGTCGTTCACCGTTCCTCAATTATCAATCACGTGGTATTTGCTTCACATAGAACCTCGATAGTCTGAACTTGTTAAAGTTAATAATACTCCTTCAATACCTACGGAGATACTATTTAATGTAGGCTACTAGAAAACCCCCAAAGTATGATATCGAGCATGGATAAGTGAAGGGGAGAGTGCAGTCCTGTTCAGCAGAACTGCACTAAAATCCAGGACCCTGCCTCGCCAAGGCGCTAAGGAATATCCAACTACTTAAGCACCCTCACCCCTCGCCCCAACTTCTTTCCTCGACGAGCTCCTGCTGACTAGGTAGACTTTCGACAAGCTCTCACCCGACCTCCTTTTACTGACTAGGGCATTGGTTTTCTAGCCTTGTGCTGGAGGCTGAAGTCTTTCTTAATCTTGACAAGCTCCGTCGAGCTCGATAATTTACTAACTAGGCTACGCTGTAAAACTGTTTTTTTTGTGATGATGATCATCAGCATTTCTACTACCCGACGATCATCAGCATTATATCACGGATAATCCAGCCTTTCATTTCATGTCCCTAATGCTCTGTATCATCAACCCCTCTAACATTAGATGCTCGGTACCCGAATCTGAATGCGTGCCCTACATGTTCGGCTGCATGATGGATGATAGAGTAGAAATACCCATACAGTCGCTATGCCAAACCCCTTTGGCATACTGAGAGCCATCTTCTTCTATCCTAGCCTGTGAAAACGTAATCACTTGGGCTTGTGGAAGCGCTGAGTGCACGTGGTGTGATGCCAAGGCTGTGATATTCGGAGCCCCCACGCACCTGAGCTTCCCCGGACCTGGGCTTTTGGCGTCTCACCGCCTGCGCCGGTCCGAGTTTCGGGGGCGCCCGTGCGCCTAAATTGCCGGCCATCAGCGGCATCTCACGGTGTTGTCAGCCCGCTTAGAAACTTATTTTGACTCAACTCAAGACTCGACACATCCAACTCTTAAGCTGCCCTCCGCTCCTCAACCTCCTCATTGCGGAAGCAATTACCCTCGACATGCTCCAGCAACGGTCCTCGCTGCTTGCCAGCTCTCTTGCCTCGACATTTCGCCGCTCCTTCCTCGTCCAGACTAGCTCCTCCGCTCAGCGATGTCGGCGAGCGTACAGCATTCACGCTGACGCTTCAGTGGGCACAAAGATACTGGACATTGACCCCTCGAAGCTGTCCATTGAGAAGACTACAACTCCAAAGACCCTCCTCCCCCCAGAGGAGCTTGTGTTCGGGCGGAACTTCACAGGTAATGACGCCGAGCTTCACCGAATTCGTAGGCTGATCAACAATATCAGATCATATGCTCTCGATGGAATGGACAGCCTCAGAAGGATGGCTGCCCGCACGCATTACTCCCTACCAGAATCTGAGCTTAGATCCCGCGACGTGCGTATTTCACTATGCATTCGAGGCCTTTGAGGGCATGAAGGCATACAGGGACAAGAACGGGCAAATACGGCTGTTCCGCCCGGACAAGAACATGGAGAGGTTCAACAAATCTGCTGCGCGGATAGCATTGCCCACCTTTGACAGCGATGCGCTCATAGATCTGATTGGCAAGTTTGTCAAGCTTGATCAGAGGTTCATCCCAGAGTGAGAACGCCCTAAATATGATGTTCATACAGAATGCTAATTCGTTTGCAGAGCCCGTGGATACTCCCTCTACCTCCGCCCAACCATCATCGGCACCCAGCGCACCTTGGGAGTCGGCCCACCCGCCTCTGCGCTCCTCTACGTCATCGCATCCCCCGTCGGCCCATACTACCCCACTGGCTTCAAAGCCGTGTCACTAGAAGCTACAGACTATGCCGTGCGCGCATGGCCAGGCGGTGTTGGAGACAAGAAGCTTGGTGCCAACTATGCGCCCTGTATCGTGCCCCAAATACAAGCCGCCAGCAGAGGCTTCCACCAGAACCTCTGGCTATTCGGAGAGGAGGAATACGTCACGGAGGTCGGCACCATGAACCTGTTTGCGGCTATCAAGAACAAGGAGACTGGCCAGAAAGAATTACTCACTGCACCTCTTGACGGGACCATCCTGGAGGGCGTGACGCGTGACTCCGTGCTCGGACTTGCACGAGAGAGACTCGAGCCAGAGGGCTGGAAGGTGAACGAGCGCAAATTCACCATGCAGGAGGTTTCAGATGCTTCGGATGAGGGGCGCCTACTCGAGATTTTTGGGTCTGGCACAGCGGCTGTGGTGAGCCCCGTTCGGAAGATCAGCTGGAAGGGGCGATTGGTGGAGTGCGGACTGGAGGACAACCAAGAGGCGGGCCCCATTGCCCAGCAAATGAAGGACTGGATGGAAGAGATTCAGTATGGCGACGAGGGCTCTGAGGATCATCACTGGAGGTAAGCATTGTATCCCCATTTCACAAAAACTTTCTTGTATGGCAATGGCTAAATTCGTACAGTCACAAGATACTATAATCATTGGAGAGTTAGTCCCTGGTTTGAGCGTTCTGTTCTTTTCTTGTACGATCTAGACGGCAAACGGGTGGCAAAATGCTTTAGCGTTGAGCTTACTATCGTCGGTTTGGATGGTTCACAGTTCGGCATTCAAAACGGTGGCAACTACGTGACTTCTGAGCTAGGTAAACACCATAGACCGTTCTTTATTCACTAAAAAAAATACACTGCATTCACATCTGTTTCTTGGTGAATGTCGCCGTGTCAGTATGCTTCTCCATCCCCTACATCCGATTATCAGCAGCAACTTCTAGAGAATGCTCTTCATATCGTAGACCTCCAACATGACTATCACCACCATCAATTATACACGCTAGCCAACCTCCCAAGATCTCCACAAGCCACTCCAGTTTAAATGTCCCCCCATATTCCATAGCCAGTTTCTGACGCCCCAGTGCAACATGAAATCAGTGTTAAAATAGTTTTCAACCCCACCATGTGTCATAATAGACAATCCATGTGATCTCCCTAGCACACCTGCCTGCTTGAAGAAAGCTGGGACAAACCAAGCAGGCTGTGAGATTTTATAATTACTCCTATTGCTAAGTGCCCTTCACGTGATTGGTACCAGAAGTGAAAGTGGCAAGTGACTCGAGAGCCATTCACTCATCTCAGAGTCACTCTCACTGCGACTGCAAGATTCGATTTCATCATGTGCTTCAATGGATCTTTTAAGGTTGTAGTATAGTTCAAGCCAAGACTTACCTACCGCATTGGCCCTCCGCGTCTCCCAGTCACCGCCCTCCCCATCCCCCATCCCCATCATGATGCCCAGATGCAGCCAGGTGTGCCACACGTTACACAAACCGCCAGGCAGCCACACAGACTAAACTCGGCAATGGTTAGGCGAGTCGAGTCGTCTTTTCCTTTCTCTTCAAAATTCAGGAGGTTGGTCCAACAACCATCGCCACCGCTAGCCGCCTAGCCTAGCCTCAAAGCAGCCGGTCTGCCTAATTGCTCTTTGCGCCCATCATACATAATATATATGTATATATACGGGCCCCGCTCGCTGCCCCGGATGCCCTTCGTAACCGCTCTTTGAATCTGTCCTTTTCCAAATTTGCTTCTTCCGCGGTCGAGTCCTGTCGTCATGGCCGACGAAGCGCGTGCCGTGCTGGCGCATTTGTTGGTGACGGTGCAGGATCAGAAATCGCGCCATTACGAGAAGTATGCGGGGTGGCTGCAGGGCAGTCCGGGGATTGAGGAGTTTCTGTTTGGGTGTTTGAGGCCTGGGGTGGTGAGGTGGATTGAGGGGGGGAGGGGGGCGGGAATTGATTCGTGGGTTTTGAAATTGTGGGTGTGAGGGTAAGAGATAGGCTAATGTGGAATTGAAGGTTGAAAGCGACTGGTGGTGATATTAAAGGAAAGGGAGTGTATCTGCATGGGATTCTGGGGTTGGATAGGTTGTAAGTTTGGCGTGCTTTCATCTACACATGTCTTCATTGCTTTCAAGTTCTACATCTTCTACAATATCACCCTCTCTCAATGTGGTCATCTACGAGACCCATCTATCATATCTACAACAATCATTCAGATTCCTTCATCATCACTCTCTTCGTATCACCGCTCAACCCTCATCTAACACACACCCCCAGCACCCGCAAATACATCGGCCAATCCACCGACCTCCCCCTCCGCATCTACAAGCAGCACATGTACTTCCGCTACCGCCGCGACCACCCCTCGCTGCACTACTTCGCCGTGCAACGCTCCAGCTTCGACGTCTTCTCCATCCTCGCCGTTGTCCCACCACCACCATCAAACCAAACCCCATCCCAAGCCCCAAACTTCCACGACCGCCCCGATCTCCTCCTCAACATCCTCGAGATGTGGCTCTGCCTTCTCTTCCGCTCGCTCCCCGTCGCCTCCCTGCACGCGTACCTACCGCCCGGGTCGCTCGTGAGCATGGGCCCGCCGGAGAGCTTGAATGTTGCGTTGCCGCTGGATCAGGGGGTGGAGATGGGGGAGCGGGAGATGGTGGATATAAAAGCGGCCAGGGATCCGTTGTTGAGGGAGTGGTTTAAGCTTGATGAGGGGGAGGTTGCGGTGGTGGGCTCGGCCGCGACGGCGAGGCGAGCTGGCGGGCAGAGGACGGAGCGATCAGAGTGGGGGCAGCGGGAAGAAGTTGGGGGCACAGAGGTTTCGCCTGTAATGATGTTCATCTTCTTAGGGGCCGCGGTGGTGTTGGGGTTCCTAATGTCGAATCCGGGGAAGAGGTGATAGTGGTGGAGTAAGTTGAGAGGTTGGTGTGGAGGTAGTGATTATGAGGATGGGATTTTCATCGCACAAAAGTTGCCTAGAGAGACTGTGGTATGTAAGAGTAGTCAAAGTTTCATTGGTAGGCCGGCTTTGATCTCGGTTACTGCATAGAATAGTGCAGACTTTTTCAAGCCCGGAATTTTTCCCTTCATGAACTATCGGTGTATATTGCTAGCTAGAACACAAACCAGTGGAAATGAGAGCGAGTTGAAATGCCTCCGATTGACCTATTCCGCTATGATCTTGGGTGATGCAGCATGTGATTAATACTAGGGGGGAAGATTAGAACCAGCGGCAAAGAGAATACACGCTGTCCACTGATACATCTCATCTTGGTTTTGATTATGCACCGAAGCACCTCCGACACTGACTAGCAAGTGTGCACACACTTCTGTCCAGGTTGTAGCGTACTTTGTTGAATCACACAAGTCAACCAACATCCTCAACATGGCAATATTTGCAGTCAAAAATGGCCACACATCACACATGCCGGGTTCAGAGATGACAACTGCAGATATTCGCAATCGCTGCAAGCGAATACTGCATCTCTGCTTCCATATCTGATCTCGGGTTTCCTCAAAGCCACATTCAATGTTGAACCCACGGCGCGGAAATGGGTGTCGAATCTAAAGACCGGAACGACGGAGGGGGGGTCGATGTCGAATCCCAAGGCCGGATCGATGTCGAATCCAGAGGCCAGATCAACATCGCTTTTCGACTCGATTAAAACCTCGCTGGTCTCTTGCCTCTCCCTTGTGGCGGCGGCTGTGGTTAGTGCAGGCGAGAGAAGAGATTTTATCAACTTATATTTATCCTCCAGGGTCTGGTGCTTTATTGGCATTGCTTCCTTTCTATGTGCCCTCTCAAGATGCGTGTTAAGCTTGTCCTTGCGAAGAAAGGGTGCATGTTTCGTCCCTTCTAAACCTTTTCCACAAGCCTCAATCTCTTCTATATCCATTGAGGGTATCTCTGGTCCGACATGTACTCGGCGGAAAGCCTTAAGCTCCTCTGTTTCCATTGAAGATATAGCTGGACATCCATGAACTTGTCCCTTGATGTTGTGATGCGCCGTTTGGATCTGGGGTTCGTTCTCCAGAGTTGGAGAAGCAGGGGTCGGGGCATCTGTTGAGTGCAGAATCGTGCAGCACACAGTGCTAAGCCATGACCACGAGTGAGCATTTCGTGCGAAAGAGAGAGCTGCAGGACACACCATTGCGTATAGAACTGAAAGTTCTCTCTTATCTTCTTAAGAAATCCGCTGCACGAAGGCCGCGGACATCTTCTCCCGTAGAACCGCCACTCATCAATTTTTATTGACATTGCGACTTGAGATCCTGGGGAGAGCTCCCTCGACCGGTTTGCTTTTGAGAAGGCTTTCCTGGTTCGAAGATCTAGGAGTAGGAATTCCTCTCTTTGAACCCTGCCAGATCCTGGACGGCCAAAATAGTGCTTGCGGAGGAGAAAGTGAAATGTCTATGAGCTGCGTTAGCTCATCATTATAAATGAAGCCTTTTAAAACAAATTCCTTACATCCCAGTCCCTACAGATGTCATACTGGAGAATGCGAGTCCCGCCAAGAGCGTCGAAAAAGTGTATACACTCCGAGATGTGTAATCTCGGCGTCCTGTAGAGGACGATGTTCTTCCCGAATCGTTGGAGTAGAACCAGGAATTTGCGAAGTAGTGTCCTACGTGGAGATTAGTCGTACGAAGTCTAAAAATGCGAATCTTACCATGGCACTACCCACAAAGCGATGATAACACTTTCTAATCTTATCGAAATATTAGTATCAATTAGCGAGATGTGCTGCTTGGGCTTACAGTTGTGCCACAAGTATTCCTATGGGAGGTGTCGCACAATCAAATGAAGCGTTCGCTGGACTGTGGGTCCAATGTGGGCTGCTTCGCATGAGCTGTTGATTCCGAGATGCTAACGAGGAGGGAACATTGAAATCGTCCCGATTCTGGCCGGAGAACCTTCTGCTTTGCTGCCTTTTATCATCAGAAAGTCTCTCCAATGTCGCTATACCAGACCGGAGCGAAGTGCAGAGTGCAATGGTCTCAGAGGTATGAGCATCGATAGACGCATGCATATGACTTAGGCGTGAATCAAGTAGCGATGATTGAGATCCAACAGCTTCATGGAGCAATGTCATTGAGCTTTGAGAACTCTGCCCGCACTTTCTCGCTTCTTCAGTGAAGCAATTCCAAGCCCGTAGTTGATCGTTGGACGCTTGGGAGATGTGCTGTGAGATTCTTTCTTCCCTTTTCGTGAGGTCCTTGGTCATATTTTGGTAAACTTGCCTTTGGTCAGTCTCCCATATGCGGAAGCCGTTGTTGAACGCAAGGGTAAGGTCAGACATGGCATCTTCTAAACGATGGGAAGACGCAGCGATGGAACCAGCATGGGCGGAAGCCTCGGTCCGTGATAGTTCGAGTGCTGACATTAGCACCTTTTGGTTAGACTGAGTCTGCTGGGTGTTGTCTTTCGCGTTGACGGCGAGTTGAGATAAGCCATTTTCCACCCGCTGCAGGGCATTTGCATGAGAAATTGCGTTGGAAGTAGCAACACTCTGGGCTGTCGCCAAGGCTGAAGCTATGGCTCTACTATGCTCACTATGGACGTATTAGATACATAGGCGAGATAGGGAAAATTCATCCTCACATGCTCTGCGTCTCGAGGAACAGGTTAATGCTGGCGGTGTTGTTTTTGAGGCTCTGACGAAGCTTAGTCACATCGTCAGAGTACGTGAGAGCCCATTGTGCTTTTCTCAATGCACTCGGTAGCTTGCCGCTCGATGGCGACTTTGCAAGAGAGTCTTTGAATTTGCCGACTTTCTCTAACAAGGCTGAAAGTGCGCCTTGGGTCGACTGGACGATTTCGTTGCTTTATCGATCTGGTCAGGTGCAGTGCCGGACGGAACCACGTCGAAAATCTTAAGCTGTTTGAGTATCGCTCCTAAGAATTCGAGATCGGTCTGCAGCTGTTGGAATTCGGAGGCTGATCCGCCGCTATCACGGAGCGCTTTAATGATGCGGACGAGAAGCTCGACGGAGGCGATGCAGTCGCCTACGGAATAGCCAAAGGCAGGCATCTTGCGCTCTCATGACAGCTATGAAACGATGAAACGAGTGAAGTGTATTCATTTAGAGGACATATGTGAAAGTTGAAGAGGTGCATATTGGACATATTTGAGTAAGGAGTTCAGCCTGGGAGGTGTTTTCAGCCTTGCCAAACGTACCTATTACCTACATAGACAGCTCTTAGCCTGAAAAGCTGGTGGACAAATCACAATCAATGGATTCCTTAGATGCTCATCTGACAGATTTGTGTGAGACTCAGTTTGACGTGTGAGGATTCGCGAGCCTGATAATCTACATTTTCCGCTGCTGGCGTAGATACAGATTGTACAGTCTATTGCAGTCAAGGCCAAAGCTTCTCCAGCATACAGCATCCAGTCCGTATATGCAAGAACTCTACTTGTCTCCGCGTATCGTCCTGAAGAAATCCATCATGCCGGTGAAGACAACCAACAGGATGCCTCCACCCGGGCCCAATCGAAGAACCTTGGGCAAAAAGCCCTTGTATAGCGCGCCGAAGCCCTCCTCTTTCATGACCGTGCCCAGGGCTGGCCATGCCCAGTTGTACTTGGGTACCTGTCCGGGGACTCTCGCGGTGTTCTGAATACGCGACTTTACGACGTCCATAGGAGTGTTGATGATCGTTCCAACAGTGCCGCCAATGGCACCAGAAATAAGGTCGTTGAAGACCTGTCCCTTTTTATCTTTCGCGACCGGAATAAGCGCGCGAACTTGGAAGATGCACCCGAAGTATCCAGCGTTCCACAGAACGTGCCTCCACATGGTGCTCTCGAGGCCCTGGTACATGGCCAATGGCCCCTCCTGTGTGATGATCTTGCGCACGACGTCGATCATGCCATTGTATTTGTGTGCTTGTGCTTTATCTTGCAACCTGATCTTGACAAGCTCGAAGGGGACGACGACGAAGGCTTCGGTAGCTCCAGCAGATGCGCCCGTGAGGATGGCAAGGGATTGGTTCATTTTGGCCACGCCAAATTGGTTGCGATAGAATTTTCCCCACGCGTCATTGGCAGCGAATTTGGTAGCTCTGTAATGGTTGTATGAGCATGATCTTGCTTCCGTGAACGGACGGCTGTCTCACCTCTTCGGAGCTTCCATCAGAATAGGAGCAGTGATACCGCGATATAGCCTCGAAACTCTGGATCAAAAATAAGCTTCAGCATGACAAAAACAATCATTCGTTTCGCACCCTTCGTTCCTGATGATCTTCCGGAAGCAGTCCACCATGCCATTGTAGCTATCTTCACCGACTCCCTTGCCAGTCTGGATTTGTCTATGTGCGATTTAGCTTTTGAGATATGCGCGACGATGTTCTGGCAGCCTACACTCGTGTCTTGACCACATCCAGCGGATACCTTGATTTTAAGTCAGCGTCGCATTCATCGAGGAGACCGGCGCAATACCCACATAACCAGGATCTATTCACCGTGCTCGATTAACAGCTGTACTGTAGCAGTTTCTAGCACTATCTCAGTCCCAATTCACTCACTTCGGAGACACCAGCCACGGCACCTATTCACAGTGAGCTTGACGTCGGACTCCATTCCGCAATTGAAGTACTCACCAGCCGCGAACTGGTAGACGAACGGCAGAGGCTTTTCGGTGGTCATGATGCGAGCTTCGTTCTGAGAGGTAAAGGAGTGGAGAGGGTTGGGGAGATGGGTGGTGATGTGAGGTATTTCACACTGCAGGGTGGGATGGCCAAATGGGTAGGACTCAGCGGTCCAAGCTTCTACTCCGCAGACACTAAAAACAATTCAAACCTTCCCTTTCTCCGGAATTGCTTCCTTTGGTGACGGCGGAAGATTCTTTGATTGATAGTTAGGAATTGATCCTCTCTCGGTCACTACAGTGAATTAGCTTGGAAGCTTACTTCTCAGCCTTATGGGGTCTATGCTCCAATGTTGCTTGCCCAGGTGAGTTGAATCTAGGTTTCGCGCTAAACACGTGACTTATCTTCAACGCGTCCCATCAATTTACAACGCGTCTCTTCTTGCACTTTTATACCACCACACCACAACACCTTTGAACCTACGCAAACCCCCCTCGCCCCACCCCCCTCCAACATAGCGGGACAAGCGTCCTTATGTCAACCCGCCAGAAGTCCTTCTTTGACCAGGACCAGAAACCTAAAGTACGCCTATTAACTCCCCCGCGCTCACTGGAACCGTCGTACTGACAATACTTAAGAACAGACCACGACCCCAATGGAGCCGAACCCGCAGTGCGAATGATGCTTCTCGAGCAAACACTCACAAACCAGACGCCATGACAGGCCCTCCAATCGATGCCTCCACCCAGTCCAGGACGAAGCTCAAGAAATACCAGTTCATCGAAGGAGCGCCTGTCGTACCGCCCATGGAGATCGAGAACGGCGATGAAGACAAGGAGAATCAGAGGGATGATGCTGGGGCGGAAGAGATCGACGCCGTGACCAAGTCACAAGGGGATGCAGTGGAGAAGACAACAGAGACACCAAGGCTGCCCCATTCCAGGACCTGTCCTCCGTCGACACCAGCAACACGGCTTCCACTGGCAGATTTAGTCGGAAACTCGGATGATATCTCAAAACATGCTACCGCTCGAAACAACTCCCCAGACGAACAGCTGTACTGGCGAAACCTTCAGTCACCCAGCAGCTCGAGCACCGTCACACCCGCACCTCACAAGAGGGGAAGTAAGAAGCGCGCACGTAGTTCTTCGCCACCGCTGTCACAGACCGAGCCATTGGCTTTCTTCCCTGCCAATGACCCTTTAGACATGCAAGGCATGGAGCAGTTATTGAAAACTCCCCAAGCAGATCCAGCTGCCGACCTGTGGAGTCGCTACACCGTAAACACTGGCAACAACAAGGGCACTCCAACAGCAAACAAGGGCATCGCATTCGCAAACCTCATCAACGAATCCTCGCCTCACTCTTCAGCGACCGCAGGAAGTGTGAGCGGCCTCCGGAGGTGGGCGAGCTGTGGCGTGGAATGGCCCACATCGGCAACTAAGAGGAGGAGGATCAAGGGCGCTTTCAAAGAAGACAAGACCGGTGCAGAAGATGTATCTGAAATGCGAAGTACAGACGGTCCCTTACATGGAAAGTCAAAGTTGTCCAAAGTGGGCCTGCTGGTCGAACGAATTCAGAAGACCATGGCCAAGTCCCCTCGCCATAACACGTCAAGCATGCCCTCGAGCTCGTCTCCATTACCAGATTCTGGAGACTTCCAGGCATATCCGTCAGCTTCTCCATTGCAGCGGATGGCCGTAGGACGTCGAGAAATGGTCGAGGTCGCATCGAAGCCGGCAGACAGCCCTGGACGTGCTCAATCACCTCGAGAGCCTCATGAGGATACCGCTTTTGAGCAGCCGAAGCCCCCCAGCTCCTCGGAGTATGGCGATGAGGAAATCGACCTCGACATGGTTGAAGCCATCGAGATGGCAAGTTTTGTAGGCCAATCAAACCAACAAATGGCACCTAATGTAACCACATCATTTGAGGTCGCTCAGCAGCTTCACTCTCCACACCTTCCCGCTGTCTCTGAACCCACGAAAGAGGAGGTCTTTGATAGTGATGACGAATTTGGACTAGAAGATGATGATGTGTTTGCCGCCGATATTGAAAACGTTGTATCTCTTTACGACAAGAGACCCGACTTGACGCCTACCATGCCTCAAGCGACAGAGGAAAACGTGCTAGACGATCACGCTGCTCCCCCGGGGAAGCCACCGGCCATCACTATCAACAATGCCTCCGATGATGAGTTTGGAGGAGATGATTTCGACGAAGAGCAACTCGCAGCGGCAGAGGCAATGGCTACTCAAGCGTTGACAGGCAATCTAGCGAGTCAGAATCCTGTATGTACACGCAAGCTTCAGTAATGCAAAAATACGAACTAAGTCATGTAAGAGTCAAAGAAACAAGCCAACAATTCAACGCTACTTGGTTATCAAAGTCGATGAGAGCCAGTACAATAGCCCAAAGGGATTATTGCTTCCTGAAAGGGTACGAAGCCGCGTTTAGAGTATAGAGCGCCACTGACACAACACAGATCTTGACCGTCGAAGAAGAGAAAACCAAACTAAAGAGCAAGGTCGTTCTTCGACAGTCATGGCTCGGTACTCCCTGTACGACAGAGACTTTTGTCCATATTATTGGTGACTTCTCTCTCGACGGGCAGTGTGTTGTCGACGATGACAACAACATGCTCATTCTTCATCCTGATCATCTCATTTCAGCCACGAGTGTCGGCGACTCCTTCCACTGCACGCGGAAGGCCATATTACAAGAGCGGGTAAAGGCCACGACTAGAGCAAATGCTCCTTTGCTTTACGGTACCATCCTTCACGAGCTTTTCCAGGAAGCCTTCAAGGCAAACCGATGGGATACAGTATGGCTTTTTGAATGCATCCGCAAGATCTTACCAAGGCAGTTTGAGTCAATTTTAGACATCGGCGAATCAGTTGAGTCCGTTACGGCTCATATAAGGAGCAAGTTGCCAGAAGTACAATCGTGGGCCGAAATATTTGTTCGAGGTCAGCCAAGAGTGAGTTCTGTCCAGTCTTCTATTGAATTTGCCGTTGACTTCATTAACTAGTCCGATGGCGTCATCAAAGATGGTAATGGTTCAGAGGCCATTATGAGCATAAACAAGCTGCTTGATGTTGAGGAAAAAGGCGTGTCGCCTCAGTACGGCCTGAAAGGTAACATTGACGCTACTGTCCAAGTCGTTGTGAAGGACCGGTCTGGAGAGCGAGTCCTAACTGTTCCACTGGAACTCAAGAGTGGGAAGACTACTACTAGTATATCGCATCAGGTTCAGACTACGCTGTACACCTTGCTCCTCTCTGATCGATATGGTAAGTCTTCGGACTCCAAACCAACGGACGTAGCCTAACTTAGAGAAGATATTGATATTGCAACCGGGATTCTCTATTACCTTGAGTCATCTGTGGTGAAACGTATTTCAGCAGTACGAAGAGATATCATTCACATGGTGATGAAACGCAACGAGCTTGCCTGCTATGCTCGCGATCGATATCGGCTACCACCAATGCTCAAAAAGGACTACGCCTGTCGAAATTGCTACGCTCAGGAAAAATGTTTCGTCTACCACAAACTTGTCGAAGACGGGAATGGGGAGTCACTAGATCAGGTAGCAAAGGAGAAATTTGACCAGCTGGTTCATGACCTCACTCCTGCCGATCAAGAGTTCATGAAGAAATGGGACACACTTTTGACAAAAGAAGAGTCGGATATGATGAGGTTTAAGTCGGAGCTTTGGACAATGCTGAGCACTGAGCGTGAGAAGCTGGGACGTTGTTTCTCCAACATCATCCTCGAGCCTGGATCGGAGTTTGAGCAGCAAGACGGGACGAAGATAAATCGCTTCACCTACACATTTATCAAGCAGAAGCCACCTCCCGGATTTTCATTTACCGAGTCACAGCTGACCGTCGGCGAACCTATCGTCATCTCCGATGAGAAAGGACATTTCGCCCTCGCTAATGGCTATGTGGCTGACGTCCGAAAACGCCGCATCACCGTCGGTGTAGACAGACGTCTCCACAATGCCCGTACCAAACAGCCTGGGTTTGATCCGGAGTCGAATCAAGTATTCGCTGGAATAATGGAGGTCTCAAAGCGGAGAATGCCTCCAGCCTCCCAACAAGCTGAAGTCGAGCCGATTCTTTACCGGCTCGATAAAGACGAGTTTAGCAAGGGTATGGCTGATGTCCGTAACAACCTTCTCCAGATCATGGATGATAACGTCTATCGAGCGTCCAATCTCCGCGCTCTCATCATAGCTGGCGCCGCCCCAGTCTTCAAACCCAGTCCGAGCCCTTATCTACTTCCTAGCCAGTCTGCCCTCAATTCTGGCCAAAAAGCTGCCATTGAGAAGGTCATGGTGGCACAAGACTATGCACTGGTGCTAGGTATGCCAGGGACAGGTAAAACTTGGACTATTGCACACATCATTCGATCGCTAGTTGCAAAAGGGAAGAGCGTCCTGTTGGCATCTTACCAACATGCTGCTGTTGACAACATTCTTCTCAAAATTCGTTACGACAAGATCGGAATCCTGCGTCTCGGATTAGCATCTAAGGTCCACCCTGACGTACGGTCTTTCGCAACTCTAGCTACCGAGCCACAGGAGTCTTTGGAAGCACTAGAGAAGAGCTGGATGGAGCCTCTGGTTGTTGCAACTACGTGTCTCAGCATTTCTCATCCACTTTTCTCGCGCCGAATCTTCGACTATTGCATCGTCGACGAAGCGTCACAGGTCACACTTCCGGTTTGCCTCGGTCCGATTCGAATGGCAAAGACGTTTGTGTTGGTTGGCGACCACTATCAACTTCCGCCACTAGTTAAGAATAAAGAGGCGGCAGAGGGCGGACTTGACATGAGTCTGTTCCGGTTACTGAGCGAACGCCATCCCGAGGCAGTAGCCACGTTGAATAGCCAGTACCGCATGAGCGCCGATATCATGAGCCTCTCCAACGAGCTGATATACGACGGACGAATGAAATGTGGAGATCAAAGCGTTGCTCGTCAGGTGCTCGCTATTCCCAACCCAAATGTACTAGCATCTCTACACCGCACTCTCGAAACCTCCTCTCTTTCGGCCATCTGTCCTAGCTCCAACTCTCCATCCTGCCACATCGCTCGCACCCTCGACCCATGTACCCGTGTCCTCTTCCTCGATACCGACGCTCTCGGTACAGACCTCGAATCCACTCAAGGTGCACGTACTACCAATGATACCGAGGCTCGCATCGTCTCCCAGCTCGCCGCAACTTTTCTCGCCGCCGGTGTTAGCCCGGATGACATTGGCGTCGTGTCCCCTTATAACTCACAGCTCAAGCTTCTACGAACACATCTCCAAGGCACGAATATCACGGCTTCCACCCAAGGCCTGGGTAGCTCTGGGTTTGCAGGGCTTGGGCTCAGCAAAATTGAGCTCGACACGGCAGATAAATATCAGGGCCGTGACAAAGACGTTATCATTGTGTCTTTTGTCCGCAGTAACAACTCGAATCACGTGGGCGATTTACTCAAGGACTACAGGCGTATTAATGTGGCGCTGACAAGAGCGAGGAAGAAGCTAGTACTTATTGGATCGGCAAAAACATTGAAGTCCAATGAGCTACTGGGCAAGCTGGTTGAGATCTGTGAAGCGAGGGGATGGGTCAAACCGCTTAGTAAAGAGAGCTTGGAAGGGCACTCCTTTGATAGTAGTCCCTTTGCTTTTGAAGCGGCTGGGCAGAAAGGGCCATCGCCAAGCCCCAAGAAGAAAGCAAAGAGCCCGACGAAGAAGACGAGTGGGACGCCAAGCCAGCCAGAGTCGCTTTCACAGTCGAGCAGGCGAGTCCTAGGGGAGGTGTCGAACAATCCGAAAGCGAAGTCGCAGCGTAGCTCGCAGGGACTGAAGAAGCCGGGGAACGTAGGCAAGGTGGGAAGGAGGGGGCTGTTGGGATCTCGACCACTTTTGAGAGATGTGTTGAATGATATTATGTAGTTAGGGGATGGCATTAATGTGTAAGGGAATGTATGGAGCTGAGTGGGAGGCATGGGCATTCATGGGTACGTGTCATATGCCCAGCTTTTGGGCAGCTATTGGACTAGGCTAGGTAGTATCCCTGGGGAAGGTTGGATATTACTAGATACGAATGAGATGATGTTGTCTCTTGTAGCCGCCAGGCCTCCGCGCAAAGTGATCTTGCTCTCTATAGATGAAGAATGAGAAATCTTGCCGATATCATACCGTCACGTGATATTGAAGTGCCATTACTCGACTTCATATGACCTTATTGTATCAACTATAGAACACGAACCAAGCTAGAAATAAGCTTTAGTGCTGCTAATTTTGTGATAGATATTCTATATTGATGGCCTCTACGTAGAGCAATTGATCCTTGTCACCATAGTGGTCAAATTACGTACTAGTTCTCCTCTTATCGTGGTATCTCTATATATTACATGCACATAAGCTGCAGCGTTTATCTACTGCTCCCGTTGTCAACTGGCTATCAATCATGGCCGACGTTCTGAATATACCTAACCTTTTTGATGTCAGAGGCCGGGTGGCACTAGTCACCGGAGGAAGCAGTGGAATAGGGCTCATGGTCGCAAAGGTAAATCAACAGTCCTCCACTTTAGCATATACAGCCTGCTGACAACAGGATTTCTAAAGTCTCTGGTCCAAAATGGCGTAAAGGTCTACATAACGGCATTACCATCTGATCCCATTCAAGAAACCGTACAGAATCTGAACGAGATAGGCAAGTCATCAAGGGGTAGCGCAGAAGGGTGGGACATTGCTACCATACGAGTATGATCATTCGCTGCTAAAATTGTAAACAGCTTCTCCTCAGATGTTTCTAGCAAAGATAGCATTGCGGATATAGCAGAGTACATCAAGTCCCGGGAAACCCATCTTGACATCCTAATATCAAACGCGGGAGTCAGACACGATCCACCAAAGCCTTGCAACCCGTTGACAGCATCGCTGGAAGAGCTTCAAGCTTCCCTATGGTCCTCAAGCCACACTGACTGGGATGCCACATTCCGTATCAATACTACTGCCCATTACTTCCTCAGTGTAGCACTGTTACCGCTTCTTGTAGCGGCCGCGGAATTCGATCTTCCCGTTGGACTCAAGGGGAAGGATGTGGGAAGAGGCGTCATCGTAATCACCAGCAGCTGTGCCAGCATGCACAACTGCACCAACATCGACCTGACTAGTTACGCGGCCTCTAAAGCAGCAACTGATCATTTAGTAGCCTTGCTGGCTAGTAAATTTGCCCGGTGGTACGTCAGAGTGAACTCGATCAACCCAGGGTGTAAGTCAGGCTCATTTACTAGAGCCACGGGATTGCTGACAGAGTGTAGTCGTGCCAAGTAACATGAATCCCATCGGTGCAGAGGGGAACATGTTCGCTGCCCTTTTTGATAAAGTTCCGGCAAAAAGAGCAGGGAAAGCGGAGGACATCGCAGGAACAGTTCTTTATTTATGCAGTCAAGCAGGAGTAAGGTTCTGCAACTACTACCCTCGTGCGATGAAAGCTAATGATCAGCTCCTTAGGCATATGTTGATGGTCGCTGCTTGTGCGTTGATGGAGGCCGAGTCTTGCTCGCCAATGGCCAGGAGTAGACCAGTCGTACAATGAAGATGTTGTTGGATCGGAAATCATGCTCTCAAAAGGTAGCCTGTTTGTCCATGAGAAGCTACTCAAGGAGTTTGTTCCTGGCTATCTCGAGCGAACAAATCGAATATCATCTAACTGAGGTCATTAATATCCATACAGCGTTCGTGATATGCCCCGTTCAAGGTCGCAGTTTCTCAAAATCGGCCATGTGGCTGGAATTTGATGCGACACTCGTGTTCCTAGATATCAATGAGTCATGTCGGGGATATTCTGAAATGCAGGTGACATACCTCTATGCTATCAAACAACTCGTCATAGAACATTTCAAACCTACTTGTGATTCCAGGGGATACGTTCTCGAATCCGGGTGCTATATAAGTCTGATATTTTCGATATATGGCGGCTACTAGCGTTGTCATCTCAGACATAGCCAAGTGAATGCCAATGCACATTCTACCGCCACTGGAGAATGCCCACCACCATCTATTCATCTCATTGAGCCGTTCTAGAGGAACATTGAGCCACCTTTCTGGGTTGAATCTGAGGGGATCCTCGAAGACCTTCGGATTGCGATGTAAAGAATACGGTTCAATTCCAACTACCATTCCTGCAGGTATCTCGAATGAATCGATGATCGATGGAGTGAGTAGAGAACGGGGTTCGGTCGCCGGAAGAGGCGTATACAGCCTTAATGCCTCCTTGATGACAGCATTCAGGTAGGGCAATTTGTCGCCGGCTTCGACGAATGGGATTCCATCTCCATTGAGAGACGACTCTGGGAGACTAGCCACCTCTTGTATAAGCTTTGCTTGGAACTTGTGATTTTGCGGAAGAGATAACGCCCATATTAGAAACATGAGAGTGTCACTTGTTGTATCAATTCCAGCTAGCAAGTGGTCCGCACATTCGGACGCGATGTCCATATCGTCCAACCCGTCAGGCTTTCGAGTCTGGTGATGTTTGTATAGACGATGTATGATCGTTTGACTCCCGATCTCGCTTGACTTCTCCTTCTGACTTGATTCTTTGAAACGATGAAAGGCAGCAAGAGCATGCTGCCTGATCCCTGTCATCATGGCTGGTTTCTGCATGGGCAAAAAATGCCTCAGGATTACTTCAGCTCTTCCAGACCGAGAATACAACCATTTCGTGAAGCTTGGCAGGTGCACAGCGAACCAAGAGAGCCGCCGGCGCGCTGGATCCAACATATCATTGAGCAGAGCACGATGGCTTTCATCCCCTGTCAGAGCCGATGTTGCTCCGGACCCTCCGTAAAGGAATCCGGTGATGTTGTCTATAGAGTAGTAGTGAAGAGTTCGGAAGATATCGCTAACACCTTCTGGCTCGGCCTGGATTAGCTCTAGGAACTGTTTCGCCTTTAATTCGACCATAGCTGCAACGGAACCTCGAAGCATAACGGTTTTGGAGTAGGCATGGGCAACGAGCTTCTTTCTTTCTCCGTGATCTTTGCCAGAAGCAAAGGAGAACAGGTTTTGCCGGCCGTAGGCATCGAACATGCGATAATAATCGGTTCTCTGGAAGCCGCTTCCTGCTCCGTAGATAGTGCGCAAGGCGGAGGGGCTGTTAAAGGACACCTCATTGGGGCCTATACGAACTACAGGGCCGTACTTCGCATGGAGCTGACAGATAGTACGTGTCCTCCTGCCCCGAAGATCCTCGTATGCAAGTCGCCAACTTGAGATAGAAAAGGTCCATGGTCCTGGGACGTTGTGATGTGAGGATGCTCCGTGGCTGTGGGTGTAGAAGAAGCGTACTACGTAGATAGCGGCTATGAGGCCTAAGAGGTATAATGTGGTCAATGCCATGATGAATTGAAGAGCGATGTCCAAATTACCTAAATTTTCGGAACGGGCTTCTAAATATGCCGTTGGTTGAGGTGAAGTGATGCGAACGTAATGGGGTAGTGTACGAAGTAGAGGCGATAAGAGGACGACGTAATCGGCAAAGCTATGCGCTCTTCTCCGCAACCCCATCTTTCACACTTTCTCATGCGACTCCACAAAATGGGGGGATCAAGTATGCATCCGATCATTGGGACATCCACCGTCGCAACTATACAATCTCCAAGTGCCATATTTCTATCGATTCGCTATGTCTGTTCTTGATGAGTTTGTGTTCGGCTCGCCTCTTTATACCGCTGGTGCATGTCTGATCGCCTTCTTGATATACAAGGTCCGTCTGTCCCTAAATATACATAGAAGCGTTCTGACCGGCAATCTGCATAGGCAACCACATACACGGATATACCGCACATTAAGGGCCTTCCAGAAATTCCTGGTGCTTGGCCAATCGTTGGTCACTTACTAAAGCTTGGAGAAGACCATGCCACGACTTGCGAGAAGTGGTGGAGACAGTAGGACGAAACGAAATATCTGGGATCAGCCAATTTCTCACATCAAACAGATATGATCACTCCGTGTTCCAAATTCGCCTCGGAAACACTCGTGCAGTCGTAGTGAACTCCTTCGAAGATGCCAGAAAAATGCTCGTCGGCCATCAATCAGCTCTCATTGATGTAAGCCTCTACTTCCTTAACATCTTAAAAAGTGTCTAGAATCTTACAAGCACTTGTGCAATGAACTAGCCCAGCTGACTTCCCAGCGTCCAAAACTGTATACTTTCCATGGAGTCATATCTTCTACTCAAGGCTTCACCATTGGCTCGTCACCATGGGACGACAGTTGCAAAAATCGCCGCAAGGCAGCTGGGACCGCTCTAGGTCGTTCTATGATGCGAGGCTATTTCCCGATGCTAGATCTAGAGTCATACTGTATCGTCAGAGACCTCGAACGAGACAGTAACAACGGAGCAACTGAGATCAGCATTCGACCATACATCCAGCGGTATGCGTTGAACACAACGCTGACGCTCTGCTACGGGATCCGTATGGATACAGTCTACGACACCCTCTTACGTGAGATTCTGCATGTGGGATCAGCCATCTCACTTCTGCGGTCAGCCAGCGAGAATTATCAGGATTATATACCTGTATTGAGATATCTTCCAAATAACAAGAAGAATGCGTACTCCAAAGAACTACGAGGAAGACGAGATGCTTATCTCAATCTTCTATTGGATAAAGTCCGTGTCATGATAGACAAGGGGACAGACAAGCCTTGTATCTCCGCGGCTATTCTCAAAGATCAAGAAACAAAGCTCACTGGGGTCGAAGTCAGCTCCATCTGCTTGTCTCTTGTCTCCGGTGGCTTTGAGACGATACCTGGTACGTCCGGAGAAGCAAACAGCTCACTTTTCTCCCTCCTGAACGCATATCAGTGAACTACTCATGCTCATGTGTGTGGGACTTCTCCTTTGGACCCTATGCTAACAGCACCAGGTACTCTTACCTCGTGTATCGGATCTCTCGCAACACCCGAAGGGCAGATATTTCAAGAGCGAGCTTACCAAGACATCAAACAACACTATCCAAACACTGAAGATGCTTGGACTAACAGCTACCAAGAGGAGAAGGTGCCATATCTCAATGCCATTGTCAAAGAAGCTGGCCGCTATTACACCGTCAGCTCGATGAGCCTTCCCAGGAAAACAGTCACCGAAGTCATGTGGAATGGTGCCCGAATCCCACCAAAGACCATGGTCTTGATCAATGCTCAAGCTGGCAATCATGGTAAACAACGTTCCTGACTGTGTTCTAAAGCGAAGTCTCTGACTTGTCTAGATACCGATCATTTTGGTCCGACAGCCAACAAGTTCGATCCCGAGCGATGGCTCGAAGATACATCGGAAGGCTCCACTTTCGCGGAGAAGCCATCACAAGGCCTCGCTCATCTATCGTTCGGAGCTGGAGCAAGAGCTTGTTCAGGGCAGATCATGGCACAGCGCCTTCTATACTCATCGCTCATCCGGATCATCTCGTCCTATCGGATCGTGGCAAGTGAATCAGAGCCACCAAACACAGACTATATCGATTACAACCAGTTCAAGACGGCCTTGGTAGCGATTCCTCGAGACTTCAAAGTGAAGCTGATCCCGAGAGACAAGGAGGGTACTGAGGCCTGCCTAGCATCTGCAAAGGCTCGGACTAGCGAGTTCTACAAGGAAGAATGATGGAACCGGGAGGAAAAGTGGACAGCACTTGTACTTCATTAAGGGGGACTTGACAGTGTAACGGAGAGTAGAGTTTGAGCGGATTGGCTCTCGTGTATGCTCCTCGATACATCTAAATTCTACCCTAAATCAATGATCTGATATGGAGCGTCAGGGATTTTACTTCATGAACGAAGGTGTGAATCGAGCGTTGTAAAGCGGCACAGACAATCAAGCTGTACTAGAGCGCATGAGACTTTGCATTGACCCTCGTGATATTCATAAAGTGAATAACGTATGGCTGATCTGGAGGCTGGTGTGCATCACGTGATCTTGGACCCCTGCAATAATTTGCCTCGAGCCTTCTTGCGGAGTGAGGTCGCCCTCCACATCAACATCAACCTCGACTCGCACCATCCTTTCACAAAACATCACCCCGACAGGCAAACATGGACTACCAGGCAGGTACACCGCTCTATCTAATTCCTTTCTGCTATGCTAAAACGACGTCTAGAATCGCGCCGGCTCGAAATTCGGTGGCGGAGGTGTTGCCTCTCAATCTGCAACGAACGCGGACCGCCGCGAGCGGCTCCGCAAGCTCGCGCTCGAGACGATCGACCTCGACAAGGACCCATACTTCTTCAAAAACCACGTCGGAAGCTTCGAGTGCCGCCTCTGCTTGACAGTCCACCAGAACGATGGGTCCTACCTCGCCCACACCCAGGGCCGCAAGCACCAGACAAACCTCGCTCGCCGCGCAGCACGAGAGCTGAAAGAAGGCAGAGATCGCGATGGTGTTATCCCCGGGCTCCCGAACGTGCAGGTGCGCCGCAATATGATCAAGATCGGACGGCCGGGCTACAAAATCACGAAGATCCGCGACCAGGTTACGCGCCAGAATGGACTGCTGTTCCAAATGCAGTTTCCAGAGCTTGGCCAAGGAAATGCGCCTCGTGTGAGATTCATGAGCGCGTTCGAGCAGAAAGTGGAGGAACCAGACAAGAATTGGCAGTTCCTCCTGATAGCTGCGGAACCGTACGAGACGATTTCATTCAAGTTGCAGGCGAGGGAAGTGGATAGGAAGGATGGTCGGTTCTGGACCTGGTTCGATGAGGATAGCAAAGAGTTCTGGGTACAGGTGCTTTTCAAGACCGAGCGTGATGAGCGGTACTCAAACGTCCCGGGTCTTGCTCCGTCGGGTCCAAGGAGGTGAATTTCGGCGTACATGGCATATTGGGGCTCGAATCACAACGAGGTATGGTACGGAAATCATATCTAGCGTATGGGTTATAGGTCTGGGCGTCAGGTAATGTTCAAATTTGCGGATATACTGTGACCTGATACTGATGGACCGAAGGGCTGGCCGACTCTCACAAAGGCTCAGCTTATCCGCAAGTTAGCATACACCTAAGTGGAAGGCTAAGTTCAATAAAATTGGAGAACAATGGGAAAAACCACACGAATCTCTTCGAGACGTGATGGTATCTTTTCGTACGATCCTTTCTTGCTTGCTAAATTTTTTAGCGTCGACCATTGAAATTTGTTCAGCCACCGTCGAAGCCTAATCATTCAACTCGAAGCATCCACTTCACAATATCCTTGCACTCGAAACCCTGTTCTTATCAGCAGAAGCCAAGATACGCCAACAACGGACGAATAGGTCTGGTTGTTCTACAGGTTGCTCCGTTTTCAATGGGCTGGGCTCATCCAATCGACCAGTCAATGATCATATGATTAAGGGGTTGGCCCCAACCCTTGACTCCTCCAGCGGCTCTCCTGATCATTCCTGGCTTCTCACTGCAACAGTAACAGGCTTTTCTACATTTGCGCCTCTGTACCGTGATTGGATCACACCAGCCTGGCTTTGGGGCTGTGTCTAGGCCGCTCTGCAAAATCCATCGAGGATAGGTGGGCTGTAACACAGCTAACTGTCTAGCTCTCTTTGATCGACAGCGGCCCGCTAGGTGCATAGCGAGGATTTCAAGAGGCAACTAGAGGCAAGTGTTGAGTCAGCTACGTCAAGACTCGCTCGGGCATGAAGGCGCCGAAATGCCTCCGCTGGGTAGATATTGATCGAAAAAGCCTGAAGAATCTCGGGAATGGCTCCTCTAGGACGGGCCAATGTTCTCTCCCCTGATTAGATTTGTCGGAACTGACTGACACTGGCGGTGTACAGATGCGACCATTGACGAAGCCCAGGTGTTGCTAGGCGCCGTTGGACTAGGCCGTAGAACGCCATCGCAAACGGCGTGCTTCTTCGATCTTTGCGAACTTTTCGAGTGCCACATGACAACTAAGAGGACACAGTGTGTCTGTTCTTCATATATCTTTCACTGTGATGGAGGCATGCCGAATGCATATCTCCAAACCCTGCATATGCTCGAGGCCCTTACCATTGCCCCAGTCAGCGCTGGAGAGCCTCGAGATCGGAACTTAGCGGTCAAAACAGACTGTTCACCGCTCAAGCTGTGTGACCGGGGGTGCCGCACCATACATTGGCGGCCTGACGAGCGGGAGAGTGTCTTGGACCCTTCGAGATGTGCTAACAGGTTGCAGTTCATGTTGATCGGACACTGAAGGCTGCTGCCGCGCATACATATCCACAGCTTCGGACTCTTTAAACTGCATCACACGGCAGACGGCACCTACTGGATAGCTTTCCTTTTCATGAATGCCGCCGTGTTTCATCCACAGCAGGGTCGGCAGTCGAGCCCGTTTATTGTAACATTCGGCGTCGTTCCCGAAGCTCTGGCTCACTAGCCAGATAGCCACTCCTGCTGCAGTAGTCAGATGACCATTCTTTTGACACCCTTGAAGAGCACGCTAACAAGTGGAGCGGCATGAGGGCGCTGCAGTGCCCTGCCGGAAGCCTATGCGCATTCGATTGTCACTGCTTAGGTTGCTCCATAGGAATCCAAAAATTAGGACTGGATGGCAAGAATGGGATGCACCTAGGCCTAAGCTGGTTTTCAAGGCTTCTGATTGATGGATCATTTCCTTACAGCGGTGTCAGCAATCCACAGTGGCACCCAACCAGAGCTACAATATGCCTAGCACTGGAAGACAGTGGACATGGAAGTCGACTCGCACCGCTGTGGCAAGGTCCATGTCAGTGCTGCTCTGGGGCATCCATATCAGAGTTTAATAATGCTCGAAGTTGGATCCTAGCGCGGCTCTACTCGACTCGCCAATCACATGCTCCGTCATTGAGCATACGCACGCTCAGCAGGCTGCGCATAGCACTTGTTCAATCTCGACCCGGTAGATGTTTATGATAATCGTGCTTGGCGTTTTTCAACCTTCCTGTTTCAACGTCTCCTCTGTCTATTTAGTCTATTATAAACGATTCCGTCGATCGTCAAATTTCTCCTACTGGTCTAAGAGTCTTCACGGGGTCCAAGTACTGCACAGGGTAGCCACGTCAATGCTAGACCTCCCTCCTTCCGTCGAGGCCCGCACGCGGCGGCATCTAGCTGTTTTCACCTAGCGCACGACCGTTGGCGGTATCTTTCGCAGCCAATATCTGTGCCGCCGGAGCATGGCATAAGCTCTAGCCACAGTGGCTATCTGGCCTGACCCCGGCGCCGCCGTTCGTGGTGCGACCTTATCGCACGACATCAGTCACGAGGACGTCTGCTGGGGCCAGCCGGCGATGGCTCCCGAGCATGATGGCATTCCAGAAGTCCGTGAGCGCGTTACGGACCGCGATAGCAGCGTGGCGCAGAGGAGGCAGCGATTGGAGTGGTGCAGACCCTGCAGGCGAGGCAGATGACAGAAGTCGGTCCTGAGACAGCAGCCCTGGAGCACACGCGTGGGGCGGCGGGCCCTAGCTTGCCGTCGTGAAAGAGATGCGCCGCACCAGCTGCAGCATCCTCTGCACCCTGAAGCTTTGAGTGGCCCTCGGCGACGACATCTGCTGGACTGTTGACCGCAACACGCCATTGGACTCGCCCGCACCGGTGCTTTGGAGCGGACGCAAATCCAGCCAGCGAGGACGCCGCGGAGGCGGACGTCCGGCGGCGGCGATGAGGAGACATCGCAGTGTATTGGCATGGCGTTCCACGCCCAAGCATCGACGGCGTCGGCGACGCGATGCAAGATGGACACCACAACACTGCTGCCAGGATGGCGCGCAGATCGAGTTGCAGCACGGGCACAGCCGGGAGCAGTCTCGTCTGCCGCCTCAGCCAGCGGCGACGGAAGGGATGGGCCATTGCCGCTTTCACAGCGATCGGCGCATGGCCTCGCGCGCAATACGAGCAGGCAGCTGCTTCGGGCACGCATTCGATGACTTTGTGAGCGCGACTGTCCAGGGCCCCTTTCCGGATGCTGCGGCAATGCACCTCGATTCCGCCAGGACGGCGCGCGCGGGCTGGAAGCAGAGAGCAGTCAGACGATGTGGTCGCGACAGAGGCGGCGCGACGGCACGCTTACGCCATCTGCCGCCTGTGATTCGATCGAGCGGCGCCCCTCTTTTCCCCAGCTTTGCTCAATCAGCCCGCGGACGCCCTGTGAGTCGTAGCCAGCAGACGCACCCTGCTGCGCTGGGCTGGGGGCGTTGCAGCCGAGAGCGCCTGGAGGAGCGGCGCTGAGGAAACCCTGGAGGAAACCCTGGAGAAACCCTGGAGGAAACCTTGGAGAAAAGCTGCTGGAGGGAGCTGGTGGAGACCTGGGACATGTCCAGATGGACAAACACCCTGGCCGGCAATGGACACCGGTCGCGTCGGAGCCGCTTGCGGAACCAACTGCACTGAGGCTCGGGCGGTAGATAGCAGATAATAGGACAGGCGTGGGCAGGCCGCGTCGGATACGGGCGCTGATTGCTCATATGCAGGTCATATGCGCGTCTCGCGCTGCCCTCTGGTGCTTGTGCCGTCGAATAATGCTTTAAGCCACGCCGCCCACATCCCCAGCTTTTGCCCTTGCGCACCAACCCCAGAGCTCTCCTCTGGCCGTGCCGCTGCTGCACGCAACCGCTGTTGCACCGGCCCACCATCCTCAGCAGCACACGCCCATTTGCTCGCTTTCCCGCAACGGATCGCCGTTCAGGAGTCCTGGACGCTGCATTCCGCGACCCAGGCCCCGTTGCGACCACACACGAGCATCGACAGTCGCCCAGCCCGTTGGCAGTCCCCAAGTCCCAGATAGCGTCAGTCGCCGCGCGGTTGCCAGCCTCGAAGCCACCGACGACGGCTCTCCGGTGCTCCAAAGAAGGCCTCCACAGCCTCTCGTCGCCTCCGACTCGTGGACACAGAGCGCTCCGCCCAGCATCCACTCGGCGTCCACTCCGCTCGAGGCCGCACTGCGGGACCACGGCGCCCAGCACGGCGACACCCTCCACCTGTTCGCGCGCGTCGGAGGCCTTCCTCTGGCTCTCATTCATCCCGGGCTCCCAGGTTCGGACGGCAATCTTGCAGCTGTCGGGCCTTGTATCCAGCTGCCACGCCCAGCACACGCCCAGCGCCCAGCCCACACTCGACGGGAGACCCTGAAGCCGCGACCCAGCGGAGTCATCGCAGTTTCCAGATTGCCCAGGGTGTCTGATCGCGTCCTCCACCGCGGCCGCTGACCGCCGCTGTATTTCCACGTCCACGGCCCGCCGCTCCTCCCGTGCACCTGCGTCGCTCCGCCCTCGACTCTGTTGACTCGGTCTCGTCTGTCTCGACCTCGCGGGCCCTCCTCGCTGGCATCTGGCATCTGGCATCTGGCATCTGGCATCGCCGCCCCAGCCGCTGGCCTGTCCGCCGGCCGTGTGCTGTGGCCCGCCTGTTGCGGAGCGCCCTGCAGCGCCGCTCGTGGCCGTGGTGTTGAGTGCAGGCTGTCATCGCGCTGGGCCTCAGGCTTCCCTTGTGGCACGCCTTCCCTTGTGGCACGCCTTCCCTTGCAGAGTCGGCATCCCCTCCTCCCACCTCCACGGCCTCTCTCCCGCCGTCTGCAGCAACAGCGCACACGGCGCCGCCTCTCAGCGCAGTGCAAAGTGCCCAGGGTCCGCCTCAGATCTCGGTAGCTACGGGGCAGCAGATTCGGCCGCCTGGTCAGACCCACCCGCGGATCGTGCACTGGCAACCTCCGCGGCCTCTGGAGCGCGTCAACCTCAACCACACACACGGCACCACCCCCAAGTCATCACCGCCGCATGCCACCAACCGCCAACGTCGCCTCCGCCATTGCTCCTCCTTGCGCGCCGCCGTGACGCCCGCTCTCTTGCGCGCGAAACGCACACCAACCGACCTGGCCGTGCTCTGCCCAGCGCAGTCCGCACCGAGGCCGGCCTCCGCACTGGCATGTACTCTTCCATGTCGCATCCCGTTTCGGCTCTGGCGAATGGTGGCATTGGAAACGGCATCATGGATGGCTCCGGGACCATCAACCCCGCCGCGCTGAACTCGTCTGGTAAGCTCCCTCACCTCGCTCACTCCATCTGCCATAAGACCGCTGCGCCGAACGCGCGGCCAACTTTCCATCTCGAATTCCATCCGACGACCGTCGCGCTATCGCTAAGGATGTTTCCCTGCAATAATCAAGTCGTGAATGCTGCTGACGCGACACCTTTTCTGCAGGAGTCCTCGCCGGCGCACCTCCGCCAACTGCACCCCAAGCCAGCCCTCGCGGCGTCAAGCGCAGCCGGTCGCCAGACACGTACGATGTGGCCGGAAGTGAACGGGGAGATGAAGGTAATTTTTTTTTCTGCGTCTCGACGGCTACCTGCAGCATGCAGGCGAGCCTAGGACGAGCAGCGGCTAACGTGCAACAACGCAGATGAGTCGAAACCGCGAAAGCGCGGTAGGCCGCCAAAGACAAAGGTGTCCGAAAGCCCGCACTCATCAACACAGCCGCCTCAAACGCCGTCCCAAACGACGCCCGCCCCTGTGCAAACACCACAGTTGAAAAGTACCCCGCTCCCGCAAGCATCGCCACCGCAACTGTCGCCGACCAAGTCAACCCCGACGAAGGGCACCGTGATCAAGGCACTGCCGACGGTCCGAGACCACACCACAGACCAATTGAACGCCGAAGGAGACGAGTATATTCCGCGCGAGTTTGACGAGCAGGGCGAAAAGAAGGTTACTGGGACTGGGAGTCCTCTAGACGGCCGTGAGTATCGGTGTCGGACATTCTTGGTTCCGAACAGAGGCAAAAAACTGTTTATGCTCGCGACCGAGTGCGCGCGTGTCCTAGGCTACCGAGATTCATATCTGCTCTTCAACAAGAACAGATCACTACACAAGATTATTGCCACGCAGGCAGAGAAGGACGACTTGATACATCAGGAGATTCTTCCGTACTCTTACAGATCGCGACAGATTGCTATTGTGACCGCGAGGTCTATGTTCCGGCAATTCGGAAGCAGGCTTATCGTTAACGGAAGGCGTGTACGCGACGACTACTGGGAGAGCAAGGCTAGGAAGCAAGGCTTCACCGAAGAGGACGCGGCTGGAGAGAAACGACCAGGAGCCGCCAAGGCAAGAGAGGCAGCAGCAGCTGAGGCCACTCACGCGAACCACTCTCTCACTTCACTTCCTCACGGTGAAATCATCTATAGCAACGGCCCAACCGACCTCAACCACGCTATCGGAGGAATCAACCCGGCAACTCTGGCTCCTCTTCCGATGATCACCATGGCTCTAACGGACGATCTTCGTCCGCGAGACTACGGAAATGTGCAACGTCCGCGACACGAGCTATCTGGAGCTGCCTATCAGGATCACTCGCGGCCGAGCACTTCAACTGAGATATTGAACCAAGCAGCGCAAACTGCCGAGTTCAACAAGCAGCTAGGAGCCCAACGCTCAAATCGCGAACGATATCTGAATGACTACTGGAAGCGACCGCACGAGGCTCCCATCGACTCACCTCATCGCCAAGGCACGGTGGATGGCGACGGCATTCCCCAAGTGTCGCAAGCAGTCGCTTCTCCACACATGTCGTCCAGTGTCACGGCCGTCGGTGCCGGGCAGCACAACATGGTTGCTCACACACCACAAAGCCAGTCACAGATGATGACACCACAATCCTACTCTCAACAACCACATCCACAGAACCCGATGGTGCAATCTCCGATCCGTGCAATGCATCAGCCGCTAAGGCCAGACCAAATGCACCATCGTTCTCCCAGCATTGGAATGGGCCCTGGTGCTCACAGCCAGCCAGGCTACGGATACTCGCAAGGTCAGATGTGGCCTCCCGGACAACCTCAACCATCGCCGCTGTCGCAACACCACAACATGCAGCAATATGCACAGCAGCCGCCGCATCCCCAGCAATCGCCACTACACGCTCCGCCTCAGCTCCATCACTCACAGAGCAGTGGCTCTATGCATGGCACACCGATGCAGCAATACGCCACAATGGGGCAAATGGGCGGTCAAGGCTACCCGATGGGCCGGAATCCATACAATCCAAGTCCCAGCCCGCAGCAGTTCATGCATCAGAGCACGGCAGCGCAACAGCCTGGCATGCAAGGGTGGGCGCCTGGTCCTCCTGGGCAGCAAGGATGGCAGACCTTTTGAGAGGCACGGTCTCGCATGCAGACTTCACCAGTGGACCGACGACCGCTATACCGTATTCGCACAGACTGACATTGCCCACCCTTCGTACCAAGCAACTTTTCAAGGCTTCGTTCATTAGTGGCACCAGTTCACATTTATTTCCTTTTAATTTCCTTCTCCATACCCTGTACACTATGCACACACCCATCTTGGTCTGCTGGCATGCTTCAACAACATTTAATTCTTCGTAAATCTTAATCGCCCGATTTCCTACCTCGCGTTCGCCTGCATCGTTGCATGGGTTTCTTTTCATGTTTTTGATTCTGTCTGGGCGAGCACTGCATTTTGGTATTCTGCGCCTCGGAACTCTCACTTGCTTGCTACACCAGTTCACGTGCTCACGTCTTGTGGAACGCCTCTCCTCCCTAATCCCCGAGCATCAACGAACGAATCAGAAACGAACGAGGATCAAGCAATCACAACAATCAAATTGAAAACGAGGACGGAACACGCCGTGACGCCTTTGCGAAATATGTCTTGGCATGGAAATGGAGCAAATGAATGCATGGAATTTATTGGGCCCGCTGGATCTGGAACTTTGCTTTTTCGCTTTTGATCTGCACCTGCACTACACCGCTCGGTTTTCGTGCCGCATCTCCTACCTAATTTTTTCCTATGCATACCACTCGCTCGATTCTGTTCCTGCTGCGTTCCGATTTGTTTTGCCGGAGAGGTCTTCGTGCTCGGTGGAGTCTGCATTGCATAGGTATTTTTGTTGGCTTTCGTCATTTTCCCATTCGTCGCGTTGCACTCTCGCTTAACATGGCATGAGAGACTCTCTCTAGGTGGTTGATTCGCTCACATTGGCGGTGCTAGTGATAACTCTCTTGTGTTTTTACTGCCGGTTGATAGGATCGGAGGCTTGGTCCGTGGATGCCGATGGGTGGCGATCTGTCACAGCGCATATATGCATGCAGGTGGCCTGAGCGTGGATTTGAATTGACATTTATCACTTTTCCTCTCTCAACCTACTGCTCTTGATTTTGAGTTTGGCTGTGGGGCGCGGTTTTTCTTTACAAGCGGGTTTCCGGATTTGAACTACCACATGGGTGCAGATTGCATTGGGCCGCCCGCTGGGCTGGTGGGCTTGGGTTAGGATTTGGAATTTCGGAATGGAGGTTCGGACTATATCGCTTAATTCTAATGATATTTGTTATCCCCCCCTTGAATATGCGTTGCAAATAGACTTGTGGTCAATGTGCAGATTGCCCTCGTACTACTCACTCTATGACTACTATGATCTGCTCATCGAGGAAGACGCCCTTAAATAATAAGTCTTCAGGCATAATACGTATAGATGCGTTCTACTCCTCTCTAATTTCATTCGCTCGCTCCGCCTGTGCTCAACTCCATTTTCTACAAGGTTACCGCCAAGATAAATACATCGAGCGCTGATGCACTTCTTGACTCATTACAATCCGCGGTCACGCCCCTCTCATAAGCAATGTGATAAGAGTCTGTACCACGCTCAAGGAACTGCACAAATTATTTATCTTTCGCAAAGCATCTTTCAGCGAATCTGTAACGATATAAATAACGCAGTGTATGCCGCCTAGCCTCGTAGGGTCTAGCGTCTAGGCCCAAAACTAACCTCATTAACATTTCAACCAACCACAACAGCATCAATCTAGACGGCCTTTCCCACTTCTCATAGTCTTCCTCCCAAAATCCCCTTTAATGCAGACCCGACATGACTCCAACTCTTACGATCCGTAATATCACGTCAACCCCGCTTGAGCTGAAAGTAATCGAACGGTACGAGAAAGCAGGTACAACAAGGATAGCCAACGTGACCAGCACTTTCGGTCATATCACAGGATTTGTTTCAAGAAGTGTCGGCAACAGCACTTCATCCGTACCGTCAGCGCCTTCACTTGGGCTTCACGCCGAAAGCTTCAACCAGCAAGACGTTAGCATCCGCATCGAACCTTTCCAAACCCAAACCACCGACATCCCAACCACAGAGCGATCGTCCACTGAAGTCCTCCGCCTGACCTTCGAAAGTCATGGCCAAAGATACCGCCTGGACGCCACAGCGGCCACAAAATCCCAATCGTTCACTCCGTTAGTCGCAGACCCTCAACACCAATACACGGGCATCTTTGTCCCCGAAGACTCCCACCTCACTATCTACTCCCCCATCAACCTCACCTCCTGGATGAAAGATCTCAAAGACTCCACGCCCCTCTCCGCCCTCTCCATCCCAGGCACCCACAACACCCCAACCCACTACAAGGCCCTCCCCTCCGTCCGCTGCCAAGCCGTGTCCCCCAAAGCGCAACTCGAAAACGGCATCCGCTTCTTCGACATCCGCGTGCAGCCTGAGAACCCCGCCGACCCAGCCAACGACGCCCTCATCCTCGTGCACGGCGTCTTCCCCATCTCCCTAACCGGCACCAAGCACCTCCGCGCCCTCATCACCACCACGCTCGCCTTCCTCGCGGCCAACCCCTCCGAAACGCTCATCATGTCCCTCAAACGCGAAGGCACGGGCGCCTCGACCGACGCCCAGCTCGCCACCATCCTGCACACGCACTACGCCACCTCGCCCGCGCTCTGGTACACGGCGCCGCGCATCCCCACGCTCGGCGCCGCCCGCGGCAAGATCGTCCTCGTGCGCCGCTTCGCCTTACCCCCGGAGCTGCAGGCCCTCAACGACGGCCGCGGCTGGGGGCTCAACGCCGAGAACTGGGCATACAACACGGCGCACGACACGCACGGCGACGTGTGCGTGCAGGACTTCTGCGAGGTGCTCGAGGCCGTCAGCATCGACCGAAAAATCGCGTACACGACCGACCATCTCGCCGCCGCTGCCAGGACGGTGAGCCCGGTTCCGGGCGTCACGACGGATCGGGAGAATCCCGTGCCGCCGGGCCCGCTGTATCTGAATTTCCTGAGTGCGAGTAATTTCTGGCGCACCGGGTGCTGGCCGGAGCGGATTGCGGCGAGGTTGAATCCGGCGGTGACGGGGTATCTGTGTGTGAAGCATGATGTTGGGGGCGAGGGGGATGGGGGCACGGGGGTCGTGGTGTGTGATTGGGTCGGGGAAGGGGGGGATTGGGATTTGGTGAGGTGTATTGTGGGGATGAATCGGAAGATGGAGTGGAAGGAGGCGGAGGGGGGTAGGGAGGGGGAGAGGACCAAGGAGGGAGAGGAAGGCGGAGATTCGTAGAGTTGGAAGGGTGGGTGGGAGTGGGTAGCGTTTTGGTATATATATATATATCATGAGGCTTCATTCATGAGATCACCATTTTCCACTACTAGCTGTCACACTTGCAGATATATGGAGAATACATCCGAAGCGTAGCAAACTTCAATCCCATAGGTCATCCAGTCCTGTACCTACACTATCTCGAATAGGAAACTCCTGGCGGTATCAAGAATGTTAAACCTTGAGTGCCGCAGTGAGAGCCTAACGTGGACCTATTTCCAAGAATTTGATTCAAGCTCAATGTCAAAAGACACGCAACTTAGGCCCAAAACCGCAACCTCATTTCTCAAGGGCCAAGACTGAGGCGCCTGTCCATGATAAGTAGCTTTCACTTAGAAAAAGGACACCGGGAGTACTTCGAATAGGCAAAGCCGCCTGCAACATGTAAGCCTTATTCAGCTAGAAAGTGTCAGACAAGAGTCCAAACAGTGCTATCATTTCAAGCGATTACTATGCAAACCCACAGCCTCCATCCTAACGCCTCCCACCCGAATCATGCAAAAGTACCACCGTCCTTTAGTGAGTACAGGAAACCCCAGCCTGACCACCAAAGACTTGTCCATAGCCCAAACACCTCTGCCACTCACTGCTGCTGCGGCACGGCTCCGTGCTCAAACGCCTCCGGACCCGCATCCATCTCATCGTCCACGTCCTCCTCACTTTCCAACTCCTCATCTTCCTCCTCAAACCCCGTCTCAACTCTCGCCTGTTTTAGCCGATCCTTCATCGACTCGCGCTGCTCCGCCTGCCATCTCCCCAACGCCGCCGCCGCATGCACCCGAAACCCGAACACGCGTGGCTCGTACCGCCGCTGCGTCTTCGGCGGGATGAAGGCCGGATAGACCTGGAAGAGGATGTTGTGAAAAGAGGTGCCAAAATACGCGCCGTCGATGGAGGCGTGGCGCGACGACTTGGGGTTGTAGAGGTCTTCGCACTTGGCGCAGAAGAGCTTTACGGGGGAGGTGTTGGAGACGTCGGACTGCCCCATGGGGAGGAGGGGCTGTTGGTCGCACATGACGCGCGGGCATTTGCCGAAATCGCCTTTTTTGTACTTCTCGAGCTGTTGCCAATTGTCAGCCGTCATCGCTCCTTGTGTGAGAATTTAGGGCGGGTAGGTACCATCTTGGCCAGCCCTCGTGTTGTCACTATATACCGCGCGTGTACTAGGCCGTATAGATGCCTCGCCGACTTCTCGATCGACTCCCGCATGTCGTCGTCGCAGTCGAGGTCGAAAACGTCAGTGACGAGGTCGAGCGCATATTGGTAGTATTGGACTTCGGTGTTTAGGCCCGTGAGGTTGAAGCGGTCGGTGAGGTATTCCTCGTCAATTTCGCAGAAGTACTCGTTGCCTCGGGATGAAATGAACTATGCATATTAGCGTCAGCTAGTGTCTTCTATTGCGTAAGTGGGGGTCCTGGGCATATGGCTCTCCCTATCTAGATCAGTAGCTCGGACAAACCGTTTCTATTGGTGGAGGCTTCTAGGCGTATGAAAGTGTCGTTTTGCTATGGCCGTCCAGTATTCAAGCTCATCCAGACGATTTGGTGCAGCAGTTTGGGCAAGATGTCCTACCAGGTCTGTGAAGCCGACTATCAAACCATGACTCCAGTCCAGGAAGGGTCCATCCAATGCTGCTACAACCTTTGGATGGATAGGGTCGATAGGTCCGGGCGAAGTACTAGAGTGGTACATCGGTTTCGGGGGTTTTTGGTTAGGGTCAAGAGGCTCTTCATCCGGGTCGCTTTCGGCGACAAGGCCTCTGACGGGGTCAACCTCCTGCGCCCTCGGGTCACGGTGTTGTGCGAGTGAGTTGCCCGTGGGCATGCCGCCGGTTTCGTGCGTGTCGGGAAGCGCAGCTGCGCAGTCGGGAGGATCGGCCATGTCTTCTGGGTGTATCGATAGTTTGTCGAGGCGTACAAGGGATCACAGGATTCAATACAATCCAAATACGGGCCCGGGGAAGGATCAAGACAGTGTAAACAATATAGAGAAAGACCTACCCAGTCGCGCCAGTAACTCGTGTAGTCGCTATCGGTCTCGCTGTTGAAGTCGTCCATGATCAAGACTGCTTATATGCCTAGTAGTGAAAATGCAAGAGTGCTCTATAAGTCGTCGAGGCAGCGGGCGGGCATGTTGGGGTATTTGTGGTTGGTGAAATTGAGGGAGGTTTCGTGACGCCTGTTGGCGGGGCTATCGCATGTCTTGGCAGGGCTGAGAACCGCCGAGTGCGGACCGAGATAAGATCTGATTATAGTCAGACTCCAGTCAACTTCAGGCGGAATTGGAAGCCAAAACACACCATCATGAGTTCACAGTTCTACGAAGGAAAGCGCCTTTCTTTCAATAGACAATTGTGTACCGTCCGCTACTACGGAGAAGTAGCCGGCACAAAAGGCGACTGGCTAGGCGTCGAATGGGATGATCCCACGCGTGGAAAGCATAATGGCGAGAATGGCGGCATCAGCTACTTCAAGTGTAATACTAAGCCACTCATTCATATCTCTATCACATACGTCATGAAAAACTGCATGCTAACACCAACTTGCAGGCCTAAGCAAACATCCAACCGCTGGCTCCTTCGTGCGGCCAACACGCGTAGCAGAACCCCCACGCTCCTTCGTGGAAGCACTGCGTCACAAGTACGCGTCTGAAAACTTCGAGGACTCGGACACTGAGATCGTGTACGTACGGACTGACAAGCTTAAGAATGCGCCAGCACGTGACAAGCCCATCAAGATCAGCGGGAAAGAGGTTGAAGAAGTTGGGTTTGATAAGATTAGGAAGCAACTAGCAGATCTGCATGAGCTTAAGATTGTGCTGTTAGATGGCCTGCGCATGTCACGACCTGTGGCCTCTTTGAGGGAAAGGCTAGAGGCTACGGGGGAGACGACGTGGCCCGAAGCTTTGATTGATATCAGAGAGACCTGTCCGAAGATCATCGAATTGGATTTGAGTCGAAACTTGTTTGAGGAATGGCGCGAAGTTGCATCTATCTGTGAGCAACTTGATAAGCTCAGGAGTTTACGCGTGGAGTAAGTTTGTGCTTGTGTTCTAGCCATTTCTAGGCTTGGATTTTATAGCTAACGGTCTATCAGCGGGAACCGGTTCAGAGATATAAGTCTGACGGAACCTGAACGGGATCGATGTATGTCAGCTTTTAAGAACATCAAGGCATTGAAACTAGAAGACACACTCCTATCATGGCATGATGTATGCAGCCCCTGTCCAGTATTGACACATCGACTGAGTAAGTGTTAGATTACTGGGCTCGCCTCTCTGTTCCCGGACCTGACTTCGTTCGTTGCTTCAAGCAACTCTTTCGGCGCCCTTTCGCCAAGCCTCCTACCAAACCACATCACCGAACTGATCCTCGAGGACAATGGCTTCCACAAACTCACGGACCTAGCTCCTCTAACGTCGCTCCCAAACCTCCAGCGCTTATTGCTTAAAGACAACAAGATCTCTGACATTGCATCTCATAGCTCAGAAATCCCCAGGTTCTCCCACACGGTGACAGATGTCGACCTCTCATACAACGAGATTTCCACGTGGAACTTCATAGACCAGCTGCAAGACGTCTTTCCAAGCCTCACTACCCTCCGCATAGCCCACAACCCGCTCTACCAGTCCCTGCAAGCTGCAGACGGAAGGGCGTTGAGCGCCGAGGATGGATACATGCTCACAATTGCGCGGCTAGGTCAACTGAAGATTCTGAACTTCAGCCCCGTAAGCCATACCTCTCCGAACCAGATCGATAACACGTGTTAATCGCTCTCGACGCAGATCACCCCCAAAGAGCGCCTGAACTCGGAGATGTACTATCTCTCTTTGATCGGCAAAGAGCTCTCCGCTGCGCCCGAAGCGAAAGCCGAGTCCGTCATAGCAACACACAGGCGCTATGCGGAGCTATGCGAGGAGTACGGCGAGCCGAGCGTGTCGCGCTCCTCGTCGTCTATCAATCCAAACTCACTCGCAGCCCGGCTCATCCGGTTCACCTTCCACTTAGGCGCATCCGCGAAACCAGCGGTAAAAGAGGGAACTCCGACTACCTTTGTAGCGGAAATACCAATGACCTTCAGCGTGTACAGTGCGTTGGGGATCGTAGGGAAGCGGTTTGGGCTCCCACCGATGAAGCTGAGACTCTTCTGGGAGACGGGCGACTGGGTTGTAGCTGGAAAGGATTCGTCGCTGGAGCCTGATATGTGGGACTCGGATAGTGATGGTGGCGATGAAGGTGCGTACATTGGTTCGGAGCACATCTGTAGAGAGGTTGAGCTGGTGGCCGGCACTAGGGTTGTCGGGACGTGGGTTGATGGCGTGGAGGCGAATGTAAGAGTAGAGCTGAGGTAGATGAGAAGCGATGGCCAGACGGTTTCAAGACGAATTAATTCGCGACTCGACGAAAAGATGGTGAGTTGCCCATCCTGCCCATTGTGAAGGCTTCTCTTTGCAGCTCGCGTGTCTTCGACATGATAAGGCGTCTCTGCTTTCCATGCCGCATCCTGCCTTCAGGAGTTTCATTTTAGCCCCGTGATACGTAGGTTCTCTTTCTAAAACAAAAGAAAAGCTCTATAAGGTGTGAACTCTCTCGAACGCCCTAAAGTTAATTTCTGGGGTGGTGAATAGGGAAGATCACGTGACCGAAAGAGAAAAAAAATGGCAAAAAGGAGGCACATGGGTAGCTTTGGGCCATCTGAGCCATTGGGCATGATCCCTTTATACTAGCCCACCTAAATTATTCTACTTATAACCTGAAGTAATTAATCATGATATTTCGTTCCCTAGCTTCTTCCTATCGGCCTTTCACTTAGCATCACAGCATTTCTGGCTGGTTTCACCAGGCTCGAGCTCGAAGCACCTAGACAGAAGTTTGGGAACTCCTTGCAATTGTTAAGGTTGCCCCGATTGAACTTCCCGATCCGTTCCTCGCATCGCTTCAGCATTTCTTTGGAGATTCGTATTTCTTCTTCCAAATCGTCTCCTCGCATCTTTTGAGCTCGTAACGCCAAAAGTGAGAGCAATTCCCCATGCTGCAAACGGCCTATGTCGTGGGCTGCCTCACCCTCCCGAATATTGCACACCAAATCAACCAAATGCTGTACACCTATAAACTTTTCCGCTACCATAGACTACATATCTACTCATTTCCCCCCTCCTCCACCATCCCTCACATGCCAGCCCCGCTTCCACTAGTGCACCCCAGTCCAGTCTATCATGATAAATGTAGTATGCAGTACATATCACACAAGCTAATTCAAAAGAATTCCGCCCACTTCGACCACATGTCTTTCCCCCTCCCATTTCCCTTCCCTCCCCCCTTTTTCTACTGGAACACCCCACCCTCTGTCCACTTCCCCCTAGCCTTCTCTTTATACTCATCCTTTACCCCCTTCTCACTTCCCCACTCCGCTAATAACGCCAGCCCCTTTTTCGCCTCCTCAAACGAGATGTCCGGCAGGTCGAGCGTAGCTAGCAAATCTTTTTCATTCTGCGCCTTCGAGGCTGGGTCGAGGAGGTAGCGAGCTTTCAATCCCGCGTGCAGGGCGGGAGGAGACTCGGAGTGGGATTTTAAGAAGGCGTCGTTGAAGGCAGGGAGGGGTTGGGAAGCCGGGATGAGGGTGAACTGGGCGGTTATGACCTCGGAGACTTTGGGGGGAAGAGAGGCGGCTGAGTTGTCGACTATGGAGATGTTAGTTTATGTAAGAGGGTGAGGGTAAAGGGGGGATGGAAGCTTACGGGCATGGCGGAAACGGATAGCTTGCTCGTGGAGAGTAGGGTTTTCGGGGTCCAGTGATGTGGTTGCGAGGAGGCATTTTAGGGCTAGTAGGAGTTTGTCTGCGCTAGTGGGTTAGCAAAGTTATATCACACTGGTAAGGAGGCGACTCACTTCTCCTGATGAAGACCTCAAAGCCCAAAATCTGTGCCTCCACATTCTTAGGGCTGAACTCAAGGAGCGGCGTCAAGAACTTCATCGCGTCCTCCAGTGGCTGCTTTGTCTGGATGAGCTTCTCCCCCTTCGGATCTGGGTCTTCCTTCTTTGGCTCGCCATCTGCGCCTGTCGGTGGTTTCTTCGCCGCAGCAGCCTTCTTCTCAGCCGCCTCCTTCTCTAGCTTCTCCTGCTCCTTTCTCGCTTTCTTTGCAGCCTTCTTTCTCTCAGCTGGATCCAGGTTTTCCTCATTCTCTTTCTTATTCGCCAATGATGGGTCGTCGGCGAGGAGTATGAATATCCGCACCGCGGAGACGGCTGCCCTGGTGAACATTGGATGTTGTCGTAGGTGGTCTTCCCATTTGATCATGTCCACGTATGCCCTGATCTGTCCTTTCCGCAAAGAGAAGCTGTGGAAATCGAATTGGTCGTCTTGCCAAATGTCAAAAATGTCGTAGATGGAATTAAATCGCTTCAATGCGAGGCCAAGATTGCGCTGTCGTAGGTAGGATTCACCGTCCTCGGTTATGTACCACATGCATTGCATGTCATGGAGATCTCCAAGTGGGCCACCGTGGGTCTCATTCCGCGTGAACTTGCTCATGGTTTTCAATGCTGCTTCGTTCTGGTCGGCGCGGAGTTGGTATTTGGCGGACTTCGTGTTGATGTAACGGTCCTTTTCGTCCAGCTGTCGGGCATGCTCCATGGTTTCGGTGGCCTTATTGGTGTTGCCAAGGTGCTTCCATATCCGGGCCTTGGTCATGTTGTAGTCCACAGATTTTGGGTTCAACTCGAGCGCCTTGTCTATATACTCCGTGGCTTTCTTTAAGTCGCGGCTGAGATGGTAGTTGTAGTGTTGTGCAAGGAAGTATAGTACGGATTGGTCGAAACGCTCCGAAACTTCTCCGTTAGTCGACGCATCTGCCGATCCGTTTACCTTTTTCTCAGATGTATACCCAGTCACGAGTTCTTCTATTGTCGCTTTCTTCGATGGATCCGCGTACAAAGCTTTAATGTTGGGAAATGTCGAGGGGACGCCTTTGTTGAACATCCGTCGTAGGTATGGGTCGACTGCTGCTTTGAACTCATCCCCTGCAACCATAAGCAAATGCCAAAAGTTTAATTGGACAGTACCTACCTTCTAGGAAGTCCAGCGGTATCCTTCTGGCGGCATCTAAACGCTCAAACTTCGCTGCGTACTCTTCATAAAGCCCCTTGAGCTTTGACCGCGACTCCTCGCTCGACCTGTCCAGCTGCATAGCGCGTTCTAGCCCATCGTAGTATTCCCGGTACTCGTTGTTCCTGTCTATTAACGCGCGGTACGCCTTCTCGGCCTCCTCGTACCTCTCCAGTTTCAGCAAGTACTCGGCGCGCAACTCCATGACAGCAGTCCGGTCCAGATTGATCTTGTAGAGACTCTCCAAGTGGTCCAACGCCCGTTTCACATCTCCCAATTCCGCTATAATTGTGTTCTTGTACAGCGACGCTTCCGAGTGCTCAATGTCCGTCTTAGGCGGTGTGCTCTTCAAAGTGCCTTCGTATGTGACCAGTATATTCTCCGCCTCTTTCAGATCGCCAGCGAGGTGGTACGCCACCGCCAACCCAGTCCAATTCTGCCGTTGTTGTGACCGCGTCTTCAACATCAGCGTCCTGCTCTGAATATAGCCCTGGTAGTCCCGCATCTGCACCTGCAGCAGCGCCAGATCCCGCAGGATATTGTTGGAGTCCGGCTCAATCTTCAGTGCAAATTTGTACGCCTTGATTGCCTCCTCGTAGTTCTTCACGGAGCGGTAGAGCAAGCCGTAGACATGCCAGCAAACATGGGACCGCATGTCATTCTTGAGAGCAATTTTGGCGAGCGCAAACGCCTCGTCGGCTTGGCCTTGGGAATTCAGGATGAGGGCTTTCATGGCTTGGGTGTCGCCATGGTTGGGGTGTTTGCGCAGGATCTGTTCTGCGGCCTTGAGTCCTAGGAAAGTGAGCTTTGGATTCTGGAAGCAGAAGAAGAGCCGTACCCTTCTTGTATTGTTTGGACTCATAATTCTTCACGACTGAACGGAAGAGAGAATTCTCCTTGGAAGCCAATGGCTGAGGCATGGCGGCGGATAGCTCTTCAGCTTGCTGTCGAGGTCGTGCGTCTCTGCAAGAAAATATTTAGGTGACGCAGAATTACAAACGATCCGAGAAGCTGGGCAGGTAGGAGCAGAGGGTCATGTCAGAGCTGGTCGCATGTTGTAGATATTCGGGAGAGGTCTAGTAGCAAGTAGGATACAGTGTTCGTACTCGGTGGTGGGTGAATGTGGGTTGGCTGCTCGGACGTACTTGTGGTCCGCCGAAATGTAACCGACCGTAATGCCTCAGGCCGCAATAAAGTGAGGAAGTCGAAATAAGATCTTCAGGTTGCACTCTAGTTGATTCAATTGAGACAGTGCCACAAAGACACGACCATTTTACTATTTACGATGCTACTGAAATTTTGCCCACTACCAACGAAATATAGAACAGGACTCCAGCTTTTAGTTGCAATGAATATCCCAAAGTCATTGCAGAGGCAGTTGAATACCCGCAAAACGCCACTATGCAGTTTTCGTAACTTCGTGCTTTCATGTTGAATCTGTGCGTTTGCACCTATGCTGGAGCATCGAGTTTTGGTACCCCGAACCCCTCGAGTCCTCTTGCTTGAACACTTTCGAAGACACAGGACGTCGACTACGAGCTCTTTTTCCCCGAAGCTCGCTCGCGCTCCCTCTTGGCATAGATCTCCGTAGTAAACGGGCTAGAGAGAACCACAGTTAGCACTCGATGTCAAGAGCTTGACCCCAATGGCAAAACTCACTCCTCAAACTGCCTCGCAACTGTATACGCCGCCCACACCAATCCCGTCAGCGCCACACCAGCCGGCCTCCCCGCCCACAACGCCGTCGCAAGGAACGACATCGTCGAGCCATGATACATAGGCGCGTCCGTAACGTTGAACGGGAAAGACGTGACAGGCGCGTCCATGAGAATGCCAAAGTAGTCTCCGAGGTATGTGCCTGTCACGCCGAGCGCCCACATCGAGGAGAGGACGAGAACATTTCCGGAGAGGAAAAGGCCGTATGAGAAGGCTTTTACGGTAGAGTTGTCGAGGAGGGGATGGACTGGTTGTGCTTGGAGGGTGAAGTGGTAGCTATGTCATGCGTTAGTAGACCGAGCTTTGGGGGAGTGTTGAGATGCGGAAGACGGGTTGCGTTTGCTAGACGTACATGAGATCACGGATTATCCCTAGAGAGAATATCGTAACAGCCAGGGCGTAGCAACCATGTAGAGAGTTTCCGCCGAAGAGCTTCGTAATGGCCTTATTGTGGTATTCTAAAGCCGCACGAAGGCATCGTGTCAGAAAGAGGGTTGGGTGCTTGTGGGAATCGTCGAGAGAGGTCTACCTTGGCGAGCTGCGATGCTACGTGTAGAGTTAGCCCAGCGTTTAAGAAATGGGCTGGAGGAGAGTGCCGTACTTCCAGAAGGTCGGATTGAACACAATTGAAGCGACCGCAGCTATTGTAGGGATTAGATCACAGCAGACTTCATGAGATTCAGCTAGCGCCTACCCCACAATGTCGGCTGGCTGTAGTCGATGAGGGCTGCCATTCTGTGGAATGGTGAGCGGAGGGTTGAAGAGAGCGGAATCGTTCAAAAGGGTCGAGAAGACGGAGGGAAGCATATAAGTTAGGTGGGGAGTTGTTTTACTGGCGAAGCGAGCGACGTCACATTGGGCAAGCGGCCTTTGGAGCACATGATGGGTTGACAGGCGGGAATAAAAGCACGTGCAAAAGACAAACAAATGGGCAATTCCCGATTACTATTGCGACTTAGTGCATTTGTATATATCAGCAATTTTAGTCTCCTGAATCCATCTACCCTGCACTCAGCAGCTCTCTCTGTCCAACATCATCTATTCTACAGCCCGTTTGTCGCACAAGAAAACGGTCCTCCGAATCCAGTAGTCTCGTACCCATCAATAATAGCCTGCACAGAAGCCTGCAAGTTTTGAGTTAGCGGTGAAGACGAAAGTGAGTCGGAGGGAGCTTACATATGTGCCAGCAGTCAGGAAGAAGAACCCAATTATGATAATAATGATGTTGGAAACAAGCCCAACATATCCCTTCCATCCACGGCCCACCCAGAACCGGGCTCCATGCTCCGCACGGCGCATGCGGATGTAGGCCACGCCCCAGAAGATGAATCCAAAGAAGGAGTCAAAGAGGGAGCTCATCAGAGACAGAAGATAAGAGAAGAACGGGATGACTTCTGCAATGATGAAGGCGAAGATCCAGGTCACAGCCAAGATGCCGACCCAAGAAGCCCATCCAACGGCGGTGTGACTGCCATAGTGCTTCGTGTTCTTGAAGATGGAGAAGAAGACGAATCGGGAAGACACGGAGGCGTACAGAACACCCAGGAAGATCAAGGTCGGAATCATGAAAGAGAACGAGATCTTGAGATATGGCTCCTCTAGGGACCCGAACGCAGGCGCCGTGTTGTAGTTCGTTCCGGTGTAAGCGTACACAATGGAACCGACCAGGCTGAAGACGATAATTTCGGCGATGGTGACGGCCCACAGAGCCTTGGGGAAGTCCTTGGGCTCCTTCATTTCGGCAATGAAGCTGGGAATCGTGATCTGGCCAATGAAGGTGTAACTGATGTTCATGAACGCATTCATGCCAGCGACGAAGGTAGTTCCGGCGGCCGGGACAGCCAGGACTACGGGCTCGCCAAATTTGGGATAGCCTGCCGGATGGGCTTCGATTCCAGCAAAAATGGTCGCCAACAAGACGGACAGGAATGTCGTAAAGGCCGACAGCGTTGCGATTTTAGAAAGAGTGTCGAAAGTTCTGGGCAGCGAGCAGATCAACGAGATGCAAGCCACGATTGCGGAGAAGCCAATGGTGCAAACACTGTTGTTCGTCATGGTGTTGAGATATTTCGCGCCAACAAGGCAGTGGAAACCCTGGATGAAGGTGTTGTTGAGGATGAACATGACGGCGGTGAACCACCATGCGATATCGCTATTCCAGAAGATGATCTTTCCAACATCGCAGACGTCCTTTACATTCGGATGGCGGAGGCAGAATTCCCTTTTTTCACATGAGCGCTTATTCTGGTGCCATAGGGCCAGCGAGGTCTTACCAAACGACGAGGGAGGTGTACAGCACCAAGGCGGCCACCACAACGGTCAGAATCAAGCCAGGTACCAGACCCAGAACTGAGTACGAGTACGGGAACGACATGATGGCCAAGCAGATATACTCGGAGAAGAGCAGGGCAGCAGTCTAGTGGTTACATGAGTATTATTTTCTCGCAAAGGGCATGTCTCCGGCAAAGACACGGCCACAACATACTTTTTGCCAGCTGCAAGTCCTGTACTTGATGGCGTTCTCGGCCTCCATCTCAATCTGCTTGCCGACATCGAAGCTAGCGTTGTCGCTGTCCTCCGGGAGCAGGCTTGCGCGGCGAGGCCCACCAGCACTTTCAACGTCATAGCCGTCTTTCAGATCTGGAGAGTCGCGAGAGTAGTCTTTTTCGCCAAGGTCAGCCTTGCTGGCCTTTTTCTTGGTTCCAAAGCCTAACGCCATTTTACCGAGCGGATGCTCTGCTTGAGGGGGGTGTAATAAAAGGGACGACGAGAATTGGCCACGGAGAGCATTAACCACCTGATTTCGAGTTGGCGACGGTGGAGGGTGGGTTAACGAGGATTTCCACTCGTGTGAGGGCTGGGGGTTGCGAGCTTCGAGGTGTCGAAGAGCCGTGAGACGTAGTGCGCGCGGCGGAGAGAGAGCGGGCTTTATGAACGAAGATCAATGGGTGTAGTGAAAGTCCGTTTGCGTTCCAAGGCGGGCTAGTCAAGGCAGGATTTGCTCATGTATGGGTCCGCAGGGGCCACAACTTGGACCAACGGTGTTGGCTTTTGTCACGGTACGTTTCGAACGCTGTGCTGTGGTTGAGTTGTCCTGCAACGCCCGAACATTGCACAATGACGCCGGTTCCGCGTTCTCGTTCTCCCAACGTGCGGCGAAGGGCGCTCTGCGGTGACTTGTTGGAGTCTCTCCATCTTTGTCGACAGATCTGGCGCCAGAAGCGGCGGGAGAACAAAGGCGTGAGGCGTCGGAGAGTCCGGACGGGAAGAAACGCCCCATGCCATGATTCCTCCCGCGCCGCGTACCAAGGCACGAGAGGATAGACGCTCCCACGACCGGCAGGGTTCGCCATCCTGGAGGCGTTCTTGTTGCTACGCATCCAGGAATCCTGCGCGCAGATTGGCTAACCCGCGTGAGATGCTACGGTGCATAACGCGGGCGTCGCATTGCAATCACGATCACAATCAATGGATAGGCACGGCCACGGCCCCGGGGCGTTGAGGCTAGCAGCCACCCGATTCTCGATCCGATGGCGATCTGCGGGGAGCGGCACCAAGCACTCGGCAGGGCTTGACGTTCTTGTGAAGCTTCGCAGATATGTTGCTGCGAAAAGCGAAGCGAATGGAGTCGTTTAATCTCTCATCCTGCCCGCCATGCTGCGAACCACCCGCGCGGTACTTGCGCGCTCTTTAAGACTATTTCCCACATGTTTTGAACACGAGGTTTCACACCCTGGAGGACACCCATGTGCCGCCGAATCCTGGAGATTACTGGGCAATATTCCGTACAGTACATCACTGCCGTCCACGCCCAGATTTGCGGCCCAGCCGGTAAGGCTTAGCACGCTCCACGCCATTCTGCGCGCCGATGGCATCATTGCTATTACCCAATCCCATATTAGCGAAAACCACCCAGGCTCTGTGAAAAAGAAACCTGAGGTGCTGCTGTGTCACGGGTGGCGTGCCTGTCGCGACATGTCTTGTCTTTGTTGCAACGCGATACGTAACACGACGGCCATGGGAAAGGCACTTGCACAGTCTTCCTTGGCCATTCATCGGATAGACGGCGTCCGGAAGGCTTGGATAAGGTTATTGTGGCCCATCTACGGCGTTCAACATATTCTATTCTTTAGTGCTTCGAGACGTTTCCGGACTTTTCCTTTGCTAAGCACACTATTAGACGAATTCATGATTCATTACGCACGCAACATTAGGCCAAAGAAAACTCCGGCTTACGGATGAAGTTCACAAGCGCTTTCATCCAAAGCTTGGAGATATGATTAATTCTTTTTACCCAGAATCCGCACGACATTCGTCCGTGCTACTGATGGGGGACAGACTCCCGCAGGCCTTGATTCGAGAGGTTTAAGGGCGTGAAATCTCGAAAAGCTTAAATGTCGAACAGCATCACCTCACCATTACGACGAAATAGGGCTATAGAAGGGTTACAATTGTGGCAGCATAAGGGCCTTGGCCCGGGGCTTTCGCGAATATAGAACTTTTACCGCGCGTGATATAACGATGTGGAGAGACGATCATTACACAGAAGCAAGAAGCTCCCAGGCTTATTTTGTGAAGTATGCATTACATCGATAAGAAACTAGTGATACAGCATTCCAAATGCGCCACGCTGAAGAACGAAGAAAGCCTAAATGTTAGAGATGCAGCAGCAAAGATAGTACGAGAAGCTATATTGTACAGGCTTAATGTGTATTGAGAAACCTTCGGTAGAATCATCACCTTTCGCAGTGTTTATCTTTCTTATCACCATCCTCTTGAACAGCGCAGTCTTCACCGCACTGTCCAAAATGCACTGGATAAGTTGGTCCTCGAAGTTTCGTCGTGTCCTCCAGTGTTGGTGGGTGCACCCATGTAGTCTCGGTGCGTTCGAGCCCCTCGGGTGTCATATATTTCTTCTGATCATGACCGTCTAGGTCAAGACCAGTGAGTGGTTGGGTTCCGTTTGGCGGCCGGCCATTATGGGTGACGGTCGAGCGCTTCTCTGCAATGAACCATCTCTGGTTGTCGCCAGTACATTCCGGAAGTTCATCTTCCGATACCTCCACCAATTTTTGGCCGCTGGAATCTGGAACGAAGTGTCGGGCAGGAAGGACCTCAAACTCTAGAACGGGCTGTATTCGATGCAAATAGGTGTGGTTGTGGATTTCTCGGTGGATCTGCTCCTCACGAATATGGTGACGATGGGGAATAACGGTCTCATGAGTGACAGCTAGAAAAAAGTGTCAGCGCTAACTACACTAAGGGTTATTGGATTTGAAATACCTGGCGCCCAACGTTCATGCACTTCTGTGTCTGCGGTGTTAGTAAGATCGACAACACCGTCCAGCGATGGTGGTTCTGCGTGAGCGTTCACGGCCCCCCCTTCTTCCATTGACCCATCTAATGCAGCTTGCCATCCCGCCGACCCGAGTCCTGACCCCACTGGCTTTCTTCGCAGTGACATTGAGTCTCGATTCGATATTTGCGACGTCGGTGAACTGCTGAGAGCCCCTATCGATGACCGGTGGTGTCCCGATGGTTGATATCCGCCCAGGCCATCCGCAGCAGGGAGAACATGCCGGTCATGTTCATTCGTGTCGAAAGAACGCTGGTCCTTCTCCTCTTTCATTTTCTCTCCCTTTGTCCTCCGAGTGTTGCGTTGTTTCTCTCCCAGCACACCCCGATTATTGATAGCTGTAGCTTGATTGCTTCTAGCTCCGGGGTTATGGTCTGCGACATCTGCACTGTATTCTTGCGAGCCAGGACTTGTCATTAAGCGGTCATCGTCTCCGAGTGAAATGTGCCTGAGGTCGCTTGAAAGTTCTTCGACAGAACGGTGTGGAGGAAGGTAGCCATTCTCATGACTGGCTGTGGCACCCTTCCCGTTCAGCTCTGTAGAGCGCGTGCGGGCCTCGTCGTGAGGAGGTTGTCGAGGAGACGCATCTTGACGAGAATCAACGGTGGTAGATGCACGAGGCGATGTATTCGGAGTCGTAAAGGATGAATCGGATCCTGACGATGACTGAGCCCGGTCACTCTTGAATTTCCTTCGAAGCAGAGTTTTAATCTTTTTGATATCCATGTGGGATGTTGACCACGACAGAAAAACAAAGTAACAATGAGAGACGCAACAATAGGATGGAGGGAGCTGCGGAACTGTACAGTAGAGGGGCTATTACTGCGATAGTGCACACGGAGTCTTTGCTACTCGCAAATCAAGTTTCAGATAGCTTTCGAAGGTCAGGTTACTGCACTGCCGATCTAGTAATCAATAATGAATCGCAAAATACTGCTCAGACTGCTTTCAGGACCGGTGCCTGATGCTCACGAGTACAAGACGGCACATCGCCCACTGTTCCCGCTGTCAAATTGACAAGCGAAGGCAAATGCGTGCAGTTTTCACGCCGATTCGGCATTGTGACGTCGGAGCAGACGATTTGGCGCTCTGGCCGCATCTGATATCAAGCCACCTAGGGCTTGGTTGAGGAGTCTAAAAGTCTTGTCACCCAGATCTGATGTGGGTCAGAGAAGCCGCTGCTCAAGCGTTGCCGCATTCTGGGGCTCGAGTCTTGAAAACTTGATTTCAGTATGCTAGCAGACGATACATGATGCAATTCGCGTAGATTATTGCTGGTACAGTATCAGAAGTTATGGCTGAAGGAGGTAAAGCGTTTGTTGAAAAGGAGAAGGCCCGGTCCAATAGCAAGCAAGTAGTCACGTGTCAAAATGGATGACGAGGTTGCACGTCGACTCGCATCGACAACACGCCTCGATCACCATATTACAGCTCATTTGCCTCTTCGTCCTGGTCTATGATCATAGTTCCCGCTGCCCCGCATTGGGCCCACGCTCAACTCTCGGCGAGCACTTGGATGCGTTAGAACGGCCTAGAGCCTGTACAGCCATGCGCGTCACATCTCAATTGAAAGAATTCAACAACCTAATGCGGCCCAAAACGCTTAACGATATACCGCAGAATACCCTCATCCAATCGCCCCCCTCCTCCTACCCGCGGAGAAACCGCGCGATCGCTCTACGCCATTGACTTGACGTAGTTTTTTACCCCACCACGGTGACCTCCAACCGTTCATCGCCACACATGCCTCTCGTTGTGCCGTGGCGCTCGATTATGGCGCCTTCTATGCCGTATGATGCGGGAGATATCCGCTTGCTGTTAATCGGGTAGGCATGACGTCGTTTAGTATACTACGATTCTATGTCTCCTCTCCTGCTTAAAAGCTGTAATCAATCGCAACATTATTGTATGAACAACATCATTTCTATATTCTGACACAAACACAACTCAATTTCAATTAACATCATACTTCCTAATCATCACAATGGATAAAGCTAAGGCCGCTGTCTCCGACTTCATGTCCAAGGCTGGAAAGCATGATACAACTGTGCACGAACGTGTGGCTCCTGCTGTTACCGACGAAACAGTCAATTCCCATCGCCATGAGAATGTAACTACTGCGGTCGACAAAGAGGTTCACCAGGTATGTGCGGAAAGCTACGACCTAGCATGGATATTCCAGCTAACGAGGTATAGGATCATTACCATCACTCGGTACAGCCGGTGAAGGACCGTGAAGTTCTCCCTGAGCAGCACAGCCATCAGCTCGGCAATGTTGAGCACCGCCAGTTTGAGCATGGAAACCAGCGCGATGTTACCTCAAGACTGGAGCAGGAAGCTGCTCAGTTCAAGGATCAGCGCACTGTTGGTCAGACGAAGGAAACTCAAGCCGTGAAGCCTACCGTACAGGGAGAGCATGTGCATCACCATGTTCACGAGACTATCCAACCTGTGGTACAAAAAGAGACCATCCAACCCTCGGTTGTTCACACCACTGTCCCGATCCACGAAGTCCACCACAATGCCGCTCAACATCACAGCGCATCGGCGCTCCCCGCCGTGAGCATGTCGGACTTCAAGAAGCAGGGAGGCGTCCTAGGTGGACGTGAGGAACGCTATGATGGCTTCGAGGGTGAGCCCCGAGCTATCGGTGGCGCTCTTGGTGGTGGCCGAGGCCACGGCCACGTTGGAGAACATCACGGAGAGCACCATTCTCACCACTCTGGCGCCACTGCCGGTCAGCACAACTCTGGCCTGGCTAACAAGACCGATCCTCGTGTGGACAGCGACTTGGATGGTAGCCGGACTGTGGGCTCAAACACCCAGGGTACCACCGGTAATACTCTCGGCGGGCGCAACGACAACACTCTAGGCGGGCGCAATGACAACACTCTCGGCGGACGGGATGACAACACTCTCGGTTCGCGTAACGACAACACTCTCGGATCGCGTAACGACAACACTCTCGGATCGCGCAACGACAACACTCTAGGCGGGCGCAATGACAACACTCTCGGCGGACGGAATGACAACACTCTCGGTTCGCGTAACGACAACACTCTCGGATCGCGTAACGACAACACTCTCGGATCGCGCAACGACAACACTCTAGGCGGGCGCAATGACAACACTCTCGGCGGACGGAATGACAACACTCTCGGTTCGCGTAACGACAACACTCTCGGTTCGCGTAACGACAACACTCTCGGATCGCGCAACGACGACACTCTTGGCTCGCGCAATGACTCTCGCTCTGCTGGCACCTCCGGCAACACCACTGGTGCGAAGCCCAGCCTGATGGACAAGGTGAACCCTAAGGTGGACGCGAATGGAGATGGAAAGGCCGGTTTCATGAAGTAAATCCGCGGATCTACCTTGGGCCACGGCATGATTGTATCACGATTATTGACCATTATCTTGTGATATGATATAACTTCAAAATTAGGCAATATGTATTATAGCTTCTAATTTTTTTTCTACTATACACCATGCGAAACATTACATGCAATATGAACACGCTAAGTAAATCACGTCTCATAATTTGGTTGAGACATGATATGCATCAGCATTATTTTTCCGTTTTAGCATTTACACTGACTACTACATTCACCAATCGCGAAGGTTGTTTGTTTGACCTTCAGAGTACTACAAAACTCTCGGCAGTTTGAGGTACAGGAAGGAAGAGAGGCTCCGGTAGGTATCATGCATCAACATTGATGTTAAGCCAGGTATGCGGGCAAGTGACAGGCCCAGAAAAGTCAATTCGTAGCACTCCTGAGCGTACAGTCCCCCAGCACAGTGGCCACGTACAGTCTCGCGACACAGCACAACCACGCTTCAGGAGTAACTTATGAGTGCCAATTCTAGCGATAGACTAGGACAGGCCAAAAGAAAATTCCTAGCCTCGTAGAATCTTAGTACTTATAGAGAGCTAAGAAGGTAGGAGTTTTTGCATGTGTCGCGAGTGAGGGCCACCCCTATCATCGTACCTTCTCCGGCCCCCCGGCACCTCTGACGCTCCGATTCTAGAACTATCCTAGACGCATTTACGGGTTCTGAAGATCTTAGTGGGTCCTAGCTGCGCAAGCAGAGAGACACGAGGAGGCGTGGCAACTGGCGTAGGTCAAAGTTTTCGGGTTTCGACTTAAGCGAGCGATGTGATGAAAAGTACGTCGATTATGATGGAATGAACGCGCACTACGAGACCGACAGTATTGAAGAACTGTAGTGCTCCGCGACCGAAAGGCAGCGTGGCAGGGCAATTTATACAGCCTATTTCTCTAGTGCCTCCTGAAAGCGCTAAGCAAGTGAGGCTGACTCATCAGCACGCGATGTGTCTGATCTGGTAGCTTGGCATGGTGCCTTGAAGACTTCTCCGCCGTAATCTTACTCCCCGCCTCCGCTCCGCTCTTGGCATTCTACTTCGCACTCTTTTCCGAGGGCAGTTGCTTGCCCCACTCTTATCATATGTTGTAGCTGCGAGACTAGCAGCTGCCGGCGTGGTCCAACGATAACAACGCCGATCTGCAGCTAGTGGCGTCAAGCCCGATAGCCAGGCTCGAGAAGTCCCGTGGCGCACCGTTTCTATAATTGAATCGCCATGCATGCAGAGGACATGGACGCCATGTAACGACAAGCGGCAGGCTCGAGCTAGTCTGGGCTCGTCATTACTGTCTGGCCTGCAAGGCCCTTGGTGGTAGCTCGAAACGGAGCGTCTTTGAATCCACGGTAGACTCGCGGGTGTGCCTTGTGCCTGGTGCTGGTGCTGTGTCTCAACCATGGTCTCACTCATGCACTGGATGTAAGCTGAAATGCTCTCTCACGGTACCTCGTGCCTGTACATATGTACTTCCTCAATGGGAAAGGTGTCAGGTGAGTGGAACTCCCCTCGGCTCTCTCCCTCTCTCTCTCTAGCTCGACGATGCATTCCCACTCGCTTCAGCAACTGCGCCCCCAATGACTTGCTGTTTCCGGCCATGTGGATAGACAAACCATTGGCGTCTGACCGGACTGCAAGGCGAGGGAGGGGCGAGTCAGGTTTTGAGTTATGCCGCGCCGCACTCCTGCAGAACGGTGAGTCGAGCAGAAAGCAAGGCTCTTGCCGGCTGCAGAAAATCTACTGGTGGGCTTATTGTCGCGCAGCTGACCTGGTCCTGGCAGTGGTGAGCATGAGTTAGCGAGCTTACGGGCGCCTGACAGGTTCCCTCCCACCGCCCTCGCAGCTTGCAGGTCTACCTCGGACGAATGAAGTTGTTGTAAGCAGTGCTCCGCAACAGCCGTTGGGTGTTGCACTCACGATGCACGTTTAGACGAGAAATAGATCGACTGACTCCAAATCGATCATCCTTTTCTAATCGTAAATCAACGGCACGAGCCTCTGATTGTCGTGCTAGACAAGTCACCACGAAAACAGGAACAAAGCTTAGTCGCCCATCCCAGCTCCGCTCAAACTCAAACCCCAAGCTCGAACTCGGCTCCGATCACCTCATCACGAAATCCACTACCCACGCCTCCATCGCCCGCCCAAAAGCCACCGAACCCTCGTATGCCACCGGCATCACCACACGGAAAGCGGGGCAAAACGGCTCCCATCGCGCCATACGATTGGCGACCGACCCAGATCCCTGGCGCTGCGGCGTGCAAGGCTGAGCCAGGGTAGGCCTGCTGGCGCCGGACTTTGGTGCGGGGAGCCCGCCAACACAAGCGGGAAGAGACGAGGGTGGCGGCAGGGGAAGGGAGGCTCCGAGGGGCCGTGATTGGGCGGGCTTTTATCGATTTCTCCCGCCGTGCGTTGGGACGGCATGACAGCGATGCACTGATGGATGTGATGCGTGAGGCGTGCGTGAGGGCTGAAGGTGGCAGTGCGGGGTTGGAGGTGTCACGTCCAAAAAAAAATGTGGGCGTGCAGAGTGCAGTTGTGGGGAAAAGGTGAGGAAGTTGAAGAATATCGTGAAAAAGTGATATTGGTAATTACAGTTGCGCTTCATTATGTTGCTAGACATTACAGGAGGATTGTTCCTCGCTTTATTCGTAACAGCTTTCGTGAATCACATGTCTCCCGCCCCAATGACCGTGAAAATGCAGGAAAGTTATTAGATGAGAGCTGGAGGTGCTCTACCAGCGGCCTGGGCCCCAGTGGCCGCCGCGTGTTTTGCAGCTGGACACCACAGCAGTCGGAGTTACGGTCGTCGTAAGCGTCCATCTATGTAGAGGATTAGTGCTTGTCATCAAGGGTCGAACGGGAGAGGTTCTTACGTTGCATGGATGGTCTTGGTCGTATAAAGAGTGGTATATGCAATCGTCTTCTTGGTCTTGGTCTTCGTCGGTAGCGTGGTGGTGGAGGTGTAAATGCCCGAGAAGACTGTGGCTGGAGGGAGTGTACTGCAGGTATAATTCAGCGTCGGCTCGATCCTTTTAAAGCTCTCCTAGTACTTACGTTGACGTCACGGTCGTTGTCAAATCCGTCTCGGTGGTGGTGGTGGGAGCCGCCGTGAGTGTCGAAGTCACATTGACAGCAACGCTGTAAGTCACATAGATTGTAGGCGCGTCTGGGGCGCGCTCCTCAACCTGAACAGCAGCACGCTCCTTCAGGTCACGCTTCTTCTGCGCAGCGTCGAATCGGCGGCGAGCCTCCTCGATATTGACAGCGCGTGCAGCGCCGCGCCAGTACCGTCCACCCTTCTTGTTGGGCTTGCCGGTTTCCAGGGCCTTTGGATGGAGCTTGGTGGGCGAGTATGTGCAAGTCTTGTCGGGCCATTGTGGCTTGGGTGGCACTGTGCAGCTCGCGGTTTGGGTCGTCGTTTTGATAGTCTGCGTCCTTGTCCAAGTGAGCTTGTGTCTGGTTACAGTCCAAGTCTGCGTGGTATAGACTGGTGCAGGGGTGATGGTCTTCGTGTAATTAGCTGTGCTAGATGGAAGCGTGTAGGTTGTCGTGGGCCCAAAGGTTGTCGTGTTTGTCACTGTAGACCAAACAGTCGATGTAGAAGTCGGAGTGACTGTGATATTATATGTGACAGTGGGAGTGACGGTAGCGGTGACTTGCGGCCCACAGTCGAGAGTAATATCTGTGCAATGAATTAGCTAAAATGCGTTTCGTCGACATGCTGGGCTTGCGTACCTCTCTCGTAGGCAAAAGGGTCGCCGTCGCCATTGTTGCCCATGACGAGAATAATCCACGGGCCTGAAACCATTTGCGATTTCTTGATTGGACATGTTGCCATCTCCGGTGTGTCGTCGACGTCGGTAGTATCGAGGTCACTGCAGATAATCTCATCGTTGTCCGGCGCATCATCCGGGGGAACGATCATGGTGTTTGCAATATCATCGTTGCATCCTTCGAACTCGGTAACGAAAGTGAAATTATCTTGCGAGTTGGTGTTGATAAAGTAGGAACCGCCGTCCACATAGTCAATTCCAAATGCGTCGCAGACTTCACCAGCCGATGCTAAAGACACAACGGCCGCCAGAGCAGAGAAAACATAACAGCGAATGGAAGGCATGCTGAAACTAAACGAGAGGCCTCGAACGAAAGTAGGCTGCGTGGGACTGCAGGCGACGACGGGGGAGAGGGCTTTATGAAGCTGTGCATGAGCCTTGACATGCCTGTTCCTACCGACAACTTGCAGCTGGAGCTCCCGTGGCCTTGGTCAAACCCCCTCATCCCGGACTCCAAAGCCACAGGGTTGCTGTCAGGCCGGAGCAAATGGCACGTACTCGGTACGAAGATGCTGGAGCGAGGTGGTCTCGCTCGGCCAGCCGCCACCACGGGATAGGACGAGACAACGGCGGCATGCTCAGAGCAGAAGAAGCTACGTGATGACGGCGTTGCAGAAGCATGTTTGCACCGCTACAGCCCTTCGAGACAAGCACGCTGGATGGTGGATGTGCCGGCGGGGGTTGCTGCGGTGGAGCTGCAGGCCCGTATTGAAGGAGAAAGACGATCCTGGCCGATACGAGGTACTGAAGGGGCCGGCGAATCAAGCCGTGCATGCCGAGCAGGGAGCTTGCAGCATGCCTGCGTATTTTTAGCCCATCCGGCCTCAACACCACAAGCCCTGCCCTCACCACTCGTGCCCAGCCGTTATCCGCATCGGCCCAGCAACCCGGCCCCTCTCAGGTGCGGTGAGCCACAGCCGTGACACGGGCACTCTGACTAGACGAGATATCAAGCCATATCCCGCCCTTGGGCCGACACAGCCGCGTGCCAGCTCACACGTCTCCTAGGCGTCTCCACCCCAGGCTTCATCTGTCGTGCTTGGCATCTAGCCCGGGAACCCGTCTCCGCCTGATGCGAGGTCCGCTCGCCGCTGGTTCCGCTATCCCAGGACGGCTTCCTGGTGGCGGCACCAGCCGTCTGGATTCGATATTCGTCGCTTCGAGGATCTGCCGGTAGGTATCTTGGAGCAGCACCCATCGATCGAAATTCCCCGCTCCATCGTCGACCCATGGCTGCTGGGGACGTTTTGGCCATTACAGCAGCAAGAAAAAGTACCATCAACCAGGGACTGCCACATCTTCCTCCAGGACTGTCGAGGGGTCACCCGATGCTGACGCCAAGCCATGAGCGATTACCTCTTAAAGAAACGTCTCTCGAACAATAAGCATCGAGCCTCAAGACGCCTCGAGGCTGACCGGAGGGTGCTCCTATCAGGCTGATACGCAGCCCAGGCATGTGATCACTGGTCGTACGACCAGTCGAAGCTGCAATTTTTCCGGCCCCAAATGCTGAACCCAGGTCAGCCCTACCACTCTATGCGAGCCTCTATCTGTATCTGTCTTATTCCCCTTGTTCGGCTTTTTGAGTAAAGCGACGGTTGTGATTTGTAGAATCTCGCTGTGTGGTGTGTTGTTGAAGCGTAATCGGAGAATTCCTTCCAATTTTGTCTCCACTTTGTTCCACTCCAACTCCACTTCTCGTGATCATTTACTAGTGGTTTGCAGTACTCTTTTCATTCTTTCGTTTTTTCAGCCTCAGACCAGCCCCGATCGCTTTCGTGGTCCTCTCATCAGCATTGTCGTTCTGCAGGTCTCGCTCTCTAGCCTCCAAAAAGCCTCAACTTCTCGTGTTATGCTACGCCGCGTGAAATTTTCTCCGCCCCTACGTCCGAGAGCCTGCTGTAGTCAAACTACCTTGTCTCCCGCGTAAGCGGATCCAATATTTCGTGCATGCAGTCGTCCCCAACCAAGAGTCCCTTATGGCATAAGCAAACTAGATTTTCGGGTAATGACGCTTCTACTCACGATGGGTACCTAGCTTTTATCTTAAGATCCTGACCCTATTGCTGGACTGATCTTCTCAAACCTGGCTACAGCAACCGAGACTCTTGTACTCGCCGCATGACTACCACCTGATATCAAGACATACATACTAAGCAGCCCCATCCGAAGAGCTAGTCCGGAGGATTCCAATGCTACGGCTCCACTCGAATGAGGCTCATGATCTTGATTATCTTTCATTGATTCCCTCCACTGCCAGATCTGTATCCAGGAATAGATCTTGATGCTGGCCTCGCTCCTTGAAACGAGGTCGTGACAAGGATAGGTAAGGCATGTCACCGCCACACCTCAGATCTCTAGGCGGCAATATTTGGGCCCCAAACCACATTCTGGTTACTGGCACTATCCAATCGAGCTTTTCCGGCGCTCTGATCTAAGGCCTTCCATGAAGGTATCCGCAGAATGCGCGATGAATCGGGGACTGACTGCACAGCAAAATGTCAGATCATCGGCATTTCTTTCCTTTCTCTAGTCCCACACGTATGGGGGCATCTTTGCGGTCTACCTATAAGTTCTTATATCTCCTCCGAAAGAAGGCCATTCATAGATCGAGATTAATTAAAGTTCCGACGCAATATTTGCGAAGCAAATAGTGTTTTCTGTCTGCTGTTATTCAATATTTTAATTTGATAATCTCCTCTTCACCATGCTCTTTCATAGCTTGACGTTGCTCAGCTTCGGTCTGCTAGCGTCCACTACTGTCATTCCAACCCAGGTTGAGCGGCAAGAGACCTCTCTCGAGGAGCGTGACTCTGTCTGTACCAATGGCCCTACCACGCGAAGCTGCTGGAGAACTGGATTCAGTATTGCAACGGACTTCGATGATAAGGCACCGCCGGCTGGGCAAACTAGAACTGTAAGCGCTTAAGCGAATCAGAGAGTAAGTAGTTAACCGTCTCAGTACAACTTAGAGATCACCAACACTACCGCTGATCTTGACGGAGCGGGTTCCAAGCTAGCTATGCTGATCAACAATCAGTTCCCCGGCCCCACGATCATAGCTGGTAAATGCCTTCTCAATCTTTCCGTGCTTTACCTACCTATGCTTACTTGAATGTCAAGACTGGGGTGACACCCTTGTCGTCAACGTGAAGAACTCCCTGCAAAACAACGGGACTAGCATACATTGGCACGGCATCCGACAGCTAAATTCGTGCCAGAACGATGGCGTTAACGGAGTAACCGAGTGTCCGATTGCTCCGGGCGAAACGAAGACTTATACCTTCAAAGCCACCCAATTCGGGACAACATGGTATCACTCGCACCATAGCGCTCAGTACGGAGATGGGGTTGTCGGTACAATAATCATCAACGGACCAGCTACTTCAAACTATGACTACGATCTTGGGACCCTGCCCTTCACAGATTTCTACTACTTGCCTGCGTTCGAGCTGAATGAGAGGGCACAGCACTCTCTGACAGGCCCGCCAGAGCCGGACAACATCCTAGTCAACGGGACGATGAAGAACGCAAAGGGTGGGGGCCAGTACTTCAAGATGACGGTAACGAAGGGGAAGAAGTACAGGATTAGGCTCATCAATACCAGCGTTGATTCCTTCCTCCATGTGTCAATGGTAAGTTCAGAAGACTCTAACCAGGAATGTGCGCTGATTCGATCCCAAGGACGGACATCCGTTTACAGTCATTACCTCGGATCTGGTTCCTATCAAGCCCTACACCACAGATCAATTAGCGATCAACATCGGTAAGTCCAAGCAATAGCTCATATCCTTGATCAGCTCACTGATTTCGATATGTAGGGCAACGATACGACGTCATCATCAAGACAGACCAAACCGTAGACAACTACTGGTTTCGAGTCGGGGTTGCAACAGATTGCGGGACCAATGCCATGCTCTCCAGCGGTATTCAGATCGGTGCTATCCTCCACTACGACGGGGCATCGAGTGCCGAGCCAACCACTACCGGAGTCACTCTGAAGACTAGCTGCGCCGACGAGACCGGCCTGACTCCATGGGTCAAGAATACGGTCCCATCCGAACCGCTTCTCAGTTCCATCAAAGAAATCTCCCTCGACTTCAATCAAGACGCCACTCAGGACAACCTCTTCCGATGGCTGATCAACGGATCCGACATGGAAGTCAACTGGGGCAAGCCGACGCTAGAGTACGTCCTTTCTGGGAACACAGATAATAACCCCAAAAGCAACATCTTCGCGATGCCCAACGCCAACGCCGTAAGCCCCTCCATCCCTCTAACAATCAGTACCGGTTAACCAGCGTCCACAGTGGTACTACTGGTGGATCCAAACCACCAGCCTAATCGAGCTCCCGCACCCCATCCACCTCCACGGCCACGACTTCTACCTCGTCGGCCGCGGCGACGACGTCTGGGACGGCACAACGGCCGGCCTGACCTTCGATAACCCCACGCGCCGCGACGTCGCCACGCTGCCGGCCGGCGGCTGGATGATCCTCGCGTTCCCGGCGGATAACCCCGGCGCCTGGGTTATGCATTGCCATATCGCGTGGCATGCGTCGCAGGGGCTGAGCATGCAGTTCCTGGAGCGGGTGGACGAGATCAAGGGCGCGATTGGGGATACAAGTGCTTTTAGTAAGGGCTGTGCGGCGTGGAATAAGTACTGGGATGGCGAGCATCCGTATAATATGACGGATTCTGGGTTGAGATAGACGTCGTATCCGAGGAGTCGGTTGGTGTCTGAGAGTGGAGGCAGGAGTGTATGATGGATTTCTTGTGGTATGATTTCGATGATGGCGTTTTGACTTATGATCTCGAAGGAAAGGGTAATGAGGCGTTCCTCGGAGGTCTGATCGTAAATCGATGGCGTTCTTTTTTGAGTGGGTTGGGCATTGCGTTGGGCGGAGAGATACTGTTTTATAGCATGGTAGTGTCAAAAGTATCACGTTACAGTTGCCAGCGCTCGTTTCCTTTGCATGATTCCCACCTCGTCCCTCAAGATGGCCCATGTCTCGTCGATGGAGACGAAGTTGAAAGTGGTCGGGGGTCAGCGTGCGCTTTTGCGATACATCCACAACAAACTAGACCCTCAGTCGGCCCCCGAAGAAATTCGAGGATGCCGCCGTTTGAGATGATTACTAGACGTGTACATTCGCTCCCCATCCCTCTCTTCCGCCATCCCAATAGCCCCAGAGCCCCATAGCTCAAAAAACAAACTTTCAGGAAGCAAAACACCACCCTCCTCGGGGGAGAGTGTAGAAACCCGGGCGTTTCTCCGTGACGATGGACTTAACGTTTCCGCGCTGCGGCTTTTCAGACGATTCTTCGGGAAACCGCCACAATGTGTCAATTCCTGACAAGGGCTGGACTCGAACTCACAGCCCCTGCAGGTTGGCGTTGGGGTGCGACGTCCCGAAAGGGGATGCTGACTATTTTGCACCGTGGCTAATTACCACTGCGCCCGACCGGCCTGCTGCTCGAATTAGTTGGGGGATGGGCGGTATTAGACGAAATGTATAGGCTTGCTGAGAGGAGGGTTTTTCACGTGTTCTTCTCACGCTTCGCATTGCCAACCGCTGAATCCTCTCTCTCAACCGATATGTACGAAATGCGGACTGATTTCACTCACCCAATGCAAAAATCTAAAAGTGCAAAAACAAGGGATGCGTTCTTCTCACCTAGGACCTATGGCTGCGCAGAGGAAAACATAGTACATTTCTCGCCAAAACAAAGACCAGACTCACCCGTTGCGATGAATACCAACCTCGCTCTGATGTTCAGGAGAACATAGACGTCGAGCTGAACATTTCACGTTCACTCCTCGGCGCCGCGGCTTGCGCGGACCACCTTCACCATCACCATCCATGGTTCCACGCCCGCGAGAATACTCACAACAGCAAGTCTTGGCACTTTAAGTTGCAAAAGTGTGAAGCACAGAGAGCTTTTTCGCGGGCGCATAAACTTCGGCAGCAACGAACCTTTGGTACGATGCTCTTGGCACGTTGGACCTCTTACCTTTGACATTGGGCTATGCCTTGAGATCTTGGATGCGCAAAATGAATTCGGGAACTAGACCGCGGCTTCCCAATGCGGCGGAGTTAGAGGCTAAAATTCAGCGGGCGTGTGTAGATGAAAGCGATAAAGATGACACTAGCTGAAATAGAAATAATGAAACTGGCTGAGATGGGAAATAGTAGTCAAGACGGAGATACGATTTTCGGGCCGCGCCCCGACCAAGTCCCCCAAATTTTCACGCGAAATTAAACGCCTACCTCACTCTCAAATCTAGAAAATCTCACATCTAGGAGACCACGCACATCAACCTAAGAATTCTGCTACAGCCTACCTATAACGATCTTTCTCAATCACATACCCACCCCAGCGTCTCCCGCGCTCCGCACTGCAGCACCGAATACGCCGGGCCCCCTCCTCCGAGCCCACCAAAGCCGCTCGCGTTCAGCGCAAACCACTGCTCCGCTCCCTTACCTTTCTCGCCTTCTACCCGCTTCAGCACATCCAGAAACAGCCGCCTCACGAACAGCGGTGGGATGAAGCCGTGCCAGCGCAGCTTCACTAGATTGCGCACTTCGGTGCCGCTGTGCTCGCCGAACTCAGGCACTTCGTAGCGGCTGAGGTAGGGGTCGATGGAGTCGGAGGCGTGGAGGCGGGGGGAGGATAGGGAGAGGAGGTGCAGATACTCGAGTAGAGATGCCGAGTCGTCGGGGTCGTAGGTATCCGGGAGGTTGGCGGAGGAAAGCACGGGTGATTTTGTTGAGGGAAGGGGCGTGGTGGTTGGTTTGATAGTTTTAATGATGGCGTGGAATGCAGATATCGGAGCTAAAAGTCGTTGCATAAGCATTTGGAGACAAGGTAGATGGGAATTAGCAAACAGCTGTATAAGCTATGTGCTTACTTTCCTCGTTGCTTTCCGTGGAAGGCTGCAGGTCGTGGAAAAGCCACGTGAGGGAATCGCTGAGATGTTCTCTGCAGGCCCGGATAAGACGCTCGAAGCCGCGCTTGCCGTGTAGCATTGAGGGCGATCTGAGGTCAAGCTCGACGACTGGAAGGTGGTCAGAAGTGATGAGACGAGATGAGGCTTTAAAGTGATGACAGACCATATCGTGCTTTCTTGTGTTTCTTTCCTCCGTCCTCTATGGGCTTACCTACGAGCCCACACCGTTCGTAGGTCGGGCGGTCCAGCTCGAGTTTCAATATGCCTAAGACAAGATGTTAAAGATGGCAATTTGATTCTAGTAGATGATTATGCCAACCTTCATAAAGGGAAAAGACGTTGTCGACCGTCGGGCGGCCTTCTGAGAGCATCATGATGTTTCCTACGTAAAGTTGAATTAGTCGTATTTCTGTGTTGTGATAATGTAATCAGTTGAGGCACCTTTCTTGATGTAGTTCGTGAAGAAGTCTCCCGAGATCACCTCGAGCAAGGTCATGTTAACTCGTGCATAATGTAGAGTTCCTGCATCGCCATCAAGTTCTTGCTGACAAAGCTCGTATATTTCTTCAGGAAGAATCAAGTCAAACTGCATTCAAGTCATCAAAAATGCTAGGCGTGCGATACTCTGATTCTGGACATACTGTATGGGTGAATGGCTGAGCTAAGAAGATGGAAAAGGGTTTCTTCTTCGTTGGAGGTAGGCTCGGCTCAATATAATTTGGAAGTAAACTGTGGGTGAAGTAGCATTTTGCGCCCGGTGCTTTGTCGTTTGAGAAGCTGAACATGGTAGATGCTACGTCCCTGTAATACCGCTATCCTGTTGTAGCATTTCGCTAAGTCCATGTGTGAGATGGAGATGGATGATGTTGCGGGAAGAAATCCGCTCACTGGTTCATAGGTTCGCACTAGCCCTAAAAGGCTTAGCACAAACTAACCCACATTAGGTAGCACCCCTATTCTCCATCTGAGGTGGATCATCTGCCTATGATTGTAGCCTGGAAGACTTCACGTTCACATACAATTCTACCATTACAGAGAGGAACACTCATAATTCAAGATGATTCAGCTATAGAATACTATGCAGTCCCAAGACAAGCCGCCGTGGTGTGTTCCGAAATATCTTCAGACCCTCCATCAAACTTTGCATCAGGTCATATCTCCTGAAGACAGGGAGACGACCGATTATACAGCTTTGTGTGATCATGGAGAGCTCCCGAACTCAAGCCACTCCGACAATCGTATCCATGAATCCAGAGTCTGGTATACTACACATAGCCAAAACGCCCACCTCATGAATGCATGATCCCAAAACGTGTCAGTCCGCCAATGCAGTATACTGAAAGACAGGAAGGCTGTCATAGAAAGAATCGGAAAGGAACAGACTCAATAGACCCCACCGAAACCGTTCGAGTGAGGCCTCTCTGGCGTCATCTTCTTGGTTGGCGGACTCATGATTTGAGGGCTCGCACGAGGCGAAAGAGCCTTTATCGGCGGCAAGATCGGGGTTTCGGATATACTATGGCTCGAGACTGGCCTCGTGAAGTCGTGCTTCTCTGGGGAAATCCCAGCAGCGGAATCGGGCAGAATCTGAGCCGGCGAAGATGGAATATTGGCTGGCATAGGTGAGTTAGGAAGTGGGGAGCTATGCTTCGTCGGAGAGAATGATGGGCGTGGAGCTGAGCTTGGAGGAAACGAGGAGCTCGGGCTTTGTGTGAAAGACATTGACACTGGCCGCCCATTGCTCTGATGAGGAGAAATTGGAGGCGCGTGCTTCATCGGCGACACGTTGGCACCGCCATTTGCCGAGGGTGGCCTAGGCTGGCTGAAGGAGTTTGTGAACGGATCCTGACCAACGCTGCGGAAGGAAGAGTTTGGTGTGGCGTAAGAGCTTCCGCTGAATTGTGGGATAGCACGTGGTTGATTGTTGTACGCAAATACATCAGGTTGTCGCGGGGCCTGCCACTGTGGCGGGGAGGAGTTGGCGAGACCGTTGTACGTTGAGTAGCCGTGTTGGCCAGGTGATGGACGAGAGGCGCCGTTAAGACCATTCTGAGCTCCTCCATAGGCAGCCTCAGACCGATGAATGCCTGGGGGGCCTAGGGCTTGTCCGCGTGGAGATAGGCTAGGACCATTCACAAATGGCTGAGCAGGTTTAGGAGACTCGCCTGTTGCTCGAGGCGATGGAATCTGCACGGCAGCTAGTTGACGAGGAAATTGTGGAGTTCCAAACGGTGGTCCACCGTTGGTATGAGAGATGTTGGCAGGATCAGATGTACCCGCAGTCTTGGGAGAGGCAGACGAGCTGAGCCGGAATCTGAGTGGTGGGAGCTTAGGCTTGTTCGCTTCTTCGGCTTTCCTCTTGCAGTCCTTGCAGATGAAGTTGAAGTCGGGACTTTCAACTTGAGCGACAGTAAGGTTGAGACACTTGGTGTGTTGCCACACTTTGCACTTGTCACAAGAGACACTGTGAGCGCCATCATCCTGCATTAGGTTTGTTAGCAATGAATCAAGGGCACCGATGGGTTGAGGACATACCAAATTCTCGCCGTGCAGACCGCAAACCGAGCAATCGAACACCCAGTCATCCTCTTCCAGCTTTTCGAGCTCTTTCTTCGCCCTCTCCATTTCGTTCCTGAGATGACGCTCAGAAAGTCTGGCTTCGTTAGTCTCAAGTCTGTGGCTATTTTCCTCCAATTTCTTGAGCTCCTCTTCGTGGAGGATGCGCTTCACCTCGCGTTCTTTCAAGCGTTGCTCCCGCGTCATCATTCGAGACTCACGAGCCTGGGCATTGTCAGCATGAGAATTAGATAGATATAATAGAGTATAATTCACCTCTTCCATCTTGCGTTGCTTTTCTTGCTCTTTCTTGGCCATGGCCAAGTCTGCTCGCTGCTTTCTCTCGGCCTCCGCGGCCTCCTCTTCCTTTCTGCGTGCATCCGTCTTCGCAGATATTCTGCTCGAGCGCTTTGCGACGGCGAGTTTCGATAGGATTTCGAGTTCCTTCTGCCTCTTCGCCTCTTCTCGCTGTTGTTCTTCCACCTTGCGCTCAATGATCGGCAAGACATCTTCCTGGAGACTCTGATACATAGCCTTCTCGTTCGGGTCTCGACTGCGACGGATTCCCTCCATGAACTCTTGGTAGTCTGCCATGTTGACGCACAAGCATTCCCACTTCATGCCTCCAAGGCCGTCATCTTCGGGTTCTTGGACTTCAACAATGGTTCCATCCTCCTGTTCTTCCACCTCTTCAGGCTCAGGTGTGGAAAGCTTCCTACGCTTGCTTCCTCGAGTACCCTTGGACTTCCTCGCTTTGGACTTCAGCTTTGATTTAGACGGAGGTGGTGGTGGAGGAGGATCGGTGCGTCGGTAGAGTCGGTCGTCGTCAAAGACAAAGTATGTACGATCTTCAGAGTCCCATCCAAAGGGCTCCATGCGCTGCGGATGACGTTAGTAGGTATGATCTGACTGTCGAGCCAAGAGCCACTCACCCAATTCGTCTGTTCGGCGTCCGTCGCGCCAATCCGCTCTCGAATACGGTCTGCGTTATGCAGAGTCCACACAGACAGTTGCTGCAATACGCGAATCTTGGTGAAGACATCAAAATCGTCGAACTTTGTTTCCAGTTCCTCGGGCGTGCCAAAGGGGTTGCGGTGGGGCGCCTTCTGCTTGTATTGTCTGTAGGTGAATTCATCGAAATTTTCAGGTCTATGGATGTTAGCATCGTGCTTGGTGGTATAGTAGTTTAGAGAACTCACGTCAGGCCCTTGTTGGATGACACGAACTTCAGCAGTGCGAGGCCAATCCGCGCCAGCTCCTGCGAAGGCTGAGGTCGCAGACACTCAGTCTCAAGCGTCTACAGAAGTATTAGCATCAAATCCATCTAAAAGGCTGTGCGACGTGAGGGTTCGGGAGTGTAGGGGGTGTCTAAGCACCTCGATAGTTATATTCTCGTCGATCTTGACCGCCTTGCCGAACAGAAAGATATATTGCATCAGGTTGGCGAACTCCCACATGTTGCGGAGTCTATCCAGCATGCTGGGCTCCTTCGCCGGCTCCTCTGACTCCATCTCTCCTCGTCCTCGCTTGCGGGATACCATTTCGGCGGAGCGTGCCGTGCGGCGACGCGTGAATGATGACGATGGGACACGGCGAGGAGGCGATGTGTGTATGGTGGGAGGCGTAGAAGGAAAAGACAAGTGTCTAAGAGGGAGTTGTTCCTGACGTGAGGGTTGAGTTGGGGGGTAGAGGCGTGGTGATGCGGCTGTCGGAGGTGATGAATGGAGATGCGAACAAATCTCGCGTTCAGCGTAGGCTTGGCACACCTCCCGATTCAGGAACGCCCGTGCCGATCTGGCAGAACAAGCAGCGCTGTTTAATGCGCGCTCTTTGTCGCCGTGAAATGGGTTTGCAGGGTTTACAGGGTGTGTTTGTTTTTTTGACGTGGGTGTTTGAAAGAGCATGTTGTATCGAAGTGAAATGCTATTCTACATACCTATTCTCCGTACGGGTGCATTTTAATCACCCCTAGGGTCAGTGCTTAAAACGTCCTGTACGCTAGTACACTCTGGGCTGGGCGCTACCATGGCTGGAAAGGTTCACGTGCGTTATATTTCAGGGACCTCAGCCGCTTCTTCGAGGAATTTTGAGGCGGTGGCAGCCCTCCTGTATTGCCACTGCAAGCTTCGCCCTAATCTACTGTGTAAGTTCTCTCGAGATACGCTATACTGGTCTCAGCGGCGCGAAGTCGCCTGCCCCAAGCCCAAGGCATATTGTTCAACGTTGCCCGCTTTTGATCCTGAGTGGGAGGTATCCAATTAAATCTCTATCAAGGCCTCTTATTGGGGGTTGTGGTTTTCAGGCGCTTAAGAACGCCCCGAGCTGAGGCTTTACGGTATCCCCTACAGCCTATCCGTCTTAATGAGTCTTTCATCCCTTTCTCCACCACCTTCTTCGTCTCCTTCTTTATCGCCTTACTTTGCTGCACAAACTGTCAGCGCTTTTGCTGTATTCATTAGATATGCTACCAGTATACTAGTGGTACACGATAGAATATGGAGCGTGAAACGTCTGGAGGTAAGGTTTCATACTATCGCTTATCAGCATTGCATAACCTAACTAAACCGTGGCTCGACGGTTACGCCCGAAAACTACACCCGCGCAATAATCTCGCTCTCAAGGAGATATTCGAGCACCTCAGTCTTCCCGGGAAACAACTATGCTGACATTGGAGAATGGATGCTACAAGCCCGTAGTCTTCTTAACTACCTTCCTCAAGGGCCAATTCTTTGAGGCGACCCTACTTCGGCCTGTTCCTTCTCTCAGAGGCTGCGACTACTGTTCTTGTTGATATGACGCCCATCATGAAGGCTGCTTCGTCAAAATTGTTCCTGTCGCCATTATTGATGCCCTACATCAGGTTCATTAGAGAACATCGATTCCATACTTTTTGTAATCGAAGCTTTCCAGACTCGGTATGCTTTCAGCCCAGCCGTCATCAATTTCCCCTAGCTGCCAGTCGTCTCCGAGCGCACTCGTCTTCGTCCTCCCAGCCAGCACATGCTTCTGCGTGGTTTCATATTCGGCCGCCACATCTTGATGCGGGACCCAAACAACCCTCATCCCAGCTCGTCTTCCAGCCTCTACTCCCGCCACACTGTCTTCAAAGACCAAACATTCATTAGGCATGATGACCTTCTCGTCCGCGTCGGTCGCCGAATTCAGCGACTGCAACGCGACTAGATATATGTCAGGCGCCGGCTTCCCTCGATTTTGTCGTACTCGTGCGCCATCGCCCAGGATCCGCCGGTCGGGCTGGAAGAAATCTAGCAGCTGCTTTATTTCCGGCCTTGATGTTTTCAAAGCGTAGGTATGGCTCTTAGTGCTAGATGCTAATGCCAGCTTAATTCTGTCCCCTGAAGGAGTACTTCGTGTATGACTGAGATCCGACAGAAGCTTTTTCGCACCAGGCAACGGCTCGCAACTCGGGAAATGAGATTGGCATTGGTCGGCTAGTTCGCGGGCGAATTGCTCGCGGGGGACGGGCAGTTTGGCCTAGTTGTGGAACACATCGCCGTTTGTTGAGTCTGGGACGCCCATGAGCTGGACTCGAATCGACCGAGTAAGGGCAGGCCTTCCGTACTTTTCTAGAAGTCGGTTCGTGCAATCAGTAATTATGTCTTCGGAGTTGATAAGAAGCCCATCCATGTCGAAAATGCAGGCGCGGATTGGGGGAAAGCTGGTAGCAGATTTGATTAGCCTTGGAATTTGCGTTGCTGATTTTATGTCGATGTTCAGAACACACGTGCTCAAGGGCGCAGATGGACGCTTCTGTTAGAGGGAACTCACCCTGACTCCAGAGGAGCCATAATGTTACAAACGGCCAAAGCGCTTATGCCTCTGGGATGTCGAGATCGAAGGAGCCGAGCGCGCCGGAAATATTACGCTAGGATAGCGCAGCTCGGTTTGCAAGAAGGGAGAATATATTGTATTGGGGTTGGTGAGGAAGCTAGCTGGGTCCGTAAGGTAGAAAGATATACACGGAAGCTGTGGAGTCATCGACCACATAGGAAGGGGCCAACAGCGAGGCAGGATAGCCATGTGACTATTAGTTTAGCGACAGCGTGCTAGTGTGGTGAAGAGTTGCGTGTCTAGGTATTTAGAGGAGGAATATGTTATATCAAAGTGAAATCTTATTCTCTGTATGGGCCAGGTAGGGCATTTTAAGTGGCCCGGGGCCCGCGCTTAGAGTGCCCAGTGCGCTAGTACGTTCTGGGCCGAGCGCTACCAACGGCTAGAAAGCCTGACGTGCGAGGGTCTCCATTATTGTACGGTGTTCGGGAGTGTTTGTTTATACACATTCTGCTCTATGCACCTAGGAAGCTGGCAGGGCTTGATACTTCAATACAGTATACGTGCACGCTTGAACAAGAGCCTGGTGAACTATCTCCCAGGCACAACAACATAGACCAGGTGCGCCTAGTTTTTAAATTGTATATCAGTAAGCAGAAGCAACTGGTAGTCTCAAACTATTTGAGGCTTGTCTGCACAGTATAAAGGCCAGGACCTGCCATCAGCGGTATTCATGTCTTCCATAGAGGCCGAAAGCCGCCCGTGTTCGAGTTGGGCCCTGGCATGAGGCCACCGTGTCCAGCCGGCACCATTCTCGCCATCCGGCAGGGCATATCTCGGTTGATGGGTTCACCAGCGTCGCCGTTGGGCTAAAAATACAGCGAGTACCGTGCTTGGCTCAGGGACAGCCCTATCACGGCCGTCAAGCGTCACTTGGCTTGTCTGTCAGCAGCCGGCCAATAATACCGTGCACCGAGTGGAGTCTAGTGTGCTTCCGCATCGACATCGAGGGACTGGGACGCGCATCAGGGCATTTCAGCTGCCAACGTCCAGCTCCCTCGCCGTCGCAGCAACACCACGTCGCCCGGAGCACTCATATACGTCCCTCTGCACCTTCCCGCCGCTCGTTCCCGCCCGTGCCGCACCTTGCATCCAACTCTGCTGAAACGGCGTTTGCGCTTACACTGATTTCGCGTCGCAGCTGAACCCCTTCGAGAATTTACGAACTCCTCCCCGATCGCTGAATCATGACCTCTGCGCCTCGATGAAGTTCTGCCGAAAATACAGGAGCGCCGGCAGTTCCAATGGCCTCCCCTGATCCAAATCATCGGAGGAACCTCACCACCCCGCAGTCAATACCTTTGCAAGACCTCAATCGCCCACCAGACGACGACGACCATGACCCCCAGGGAGCGGCGCAGCACCGCAGGACGCTCAGCGATAGAGGGAGGAGCATGCTCAACAGACAGGTGAATGCGCTCTCTGGGGGACACTGGGGCTCGCAATATAGCCCCATAGCGGAGCGCTCGCCGAGTCCCACACGCCTGGGCACCCGGCCACCGCACATAGCTACTGCATATCCTGGAGGACATGCTGGTGCTGTGCCTCATGAAGATGGGGAATACTCGCCTATAGAGGATGTTGGCGCCTTCCAGTCCGCTATCGGATTTGGCTTCGCAGGTCTCAGCTTCCAAGGCGAATCGCCGCATTCGCCTCCTCAGGCGCCGCATACGCCACCTTCCGCGAGCAGGACTCAACCTCGCCCGCTGCTAACGCATAGCGACAGCGATCCCTATCTGCCCGGACAGGAATCCGAGGAACTAGGCTACTTCTCTCCCACGTACGAGGACACAGCGCGGTTGACAGACGAACGACATCTCCAGCCCATTAGCGGGGCTCCTACCACGCCGATATCACCACGAGATAGATCTAGCTTCCAAAGTGTACGATTCTTAACACCATCCGCAGGCTCGCCGGCCTCGAAGCTGGGTGACGATCTACACAATGCTGAAGCTGGAATGCACAGTCCAGGTGGACTTCGGAGGAACAGCTCAGCCAGGAAACGATCCCTTTCCCCCTCGGCAATCGAGTCGCCGCTACACAGGGCTGGGACCATTATGCGGAACATGTCCCAACGTGTGGTTAATATCAGCAATGAGCCCGAGGTTGTCGAACGAGCTATGCGGAGGAAGTCATCCTTAAAACACAGAATGGATGAGCCGCCTTCGTTCCCAGCGATGCCAGAGTATATCAATGACGGATCTACGTCTCCTATAGAAAAACCACCAACTCCGACGGTTAGAAAAGTCCCAGATTCTCAATGGCGACAGCATGCGAACCCCCTGCGTGGGAAGTCACTTGGCATATTCTCTCCGGACAACACACTCAGGTTATGGCTTTGTGACTTCCTCACACACCCGGCTACTGAGCCTCTTTTACTGGTTCTAATTCTCATTCAAACCGTACTTCTAGCGGTAGATTCCGGACGGAACGTCTTTAATGATCCCAGATCCAAACGCTGGGGCACATCGGGGATTGACTACGGCTTGTTGGCTCTGTTCGTTATCTACACGATCGAGATCGTGATACGATCTATAGTCTCTGGGTTCATGGTGAATCCTGTGGAATACAGTACAATCAACCGCAAAGTTGGACTCCGAGAAGCGGTGTTAAGCAAAGGGCGCGCCGTGTTCAACGCAGACCGACAACCATCTGTCAAACGTACCGCTTCTACCTTTGAGCCCCAGCAACCCTCTGTCTTACGAAGCTTTACCGCAGTTCAAATGGAGGCTGACCATCCTGGCAATGTTCGACAACAGGCACGCATTCGACTGGCCCATCGTGCATTCCTTCGGCATTCTTTCAGTAGGCTAGATTTCATTGCGGTAGTGTCGTTTTGGATTGCCTTTGCACTTGGTGTTTCTGGGATCGAATCGAGGCGTCACATCTATGTCTTTCGAATGCTGAGTTGTTTGCGCATTCTTCGACTGCTCAATCTAACAAGTGGTACAACCGTAAGTTACGATGCCTTCTTCGCACGATTACCACTTTCTAAATATTCCATACAGGTCATTCTGCGAAGCTTGAAAAAAGCTGCGCCACTTTTGGTCAACGTTGCATTTCTCATCAGCTTCTTTTGGCTCTTGTTTGCTATTATTGGTGTGCAAACTTTCAAGTCTAGCTTGCGGCGGAATTGTGTCTGGATAGATCCTGCGGGTATTTCAAACTATACTAACGGAAACCAATTTTGTGGAGGATATCGGGACAACATCACCGGGAAGTCACTGCCATACCTCACGGCGAATAATGAGGCGGGAACAGACAAGCACAAAGGCTTCATATGCCCACAGGGTTCAATTTGCATTGAGGGAAACAACCCGTACAACGGAACCGTAAGCTTTGACAACATTTTCCAGTCCCTGGAACTAGTGTTTGTCATCATGTCCTCCAATACATATTCCGACCTCCTCTACAAGGTAGCCGATAGTGACTACCTGGCCGGTGCATTGTGTAAGCTTTCCCATGTGTAACCAAGGATTTCGGTGCTGACATTACTAGTCTTTGCCGCTGGTATTGTCATTATGAGTCTTTGGTTGATCAATTTGGTAGGTGCCTTGTGTTCATACTCAGAGAAGATGCTGACTTTTGAAGCTCATTGCCGTCATCACGTCCTCTTTTCAAGTCATTAGGGAAGAAAGTAAAGTTAGTGCCTTCACTGGCCAAGAAAAGTACGTCTACGTCTTGAAGCGACAATGTGTGATCGGGTTCTGATAGCTGACTTATCACAGCGAGCCGATTTCAGATGAAGACTCCGAAAGCACTCGAAAGCGCCGTGTGAGCGCTCTAAAGCGATTCTATGACAAGTCTTCATGGCTCTGGATCCTCGTAATTTCTTATGGCTTGATTTGCCAGTCGCTGCGAAGTGCGAGCATGAGTCCCCACCGGGAGCGGTTTATAAGTAAGAACAAACTTCGCAGGGATCCGATTCGCCTTTGCTAACTATCGGTAAGATATATCGGAGACCGCAGTTTCCCTCATATTGATGGCCGAAATCATCGTACGATTTCTGGTGGATTGGCGACATTTCTTCCAGAACAAGCGTAATATCGTGGATCTCGGCTTGGCAATAATCACGACCGTGATACAGATACCAGCCGTGAAGCATGCACGCGACGGGAGACCCTATGCTTGGTTAACAATCTTCCAAATTGTGCGAATCTACCGGGTGGTATTGGCTGTACCGCTTACAAGAGATCTGATTGTGAGTCGCTACGTCCTAGACAGCTACTTCTGTATCCTAACAACTGATAGATGATCGTTTTGGGCAACGTTGGCGGTCTACTCAACTTGATTCTCTTTGTGTTTCTTCTCACCTTTCTTGCCGCAATATTCGCAGCTCAAATCTTTCGTGGAGAAATCCCAGAGGTAAATGACGGCGGCGACACCATCCAAGCTCCCTTCTCAACAATCTACAATTCCTTCTTAGGGATGTACCAAATACTCTCAAGCGAAAATTGGACGACGATCATGTACAACGTCACCAATTACGAAGATTTCTTCAACACTGCTTGGATCGGAGCTGCGTTTTGCATTCTATGGTTTATCTTTGCCAATTGTATGTCAGTCCCAGATGTTTTGCGTTCGGTATGCTAAATCGTCATAGTCATCGTGTTGAATATGTTTATTGCTGTCATTCAAGAGAATTTCGATGTCTCTGAAGACGAAAAACGGCTTCAGCAAGTCAAGGCCTTTCTCCAAAAACGAGATCATGGAATGGAATCTTCGTACGGGTAAGCAAGCTATACCTCACTTGATCTACCACTTTTATCATTGATACTAACGGGCCCAGAAACTTGTCGCTGTCCACAATTTTCAAACTTGGACAGGCTAGTCGTAAGGACCCTCTAGACTATGGCACCGCTGCAGCAGAAATGCTTCTGAAAGACGCCGTTGTTAAAGACTTTCTTGACGAGGGCGAGGAAGGCGTGACCAGCCCCGCCGACGAAGAACCTCATCCCACACTCCGACCAGCGCCTACGATAGTGGGAACAGGTCTACTAGGTTCTTTGTGGTCACGAGTAGTAAGCCGAATTACACATCAAGAGCCGAACCCGTTCTATTCCTCATTGGAGTTCTCGCGAGCTTATGAAGACCTTGACCCGAGGCAAATGGCAAAAGAGGTTGTCACCGCGAGTGAACACCGAAAGAAGGCCCAAAGAGAATACCTTCGAAAGCATCCAAGATACAATGTGTCACTCTTTATATTCGGACCTAATAATCCCATCCGACGACTCTGCCAGCGATTCGTAGGTCCTGGTCGAGGTGGTGATCGCATCGAAGGTGTAGCCCCTTCTGTGCCCCTTTGGTATACCTTTTCGGCACTCATTTACGCGGCGATCATTGCCATGGTTCTTTTGGCCTGTGTTACCACACCTGTCTACCAGAGAAACTACTTCCTCACTCACAAATTCAGCGTCAAGAACTGGTTTGTCTTCACGGACATGGGGTTTGCAATCTTCTTCAGCGTCGAGGCCATCATCAAGGTGATTGCCGACGGCTTCTTCTGGACCCCCAACGCCTACTTCCGAGGCTCATGGGGATTTATCGATGGCGTCGTGCTCATCACGCTTTGGATTAATGTTGGCACTTCTTTTTATAGCGAGGGCCAGGTAACACGAACGGTCGGCGCATTCAAAGCGCTGCGAGCCCTGAGGCTCCTCAACGTCAGTGACAGTGCTAGGGACCATTTCCACTCGGTTATCGTCCGGGGGGGTTGGAAAGTCGTCTCGGTAAGCTTTCCTCTACTGCGAGTGCACAATCGACGCTAACAAAACGACAGGCTGCCTTCGTTTCCCTGAGCCTGCTCATTCCGTTTGCACTTTACGGATTGAATCTGTTCGTCGGCAGGATGCAAGCCTGTAACGATGATGGCTCCAATATTTTCGATCTTCGAGATTGCGTGGGAGAATACGACAGTTCACCATACAATTGGAATGTCCTAGCTCCTCGTCAAGCCTCTAATTCCTACTTCGACTTTGACAACTTTGGAAACTCACTCTTCATACTCTTCCAGATTGTGTCTCAAGAAGGATGGATTGATGTAATGTGGGCATCGGAAGGAATCACCGGCGTTTTTACCCAGCCTCGACCGTTCGCCTCCCAAGGAAACGCCCTCTTCTTCGTTGTCTTCAACCTCCTCGGTGCTGTCTTCGTGTTAACACTGTTTGTCTCTGTCTTCATGCGAAATTACACGGAGCAGACCGGTGTTGCCTTTCTCACTACAGATCAACGTTCATGGCTTGAATTGAGGAAGCTTCTACGACAAATATCGCCATCCAAAAGGCCATCATCCAACAAACGGCGAGAAACGTGGGAAGAGTGGTGCTACCGTCGAGCGGTGCGAAAGACTGGGCGTTGGCAAAGATTCATTACTTTCCTCCTGATACTACATCTCATCCTTCTCTGTTTAGAATGGTATCCAGGCGTGTTTGGATGGGATCGAGCACGAGGTATGTCCACATCAAGCTTCAAGAGCATCTCCGCTAACGGGTCTAGACTTTATCTTCCTCTTTTTCACTTTGCTTTACATTGCCAACATAATCATTCGCATCATAGGCTTGACCTGGCAGAGGTTCCGCAAGAGCTCGTGGGATATTTATTCCATCTTTGCGGTTTCAGGTACATTCATCACCTCTATTCTCCTATTATCCAACTTCAAGCAATGGGTCTATGTACAGCTCCACAAGCTGTGCTTAGTGTCTATTGCACTACTCTTGATACCCCGAAACAACCAATTGGATCAGCTGTTCAAGACCGCGGCGGCCAGTCTGAGCTCAATCATGAACCTGCTTGCCACATGGTTTGTTCTTTTCCTTGTCTACGCTATAGCTCTCACTCAAACCTTTGGGCTCACGAGGTTCAACGCGAACGAAACTGGCAACGTCAATTTCAGAGATGTTCCGAAGGCCCTTATCCTCCTGTTCCGCATGAGTACTGGAGAAGGTTGGAATCAAATCATGGAAGACTTTGCTGGGGTGACGCCACCTTTTTGCGTTACTGGGAAACGGTACTTTGACGGTGATTGCGGTAGCCCTGAATGGGCCAGAGCTCTGTTCATTTCCTGGAACATACTGAGCATGTACATCTTCGTCAATTTGTTCGTCTCGCTCATATACGAGAGCTTCAGTTACGTGTATCAGAGAAGCAGCGGTCTTTCGGTCATCAGCCGAGAGGAGATTCGCCGATTCAAGCAGGCATGGGCTGAGTTCGATCCGAACGGAAGCGGTTACATCTCAAAAGAAGTCTTTCCCAGGCTTTTGGGAGTAAGTCGTCAAAGTCGAAGACCTCAATGCCTTTTAATAGCTAACAAAATCTACAGGAACTGTCTGGTGTCTTCGAGATGAGAATCTACGATGGCGACTTCACCGTTCGCCGACTTATCGAGGACTGCAGTACAACCAGGAGGCAATCTGGACTCCCTGTAGAAGGGCATGATCTAGCACCTGAGATCGACCTTGCCAAACTCAACCGTCGTCTAGCCGAGCTGCCACAGGTAGAAATCCGAAAGAGAAGGGCACGCATGAACACGTTCTACGAAGAAGTGCTTGTCTCAAGCGATCCTGACAAGGGCATTGCATTCAATGCACTGCTCATGATCCTGGCTCATTACAAGGTCATCAACGACAACAAGAGCTTGAGGTAAGCGAAGTCCCCAACATGTGCTTGCACAGCCGACTAACGTGTTCATCACCAGACTGGAAGAATTCCTTCGTCGCCGAGCGCGCCTCCAGCGTGTAGAGGAGGCCGTACGACGAAACGTAGTCGTAGGGTTCTTTGACACACTCTTCTGGGCTCGCAAGTTCCGCCGCGCCCAAGACATCAAGAACTCAGGACGCATGACACAAGTGCCACAGTTCACGGTGCCGGAGATTTTCGTCGATGACGAGGACATTACCAACGCGCAACGGGCACATCCGCCTGGCATTAGTCCGTTGCTCTCACCGGTCGACCTGTCCCCACTCGACCACGACTGGCGTGCAACTGGCAGTGATCTCACGTCGCCGTCGCCGCCAGCGGACATGGCACTGCGCAGTCGTGCAAACTCAATCCAGGTCTCGCCAAGCGCGTCTCCAACGCGAGCGGGATTCTCAACCTCTCCAGCGGGCTCGCCATACAACGCTCCTGCAGACAGCAGACCAGCAGACTGGCAGTTCGCCAGCGCCCTCAGCCGGCCGCCAAGTCCGCTCGAGGTCGACCCCGGGCCAGCTGGAGCACGCAGCAGGGCCAACAGCAGCGTCAGCGCACAAGACGTTTTGGAGGTGCTCGACAACTCGGCGTGGGGCGAAAGCATTCGGCGCAGTTTCACGCTGCGACGGCCGCCAGGACGGTGAGGCAGGCCGTTTGCTCGAGCACTTTCCTTTGTCACAGCATGGTGTTTTACGGAGGCCGATGTTTGGCCATGGGGCATGATCTACGCCGGGGGCTGGGGCTGCGCAGGGTGGAGGAACGTGATAACGGAGGGCAGGAGCAAGGGCCGTGGAAACAGCGGCCGTGCATACGGGCTGCCCGTGGTTGCATTGGTGTCTACGAGGAAGTAGGGCAGAAGGGCATGTCTGGGTGGCGGCGCACGGGATGGGCTTGGAGCGTTTTGGGCGTCGGCATTTGCATATATGTATGGTCTTGTACATGTACAACAAGAACGAGGGCGCGGCCTGCGCGTATTGGCGGTGTTGGAGCTTGGGGGCGGCGGGCTGGTGTGGAGCGAGTAGATACTTGTCTTTGGCAGCATAGCGACGGCGTTGACGGGCTAGAATGTTACCTGTACAGGCACAAGTGCGTTCGATGGTAGAATGTGTGCTGCTACGTGTGCCTCTCGTGTCGCCCCTTGGAGGCGCGTCTAAGCCGCCAGGGCGTCCATCCACGGGTTTGCAGCTGGAGCCGAGAGCCGGCAGCCGGACGTGCGCGGCCTACGCGTGTTTGAGGACGCCTTTTCCAGAAAATAGCTGCCATGGTCCGAACGGAATCTGGCGTGATGTGTCTATGCAGCCTACGGAATACCACGGAGAAGACGTCCAGCAGCACGCAGAGTGCCGTGTCTCAGCATCCCTCTCGCAGTCTCCGGCCAGGTGTCTTCACTCCCGCCCCAAATAGTCCGCTAGAATGGCAACTGCAGCACCCCTAGATACGTGCCTCCAGTCACTATCACGGGCAGTTCCACCGCAACAACGCTAGCATGAATGCTCTCCTGAAATGCGTCCCGTTTCGGCCAACCCAGGCTGCCACCATGGGAACCCGCAGCCGGCTACCCGTCTCTTGCAGCGAACTGCTGATCGCGGCCGCGCTCCGTCAATCAGTGCCGGCTGCTGGCTGCTGGCTGGCTGGCCGGGCTCTCGCGCGTGTGCTGTCGGGGCTCGTCCGCCTGCGCTATGGTGAAACGGGCGCTGGAACGCGGGCGGCGCGGGCGTCTCAAGGCTGCTGGGATTGCTCGGGACGGCTGTGGTGCTTTGCTCGCGGCGCACACGACAGGACGACACAGGCCGCACGTCAGAAGGCGGGCCAAGCGTGTCTGGTCTGGTTTTCCCTCGCTTTAACGGGCGTGTGACACGCCCAGCCCAGGGAGACAGGAGACAGTATCGACGTGGTTTGGTGAGGGTGGGTGGGTGGTTGGGGAGGTATTTCATATAAGCCCGGCTGAGTCGCTCGTTCCTGGCGGCCACTCCTAGCTCCTAGGTTGCGATTTGATTGAGAGATTGATATTGCAGCTGTGCTGGTTCCTGCGATCCTCCGGCTTGACTCCATCCCTTCATTCTTGAGGAAGCGTGGCTGAGTGGTACTTTAATATCTTTACTACCTGACTCTCGCTCTCTGCTCCCTTCTCTGTCCCCCTTCTCTTGCTCTTCTCACGCTTCTCTACCACTCTTTTTTCTACACGAACAAAGCCTAGACTTCTGAGAAGCTCGCTCCCGTTCCGTCGTTGCTGGGTTGACCTTCAAGATCGGATCGACGTTCCACACGAACAGCCACACGCTCGCTGCCCACATTCTTCAACACCACACCACACCTACCGCGGACAGCTGGACCTGCGTCGCGCTTGCCCTCGCTCAGTTCCACTTCCACGAAGCCCCGGCCGGATATACAAACAACAGCCGCTACCGCTGCCTCAAATCGCTGAAACTACGCTATCAGCTCCGATATATCTGTTGTGCATCCCCCCACCAGTCCACCCATCCCTTCTACAAGCAAGCAAGAAAAGAAAGAAGTAGCACCGTCTACCCACCACCTACCTAACCACTCCTTCAACCACCCACACGATAATCCACCGCCAACATGCGCACCCACACCCGCTTCCAACCCCTCCGCACCCCCTCCCTCCGCCGCCTGCGCACCGCCTTCTCGCCCACCCGCGAGCCCCGCCCCCGCGAGCCCCTCTCCGCCTCCTCTACTTCGAGCACCCGCACCACCTCCCCTCTGACCCGCACCTCGTCCCCAGACTCGCACTTCTCCGCCTCCTCGACCGCGTCGTCGCTGCGCGCGCTGCTGCTGCTGCGCCGCAAGCCCAGCAGCCTCGACCTCGAGATGGAGGAGGAGCGGCGCAGCTTCGGCGTCGAGCTGGACATGCTGGAGCCGCGGCCGCACGGGGAGGCGCGGGGGATGGGCGGGATTTTCGAGGTCTTGGACGGGCGGGTGTGAAAAGGTCACGTGAGCGAGAGTTTGATTTAGGAGGTGATATGAGGCGTACTGACATGAACGCAACGGAACGGAGAAGAGGGAGGGTGAAACGATGACGAGAGACTGGGATTTTGGACGAGTGATGTCGAGGATGGGGATGTGAAGCCGGATGATGGACAGGGGGTGAGGGGCTTGGTGGAGGGCTTGGCGTTTCAGCGAGGCTTGGGGGTCGGGTGAGGCGATGGCCCAAGGTTTTGCATTGTTTGGACACGGATAGCGCTTAACGCGCTTCAGGTTCGCCGCTGTTACGTCGTTTGATATAACGAAAGGACGAGACGTTGGCGCATGGGATTTCTTGGGTTTTACATATTCGTTTCATGACATGAGGGGAGTACTCTCTGGGTGCGTCACCGGTGTAATGAAGGGGTCTTGGATTGGGTTGGATGGTTCAACCTTGTTTATTTTGATGGAGTATTGGGATTTGGTGTATCTTTTTCTTCTTTTCGCTCTCTTTATTTTTGGTCTTGGGGTTGAGGGGGTGAGGGGGTGAGGGGGTGAGAGTTTGGGGTGGTGGATTGTAGACAGGGGGAAATTTACCCCGTTCGTTCATTTCAGTTGAGCTCCAAAAACCAGTGTGATATCTCTGGGTGTGTACAGTGCCTTGGGATAGACTTCCACTTTGCGCAAACCTGCTGACGCTGTTTGGAGTAGCCTCCCAAGTGTACTAATCTTCCAAAATGCTGAGCCTTGTCCCTCATTCGGAATAATGAAAATGCCATGAGGCTCCTCATGCAGCGGTGAACGAGTGGACTGAGTTCAACTCCAATCGGCATCGCCACCGTTCATGCCCACCCAACGACCGACGCCTGTATTCCAGCCCGGCCAGTAAGCAGTATTGGAAGTGATCTTGTTTGCGGCCTCGTGCTCAGCCCACAACATCTCGAACTCCAGGCCAGTTGTCAGTAAGGGGGCATCCGCAGCACTTTCTTCCAGGCCATCTGACCAAGGGACCCATTCTTCTGACCCATCCCAGTCATCGTCGCCAAGAATTCGAAATGAGAGGCTCGTTCCTTTATCGTCGCTAAAGCATTTGAAGGCGTTCATGTATGGCCACTCTTTGTGCGGACAGAACTTCAGAATCCTCAGCCCCGTTTCACCTAGCAGCTCTCCATTCTTCAACAAGGTCTGCCTCAACTTTATCACTAGCTGCCTCAAGTTCGAAAGCGTCCCATCATCCTCGCCGTTTTTGTAATTTTTCAAGTACCATTCCACTCCAGACGGCCGGTCCACCTGCATCTTTAAACCCAGCCTCTTGACTTTGATGCCGGAACCCAGTATTTCGGCGATCCAGTCGGGTGGGGGATTCCAGTGCCCTTCCTCCCAATGGGTTTCATCGCTAGGCAACTCCAATATCCAATCAGAGGAAAGTATTTCATTAGAATGCTCAAATGCCGTGTCAATTTCGACATAATCATCCTCGTCAAAGTATGCCCTTGCACTGAAATCCAGATGGTCCAATTGCAAATTCCGGATCTTCGATACCAACAACGACCAATTCTCGGAAATAGGAAGATGGCAACTGCAATGTGTTGTGTTAATGCGTAACCCGAGTCCTCGGATTCTCTCCAAAGCCCAGGTCGGATGATCATGCAAGAATGCCAGACAGGCTGAATCAGGCCAGCCGGTTAGGTTATCGCTGAAGAAGAACTTGTTTCGCCTGTAGAAGATTTCGGCGGCTTCTTGATACACCTGCTTTGAGACGGAAAGCAAGCTAAGTTGGACCCCAGGCTTGCATTCCCGACAACATTTATCAGAATCGGGATTTCCACTCGTGCTCCGCTCCTCGCGCATCTCCTTGCACTTTTCACACTGCCCACAAGGATCCCTGTCATGCTTCTCGCCATGGCAGCCCTTTTCGCAAGCCATCGAATCCGCCTTTTGAACATATGTCAGTAGCTCATGCTTGTGAATACGGCATTCTCTGTCAAAGAACGGCCTTCGTCGCGACAACCGCTTCAGCCTATCCGCATCTGTTTCCGGGCGAACTCGAACAGCAAACGAGCTGCGAGACGGGGCTTGGGCACATTTGATTTTCCTAGGATTTCCCGTGTAATGGTCTTTGGGCACCGGCTTATCTGACTCGCAGATCTGCACGTTGATATCAATGGCTTCATAAACGAGAGCGTAGCCGTAAATACGGTCGCGAAGCTCGCGAGGCAGGTCGGGAAAGCGAAACACCATAGTGAATTACTGGTCGAGCCAGGCTCCGTTGAACATAAAGTGGCAGTCCGACAACGGTCTGAGGTGGCCTGAAAAGGTATTAGCCTTGTCGAAGTTGTCATTTTACAGTTTGGTAACGTACTAGTGGACCTCAAGCGGTGCTAGGCAGGTGTACACAAGCCCAGAGAGAGTGCTTGTCTAATGCTAAGCGGTACGCTCCACAGCCTGCCCGTGCCGAAGCTGGCTGCACCTCTGGAAAATGAGATCAGGACGCTTGGTGAACGACTTCGCCAAGAAGTGCTGGTGTGTGGAGGATGAAGTGAAGAGGAGAGGTGAAGAAGAAATGGCGGGAAAGAACAAAAGTTGTCGGAGACAGTACCGCGGCGCTAGTCCTATTTGGGCGATAATCGCGTGGTTGAGCAAAGGGAACAGATGCTGTGTCTCGTCACAGATATCCGCACACTTTTCTGCCACCGCTTGTGATGTCTCATGGCATTTTCACACTCCCGGTTTGGACGGAAGTCCCGCCTTTTGAGCGATTGATAAACTCGCTGCGCGCAAGCTTAGCTTCCATTATCTTTGAACTCGAGCATCATGTGGTCCGAGCAGTCGACAGATTTGAGCATCCCAGCAAAACGCTCCATGTATTCGTAGTATGATTTGAATGATAGAGAACGTCTTCTGGGATAGACTCAGGTCTTTTGACCTTTACCTCGCGGCGGGGGCTTTAGGCAAGTTTTAATTTCTAAAGTTGAATTATTGATAGATTCTTTTAGCATATGTGTCTCCCCCTCTCCCCTATCTCCCATACACCACTTATTTCGGACTATAACACTTCAACCACCCACTCAACGCCGCCGTAAAATACGCCCGACTCACACTCCCCGGCGCAAACGTCGTGCGAAAATCAAAACAGTGCTCCGCGCCCTTCATCACATACCCAAAGATCGTCTCCGCCGTCGTGCTCTCGCCACACTTCGGCGGCGTCTGGAACGTCGCGGGGTGCGGCGCGAAGCTCTCCGCGGACAAAGGGGAGAGGGTCCGCCAGGGGTCGAACTCGCCGCCGGACCAGTAGACGTTTGAGGGGCGGATGCTCCAGCCGCCAAAGTGCGCGTTGGTCCTGGCCACGGCGGGCCATTCGGGCAGGAGCGTGCGCGGGAAGTTGGGGAATTGGCGGTGGCAGATGTCGCGCTGGTGGGTGAGGGAGTTGAATTTGGAGACGAGTTGGTGGGCGCCCAGGTTGGCGGATTGGAGGAAGCCTGGAGAAAGTGGTGGTTAGTTTTATTGGGAGTAATGGGAGTAATGGGAGTAATGGGAGTAATGGGAGTAATGCAAGATCGAGTAGTAAAGGCAGTGAATGAAATAACGCGAGTATCAAGAGGCTTCAACTTACCCCACTGAGTGCAATACTGCCAGGTCCACGAGATGGAGGCAGGATCCGTGAAGCGGAGATCAAGGTTGCAATCACCCTCCTCGGTCGCTGACCCGGAGCAATTCGTCGTCATATAAGAGTTGACCATCTCCACAAACGGAGGGAAGGAAGCCCAGCGGGCGACGGTGTAATTAGCGCCTTTGCTGGCAGCCCATCCCGCCGCGGGGGCAGTCGCATTCGTTGTTGGGTCAGACTCGATCCAGTCGCAGAAAGATCTGAGACCTGTCGTGCCTCCTTCCACGCCGTAGGACTGCCAGAGATAGAAGGGGGTGGAGAGAGCGTCGGCGAAAGTTGGATTCGAGTTGTTCCCTGCACCGAGGCCGAGGAACTTCTCTTTGAGTGCTGCTGAGGCTGATGGCTTCTCCATCACATTGTCCATGTAGTTGATGGCAGCTTTGATGTCTTGAGTGCAATTTCCCCAGCCGTACGCGTTCATGCCACGCCAGACTGGCTCGAAATAGACGGACATGTCGTTCCTAGCCTCTACAGGTGCGGATGACGCGTAGGAAGCGTATATGGTCTCTGGGTAGAACTTGCGCACGAAAGCAGCACGCATACCGGGATACGATCCCCCGACGAAGATCCAGGGCGTTTTGTCTGGGGTGAGTGTGGCGTTGATATCTGCTCTCTTGAACTGCTTGGCGAAGGCTGGGATGTCGGCCAGAGCTTGCTCGGCAGTGAGGTACGTGAAATCTTCGGGCTTCGTGTCTAGATCGATCGTCACGGGGGCCGATTTGCCATAGTAGCGATGCTCCCAGGCTATGCCGATGCCGCCGTACGAGTCCACAATCTGCTTGAAGAACGAACTCGGATCCTGAAGCCTGAACAGCGCACTGCTCTCTGCATCCGCCTCGCCAACATCGTAGATAAACACAGGTCCGCCCGGCTTGTACCCAGACTCGGCAACCCAGAAACGGTTTTTGAACGTCTTGAGTGAGCCGTAACCGGAATTAAAGTGGTCCAAGGGTAGGTCGACGTATTCTTCGACAATAGTTTCGGCAGCAGCTGTAGGTGTAGTCACGGCGGCCTTGATAGTGTCGTCGGGTAGCCGCATCGGAGTGCCGTCTGGTAAAAGGCCCATATCGGCCATGTGCTGCAACCTATTGCTCAACCCACCGCCTAGAGCGGCGACGCGCATGCTCTGGAAAAGAGATATGGAGAACAGACATATTGAACGGATGGAGGGCATTGTGAAAATGAACGAAAGACTTCAGAAATGCTGAAACTAGTCGTGAACGACAGACTCGACCAACCTGCTCAACCCTCGAGACTGGGAGAAGAGAGGACGTGGAAATGGGAGACGCACAGAGAAGAGCCGCATGGCGGGCCATCGGGCCTATATATGCTGGAAAGTCAGAACGCAAGTGCTCCGTCCAAGATGCTGTTAGTAGGGTTTCTTGCGGTGGCCCAGTCAGCGCCATGTTTCGGTCCCAGTAATGGCATTGTCCCTGCGAAGGTAATGCAGAACTGCCTATCACAGCAGCGATCATCCGCCGCTGTGCCTGGCGGTCACCTTCCGCATGGACGTGATGAGCCGGGCTGTGGGTGCGGCGGGGGACAGGAGGCTGTGGAACTCTGAGGCCGACGACACGGCCAAGCGCAAAGACGACAACGAGGTGCCTCTTCGGGCATAGCGCTGCAGGCCACCAGGCGGCTGAGAGCCACACACATTCATCCTCATCCAGCACTGCCATTGTCGCTACCAGAGCTCCATTTCGTGAGATTGCGGTGGAGCGGCATGCGGCGAATTAGGAAACTCGCCACCGAGAGAAGATCTTCATGCGGAAGCTTCCATCCTTCCATTCATCTAAGGCCATAGTTCTAGCGTACCAAGAGTGATGGTACTCCCAAGTCGGGTTTGTGGCACGACAATACTATGCTGCACTCTATCTCTGGGAACTCAGTACAGAGTACAGATTCAGGAGAAGTCTGTGCATCCAAGAGTATGGAATCACTGCAACCCAGTAACAGAAGTCAGACTTCTTTAAAATAAGTGCGCCGATCCGTTTGAACTTGGCTCAACCTCTATTTACTTCGCCTCGAGGTCATATTTCTAGTAGCGAGCCTGCCTAATGTTTCGCTCGTGTCAGAGTTACTGGGCATCAATACTGCGTCTAGAGGCGGTGCAAGGCGGCGCGAAACGTAATGCAAGAAGTATCTCCGGAATACTATGGTGGCATATAGCATCTTGCTCTGCAAACCCCACCCTTAGCATGGGTAGAGCAAATAACCTTTCTTTCATCCTTCGACGGATCGGTTCGGCACATCCCCGTTCGAGCTTGATATCTGGGCAGCCCACAGAAATCCTTCGACCCGCGCGAAGGATCTAACTTTAAAAGGCTCTTCGAACTGCATAATTACGGCACGTACTTCTGCTCTAGGAATGCCGTGATCATCTGAGGGAATACACTTTTGAAAGCTTGTTATACACCTGAACTCTCCATACTCACAGTGATTGTTGCTACCGCCAACACCTTGCATGATTTTTCGGACACACCGCAACGCCGAGATAACCCACAGACCGTCCCATAGAGGCTCGACCCACGCCAGCCCTGTACAAAGCTACTCCAGGTGAGTACAATACAAGTACATATGATACGCTCCATGATGAAAGCAGGTTGTCAGCCCGGAAACCCCGACATAACCAAGGAAATGGCTACTGTGACTGCATATTGCCGTTCGGCCCAATCCCAAATATCATCATTGGCCACGATGATGTTTGCGCAGCCACTGAAGACCCTTCTGCTGATGCTACGCCTTCCTGGCCAGTGGTCGGTGTTACTCCGTCGCGGCCACCCAATGCCATCAGCGTGTTCGCAGTGTTGAGGTACTCCTGCGGTCGGCTGTAGTCTTGTGGCTCGATTGGGGTGACATTAGCACGTGTCCATTGCTGCCAAGCATCGTTGTGTGATGGGTAATGCTGGGGTGCATTATTCGGTGCTGTATTGTTGGCATATATGAAACTCTCTGGAGTAGGTGGCGGGTTCCCAGAAGCAGCCGACTGGATAGCAGCGACATGAGCTGCACTCATTCCAGGATCCGCAACACCAGCATAGGTCGGTTGGTCGAACGAGTGGTTATTGCTGTCGCCTTGATATGGTGCTAGCGTTGTTGCCGCCCCATTACTGTATGGAAACACGGGCGATCCTCCCGGGTAAATGTTCGATGTAGCACCCATTGAAGGGTCCACCGAAGGCAGGTAATTAGGTGTAGCTTTAGAGCCAGCGTCACCAGGTGCAGCATTGGTGTATTGGGAATGGAAGTGTGCCGTGTTCTCGTATGCGTTGGGAGCGGGATTTACCTGCTGCTGGGGAGTCTGACTGAGTGCTGCACGCGCCACAGCTTCTGTGGCTGTCTTCTTGACTAGATGTTCACTGATGTTCGCTAAAGACAGCTCTACGATCTTAAAGATCGCGTTTCGAAGTTTCAAACCTGACCCTGGCCAAATTAGAAATTGCGCGGACAGCAAAAGGGCAGTCTTACCTAGGAGTTCACCACATTCGCCCATGGCGTCTAGCCAGAGCTCCATATCTTTCCTCAGTTCGTGCATATCAGCAGAGGTGATACTATCCTTTCTCTGAGAATGAATGAATAACGTGGTGAATATTGCAGCAATATAGGTCGTGCAATTAATCCACACGATGTCCAAGCTCTTATATCTCCGAAGTTCGTTGACATTGTGAAGCATCTTCTGAGAAGCGTCTAAGCAGATGTCAAGATTAGATTTCATGAATTCTGGACTGGAAGAACGGCACACGGCTGGATGATGGAGTAAAAGCGTGAACTCGAGTTCCCAGAATTCGAGATATCTTGAAAAAATGTAGCTTTCCTGGTTGGCCTGTCGATCCGACAGTTCAAGAGGAATTCCCTCTCGCCATCTGCGCAATGAAGCCTCTAATTTCCGGACCGTCTCCTCGTACGAGTTGGGTGACTGTCTGACGGTGTACAACGTGCTGTACATATTGCTGTACATTGGCACTGTTTTCGCCGTCTGAATACCGACTTGAAAGGAGCACTTGTGGAAGTCGAGTTTTTGCTCTCCTGGAATACTGTCATCCATCACCTCGGGAAATCCGACGTCAATATCTTCCATCCTGATTGGCATGGGCCGGCCAAGCTTCCCGCTCAGACTGACGTTAAGTGCATATATGGTCCAGAACACACGCTTCCGCAATTCGACTTCAAGCACATCTTTCTTGGGGGCTGTTGCGGCCCATGCTTTGGTTGATCGATGGAAGCCGAGTTCGACGGCAACTGCGAAGGTCATCCAACACATTAACCAGGCAGCGCCCGGTTTAGGAAAGTTGCGAAGGTGTATGCAAATCAAACCCATGGCCTGGACGTCTGGAAGAGAATGATTCCGTAAGAGTGCCCCGAAGAAGCTGAGGGAGTATCGGTAATGCTTATTAGACTCCGCAAACATGACATCATCGTGATTGCGCTTCGCTATTTGGTACTTGAGGATTGCAAGCATCATATGGACCATGACAGTCTCTGCTGGAGAAGGGGTAAAGCCGGGCTCATGATATATGCGCCATATCTAGTTCAAATGTGTTAGAAGTTCCGGACACACGAGCGACGTAACTTACCAGCTGCGTAAAGGATGCCCTGTCCAGGATCATAGTGTATGGGTTCAGAGACCGGAGATACCAGGTTGCGTATTCGCTGAGTTTCTGATACTCGGGGAATTGGAGTGGCTCCACGTTCTGGTCATGTCCGAGAACAACGCTCAGGAAATGCCCATACGACTGGACGGAACTCTCGTAATCAGTTTCTCCGTCAACGAAATCGGTGATGTCGATCTCTGTGCCAAATACGGAGAGCGAGGTTCCTTTGATGGGTGAAAGGAGCGAGTCCGCGGACGAAATTCCGAGATAGTTGTCTCCAATAGCGGCGGACTTGAAGGCCGGGAGCATGGCTAGTATCTTGTTCTCCACCGCCTGGGTGGCCAGAGGTACCTCTCCAGACGCCCTATACGGCGTAAGAGGAGGCCCGCTCGCGCTGGCTGGGGCTTGTTCCGTAGACCACATCTGATCATTGTTCCCCGAAGAGCTGGCCGATGTCCATTGCAGCGGTTGCGATTGCACTGCCGCTGGTGTGTATCCATTGTAGCCACTGAATGGCTTTGGCTCGACTCCTAGCTCCTTCAGTTGCGCTTGCAGCTCCGCGACATGGCTCCGCAGACTGCTGACTTCGCCCTCGAGGGCTTCAGTGTGACCCCGTGTCGTAGCTCGGCCCGTGATGCGGTCGGTCGTCTTGCACGGTGTGTTGTTCTGCAGACATGGCGAGCAACCTCCTGCCCGGCCGTCGCATCTGATCTTGCGGATCTGCACCACGGTTAGCACTACTACGGCGTTGGTCCTATGCAGGCGATCCCGCGTGTCTGGGTCATTTCGTCGACACTGCTGGCAATTGTCTCATCGCTTGCGCAGAGACAAACACAGTGGAGGCTCGCGGGGGGAGGCCGTCTCCGTACCTTGCATCTGTCGCACGCCTGGCCGGTGCGCGAGGATGCGCTCAGCTTCTTCTTGGTAGAGTTGGAGAAGTCGGCCGACTGGGCGCGCGACTGTGTGAGCGGGCTCCCTTGCGGCTCCTCGAGCTTGGGGAGCTTGGGGAGCTTGTTGTCGTGGAGGGCGTCGTCGTCGGGGGCCCGTTTTGGGGCCATCCTCGAGGGTCAGCAAGAGCTGGAGGTACTGGTGGAAGATACCGCGGAGGTTGCCTCGACGCTGTGCTGCCAGCGCGAGCCGGGGACCGCTGCACCGGCCGAACGGGTTTGGACAAGGCGGCCTGAGAGAACACGACGTTCAAAGGAGACGAGTTGCTGGCCTGCGGGTATCTCTCCTGGCGCAACAGCCTTGGAAGAGCCGCTTGGATCGCGGTCACGGGTGTTCTGCGCTGCTGCGGCGCTGCCTTCTTTCCCGCCAATATTTGCGGCTTGCCGAGAGCGGTGCCAGTAATTTGAGGCTGGAGCTCCTTTTCGATAACTGCTCGAGAACTGCCTGATCACCAGCCGCTAACATCACTCCGAGCCTGGCTTCAGACGCTTTGGCGCTGGTGCGACTGATCGAGCCCGGTTCCAGCGCTCACTCCGCACGCCGTGCCAAGGCGCGAGAAGATAGAATCTTTGCTTCTGCGTCCTCGAGATCGCGGGAGACTCTGAGCACGAGGTGCGTCAGGCACACCTATAGCGATCTAGCGAGCATGTGACTGGGCTAGTTGAAGCCTTGGCTGTAGTCAATCTGACTTCTTTCACTAGTTGCATAAGACGAAGATACGGAGCATAAACTCCACTGAATATTCAAACATACCATCGAGATGGCTACCGTCGAAACACTCTACCTGCCCCACTACCCCGACTACCCCATTTACATATCATTCTTCAAGAACGTCTCAAACGCTCCCTTCCTACGCCAGCAACTCCTCGAAGCAAATACCGCCTTCGAATATGCATTCCTCGACGCCACAATGGTAAGACTCAACTTCCTGTCACGTGCCATTATTCTTCCCCCCTCCATATTCAACGTTACTCTCAATCCAGTCTCATGAAAAGCCGCACAAAGCAACATCGAACTCTTATATGCCCATATAATCACCCACTCACAGCCCTCCCAGATCCTCTCCCCCCGCCACCTCTACGCCGCCACCTTCCGCGCCCTCAACGACGCCGTGCACACCCGCCTCAAGTCCCGCAACATCCACTCCGAGCTCGTCTTCTCCCTCTCCCCAAACAACAACATCGCCGACGCCTACCGCCGCTTCGGCATCCAAGACAGCACCACCTCCCTCCTGGCCGTGAAAATCCCTCTGTCAAACCACGACATCACGGCCGAGAGCGTATCGAAGCATCTGGGGGGTGCGGTGGAGGGGGAGTCGGTGGCGTTCGGGGAGGAGGCGCTGGCGGGGGTGACGGATTTGAAGGCGTTGCGGAAGGTGTATAAGCTGGATTCGGGGAACAAAGGCGGTGGGGGAAAGAAGGGGAAGAAGGGGGCGGAGGTGGTGGTGAACGGGAATGGGGTGGGGAGTGGAAAGGATGAGAGGGCGGAGATGGAGGGTGTGATTTTGGGGATTATGGCTTTGAAGGGTACTTGAGGGGGAGAGACGTGGGCTTAAGCCGTTGTTTAGACTACGGAGTGGTATATGACATTGCGGGTCTTCACCATAAGCAGGTATCAACATAGACGGCTAAACTGAAATCATCACACGTGGATATGAAGCTAATAAGAACGAAGGTAAGAAGAGAACATCTCACTGACAAACAATGGAACTTATCGCCGGGACACGTGCGCACTCTGGCACTTCTCAGGATCTCTCGCAGGTAATTGCGCACTCTTCGTAGCGTACGCGTTGACGATGTAGCTTGCCAACACCAAAATCTCAAGCACGCCAGTAACAATAGAGATATAGAAAGAGACATTCTGAATCAATGTGATCAGCACAGTTCGGAATCTCAAAAAGAAGGGTTGAGGACGTACCTGTTCTCTGCACACTGTACGGTACTGTTTTCTGCCAGTGCCTATCGCATTCACATTCATGCAGGCGAAATGGCCCAGGCTAGTACTGCTATCCGCATCCAGCGCCTTGTAAACAGTGCAGGCCGTTGCCCATGCAATCACGATATATGCGCCCATTCCTACTCGAAACCTGTCGCGAGCTCCCATCGATGTACGGAACTGCTTCTTGATCGAGCAGATAAGGATCGTGACCGCGAACAAGAAGTTGACGAATGCGATCGAGAACAGGAGATAGGTCGCAGTAGCGTCTGTATGACTGGGCCATGTGCTTGGAAACTGGCCTGTCGAGACATTGGTATTTGTATTGCCTAAGACGCTCAGGGTGTGTGCCAGCAGTCCTGCCACAGCTGCGCTAAGCGCTATAGTGATGATACGCAGAACAAATCGGAGAGTAGAATGCCATGTCAAGTTCAACGGCATGTGCTGGCCGATTTGCTTTAGGCTTCCGCCTGATGTTATATCTTTGGATACAGTGGTTTCGTGATTCGAGACCTCGTTAAAAGGCACAGAAGGGTAGAAAGGCGGAGACACAGGCCCACTAATTGAAAGTTTTGATAGCTTTGGTTTCGAGGATATCGGCCTTGTCGTTTCGCGGCGGTGGTTGATATTCGTCTTTGGTACGGTATACGCTGCTTGTGGTCGAGTCATAGTATTGATGTTGGCCACGGGAGGACTGTAGGCCCGCCGTTCTTCGCTCGAGCTCCCAGGTCCGGAGCGATTGCGGTATGTGGAGGGAAATGGAAGATATTGTGGACGAGGTGAAGACTTGGCTTGAACTGGAGACACGATAGACATGGGTCGCGGAAGAGACATGATAGAGCTAGATCGATTTGAAAGTTCTGAAACTAAATTGGTGGGCTTTGAATGGCGACAGAAAGGTGCACACGCAGGGGACTGAGGTCATAGGCCTTCAGTTGAAGGGAACTTTGACAGATATACCGTTTGCGAAGGATCGCGCGGCGCGGAATACCCTTGTACGCTGCACCACCAACATGTTCATGTAAACGAAACCAGGGTCTATCAAGGTACAGAAAAGCTGTGCAGGATCGTTCGCATGGTGAATTGGGTTCTCTGGTAAGCCTTAGGCAAGGGCTCGGCCCGAGTTCGTGTATATTTGTGGTGGGGGCAGGGCAAAAATAGCTGCTGCGCGGGTGAGGCTGAGCACCCTGTGATGTTTCAACTCCAACAAACACCAACAAATCTTCCGGAAAGGTACCTCGCCGCGAGCGTACAATTCTTAGCCTTCTATACCACTCGAAAAACTCGAAAAGAACTTGAGCCACAGACTCCCGCCCCATCTGGTGCCCCTAGGCCGCCGCGCCATGTGCATATGGGCGGTGCGGCCCGTTACGCTGCCGCACCAGCCTGCGCCGACGAGGGCACTTCACAGCAGCAGGGCTGATTCAATGAAATGAGTAGGGAACAGTGAATTGAAGGTACGTTGAGGATAATGGTAGGTGTAGCAGAGAAGCTGTGCGAGTGGAGGAGAGGGAATCGATAATTACCGAGCTAGGGTTGAGCAGGGGTGCTCTGTACATATCCTAAACGATTGCGGAAGATAGATTAAGATGGATTGTCGGACCCCTAAAAACAACACTCGTATCGCGATGAATATGTGCTGTTGGGTTCGTGACTGATAATAGAACCACAGGGTGTCACCTCAAGTAGCTCTAGCGCGTGATCACTTTAGGTATAACGTCCCCCCGTGTGTGGCGCAACACCCCCCATACCGCAACAAATCTATTGCTTCGGCATCTTACTCCCTCCCTCGCGATTCAATCAAGTTATCGTTAGCCTACTATTATTCTTCAGACATTTCTATCTAGGAAAGCTAAAAAATTACGACGTTCTTAATCATACTGTCGATCATTCCTTTCAGAGCATCCGGAATGGCATTAGCTTTACACCCCTACTGCACCACTATTATCTCCCAAATTTCATATTTCGGAGTATTGAACCGATAGTTCCAGGATGAAAAAAGATGCCTCTAAGCTTTGAGGCAATAGGCCCTTAGAAACATACATTCCGGATTTATCCGTGCGAAGGGGTCCGTCGTGTGCCTTGGCATAAGGGTTTAGCGCGCTTACGTAGGGAGGTACTAGATAACTACTGTATTTTACGCTATGTTTGAAATGCGGCGCTCTTCTAGAAACATCCATGAATGATCACGTGCTAGCTATTTTGGCAGCCGTTACCTGTGACTTTTTCAAGTGGCGATCTTATGAGCTGCGCCACATGTGGCTCTACTCTCCCATAATCAGCAGTTTACACTTCTGTGCAATTCGGAACATTCCACGTGTGTGTGTGTGTGTGTGTGTTCTATTATGGCCATGCACCCTATGGGTATGGGCCGTTACGAAGCGCCAGCTATATACATTTATCCTTGATCTGTCTGCTCCAATTCAGAAGCCAACCATGAGACCTGCTCGTCCGATGCCTAACTCCATGCTCAACAAAGGAAAGTAAAGGAAAGTAATACACTACCGTATGGAGCAAGCTGCCTGGCTTGTCGAGGCCTCGCGTCCGCAGGGCATTTCCGGCGTCGTGCGCCTCTTAATCGGCAGCGCACTGGCCGAGGCGCGTTCATAGACAGCTTGTCGTTCTACGCTCACGAGGCAGAAGAGGGCATCCTCAGCTGGCCCCTCTCCTCTGCCTCCTCTTCGTCTCTACTTTCTTCGTCTTGTACTTTTGGTTGCAACCGCCTTGTGCTCTTTGCGAATTCTATTGTCGCCCTAACTGCTTCCATGTCCGGCTTCCAGTACTTGATCGGTCCGTCGATGCTCTGCCCGCCCTCTTGTCTACTCGAGTACCCTCCCAGTGCGTACGATAGCTCTCCGAATCGCTGTCCATGCTGCTGTCGTAGCTTCGCTCTTTGCTGCCTCCATCGCCTGCACGAAAAGAGAAAGTGTGCTATCGATTCTATGCACCCGCAATCGCACGCCGCTGTGTCTGTTGCCTTGATTTTGTACAGATACTCGTTGAGGAACGTCTTACCCGTCCGCAGCTGCGTGAGGATGGCCGCTTCGGTGCTATTCAGCTGCCGGTATATTTCTGCCGACTTGCCTAGGTGGAACGCTGCATCCATCTTCCGCGTGAACTTTCCCGTTTCTGCCCACTTTGGTGGGGGCGGTCCTGCTATTACGTTGGCTCTTTTCAATGCTAGCCGTGTCAGATACCACGGTTCACCGTCGCGCTGCAGTGGCTGCTCGCTCTCTTCTTTCGTCGCTGCCTTTGCCAGTCTGTCAGCCCGCTCATTTCCCTCGATCCCCGCATGTCCTGGGATCCAATGCAGCGTGACGTTGGTCATCCATAGTTTCTTGATAATCTCTGCCACGACACCTTGACACGCGCTGGCTCGCCAACTGCGCACCGATAGCAGCGCCGACTGCGCGTCAGAGAAGATGCGGATGCTCGACGCTGGTACGGGCTGGCCGTCGCTGTCAAGCGCTACGCAAGATGGGCCCCACGGCCAGTTGGCGGCTTCACTGATTGCTAACAGTTCGGTAAAGTGCGCGTCCGCCTGCTCGGACCTGGCTACCGTCTTCGAGATGCACACTTGCGATGGCCTGGCAAATACCCCGATGCCTGCCCTGCCGTTTCGTACTGATGCATCCACATATACGTCTACTCGTCCTGGCTGGTAGTCCTCGGCAACAGCTCGCGCCCGCTCTTCGTCCTCGCATATCACCACCTCAGGCCGAGCTACCCACGGCGGGCATGCGTACGGCTTAACCTCTAGCACCGTATCCATCCGAACTTCTGCACACATCTCTGCCACCCTCATGAGTGGCGATCGATGCTTCGTGCACAGTCGTTGTCGCTTGAGCATCCAGTGGGGATGTGACGGGCCCAGCTTGTGGATCGACACCCAGAACACGATCGTCTGCTTCCGCAGTCTCTGTTCCATGGGGAGCAGACCTGCCTCTACCTCTGCCACTGACAGAGCAACAGTGCGGAATCCTCTGATCACTGCCTGCGCCGTGATCCTCTGCGACTGTAGTAGGAGCTGCTTCATGTCGTGCGTCGCGATCGGGTACCACACTGGCGACGCGTAGTCCGCCACCGGCAGCACCGCACTCTGCGCCAGCTGCTTGACTGCCTTGGGTTGCAGTCCCTTCATTCTGCGCAGCGCTAGCGCCACTTTCGTCGCCTTGCCTGCTTTGTCTGCAAGATGCACCTTAAATCTTAGTTCCTTGTCCAGCGTTATACCTAGGAGCTTGACCTTGTCTGTAGGCACAATATCCTGTCCTTTGAACCACAGCGGCGTCGTGCTGTCCCTACCTGCTGCTTTGTATCGCGTAAGATGGATGAAGCTCGTCTTGGCGGCTTCGAACTGAGCCCCGCTCGTGCGCTCCCACTTCTCTAATATCGGAACCACTTCGTCCTGGATAACCCGCGTGTTCTCCTCTGCTGATGGCCCCATGACCCATGCCGAGTAGTCGTCTACGAACGCCATTGAGCTGCCGTGCGGAACATTCCACAAGGGTGTGGCCGGTGCGGGTTGGCGCCCTCCCTGCTAGCGCACCCGAAGCTCCCATACAAGGGGGCTACCTGAGCGGGCTGCCGGCGCTCCCTGCAAGCGTCTCTGTTAGTGCTTACAATCGCCACATCGCCACATGAAAACAGTGCTTATTCAGTAACTAATATTTCGTTGGGCCGCCATCAGCAGCAATTACAGCAAGGCAACGCTCCCTCATATTGCCCGTATACTTTTCAAATTCTTCGGGCTCAAGCTTCTCCCATTCCTCCTCAGCGTACTGCCGTACTTCCTCCTTTGTTGTAGGAAACCGGCGTTGTATTCTCCCCTTCAACAGCCGCCA